CTGGGACGCGTCTTCCAGCGCCTGGAGGTTGCTCGAGCTAGCCACTGCCACAGACATCTATGACGGCGTTTCAAGCAATCCAAGAGACACCAGTGGTCGTTGAGAGTCGTTACGGAGAGCGGAGATAGTCGAGGATGGAGGGACCAAGCTCGTCGACCAGCGCGCGTTTAACTTCTCATAGACCTGTATGAGGGCGACGTTGAGCAAGAGCAGACTCGACGAGAGAGAAGCTGAGGCCAAGGATAAAGAAGAGGGCAGATATGAACACCGAGCGGAAGGAGAGGGACAAGGGAGACGGCTGGAAGATGAGAACAACGTTGAGCTCCGGGACTGCCGCAACCGCAACGACCAATCCTGCAAGCGCCCGTCGCGATCATTCATTGGTGGGATTCGCGCGTGCCTTGTCCTTCTTCCACCTACACTCACTCCCTTTTTCTACAACACTCATCTCGGCGCACTCGCGACATCCTAGACGGTACTGTGGCCATCTGCCCCTGTATTTCCATCTGTGACAGCATACTCGGCTTCAGTGGGTTCCGCGCTGTGCACTCTGTTTGGCATCCCGCGTCTCGCGTGCCTGGCGATGTCAAAACGTGTTGCAATGTGGCCCCCGATGTCCACGATAGACCTGCTCCGACCCGGGGCGCCCTGGGTATAAGTACTTCGCGTTATGTGCGCTCATACCTCCGATGTCTGGCAGCTGTAGAGGCGGGGCACGGTCCCTCGCCTCCGCGACCACTCCGGACGCAGCAAACGGCCGACCTGGGCGCGTTTCTCGCCTCTCGTAACGTTCTCGAGGCGGCCCGCAATCACCACCATGTGAGTGCAAACAAAGTTATCTCGCTCTCACGGCAGTTATGCGGCGGTAGACGCGGTCAGTTCTAAACTGTACGCCTTCTAGACTCCATATATAACTGAGCAGCCACGGTGTTGCCGGCACCAAACCATGTTGATCAATCACTCCATCGCACGCTCATCAGGGATGTCTGTCACCAATCGCTGCCTTTCGAATGACGAACGGGCCGCAGCGATGATACATATACAGTCGTTTGCCCTCTGTGTATTTACATCGGTGGAGATTGTGGTTAACGCGGGCAAAACTCGTGAGTCACTGGATAATCCTACTCAAACTGACGTCTAGGCACCCTTGCGACACTGGGATGTCCTCCAATACCCCGATTTCCCATGAGAGATAGAATATGCTTCAGCACTCCATCCTATACCAAATAGCAGCGAAGACGCGAAGACGCGGACTCAGCTGTGTTTCCTACAAAGAAGTGGCCGAAAGTAGCTGGGACGCTCAGTGCTGTTCCAGCTGTCCTCAGATCGATAGGCCCGTGGAAAATCATCACGGACAGCGGTTCCAGGCGGCGACGCGGGGAGGACGCGGATGTACACGCCTAGGTGCGCGTACCTCTTCGCGGTACTCGCGACCTGCAAACCGTCCTACGCGATGCGTCGTCGCTGCGTCTGGGCGCGAATGGCTCTGTGTGTGGGGCCTATCCCGGTCCGTTTGAGAACAGCTGTACACATACTGAGGCATTTGCTGGTGAACGTTTTGGTCCGGACCATACACCGATGCAGATTTCGCAGATTCCAAAATAACATGTCAACAACTGTGACAGATGATAGAGCGCTCTCCAGTCAAAGCCCTATCGTAAAGGCTTCGTTCGCGGGCCTAACGCTTACCGCGATAGCGCGTACGTCGGGGAAGCTAATGAAAGTGTCTCTCATCTGCCAAGCCCGAGGGTTGGAGCGCGCAGTGTCGCCCCCGCTCGTCCTGTCGTGTTGCCGGCCGAGGTGACCAGAACACTGGACAGCTGCTACACCATGCCAATCAATCTACACGACTGCTCAACAAGTTCTCGTTGATTGGTATTGTACCGGGCGTTGAACTCATCGTGATGCGCCCCCGCCGTTCCGATGAACTCCTGTGGCACAGACCACTGGTATTTATGAGCACTTGAGTGGCCAAGATGCCGACCGTTCCTGGCGGTGCATTCCACAGCATGCGCATGTGCATCAGCCCAAATGTTCAGCCGTATCGGACTCCATGATCTCTCGACTGTGAGCCGTCGGCCAGCGCAAGCGCCGGGTGCGTTGCTGCCTGGTGATGCACACGACACACAACTCCGCGCGTTGCGACCGACCTTGAGCAAACGCCAGTCACGCAAGCCCTGGGGGTGCGGTATAGGCACGCAACGATCTGCCAGGAGGAACGGGTGACATTGGATGGGCGAGGACAAGGTGCAGACACTGGGCGGCTCGCGTATTTTGCGGCAAGCGACTTGCAAGCGACAGCTGGCAGTCCGATCAGGACATAACGGGTGTAACGGCTCAAAACCACAGACACAAACTGCGCGGAATGACCGAGAATGGAAGCGATAAGGTGGAAGGAATAGTGGGAACAAAGTGGGAAAAGGATAGAATAGCTAAAGTGGGATTTGGGAGACGCCGGACGCGGCATCTGGACCCCGGTGACGGACCCAACTAAATAAAACGAGGGTTTTGCCGGGAGCCCTGTGCTTTCGTCTCCCCCCTGCTCTCCCTCCCGTTCGACCCAACGGTCGCCGTCTTCCTTCCCTCCTCCACGCTCGCCTCGTTTGCGGATTCCCCGGCAGGATATTCGTCCATTCCTCTCCTTACTCACCGCGACCTGCTTTCCCTCTCCCTTGAGGACGGACTTTTATCTCACCTTATCCCTTACTCGGCATCGACGACGACGACGTTCCTGTAACACCCCCTCCCTCCATCTTGCCCGCCATGTGGGTGCGGACAGCGCTGCTCTCTCTGCTGGCATGCGTCCAGTGGGGCAACGCCTCGCCCTATCGGGCGGACCTCGTCGACTACAACATTAACACCAACCAAAACGCCCAGTCTCCACTCGAATACTCTACCCCCCAACGCGCCAACTATACTGGCTCCCCCGAAAACTGGCGTTCGGTCCCGTTCTATACCATCCTCCTGGACAAGTTCGCCGATGGCGACCCGTCCAACAACGACTACTTCGAGACTATGTACGAATGGGACTGGCGGGAGACTCAGCTTCGCTTCGGTGGTGATCTCAAGGGTTTGGTGTCGAAGTTGGACTACATTCAGGGAATGGGCATGAAGGGTATCTTCATCTCGGGAACTCCGTTCATCAACATGTTATGGCAAGCGGACAGTGCGTACACGTTCTCTGAACTCGCGACGCGTGCCTTGCTGACGCGTTATGTCGTGTAGGTTATTCACCGCTCGACTTCACGGTCCTCGACCCTCACTGGGGCACTCTCGCCGATTGGCAGTCTACTATCGACGAGATTCACGCTCGTGGGATGTACTTTATGGCGGATTTCACGGTCGGTACTATGGCTGATCTCATCGGGTTCAAGGGGTACGTGTATTTTTGGCGTAAAAGTCGCGACGTTCTAAATTCGTTGCAGGCATCTGAACGAGTCGACTCCGTTTGACCTCGACGAGTACGACGGCGTGTGGAAGGACCCCACTATCATTCCTTGGGACTTCAACGAGTACAAGGATTTCAATGTGCGTGAACCAAATTTTGACAGCTGTCGCTACACAGTTTTGATATGTGGCGCTCTTCCAGATCGACAACACGGTCAACAACTCCTGCGTGCTTCCTACTTTCTGGTCCGATGACGGTGTCATCCAAGATATCGGTCGGACTACTGGATGCAGAAACTCGGACTTTGACCAGTACGGTGACATGGAGGCGTTCGGTGTCCACCCCGACTGGCAACGTCAACTTGCAAAGTTCGCTTCCGTGCAGGACCGTCTGCGGGAATGGAAACCCGAAGTGATGGGGAAGTTGAAGGTTTTCTCATGTCTCGCTATCACCGCACTTGACATCGACGCCATCCGCATCGACAAGTCCACCCAAGTCACCGTTGATGCGCTTGCCGAATGGGCATCTAGCACCCGTGCGTGCGCAGCGAAGCTTGGCAAGAACAACTTCTACATCCCTGGTGAAGTCACGGGTGGTGATACCTTTGGTGCCATCTACTTGTGAGTACGCTACGACCATCGAGCCTCTTGCAATGTTAACGCGTACCGCAGTGGACGCGGTCGTACTCCCACCCAGAAGCCCTTGGGGTTCCTCCCCGCAGCTAACCTGACCAAGGACATGGACCAATACTTCCTCCGCGATGCCCCGCTCAACGCGCTCGACGGCGCCGCTTTCCACTATTCGACCTACCGCTCTCTCAGTCGCTTCCTGGGTATGGATGGTAACCTGCAGGTCGCGTTCGATGTCGACACCAACTTCATCTCTGCGTGGAATGAGATGTTCGTGAATGACGACTTCCTGAACCCCCACTCCGGCGACGTCGACCCTAGGCACATGTTCGGCACGAGTAACTTCGATGTCTTCCGCTGGCCTAGTTTGGAAAATGGTACTCAGCGCAGCGTGTTGGGGACGTTTATCACGAACCTGATCATGCCCGGCATTCCCTTGGTAGGCCGCATCGCTACTTTGCTTTTGGAACTCATATTGACGCTTCTTATAGTACTTCTATGGAGAAGAGCAGAACTTCTATCTCTTCGATACCGGTGCCTCCAACTACCTTTACGGGTGCGTTATACAAACTCTATCTTTTATTCTTACTTCGTTCTCATAACTGTCCCCCACAGTCGTCAAGCGATGATCAGCAACAAGGCTTGGCAGCGACACGGGTGTTACTCTCTCGGGTCGGACCAGTACTTCAACATGCCCATGGGCAAGGCCCTCCTCGGCTGCCACGACGACTGGAACTCCTTGGACCACTTCGATCCCACCACGGATTCGCGCCGCATCTTCTCGCAATTCCTGTCTCTTCGGACGCAGTTCAGCTCGCTTCAGGATGGTTTCAATCTGGTGCAGCGTGGTAACTGGACATACTACATCGCGCGGCCTGGTTCGAACAACACGCTTACGGAGATGGGTCTGTGGTCCGCTTCGCGCGCTCCTATCAGTGGCGTTCAGGTGCTCCCCGGTAACTCCGATCAGGTTTGGTTGCTCTACACGAACGAGAACCAGACCAAGACGTGGTCGTACGACTGCAAGGGCAGTCTCTGGATTTCGTCGCCATACCAGAGCGGCACCCAGGTTCGCAATCTGTTCTACCCGTACGAGAACTACACGCTGTCCGACTCGGGCTCGTCCTACTTCAACGACGGCAAAGCGCCGTGGTACGGTTGTCTGGACTCGTTCACGATGGATCCATTGGGTTTCAAGGCGCTGGTCCCGAGCGACCAGTGGGTCGCTCCCCCACCGATGCTCACCCGGTTTCTCCCTGGCCACGACGCTCGTATTCCAGTCACGAAGGATCAAACGAACGCGACCACGCTCGATATTACGCTGGAGTACAACACCCCGATGCTGTGCGACAGTATCACGAAGGCGATCACCTTCACCATGGTCGGAGGCGGTTCTGCGCCTACCCTCTCCAACGCCAAGTGTTCGGCGCTCACCAACGTCCCGGCACCGCGTATTCCTGGCGTGTCGGTCTCGCAGTATCAGTGGACTGCTACGCTTCAGGACTTCCCAGACGGTATCCTTCAGATGACCATCACGAACGCGCAGACCCAGGCCGGTGTGTCTACCAACGTAAGTGGTTTGCCACACCAAGTCGTTTTAACTTGACCCTGACCAAATATCTCGCGTAGGTTACCGATCACTTGCTGCTCCGCAAGGGATTGGCGGACAACGTCATGGTCTTCCCTGAGTCTGACTACGACGCTTCTGCGCTCAGTGTCTCGGGAGATACGTACACGTTCACGCACAAGGCCCTCGGCGCGGACAAGTTCCGCTACTCTGCGAACTTCGGGAAGAACTGGACGACATGGCAGGATTACGAGGCTACGACCACGCTCGACACCTCGCTCTTCAAGGATTCCGGCAACTTCTGGACTGGCGACCACGTCATGGTGCAATGTAAGTACTATCAATCACGCCTTGTCCAGGGCTTTTGGCTGACCTGCGTTCGCAGACTGGAGCGACCTTGCTAAGTCGGCGAGTGTTGTCGTGCATGCGGACCACAACTACAACACCCCTCGTCGTGTTCCTCAACTTCTTGCACGTGGTCCCTTCAACGAGTGGGGCTTCGACAGGGGTATCACCGCCGACATGACGCACAAGGACGACGGCACTTGGGAGCTCGAGATCATGGCAAGCTGGCCGACCTACGTCCAGCTCAACGTGTTCGGGTACGACAACTACTACTACGGAGACAGCGACGGCGACGGTGTCCTTGACCGTCTGCCTCCCAACACCGCTGCTCCGAACTACCTGAACTTGTCAGCTCCTCCCAAACCCCATCTCGCGTGGGCTCTTGTTGTCGACGATGCGACCATGACCTGGTCTCTGGAACCCCGTGGCGAGTCGATCATCGGCGCTATCACTTACGCTCTCCTGCTCTCCATCCCCCTCATCACCGGTGCGCTCGCTGTTGTCATCTTCATGTGGTCGTTCTACGGTATCAAGTACAACCAGTGGGGTGTTAAGCCGAACAAGGACCACAGCAGCTACTTCCCGATCCTCGGAAGTTTGGGCAACAAGTCGACCACCAACGTTAAGGACGCGACGCCGTTCTCCGAGAAGGTCTTCGGGCACCACAAGCACCAGGATATCATCGGCTGGCCTGAGGACAAGGACAAGCGTCGCACTGTCCTAATCGCGACGCTCGAGTACGAGATCATCGACTGGAAGCTCAAGGTCAAGATTGGTGGTCTGGGTGTCATGTCGAGTTTGATGGGTAAAGCCATGACGGACGTCGACCTCATCTGGGTTATCCCCAAGGTCAAGGATCTCGAGTACCCTCCTGGTGACCCCGCGGACCCTATCGAGGTCATCATCTTCGGCGAGCCGTACCTCATTGAGGTGGAGTACCATGTCCTGGACAACATCACCTACGTTATCCTCGACAGCCCCGTCTTCCGCGCTCAGACCAAGGCCGACCCGTACCCCGCTCGCATGGACGATCTCAGTTCCGCCATCTTCTACTCGACGTGGAACCAGGCCATCGCTGCCACTGTCCGTCGCTTCCCGCACATCGACATCTACCACGTCAACGACTACCACGGTGCTCTCGCCCCTATCTACCTGCTTCCCAAGGTCCTACCCGTCTGTCTCTCTCTCCACAATGCTGAGTTCCAGGGTCTCTGGCCGCTGCGCACGAAGGAGGAGATGAAGGAGGTCTGCTCGGCGTTCAACATCAGCAAAGAGCACTGCACGAAGTACGTGCAGTTCGGTAACACGTTCAACTTGCTCCACGCTGCGGCCTCGTTCATTTCGGTCCACCAAAAGAGTATCGGTGTCGCCGGTGTCTCGGACAAGTACGGCAAGCGCTCCTGGGCTCGTTACCCCGCTCTCTGGACTCTCAAGCACGTCGACTCCCTGCCCAACCCGGATCCTACGGATATCGCTGCTCTCGACGAGAACCCGATCGCCGTCCGCAACATCCAGATTGATGATGCCGCAGAGGCAGAGCGCCCCGAGCACAAGCGCCAGGCGCAGGAGTGGGCTGGTCTCAAGCAGGACCCGGACGCCGACTTGTTCGTGTTCGTCGGTCGTTGGTCCAAGCAGAAGGGTGTCGACTTGATCGCCGATGTCATGCCTTCGCTGTAAGTTATTCATTCTGCATGTTGGATGCCTGGTAACTGACATCGCCACCTTGCAGGCTCGATAAGCGTCCTTCTATCCAGCTCATCACCGTCGGCCCCGTCATTGATCTTTATGGTCGCTTCGCTGCTGAGAAGCTCGCGCGTCTTATGGAGATGTACCCCGACCGAGTGTACTCGAAGCCGGAGTTCACTGCCCTGCCGCCATACCTGTTCAGCGGTGCTGATTTCGCGCTGATTCCCTCTCGTGATGAGCCGTTCGGTCTAGTCGCAGTCGAGTTCGGTCGTAAGGGTGCCCTCGGTGTTGGTAGTCGTCTTGGTGGTCTCGGTCTGATGCCTGGTTGGGTGCGTATCTCCTTCGTTCATCGCTGTTGGGCTGGCTTACTAATATCTTGTTTTTCAGTGGTTCCCTGTCGAGTCTACATCCACGGAGCACATGATGTCTCAGCTCACAAAGACGATCAAGATGGCACTCAAGTCCACGGAGGAAGAGCGCGCTATGTTGCGCGCACGCTCCGCCGTCCAGCGATTCCCGGTCGTCGAGTGGCGTCAGCGCACTGAGGACTTCCACCGTCGCAGTATCGGCATGAGTCGTTCGATTGCTGGCCCCAACGCTTGGCGCCCGTCCGACGCGGCGTTCAACCCCTCTGGCCACAACTTGCACGAGACCACGGACTGGAACCCCGAGTTCCAGGCGTACCCGTCGCAGCCCGATTGGGACAGCCGTAGCATGGTCGAGAGCCCGAGAGTCAGCACCCCTGGCTCTCCCGGGCAATGGAGTGTGGACACGTACACGCCTGGCACGCACGAACCTCACCTTGCGGCACCTCGCCTCCTTCCTGACGGACGGAGAGGCTCTGTGAGCACGGACATCTCTGACAACGAGGGCGACTACTTTGCGACCACTCCCAGTCCAGGTGGTGGTACGCCTGGAGAGACTCGCCAGGACTTCGGCAACTTCTTGGAGCGCGCTAACAAGACCATCGCGAAGGACCAGAAGCATGCGCCGGATCCGTTCTTGGACCCTGCGCCGTCGAGGCCGTTCGGCGCCCACTCTCGCGTATCGTCGGTCGAATCTATTGCATCTATCGTTGACGAGAAGCAGAACTCCCCGCTCAACAAGGCCATTGCTTCGGTATGTGCTTCGTTCGTCCTTCATGGGGAGTTGTACTGACTTGAGACGCAGTTCACGGATTCGGATGGAGGAGTTGCACAGGATTTCGTGCAGCGGCTGCAGGTTCTCAACGCGCACAACTCGAAGCACGAGCTCTCTATCGAGAAGTTCCTGATGAAGAGTGAAGAGGCTTTCTTCGACAAGGTTAAAAAGGACAAGCTTTCCAGCGCTGCGAGTGTTCGTTCGTCCCAGCGCGACTCCGTTTGGGGCACCCCTGCACCGTCCACCTTCGACCACTCGCGCCCCTCGTCACCAAGCACCTTCAGTCCTAGTGTGGGTATCAATGGCGAGTACAGCGGTCCTCTCCCCAACGGCCAGGACGTTGTCGTTATGACCGGGTTGCAAATCGCTCTCTCGCGCGAAGTCTTCGGCTGGCCCCTGTACACTATCATCATCGCCGTCGGACAGGTACGTGAACAACTTGCCCCCGCTCACCATTTTGTGCTAACATGTTGTTACTAGATGTTGGCCGCAACGAGTTTCCAGATCACGCTCCTCGGCGGACAGGCCTCGCAGACAAACTTGCAGCTGTACGTTCTTGGTGGTGTGTTCCTGGCCTCGTCCATCGTGTGGTACTTCCTGTTCCGCATGAAGCCATCCGTCTACGTCCTCTCGGCGCCTTGGGTCTTCTTCGGTATCGCGTTCCTCCTCATCGGTCTTCCCTCTGTTGTCCACCAGCTGCACGACGCACACGTCGCGCTTGCAAGTGCCGCGACCTGGGCGTACGCCATCGCATCCGCAGCGGCGTTCTGCTTCTTCGGTCTCAACTTCGGAGAGGAAGCCGGTGCCGCTACGGAAGTCTGGATGATGCGCGCCTGCATCGTCCAGGGCTCGCAACAAGTCTGGGTCGCCGCGCTGTGGTACTGGGGTTACAACCTCGACACCGTAGCGGCGGACAACATCTCGCCGTGGTGGATCTGCCTCATCGTCTGGCCATTGGCGGTGATGAGTTTCCTGTTCGCGTACCTTATGCTCTACGGTCTGCCAGGTAAGAGATGTCCTCGTTTATTTTGCATTCACGTTACTGATCGCCGCCATAGACTACTACCGCCAGACTCCCCCGAAGGTACCCAACTTCTTCCACACCCTCTTCCGCAGGAAGATCGTGTTGTGGTTCCTCGGCTCCGAGATTCTGCGCGACTACTGGCTGAGCGGACCCTACGGACGGAACTGGAGCTTCCTGTGGAACGTGCCCATCGTCAAGTGGCAGATCGCGCTCCTCGTCGTCGCCTTCTTCATCGGCGTCTGGGGTCTCATGATGGGCATCCTCACCTGGCTCAGCAAGGTTCATACCTGGCTCCTGCCCGTCTTCGCTGTCGGCCTCGGTGCACCTCGTTGGTGTCAGATGCTGTGGGGCACGTCCTCCCTTGCGCTGTACATTCCCTGGGCAGGCCACGCGGGCCCGTACCTCGGCGTCTGCCTCTGGTTGTGGCTCGGAGTGCTCGACGCGGTGCAGGGTGTCGGACTGGGCATGATCCTGCTCCAGACGCTCTCGCGACTGCATGTATGCGCAACGCTCGCGCTCGCGCAGATCATCGGTTCGATATGTGTCATGGTCGCACGTGCGACCGCACCGAACCGTGTCGGCCCCGAGAGCGTGTTCCCCGACGCGGCGCAGTGGGACTTCGAGGATGGCCTCAAGGGCAGCCCGCTCGCGTCCGCGCCGTTCTGGATCGCTCTTATCTGCCAGATCATCATCGTGATCGGGTACTTCTGGTTCTACCGTAAAGAGCAGCTTGGTGAGTTCATGTTCTCCCGTTTGTTGCTTGTGACACCGTTGCTGACCCCGTGCGCCCTTTCTTCTAGCTCGCCCATGATCACGACCTTATAGACCTTGCATACGCACGCGGACAGTTTCGTTACTATTCTACACGGTCATCATACATAGCGCACGGACTTCGGGAGTTTAGATATCGGCGGACTTGTACTCGCACGCGATCGGCGTGGTCGCTGCTACACCCATACACACAACACACTGACTCACGCTCCCTACCACCTGTGTCATAGGCTAGATATATCTTGCATAATGCCGCACACGTGCGGCGAGCAATTTTTTACACTCTCACTCAGCTCACATGCACGAATGCACGCACGCTCGTTTGAAACAAAGATCGTGATTGGGGCGTAACTATAGCTTCCAAAGTTCCAGAGCACTGGGACATACACAAGGATACATACATGCAAGATACAGAATGGGGGGTATATAGGCCGTGCCTGCCTAAGCTCTATGGTGCGGCCTGTGGCCGCGGAGCAGGCTGCTTCCCCTTCTTCGGCAGGTCGAAGTCGAGCTGGTAGCAGCCGTACATGCTGAGCAGCGTCCCGAGCCCGGGACGCACCTCGACCTCGTACGGCTCGAGCGGGAACGCCTCGCCGTCCACGGACAGCCAGCCTTTGGAGTCGGCTGGCTCGACGCGGTACGCGTACGCCTTGTAGTAGTGTTGCTGCGGTAGGAAGGATGTCAGCCGGGTCGCAGCGAGGGTGTTGCGCGCGGGAGACGTACAGTATCCATCCAATAATGGTCGCCGCGCTGCGAGCCGTCGATTGCCTTGAACATCGCCGTGCGTGTCGTCTACGCGCGTGAAACGTTTGAAGTAAGTTAATCTGGAACTGTAACGCCGCGCTGCAGACGTGAAACACGCACCCGTTCTTGCACAGTGACGTCGATGAGCCCGTCCGTGGGGAGAGAAACCGGGAATTGCAGCACGTCGCTCGACACGTACGGGCCCTTGCCCGCGAACAGGTACACGAGCGGGCGGTCGAACGTCACCCACTCGGGATCCTCCTCCTCGTCGCTCGCGTCCGCGAGCTTCGGGTCCGGGGGCGCCCCGAACGCCGCTGCGCCGTCTTCGGACGCGGGGCCCTGGGCGAGCGCGGCGTACGTCGCCTGCGCCTGCTCGTGCGCGGCCTTCATGTCCTGCACCATCTTGCGCTTGTCGGCGTGCGCGACCTTGATGGACACCTTGACGGGGCAGGACCTGTGGCGGATGACTGCGTGCGGGGGCGTCAGCGGGGCGCGCGTATGCGGAGGATGGGCGCGGGTATTTACGTCCGTAAATGAAGCCCACGAGGAAACGCCTGCATGGGCGCGTTGGTGAGCGGTACACACGTGAGGGGGGAACACGACGTACTGGCCGCCCATGAAGCGGAGGTGCTCGGTGCCGAGGTCGAGATCCGCGATGAGTCCCAGAGACTGGGACATGAAGGACATGTACTCCTTGCCGCCTTGGGTGAGCGACAGGAGGTCGGTGGACATCGGCCGGCCTGTCGCGTGTCAATACGGTATCCGGCGCGTTCCCACTTCGCGTAACTGTGAAGCAACCTACCCTTGATTGCGTTCAGCGCAGCTGCGGAGATATCCTTCGCATCCTATCGCGGCGCGGCGCGCAGAGGACAGAGCGTTAGTGCCGGGTACAATGGGGCACAAGCGAAAGCGCACACACGTCGAGTCCGAGAAGGTTGATTGCGAGGGCGTTGCCCGAGCCGCTCGGTATGGGCGTGACTGGTGTACGGAATGCCCTGGAAGGCTCGGCGTGGGCGAGGAAGCCGTTGAAGACCTCATGAATGAGGCCATCCCCAGACATGATCACAATGGCGTCGTATCGGTCGAGCGGGAGCTTCTCCACCATTTCCTGCGCCTGTTTGCCATAGGAGGTAACTGCGAACAGTGAAACGGGGCGTCAGGCCACCGCGGGCGGTCGTACGAGGAGATGGAGGCGTGCTTACATGTAAGGTCGACGTCGCACCGCGCTGCGCGGAAAATAGGCTCGATCTTTTTCCTGTACAACCCAACCGCCTTGCCCTGCCAACCAAAGGGTGTCGGTACAGGGGGACGAGGACGAGGGGGATCGACTGCAGACTTACGGGACCGCTCTTCGGGTTGACGAAGACCTTGAGCCGTCTCTGTCTTTGTAGGGCTGAGAAGGTCAGGACGGCGTCCGGAAGCCCGAGCTGACTAAAGGGGGGTTACCGGGGTAGGCTGCCGCCATGAGGGCGTCGGCAAAGGCGGTGGCGGAGGGTAGGTCGGCATCGGTGACAGGGCCGGACATGTTCAGGAGGATGTACATTCCCTTGGGCTTCCGCTTCGCGAGCGCAGAGAGCTCAAATACGCCGTTGTCAACGGCGGCCCAGAGCACATCCCGGAGGGGGACCTGAACCTGGGGCCATTTGTCTGGTACGCAGGGTGAGCTCGAAGTGTACGCGGTTTAGAATGGGCCTGGTACTCACTGTCCGCGGCGCGTTCAACGCGGAGGGTGTCGCCGTCCAGAGTGAACTTGGACGCGTTCGCCCCCTCTCCGAGTGCGAGGGTGGTGGTGGGAGGAGACATAGCTGTGGTCAGGGTGGCTGAGGACGAAACGCCTGTGATATATATGCGTCTCACGAGGAAGAGATTGACGACGGGGTGGGCATGCTAGCGGGAGTAGTCCGATAATGGCCGGCCGGGGAGGAGGAGGACGACGGCGGAAAGCACGCTGAGCTCTCCGTCCACGCCGTCCTCCTCCCGGCTCCCGGCCACCGTCCCTTCCCGTCAAAATCGGCAACCTTCCCCGTGACGTCAATCCCGCAGGCCGCGTGACACCAGGCCCATCACGCATCACACACCGTCACGCGGCGGGGTCACAGCCGGCGCCGTGCGGACGAGCGGGCTGTCCGTCCTCGCCTCCCACTGCCAGGCGCTCGACGCGTCTCTCCCTCTCCCACCATCGCACCCATGTCCACCGCTCTCCCGCCCCACCCACCCGCGCCCACCGCGCCCGTCGTCGTTCTCGCCAACGCCGCGGCTCTCGCTGCCCGCGACGCCGACGCCGGCGCGCCCTCCTTCGACGCCCTCCTCCATCAGCTTCGCCAGGAGGTCGCTCGCGTCCTCGACCTCCCCCTGGACGCCCGCCACAAGGAGGAGCAGGCTCTCCTCTCCCTCGCAGTAAGCACCTCGCTCCTCTCGCACTAGTCCTCCCCGGCTCAGCGCTCGCGCTCGCTACAGAATCGCGCACTCGCTCGCTACCCCTCCCCCGACAAGTCTGCCATTCCCCCGCCCCTCCTCCAAATAGACGCCTACCAACGGGCACCCAAGTCCGCCGAGTCTCTCTCAAAATACCTCAGCGCCCGCCGCGCCCTCCTCGCGCTCGATCCCGACGACCCTATGGACGGCGGTGACAAAGACGCCATCGGCGAGCCCGCGCACGACTCCCTAGACGCCGGTAGGGACTCTGACGAGGACGCGATCGGCTCAGAGCACCCCAGGAGCCCTAGCCTTCGCCCCTCCGACAGTCCCCTCGCCGTTCATCGCCAGCTCGAGCCTCGCCTCCCCACCCCCACCCCATCCTCCCCTCGCCCTACCTCCGGCACCGCGGGCAACACCACCGGTGAGCTCGCGCTTCCGCCTTATCAATTCCGCAACCGCGCCAACCCGTTCCCCACCAAAGCTGTCTCCAGTCCCGAGCCTCGCAGCACCGCCAGTGCGCCCCCGCGCGGAGGGCAGGCCTCAGACGAGAAGAAGCCTGCTGCGCCCCCTGATTCGGTGGTGCGTCGTCTTCCTTGTACTCTTTCTGCCGCAGCTACCGACCCGTTGTGCTCTACAAGGACCACACCTTCAAAGGCGACGAAAGATGCAGCAACTGCATTTCGCGCAACAACCCAATCTGCATCGTCAACAGCAGCCGCCAGCGCTGCGACTCCTGCTTCGTCAAGAGGCACCGTTGTTCCAAAGTTCTCACGCCTCCGTCCCGTCCCTCGCGGGAGAGCAACTCCACCAGCAACAACGGTGGTAGTGTCAACAAGACCGCGTCCACCTCAAAGGGCAAAGCCGCTGGAGGTGAGCATCCTCGCGGCACCATGAGCGCACGCTCACCTCGTGGGCTCCCATCCCCTTCCTCATCTGCAGACGCGCCCGCCACCACCAACGGCGAGAGCGCTAGCGCGCGTGGCCCCAAACGCAAGCGCCCCGCCGCTGATGCGGAGGAGGACACTAAGCGTCCGGAGCCCGCCAAACGCCCCGTGCGCCCTCAGCGGCCCACCACCACTGCGCCCATCGCCAGTACCTCAGCATCCGCGTCGGCCCCGCCTGCGCGTGCGCCCGCGCCGAAGCGCGAGAAGCCCCCGGCCCCCAATGGCGTCGGGGTCGCGGCCACGAGCGCGTCCGCGGGGCCGAACGCCCTCGCTGCCCTCGCGGCTTCAGCCTCGCGCGCCCCGCGTGCGCCGGTGAACGCACAGGCGCCGGCGGGCACGCGGCAGCAGCAGTACCTCGACAAATTGCAGGTCATCGCGGGCATCCTGGAGATGGTGCAGAACTCGGTCAAGGACCTCCAGGACCAGATCAAGGCGGACAGCGCGGTCCGGCGTTGAGCCCCCGAGCCCTCGGACACGCCGTAGCCCCGCAGGCCTGCCCGTCTCCGACCCTGGTGTGCCCTCTGCGGACGGACAAAACCGCGCGGACGCGCTGATGATTGTCGCTGTTTTCGTTGCTTTCATACGACATGGTCGGTGTATAGTGTATTGTAGTAACCCTCCCGTTATGCCTGGCCCCTCCCCCTACCTACCGGACAACGTCTGGCCCCTCCGCGTTTCGTGTCTCCTTTTCATCGTCATCCCAGAAGGCTTGTGTGCGTGTGCTTGTGCTTATGTGTGGCGTGCGGGTGGTGTGTGGGCGCGCCCTGGATGGGTGCGCCCCGGTTGTTGCTCGCCGCTGCGCATGTTCATACTGTATAGCTTGAATTATTGCTCATAAACCGCTACGGCGGCCACGATCGTCTGCGCGCGCATGTGAACAGGCAAAACACGAACCTCCAGGTAATGCTGGTAGCTTCTTCGCTAGAGATGCCCCTCCCCCCCAAACATCCTCACGGCTATGCTGTATGCTGCTCCGCGGGCAACTGAGACACTACTTGTTACATGAGATTGCCTAGGTATGATACAACACAAGGGCCAGCTCGCTCTATCGCCATATCATACAGACACTACGCATCGACGAGGTCCGTATATTTCTCCCTCATAGCCTGCAGGCCAGCTCGACGCCTTCTTACACGGAGCACCCAAAAACGCTACGCTCAACTAGAATGCACACCGGTGTAAGCTCGTTGCCTGCACGTACATGTCCCTGGCATAGGAGATCGGCGTACCGGACGGATGTGCAGCACATCATTGGCCAGAAGCCATTTCTTGTCTTTGGGAGGCGGCGTGGGCGGCTCGTCTGACGCAGTAGTCGGGAATGTGTGCACGAAGACGAGGTTTTCGCTCTGCTTCGTCGGTATGGGTGTCGCTTCTTCCCCGGTGCTGAGGTCGTCGAGGTGGAAATAGAAGCGCGACACCATCGTGACGAGTATCCTGAACGAGGTCGATTGGTGTAAGCTCTCGAATGGTATATGTCTGGGAGAGAAACGTACGCGTTGAGAAGGCTCGAAAGACAAGAAGCGGCCCCATATGATGCTGCGAAGCTCCCCACCATGCCAGTCGCGTTGAGAAACACCATCGTGCTACAGGAAGACAATCGTGAGCGTCGTAGTGCGATGTCAGACTACAGTCAGACCATACGCGAAGTATGCGCTGCCTTCACGACATAGGAGCGTCGTGAAGGGCAGCTGTTGACGGCGAGTGCCGCCAAAGGCCGAACCGACCGCCGTATACCAAGTCTTCATGTATGTTACGGCGAAGACGATCGTTTCGGAGAGCAGGAAGCATGCGCGGGTCGCGACGGCCACTGCAGCGAGTGATCAGCAACAGGTAGCTGCAAATGATATACGATGAACCTACGGCTAGTGAATCAGTCAAGGACATGTAAGTTACCTGCACACGTATTTGATGCTCGCCTATACACACCTAATCCAGGTGTCTTGCGGGATTGTTCTTGCTACTATGCAGCCACCGCCGGGCCTGTAGGCATCTGTGACCCTCGACACGATATACTAGCACATGAACAGATGGTCAGCGGTAGGACCCTCAAAAATGTTCGAAGACACACGATATTGATAATGGCAGGGATTGAGGAGATCACTACGACGGCCCAAGTAACAACGTCATTCTGGCCGCTGATCGCGTATATGCGCAGGCCAGAGAAAGCTGGGCAGAGGAAGTGTCACGGTTCCCGTTGAGTAATGACCTATAATGACCGTATGACCGATGGCATACCGCTCCAGTTCAGGTAGAGTGCAATCACTACCATTTGGGTCGCATAGTTCAGGGCTCGGCAGCTATTCCGCAGATGTCAGAGGCCCGGACCAAAGCTTTGGCATGGGTAGTTAACAGTTAACACGTACCTCTGGATGCATTATGCGACCTCAGGATTCCGTGAATCGTGTGCCAATTGAAGAGAGCTCACCAGTGTGTTAGGTGTGGGTATCAATGGGCCCAAAGAGAGGAAGAATAGTAGCAGTGCAAGGTAACGATTGAGGAGGAACACCGCCCCAGCGTATGAGAGTCTCCGGCGTCGGACCAGCCGGACCTCACGGTCGAGCGTAGTCAAGTGCTCGAAAAGAATGAGAGCTGGTGTAGCCGCTGATCAAGAACGGATAGAGATATAGCTGCCGCAGGGAACACTCACTGAAAGCAGCCAAGTTGACGCAGTCCTCCGCAAAGTCTGCACGGCTGACAGTGGGGGAATAGATGGTCATGAAGTGAGGGTCATATACAGAATAGGGATTACTCACAACTGGGCCGTTGTTGGCTGGGCAGAGACCCCGAGCCATCCCCACTCTGAGCTTCGCGTAGAGTTCATGCCAGCGGAAATACACGGAGGGCGGGGAAAGGACGACCAGTGAGATGTCGTCGAGTCGGGTTATAGTTATACGGCACAGTCGCGGTGGCCCATCTCGCTGCGGTCTCTTTCGAACAATCCTCGCTTCCGTGATATAAACCAGGTATGCCCGAAACTACCGGCAAGGCGACAGGAAGGCGCAGCTGAAAACCCAGTACACCTGTGCTCGGATTCCTGGTGAACCATCCGGAGGACCGGACGTGTCATCCTGGCAGCCAGCTGGCACCGCTGTGGAGAAAGTTTGTGAATGAGCAAAAAGATTCTCAGACTCATGGCGATGCATCATCGTCCTACATGTACTATCAAACTCACTGGAGAATTTGGGGGAAGGCTTGAGTGAGTGAACACCCCGCTGCCAGGTATATATTAACTTGGCCCGGGGTTCATTCAAGGCCCACGACGCTGGAGGCTTGACGCTGTCACCAGACATTCGTGGAGGGGTAGATGGTGGCGGGCACCAATTCACGAACGATTCGAGGTGTGCATGATGGTGTTTGGGGTATAGAAGGCAATCATTTTGCCAAACATAGAATGAAGGATGATGGTCGTCCAGAAGAACGCTCTGCGCTCGGGCTCGCGTTTTCGGGTGTTTACGCCTGCTTACATGGCACAGCTGCGCATGACTCCCCCAACTCATGCACAGGATAGTGCCTAGGACACGTTCAGAGTATAACCTGTGTGACACTTGGGCTTCAAGTTGAACATCCGGCGAAACGCTATAAACTGTTACATCGCCCTGAGTCCCGTCGTTGCGCAGCGCAAAGACATATTTTGGTACACTTCTAACCCAGAGGATACATGCAATACAAGTACAACAAACCACTTCGCAATAAATACTAAAACTCACATATGGGGCACCTATCTTACAGTCTATACATTCAGTATTTCCAGCGCACCTGGCGGAGTCTAATAGTATACATCCTTTGGTGGCACCGGCGGAGGAAGCCCGTCCTTGGTCGGTGTGTCGTAAATGTCATCGTCTTCGTCATAGCTGCCCCCCGAATACGTGTCGTCCTGCCAAAGCAGAACTCAGAGGCGGGCTCCCGGGCACAGAATAGCTGGTGATACTCACGGTGCGTGCGCTCACCGCGAACCGGAGAGTGGTGTGGCGCGCGGAGGGCAGCGTCGTCATCATTTCCTGCGCCTGCAGGTTGTCCAACGCGAAGTAGAAGCGCGAAATGAGGATGGCGGTAAGTCTGTGACGTGCGAGCGTGTCAGTACAATTGCGCATATCATTAACTATGTTTGGGCGACGTACGGGTCCGTAAACGCAATAATCAGGGAGAAGGCGCTGCTTTCGTAGAACGCAAAGATGATCTGGACTACGTTCAAGGACAGCAGCACGCTGAAAAGGAACATAAATTCTATACCACGCGGGACACGCAGTCGAAGCGCGACGTACCCAAAGTATACGATACCCTCTTTCAGCACCAGCGCCATGAATGACGTGCTTGAGCTCGTCCGAAGGCTAGAGCGCCCTTCATCCCGCGTATTCATCCATGTTACGACGATCACAATGGCCTCTGACGCCGTCAAGCACCCTCGTGTGGTCACGGATACTGTGTTCGAATTCTATTAGCTGAAGCAAAGTCAGGGTGGACCAGTGCAAAACATACAGCTGAAAACCGAAGTCAACAACATGATCAAACAACGTTTTTGTAAAGTTAGACGCACGTGCGAAATAGGTCCATGGATAAGTTTGGCTCTGCCACGCATCCAATAACCGGAATGTACACATCTTCGAGCCGGGTTTCGAGATACTAGAAGGAACCTAGGTAAGTCAAATTTAGAAATACAATACGATACACGCACAATGTTGGTGCCGACAGGAACTAAGGCAAGTAACACTACCACCAGAGTGACCAGCCGATTGTGGTTGCTGATTGCATAGATGCGTAGACCGGAAAATGCTATGACCAATGACCAATGAGCAGGGGAACGCCGTTTTACCATACTCAGAAAGGAAGCACTTACCAGCCCAGATGGCGTAGATTATCACGGTGACCGTCTGCAACATGAAATTGATCGCCTCGCAACTAAGTCTAAGGATTAGTTATCGAGGCCTGAAGTTTATATAACTTGTTCACTTGCCCCTAAGTCGTCCAGGTCAGTGGCGGGGTATGGGGAAGTAAACAACATGGCTCACAATGAGATTGCCGGCTGGAAGCAACGGGACCAAGGATAAGAAAGAGAGAAGAATTGCGAAGTATCGATTGAGTAAGCAAATGGTCCTGGCCCACGACAGCTTGCGGCCCCAGGCAAGACGAACTTCGCAATCGATGGTAATGAAATATTCGAAAAGAAGGACGACTGAAGGGGTTGATCAGTCCGACCTGAGACCAGTAGCAAGATTAAACACTTACCGAAGACAGCCAAGTTCACATAATTTATGGGCCGACTAGGTTGAGGTCATTAGTACCGCCGTGACGCGAGATGATGTAGAATCATATGCTTACGACATTTCTAAGCCTTCGGCGATCTCCTCCACCAGCTCCCACTGGGAGTCGGAGCCGTCCGTCGTCGCGTTCATGCCGCGCTGCGGGAAGAGGGTGAAAAGACTAAGACGTCTATGAGAAGTGCGCGCGAGTCCATTCACTTAAGTACCCATTAGCAGTGCCACTCCTGTTGGTTCCCTAGACCGGAGGACCGACTGAAGGGTACGAGTCTACAGGGCATCGCCGTCAATGCGGTGTGATATTCCGTGTCAGGTTCCTGCCATGGCCTGTGAGAGACCGCCGCTCCCTACACACACGCTTATCCAGCTGCGTGCTTTGCGTATGAGCATGCGACATATTCTTCACGTCCTCCATAAACGCACCCTGCTCCAAACGTACACACATTGAAGGCGGAGAAGTCGGAATATAACACCCGCAGGGGGAGATTCAACCCACGCAAGTGATGCGCGGATCAGGTCATTGCCAGACATAGCAGTGCGCCGCCACACACGACAGGATGCAGAGATACATCACTTTCCTGTCAAAGCTACACGCCAACCATCAGCAAGTCAGCGCTGGATTTCGATGACCACAATGATAGAAGTACCGACCATCTTCTTCTCTGGTTGGCCAGGAGAGCAATCGTTGGCCGAGACGTCCGGTACGAGCCCATAGGAGTAGGGTCCAATGAGCGTCGAAGACTCGAGTTGTGGCATGCTGGCCCGGGCTGCAGCATGACGAATTGTCACAATCTTGAACACGGGCCGAGCTGCGCAGCTCCTACAGACACTGGAACCGCGAGGCTAGCGGGGCCAAATATACTTGTCCAGAGAGCGGTCCCTACGTAAAGTAAGTACCAGTAGTGAGATAATAAGCAGTACCTACTACAGAGCTGTCCTTCGCATATGTTCAAGGCCGTACATGCGATATGAATACTCCGTCTCCTGTTCTCATGCGTCGCCTAACATGGCACCAGGGTTGGGGGACGCGCATGACGTCGGCAGAGCAAGGTACAGCGTGATGCTGCCCGCCTCTCGCACATAGTACGTCGTACAACAGCGTTAACGTTGTGGAAGTGGTCGAGGATGTATCGGCCAGTGCAAGCGCGCGATACTGAACGAATCAGAACGCCCCGGCAAGCGCCGTCCACAAGCACCCCTCCATGCTCCCTGAACATTGTGTGGTCTTGTCTGACCATGACACTATGGCCGAGTGGTTAAGGCGACAGATTCGAATTATTCGTACCATCTGTTTCGGTCTCCGAGCGCAGGTTCAAGTCCTGCTGGTGTCGTTTTGCCGAGTGTGTCTTTGACCCTGTACATCGTCCAACATTCAAGGCAGAGAGATTCAGGGTATGGAAGCAAGTATGCCCTGTAGAGCGTACTATTACGAACATGGCTGTTCCTGGAGTAAGCCTTCACATGATATATCTCTCCATGTCATCTCAGAGTCGGTACAAGTGGCACTTTTGGTCGTGACTCAACCCTCGGACCATTGGGGGTATTTTGAGGTCGTATCGATGGCCGCCGGGCGATGGGACGAACGAGCACTTAGATCCTGATTAGAAGTTGCACCAGAAATACATTGGATCACAGCGACTCACTCCGAGTCCTAGTCAAAAGTGCCCGTCGGTCCCGTGGCCAAATTTGGAGCCTCGAGGTTGGCGTAATTCTTGCACAACACCTCCCAGGATGGTGGGACACGCGGCACTCAGCGCATCCCGTCGGCCGATAGTGTACAGTATATATAGGGCCTACAAACTCAACATACGCCCCATATCGGCTCTTGCGAGCTACAGGACTACACAAGACATCACCCACAAGACTGCCATTCGAACCTTCCAACGAGCGATGTCGCATACGGTCCACGTAGTTGCCAAAGAGGGCTTCGGCACGGGCACGAACGAACTCTACGACCGGTAGGATGCTTTCTCGATCTGGACATCGAATGCATTCATAGTCTACCATTTGAACGCAGCGCGCGGCCGTCGTACCAGGCCAATGCGCTCGCGCACATCCGCAACTCCGTCCGGGGGTCGCCGCCCCTCAACATAGTCGAGTGAGCAGCCAGATCACCTTGATCCTGCGTGCAGACACCGACCTCCGACAGAATCGGCGCGGGCACTGGCATCTTCACCCGCGCGCTGCTCGCGCACCCCGATTGGGCGAACTCTATCAAGGAGCTGCGCGCAATTGAGCCCAGCGAGGGGATGCGCAAGGTCTTCACGGAGACCGTCAACGATCCGCGTGTCTCCGCCCAGGAGGGCACGTTCGACACCACCGGCATCGAAGATGGATGGGCGGACCTCGTCGTCATCGCGCAGGTACGGATACCAGCATCCCGTCCCGTGCTGTCCCCGTGAATGTTATGCGTGTCTAACTGAAGTGTGCTTCTCTTGATGCAGGCGTTCCATTGGTGCCCGGACTACGACAAGGCTGTCGCGGAATTCGCGCGTGTGCTCAAGCCGGAGGGCATCGTCGCGTTCATATGGAACCTTGAGGACCGGTACGTGCCCAGGCATCTGCTGCGGTAGCTGGCCGCCACTGACCATCCCATCCTCCCATCCTCCCGTCTCCAGCAACCGCGCGGAGTGGGTCGCCCAGCTGCGCGCCCGCTATGAGATACACGAAGGCGGCACGCCGCAATTCCGTCTTGGGCTGTGGCGTGCGACGTTCGACACGCCCTCGTACGTCGCGAATTTCGAGCCGAAGGAGGAGAACGTATGGGACTACGTACTGCACGGCACGCGCGACATCGTTATCAACCGCGCGAACAGTAAGAGCTACATCGCGGTGCTCGCCCCGGAGGACAAGAAGAAGCTCGAGGACGACATCGACGCCATTCTGCAGCGCAAGGACGGGATTGTGTGGATCGATCAGGAGAAGGGCATATTTGAGTATCCCTACCAGACGTTCCTCGTCATCTCTAGGAAGAAGTAGATGCGATGGAGAGCCACAAGTAACTGTAGAAACGGATAGGAGAAGTGTACCATACGTATCAATCTGGGAACCACTAGCATTTGTCAACTGCGCGCGGCGCCTTCCATCCATCGTGTATGCGAGATGTCCGGATCCCTAAGTTGTCACAATTTGACTGCTACCCTTCGTTCCTGCTCACGCGAGCGCGCACAATGAGTGAGAGAGCAAAGAAATGGATTCAATGCGATGCTACTATAGTAAGCATGAGAGTGATCGTGAGATGCAACAAGACAGCAATGCCCGACATGAACCTATGATACAAATTACACGGAAATGGAACGTCTTCTCAGATCTACCCTAGCCCCGCAAACGTCCTGCACGAGTCCCCTAGTCGATCTCCTCCATCGCCGAGCTCGACGCGGCCTCCGTCGATACGGGGGCCTCCGTGCTCGACGACGCGGCGGGTGCGGACTCCTCGTCCTCGTCGACGTCGAGGCCGAGCGCGATCATGCGGTGGATGCGCTTCGCGAACGACGTGGGGTCGTCGAGCGAGAAGCCGGAGGTGAGGAGCGCGGTCTCGAAGAGCAGGTACGTGAGGTCGCGGACGGACTTGTCCGCCTTGTCCTCGGACACCTTGCGCTTGAGCTCCTTGATGACGGGGTTGTGGGGGTTGAGCTCGAGCGTCTTCTTCGACGCCATGTACGACGACATCGACGAGTCACGGAGGGCCTGCGCCTTCATGATACGCTCCTGCAGACGGTGGAGTGAGTAAACTGGGTGGCAACGATGGGCAGGCAAAATAACGTACCATGTTCGACGACCAGCCGAACTGGCCGGTGACGAGGACACAAGGAGAGTCGGTGATACGGTTCGAGACGACGACCTTCTCGACCTTGTCGCCGAGCGCCTCCTTGACGGCCTTGCAGAGGTCCTCGAACTGCGTGGCCTCCTCCTCGCGCGCCTTCTTCTCCTCGTCGGTCTCCTCGAGCTCGAGGCCCTCCTTTGAGACGCAGACGAGCTTGTGGCCGTCGAACTCCTTGAGCTGCGTGATCGCGTACTCGTCGATGGGGTCGACAAGGAGAAGAACCTCGAAGCCCTTCTTCTTGAGCACCTCGAGGAAGGGAGAGTCCTTCACGGCAGAGAGCGACTCGCCGGTCAGGTAGTAGATGTTCTTCTGGACCTCCGGCATGCGAGTGATGTAGTCTGAAAAAATGGTCAGCGCGCGGGACGCGATAGCGCTGCGGCAGAGTACTCACCCTTAAGGGAGGTCATCTCCTCGGTGGACTTCGTCGAGTAGAAGCGCAGGAACTCGGCAAGCTTGCTGCGGTTCTGGGCATCCTCGTGGACACCGAGCTTGATGTTCTTGCCGAACGACTCGTAGAACTTGTTGAAGTTGTCCTTGTCCTCCGAGATCTCGGTGAACAGGTCGAGGCACTTCTTGACAAGGTTCTTGCGGATGACCTTGAGGATCTTGTTCTGCTGGAGCGTCTCACGCGAGATGTTCAGAGGCAGGTCCTCGGAGTCGACGATACCCTTGATGAAGTTGAGGTACTCGGGGATGAGGTCCTCGCAGTCGTCCATGATGAAGACGCGGCGAACGTAGAGCTTGATGTTGTTGCGCTTCTTCTTCGACTCGAAGAGATCGAAGGGTGCCCTGGACGAGATCAGTCAGGTGTTTTAAAATCGTGACGATGGCTGCATGAACTTACCGCTTGGGCGCGTAGAGGATGGCCTTGAACTCGAGCTGACCCTCGACGGAGAAGTGCTTTACCGCGAGGTGCTCCTCCCAGTCGTTAGTCAAGCTCTTGTAGAACGCAGCGTACTCCTCGGGGGTGATCTCCGAGGGATTCCGCGTCCAGAGAGGCTTGGTCTTGTTGAGCTCCTCGTTCGTGGTCTGCTTCTCCTTGATCGTCTTCTTCTTCTTGTCCTTCTTGTCCTCGTCGTCCTCGACCTCCTCGATCTTAGACTCCTCCTTGTCCTCCTTCACCTCCTCATCGTCCTCGACCTCCTGTGGGATAAGTTAGTAACGACGCGCAGGGAGACGCCACTGAGACACTTGCCTTCTCGACCTCCTTGGTGACCGCCAACTGAATGGGGTAGGAGATGAACTCGGAGTGCTTCTTGACGATCTCCTTGATCCGCTTCTCCTCGAGGTAGTCGAGCTGGTCCTCCTTGAGGTAAAGACGGATCTCGGTACCACGCCCGAGAGGGGGGTTGATGGTGTCGGGGGTGATGGTGAAGGTGCCACCGGCGGCAGACTCCCAGATGTACTGCTCGTCGTCGTTGTGCTTCGAGATGACCTGGACGCGCTCGGCGACGAGGTACGCAGAGTAGAAACCGACACCGAACTGGCCAATCATGGAAATGTCGGCGCCGGACTGAAGCGCCTCCATGAAGCCCTACAAAGAGACAAGTTAGCGATCGGCGCGTCAACGCCACACGCGTTTTTTGCTTACCTTTGTGCCGGACTTCGCGATCGTACCGAGGTTGTTGACGAGGTCGGCCTTCGTCATACCGATACCGGTATCGCGGAGGGTGAGGATCTTGTTCTCCTTGTCGGGGGTGATGCGGATGAAAAGATCCTTGCCCGAGTCAAGGACGGAGGGGTCCGTGAGGGACGCGTACCGAATCTTGTCGATGGCATCGGACGCGTTAGAGATGAGTTCACGGAGGAAGATCTCCTTGTTGGAGTAGAAGGTGTCTGCGCAAAAGAAAGTCAGATCGACGCGCGTCCACAAACGCGAAAAAGACGGAGTGCGCACTGATGATGAGGTCGAGCAGCTGGCTGATCTCGGCCTGGAAGCCAAAGCTCTCGGATGCCATTTTTGTGCGTACGGTTCGTAAGGGGGAGGGGAGAAGATGGGGATGAGTGCGACGATAGAACGAGCTGGGGAGGAACGATCTGAGGGACGGGGGTTTATGTATCCTGCAGCAGTGGCCGTTCGAGAACCTTCGATCCTGCTGCAAATGCGGACAGACGCTCGTGTCCTTGCCTTGCCTGCCTCGCGAAGATTCGGACGCCTTCCACGACGTTCTACAGCCCCTTCCGCATTTGGCATCCTATGTCTACCTCCATTGTGTACAGCTCACGTAGGCGATGCTCTTGGCGAGGACACCAGTCCTTGTCTTCCGCTTACCTGCCCCTTCAGCACCTCCACCATCGCCTTCACCTCCTCGTTCTCCTGCCACAGCTCCTCGTTCTCATCCCGCAACCTCTCGTTCGCCTTTTCCAATTTACGGTACTCCTCCGAGCCCAGCGTATCCCTATGCATTTGTGTGGTCTTCCGCGCCGCTTCCAGGTCCTTCTGTGATTGCTTGATCCTGTTCTCAAGTTCCAGAATCTGCTGCCTCTGCGCACTGCTCGGTACTTTTTGTCAGACAATCGTGTTGTTCCCCAACACCGCCAACAACTTACGCTGCGTTCTGCTCCGCCTCTACCTGAGCGTTCTCGAAGGCGTCTAGCCTGAATTCCATCTTTCTGTACTTGCTCGCGAACGCCGCCAGGTACTCCTTGCTGTCGTTGATCTTGTGCACATCCGCCTCCCTGCGAGTACCATTTGAGCGTATACGTTTACAGACACCAACTTCGACTACATACCACAGCCGCTGCAGCTTGATGAGTTGATTGATCTGCGTCTCGTAGTCGTACAGTCTGTCCACTTTGGGCGCATTCTCCTTGATCTTCGTCTCCAGATGGAACACCAGCTGGTTTGCCTCCGCAAGCAGCTTGCCCTGCGCGGCGAATGTGTCCTACAAGATGCTGTCAGCGCATGTGCCGCATATCAGGTTACGCACGGCCAACCTTGGCTTCCTTCTCCGCAGCGCGCATGGCCGCAGCTTCAGCGGTCCATGCTTTCTTCTCTGTGCGCAGTCCAGCCACCCGGTCCTGCAGCTCCTTGTTCCAATCCGTATACCTGGACCGAGCGGCGATGGCTTGCTCCTTCGCCTCTTTCAGCTCCTTGCGCAAGCGATCTACCGTGTGCTTGTACTCCTTCAGCTTGTTGTGCTGCGTCAATCGTGAGTTACGCGCGAAGTGCACGGTCAGTGCGATCACATACCAGGCCCTGGCGTTCCACCTCCTCGGTCCGCGACACCACGCGGTCCTTGCACAACCGCCCGATGTGTTTCACGTTTTCGCGAGTCGTCCACAGCTCGAGGTTCAGCTCGTTCTTCAGTAGGAGCACCTCCCTCTGCAGCGCCGAGATCGCCTGCGCGACGTGCCGCGGCAACGATCCGTCCGAGTCCTTGCTGTGTTCGGACTGCGAAGGCGTCGGCGGAGACTCCACCTGCTCCTCCGAAGGCTGTAGGGACTCCCGTTCCGCTCGTGAGGAAGAGCGTGTGCGGGGTCGCAAGGGGAACAAGACTGCCGACCATGCGGGGGAAGGGTCCACGATCGCGATGTCAAGTCCCGACTTCAGTGCTACCGAGGTCGCGACCATGTGGGTGAGCGAGATCCTATGCGGTCCAGGAGTGGATGATGGGGCGAAGTCCGCCTCCACATGCACGGTCTCCAGCGACGATGAGAGGGGGGCACTATCCCATGCCTCCGTCTGCGACGCAGAAGGGTCTGCCGAAGGAGGGCGCGGAGCTTCAGGAGAAGGGGTCCTGACGGGTGCGGCGGATATGCCCGTTGGCTGAGGCTGGCGCGACCCGAGCGCTGCATTGCGGGCTTCGAGCATGGTCGCGCCGCCGACGATCCGCGCAATGTCGAACTGCTCCGAGGCCCAGAAGTCCGGCTGCTCCAGCTCTTCCGACGCTTCGCGCCAGATGAGCAGCGGGTGCAAGACGTGCCTGCGCAGCAACGGCTGTTCGCTCGTTCAGTCGACGCCGATCTGCAAGACAGCCTGTACGCACCTCACTTTTGCTCTTGATCTTCTCCGCATCGAGAGCCTCTTCCCATTCGACGGCGTATAGGCTGTCCACACCGTTGTCCGTCAAGTACCGGACTGGACATTGCAAGAACCGGATCACATTGCACGGGAAGAGGTAATACAAGAACGTAAAGTAGCGGTCGGGTGACGGTGCTTTCGACGCCGGGCCGTCGAAAGTGAGTTCCAACCGCTCCCATTCGATGTCTTCGCGGATCTGGAGCGGGCGCGAGCCCTCACGCACGACGTCCTCGTCATCGTCAGATGCTAGCGCATCATCTTCGTCATCTTCGTCAGGATCTGGTAGAACGGGAACGATAGGAGAGGATGATTGGCGTTCCTTCCAGCATAGAATTCGTGCGAGGACGACGAGCAGAAGCGGCAGGAGGCTCTTGAGTTGTTGACATGCCTTGATGGCGAAGATTGGTAGGAGCTTGATGAGTACGGTCAAAGCAATAGTGCAGACCGTGGAGGAGTTATCGAAGATGAGGGAGTGGAGGAGGCTGGTCATGAGTGGGTGAGAGGCAAGAACATGGGCGTGGTCAGGGAAGGCAGGTTCCGACGTGTAGGCGTTCAAGAGTATGAGGAGTTGCAGACGTGAAGTCGGGGAGACATAACAATGATAGAGCTCGGTGAGGAAGTCCTGTATGCCATGCGTTCAGATGGAGGGTAGACGGATGAGAGACATTCTCCAGAAGCCTTACATGTGGTCGTTCGAGGGCAACCCTTACAAGGACGTCTTCGAGATTCGCCTTCCAGTACGCCTTCTTCTCCCTCTGTACTTCATCCAACTCTGCCCACTCCAAGACGTCATCCCCGGAGCTCTCGTTAAAGGCGTCTAGAAGGTACAGGTCCATGAGCCGCCTCCGGAAGTCACCCACCCGCTCCTTTTGCTTCTCAACCTCCGCAGGGTCATCTTCTGCAGCAGAAGAGAAGTTGCTTCCAGGGTCGAGAGCAGAAGTGATCAGCTCCTTCGCATAGTTCACCGCAGGAAGAGGGAGCTTCGGTTCGCGGAGCGTCGGCCGGAGCACCAGGTCAAACCAGGTCGAGATGATCGAGCTGGAGGGGAGAACGGGCCTCAGGTGATAGAGGAAAGCCAAGAAGATCTCGGCTTGCGGGAAGAGGGCGTGGCCGACGACATCGTCGTAGATTACTTGAAGCTCATCCTCGAGCTGGTGCATAAGCGTACCCGCTTCCGGGGATGCGGAGCACTCCAGGACGAAAGCATCAACTCTAGCAAGGAGCTCATTGAGAGAAACCGCGTCCAGCGAGGAGTCGAGGATGAGCCTGAGATGAGCGCAGAGCTCGGCGATGGTGGCAGAGGAAGACATGATGCCCGCATATTTTGGACCTGGAGTCTATGCCAGAGCAATCAAGCGCCCGGGGAGACGGAGTTAGATCCGACCCAACCACTCGATCGAGCGGGCCACGTCTTTGCAACAAACCAGATATTTACCCCATTCTCATTAGTGCTTTGGCTTACAGGGTCAATACTGCACCCATAGTATGCACGGACAAAGACAAAGACAATGCATACATCGAGAAGAAAGCACAAGCACGCTGTGGCAGAGCGTCCTCGAGCTCTTGAGATAGCTTCCATCCCCGCTACAGTGCCGGACAACCAAAGTCGACAATTTTGGTCGACCAATTTTGTAGACTTCCGGAACCACCAGAAAAGATGCGTATTAGACGTTATTTGCAGTGAGGGTGCGCCCGTTGGAGTAGTTCAATATTGCGAGTGGAGCAATACCAGATCCTGTAGATTTCAGCCTGTTCACAGTGCGAGAGGCCCACGCGATGGCTCCATGTAATACAAGCGCCGGCACCACCTGAGCTGGTACAAACCTGCTGCAAATAACCTCTATTGACTGTACGAACATTCTGGGCTTGGTCCGGACGAAAACGGTTGGCTCAATCCTTCACAAATCGCGATTTACTACTTTTGGGTGTCCAAAAGTTTGGCCAACCCAAAAAAGCGCCGGAGAAACTCCGGAATTGTGTTTTTGGACTCCTTGATTTTTTCTACGCATGCCCACGGTGTCGGCCTGGCCGTAAAAAATCTCATTCGGGATGCCGGTGCCGCCGATTCCGGCTCAGACGCCCGGCTGGTAGGTCTGGCGCCCAAGAGGCGCTCGCTTGCGGCTACTCGATGCGCTTGAGCTCAGGATTGATATCAGTTGGGCAACACAATTTATAATAGTCATTACATTGGCGGGTTGATAAAGACTACAAAGACACCCTACACGAGTGTCACCGCACGGCAGAGGCCATCAGACCTATGGGAAGTGCTCTAGAAGGGGTAAATAAGCGCGCAAATTCGGCCCAAAAAATTGGCCAACCCAAAAATCCATGGGAAAAACTTCGGAGTTGCATTTTTGAGCTCTTTTAGCCTCCCTGTCCATGAATCCGGTGTCAGTTTGCCCGAAAAAAATCGCGATCAGGCGCTAGACGAATTGTCGACTTTGGTTGTCCGGCACTGTACCATCTTTGAAGCAATACGTAAATGTATCAGAGAGTAGGCTGCACTCGCGTTAGATAATTGACTTACGATATTACAATAGGAATGTGAAAGGTTTTCCCGCCCGGGCACCTCAGTCGTCCAACCACTTGCCTACCCGCTTCAACGCCTCCGTGCGCTCAGGCTCGTGCCATGTGAAGACCATAAAGTCATGCACGGCGTCTGGTACCACATCAACTGTCACCGGGACCCCATCCGCCTTCAGCCTGTCCGCTACGACCAGGGAGTCGTCGAGTATCTTCTCAGCGCCGCCCGCAGAGACGAAGGTTGGCGGGAAGCCCTTGAACAGCCCCTCGAGCGGGTCCAAGTGTGGGGAGCAAGGCGAGAGGTATCGGTTCGTCTTGGCCTGCTCCCGGTCTAGCGGTCCCAAGTACGACAGGATGCCGTACCCGCCGAACGCGTTATTGGGGCTGGTTGAGAAGATGTCCGTCGCAAAGTTGCGCGCCAAAGATGCGTCTGGCGTCGTGCGGGAGGACGACAGGTCCAGCCAGCTCGACAGGGACAGCAGGCGGCCTGGCGGCGCGAGACCTGGGATCGCGTTCTCGACAAGGTGGCGGACCAGCGCGAATGCGATGTTGCCGCCTGCGGAGTCTCCGGCGACGATGATGTTCTGGGGCTCAAATCCGACGTCTTTGACGAGATACTGATACGCCGCAAGGCTGTCCAGGACTGCAGCGGGGAAGGGGTTCGCCGGTGGATCCGGGGCGGTTGCTGAGAGACGGTAGTCCACCGCGAGGATTCTTTCCACCTTCTTGCTATGAGCGAGCAGGCCGCGGGCTATGCTCGAGATGGTGGAGTCCGGATGCGCAGTTCCCAGCTATACGGAACGAGGTCAGAACGTTATACCATAGGATGGGTTATCCAAGCCACGGGAACTTACGTGAAAAGCGCCTCCGTGGATGTGAAGAATGGTGATTTCACCGGTCTTCGCCTTCAAGTCCTGCGGGACTGTGCTGCCCGGCTTGATGTACCAGTATGTGGGGACCCGCTCCGTCTTCACTCCCGCGGTCTCCGCAGCTTTGCGGACCTCCCCGCAAAATGCGTCGGCATTCTCGGGGAGACCCTCCACCCACACGAACTTCGCGTCCTTCAGCTCGCTATCCGACTTCGGGACGTCGTGAGTGGACCTGAGGCCGACTTTGGTCGGGAGGCCCGTAAGTTCGCGCATCAGCATGACGCGAATGCATCTTGAAAGTGGCCACGACGCCTTCGGGCGGTTGCTCCGCGGTAAGAACCAGATGTACCACAGGGGCACGCGCACGAAGAGGGTCGAGAGGACCAGGTAAGCGAGGTAAGCGCCTTTGAAAGGCTGGCGACGCAAGAGTGGTTGTGCCATAGTCTGCTCCTCGATGATGGTCACTGCAGTTCAACTGTACTGACCGGGGAGAGATTGTGAGTGCGAACTTGGCGTGCGCTAGTGCGGGATGGACGTCCGCAGCTCGTTGGACTTGCCTCCACCACCTATATACCTGCGGAAAGGTCACACGTGAGCCGGGTAGGCGATCCTCGATGGGTTATATGATTTTTCACAAGGCCATACGTGAGAAGCGGGAAGTAAGCTTCCGGATGTCGAACCTGGGTGACGGCGAGAACAGCGAACCGGCATCCGGCGCTACACTGTACACATGGCGCGCCTCGTCATACAAGCGACAGTACTTGTCGCCCTCATGACGCATTAATCGTGTAGTTCCGTATGCAGCGACTGTGTTGCTTTGGAGGTGTCAGAAGTTTGAAAGACGGTCAGCTTCGGCGCAGCGTTACGCATAATCCATTAGCCAGCCGCAAGTTCACACTACTCCGTGGAGACTTCTTCGACGTTGAACCTAACCGCTCGTCCAGTGCTCTCCCACTCATCCGCGCCGTCGACCTTCTCGTATTGAGGCAAGTACTCCTTCCGCGATTCTCTCTTCGACACGGTGTCTTGGCCCCATTCTGCGTCCCGCTTCTTGATCATCTCTTCTGGAGGACCCTGGCCGTCACGCGTGTAAGCCATCATGAGATTTGGCGGCCCGAGGGGAAGCTCGGGGGAGGTGTCGATCGCCCAAGTGTGGATCGTCTTCCCATACGTCCTCTGAAGTTCTAGCATAGCAGGTTGCTCTGCCAGGTCCGTCGCAGAGGCTGTCGGCATGTTAAGCATAGTTCAATCATCACCGAAGCTAGATAACGCAGACTCACCAGGCACCATGGCTTTTGTCGCCAGTTGGAGCAATCCACTTTCAACCTGTGATAATGAGTTAGTACCCTTGTTCCTCTCGGGCGTGTGAGCCATCCGTTGGGCTTACCTCGTACTTGTGAGAATGCCAATACTTCTTCTCATCCCGGGACAGGGACGTGAACACCTACATTCCGCCCAACGCGTTTCGGATCAGCCCCTAGCCTGTGCAAGTTTTCATTCCTACCTCTTCCGAGACGATATACTCGATCCCGATCAGCCTCGCATCCAACTTGTCCGAGTCGTAGATGATGCATTGGTGAAGGTCTGCTGAGAGATGTTGGCAATAATGGTGTGCTTCAACATGTCGAGAGCGATCTTGACTGTAAGTATGGCTTATTCAGTGCCAAACTGAAGCAATAGAATGATAAAGACGCACGAATAGACGTGAAAGGCACATAAATGCTGGTGAATTGCGTTGATTGGTTTGAAGCTCATGATGGCGGTTCCTGCTGCATGGTAGGGAGCAGAGTGGTACGCCGAGTATTTAGTCTCTGTATCCATGACGGTTTCAAGAGAGGACATTTTACGAGGAAGGCGATGGGGTCGACTCCCCGTGGTATATAAGTCCAGGTGTCTAGACATGACGTCGTTTAAGCATCACGTCTGCAATTGGAGCCACCAGCTGAAACTGGATAGAAGACACCTGGACTGGGAGCAGTGCTGGACCTAATCGCTATTATAAGTGTAAACGGTTTTATGGAAGAGAACATATATTAGTTGCCAGAGCTGCACAGTGGAGACCCAAGATTGTAGCATTGAGTCCCCGCCGTGAAGGCCTGCATAGACGAACGACCATTCTCGTCTAGGGCGCAGCTTTGCTTGCATATTCGCATCAATCTTCAGATAGATGGTCGCACGTCGTGTCGCGGAAAGTAGGTCTGCCATAGTCCTTTTGGCCGTGAACAGCGAGTGGTGGTCAACTTCAAGCAGAGGAACGTTGAGGAAGCGCTCGAAGGTCGATAGCTGTTCCTTATGGGGATTGTGTGGGGTTAGGGTTACGCGTGTTCTGCCTCCTCGTCACTGTCGACCACAGCGAGCAACCCCTACGACCCCGTAACCTCCGTCAAAAACAACGGTAAGCGCATCTTCCCCGCCAACCGACGCACCCATCCCGCCTTCTCGACCATACGTACTCAGGGATGGGGTGGATGGCTGCGCGTTCTTCTGGATGTAGCCCCGGGCGCTGACAGCAGGCCCGGCGTACAGATGTCCGCCACCATCGAGGAAGTCCACTCCGACCACTCGTCGCACGACCACGAGCATGACCACGAGCATGACCACGACCACGACCACGACGAGGACCCCACCTCCCAGGCGGCGCTTGACAAGATCCAGTCGCGCTCCGAGCGTAAGGCCAGGAAGGCTCTGATCACCCTCGGTCTCAAGAAGGTCCCGGGCATCACCCGTGTCACCCTCCGGAGGCCCAAGAACGTACGTATTCTCGGATGTGCGGCGCGCGTGCGGAAAGACTGACGCGACTACGAATGCAGGTCCTGTTCGTGATCGCGAGCCCCGATGTGTACAAGTCGCCCAACAGCGACTGCTACATCGTCTTCGGTGAGGCGAAGGTATGTACCCTATCGATTCATTCTACAAGTCATTTGCCAATCACCGTTCCCGTAGATCGAGGACATGAACTCGCAGGCGCAGCTCTCCGCTGCCCAGCAGCTCGCGAGCGGCGGCGGTTCCAGCGGTGTCCCCAACCTCGAGGGTTCCAGCATCGACCGTGAGCCCGCTGATGACGATGACATCCCCGAGCTCGAGGCGGTTGAGGAGGACGGCAACGTCGATGAGACCGGTGTCGACCCCAAGGACATCGAGCTTGTCATCCAGCAGGTTGGCTGCACGCGCGCGAAGGCCGTACGGGTATTGAAGGAGAGCGGAGGTGATCTGATCAATGCGAGTGCGTATAACTCCTTTCTGCTCTCTTGGAAGGCGTTGCTTATATCCGATCTGCAGTCATGGCCGCAAGCGAGTGATCTGTTGTATTCGGTTTCGCTGCACCACTCTACCTCTTTGCTCTGCCCTCACGTCCAAAACATACCCTTCGGTGTGCCGATGACTTCTCCACAATTGTGTGATCGCGTGTCCCATGATTCCGCCGTGAAACTCACATCGTGGTCAATGGGTTCAGTCAGACTTTTTCCATCGACGCAGTTCTACGAAGTAATTTGACCTCTCCCAACCATCCTGGACTATCTTCACGCCGTACACCGACCCGGCTTCTGGTTCGCCCACCTGCAAGCCCATCTCCCCCGCAGCCTCCGTGACGAGCTCGTTTAGCTCACCCTCTGCGAACATATGGTAATATCGGTCGAACACCTTGGATGCAGCTGGCGCGGGCTCCTCCTTCGATCCCGCAACCTTTTCTTCCGGGCCATGCTGATGTCCGCCCTTATCTTTCCGCGTAGCCTTGGGCTTGGGCGCAGCGGGCTGCGCGAGCACCCATGGCACAAACACATCCTGGCCCTTGCCCGAGGGTGCGCGAGCCTCGATACCACGGGTTTCGCTTGAGCCTGCTGGTATGCTTCTCTTCGAAAGCTCATCCTGCTCGACCGCCCACACGTAAATCAGAGCACGTCCGTGCGCAGGCGAGATGCTCTCGAGGAGCCGCTGCGGTCCCGCATGAGCCCGGGTGTGGAGAGACAATTAAAGAGGCTCCCGCACCTTGACAGCAGCTCTCCGTCGCTCAGGGGTAGCGAGGTGGTGGATGGTAGCTATCGAAATAGCATAATCCTGCAAGAATGTCCGAGTGAGACCGCAGACGAAGCACGCGCGAGGGGACACGGGAGATGAGAAGAGTACTGACAAACGCGCCTGCGCGCCATGGCCCGTCGAGGACGTCGCCCCACACGACCTCGCGTTCACGTTCGCCGGCGTGCTTCGCGATCTGGAGGAGGTTCTTGCTGCGATCGAGCCCGACCGTCCACACGCTCCCGGGTCGCTCTAATGGTAGCGGGAGATACTTCCCATTGCCCGTACCGAGGTCAACGCCGACTGACCCCGTTGGAAACGAAGAGAGAAATGTCGCGATGATGGGCCATGGCTGGTAGAAAGACGAAGTGTTGTCAGTGAGAGCGTGAGGGCACAATGAGATAACGTGCGCACCTTGTAGCGTGTCGAGGAGAAGTGCGGTGCAATTTCGTCGTACACAGCGTGTACATGCGCATCCTCATATGTTTGCGGGTCGTCTGCGGAAACCGTGGTCGCCTTCACTGTCGGCATCGGTTTAAAGAAGCTCTGGAGACGAGTCGCTGAACGCTCGGAGCAAGATCAGACGCGGACGGAAGGTTTCAATGATACAATTGTGGGGTATATCACGGACAGGGCTAGTGGTAGACACAGTGCGAGTAGATGGCAGCAGTAATACAGACAGTGTAGAATCCCTGGAGCGAGAGATGGAGGTAGGAGTGAGGGGAAAAGACAGACTCGCACTCAGCGCTCTGCGCCGTTCTTTCGAGCGTGATCGTGATCGACAAAGCCCATCTCCTCGTCGAGGATTTCTCGGAACCTGCTTCCGTTGAACTGGGGAAAGGGAACGAGCTCCGTAGTATCTAGTGTTGCGATAGCGCGAGGGAGATCGCTGAAAGGCGCCATATATGGCATGAGGGACGAAGAGAGGTTTAGTGCGGATGTGCTCACACGACAGTGGACGAACGCAAGTGGCCTAGGCCCGCAAGGGCGTCGGAGAGCTCCTCCTGGTGATTGTCTAGCAAGGTCGGATTGGGAACGACGATGAGGGGTTTGCCGAGCCGGAGGACGTCTATGATCGTGCCGGAGCCTGGGGACGAGAACGCGGTCGGCGGGACGGGTGGAGAGGCAAGTGCGGGGAAAGAGAGTATACCTGCATGGCTGATGATCAAATCAGCGCGCTCGTAATCTTGCTTGAGAGAAGGCTTGAATCTCCATACGTTGATGTCGAGCGTGTGGTCGGTGCGCCGCCAGTGGTCGTCCGCGAGCTGCTGGAGCTGCGCGGTGTCGAAATCGGAGTTGCCGCACTGAACGTCGAGCGAGCGGTATCCTCGCGCGCGGAGCGCGTCGAGCACGGGCTGGTCGAGTGCGGCCTGGACGAGGGCGTCGAAGCGGGTGGACCCGACGGTGAGGAAGACATGCATGCCAGGCGGGGTGTGCGGGGCGAGGGCTGGTGCGCGGGATCGTGGGTCGAGGGAGTCTGACTCGGCCATGGGCAGCAGCAGCGACACTGCGTCCTCCGTGCAAACGCCTCCACTCGCGTTCATATACGCTCGCCTCCTGCTCGTTCCTGTCCTCCCCCGGTGATCATTCATCAGTCCGCTACGCCCCCTCGACACCCACCTGACCCGCCATGGGCTACACTCTCTGCGTTTTAGGTCTCCTCTCTCTCCCTCCCCCTCACTGCGCATCTCCTCATTAATCCTCCTAGGATGCGGCACCATGGGCATCGCCGTCCTCTCCGGCGTCCTCGCCAGTCTTGACTCCAAGCCTACGTCTGCGCATCACCCGAAGTGGGAGTCCCATACCTCAGGCACCGTCACTCCCCAGGTACTCGAGGATGAGTCGCTCCCATCTCGTTTCATCGCCTGCGTTAGCCGCGAGGAATCTGCAAAGAAACTCAGCAGCACATTCTTCCATGCCGGCACGCTCGGACGGAGTGTCGAGATCTCGTGTGCGCGCAATGTTCAGGCCGTGCAGCAGGCTAATGTCGTTCTGCTAGGGTGAGTCTTCCTTTGTGCGTGCTACATTTTACCGCGGGTACACATCGCGATCTCCAGATGCAAGCCCCAGCTCGCGAGCACGATCCTGAACGAGCCGGGGATGAAGGAGGCCCTCGAGGGCAAGCTGCTCATCAGCATCCTCGCCGGTGTCACCATCGCCCAGCTGCAGGCCATGGTCGGGGCGTCCACCAAGGTCGTGCGTGCGATGCCCAACACCCCGTGTAAAGTGCGTTCCCACCTCCTCCCCTTGTCCTTCTCATGCGCGACCCCGTGCTGACCGCCCCCGGCGCGCAGATCCGCGAGGGCATGACCGTAGTCAGCACGCTCCCGCCCTCGGACGCGCTCGAGCTCGAGCGGTCGATCATCCTCAACATCTTCTCCTCCATCGGCCGCTGCCGCTTCCTGGAGGAGAAGCATTTCGACGCGTGCACAGCGCTCTCTGGCTCCGGCCCCGCCTTCGCCTGCATCTTCCTGGAGGCCATGGCTGACGGTGGGGTCATGATGGGCCTTCCCCGCGCCGAGGCCCTCGAGCTGGCCGCGCAGAGTATGTCCTATCCTATTTTGGTCTGAGAACACGATGTTGACGGACCGGCGTTTTCAGCGTTACAGGGTACCGCGCGCATGACGCTCCAGGCGGGCACTCACCCTGCGCAACTGAAGGATGCTGTCACTAGTACGTACTACATTGCTCTGGACGGCACGGCATGCTGAAATCCCTTCATCTTCTAGCCCCCGGTGGTTGCACGATCGCCGGTTTGCTCGCGATGGAAGACGGCCGGGTGCGCTCGACGATCGCCCGCGCCATACAGGTGGCCACGGAAAGGGCAAGCCAGCTCGGACAGCCAGCGAAAAAGTGAGTGTCTGTCTGACGAACAGGTCGGCATGCGTAGAAGGCATGTACAAGAAAAGAAGGAAGAATTAGATCGTGTATTGCGTATGAACATCACATTGCTATTCAGACGATGTGCCGAATTATCAGCGCACATTCGACAGACTGGCACTTGAGTCTGAGACCTGGATGGATACTACGTCGTATGAACAGGACACAGTTGGATATTAATAGTTGCTTAGAATATACGTTGGACGTTGAACCTACTTCTCTCGGTCTCACACGCGAAGGATCGATAGGTGAGCACGCAGGAGACGTTTGGAAACACGAAGACGCATTTCATTGCGCAGAGACATAGATAAACGATACATGGATGTCACAGCCGGTACGAGTCGACGACCTTCACTGGATCTGAAGGCAACCGCTAGAGTGGCGGAGTCTGTCTAGGATTCCTCTTGCTCCCATAAAATGAGGATGGTCGTGTGAGATGAGGACGCCACCCAGAGTGTTGAGGAGCGTGACCGACAAGTGATTTGGAATGTTCAAAAGATATATTTGAAAAGTAGCTGTGGGAAGTTGTATTAGCATGTTATGACGATATAAAACATATGAGACGTACCTGTCATGGATCTAAGAAGCTTCGGGAAGGTATGTAAGATGTCTCCAGTGTGTGAACCACCCCCTCCATACAGAGCGAGTAAACGCTCTGCTCGACCAATAATTGGTCGCTGGAGGAAGAGGCAAAAAAAGCACAGGAAAATTATATCTCAATCTTGCTCTCTTGAATGAATGCTCCACCGGACGGTGTAACGATGGAGCACTAAAGTGATAGAGCGGGGTTCGAGAAAAGGGGAAGCTCACGCGCCGGCCGTTCGAGATGCAAGGAATATATTGTCCAGTAGAGTACACACGCGACCTAAGGAGAGGCATGATTAGGACGATGCGAAAGGATAACGCGTTGTTGCAGACTTACCACAACAACAAACGACAGCTATCACCGGTCTGCAGCAAAGAACAGAGATCAGAACGCGTCGTGAGAGGGTAGGTGGAGAGCGACATACAGAAGTCCAACGTCTCGTCTGCGCGTTTGACGTTTTGCTGGTGGGAGGAGAGAAAGAGGTGAGATTATATACTTTGCGCGCGTTGATGGCACAAATAGGACCAAACACTCACTTTCCACGCTTCCTCGAAGTCCGCGGGCAACACGATGTACCGGTTCTTCCGCACAGCTGCAGGCAAGACATTGATATGACGCAGAAAATTCATTTGAGAACCAAAACGCACCTTGTAGACCGGCACCCTGCACGATGGCGGTGATTTCTGCTGAAGATAACCGCTCCGGACGTGAAACATCTGGGCGCTAATGAGACGGCGCTTAGTTGAAGGGCGCAAAGGACGCTCACAGTCCTCCAGGTCGACGTCGGGGCCGAGGTTCATCTTGCTGGTGACAGTCTGGAAAATCAAACGCTTCTCTCGCCTGTTGGGCAAGGGGAACTCGATCTTCCTGTCGAGACGACCTGGACGCATCAACGCCGGGTCGAGCGTGTCCGCTCGGTTTGTGGCCATGATGACCTACAAGGACAGTTCTGCATTAGCCATCAGTGAACCTGCATATGCAGTGGACGGGGCTCACCTTGACATTGCTTCCCTGGTCGAAACCGTCCATCTGGTTCAGCAACTCCAGCAGGATACGCTGCACCTCGCGATCTGCACCGGTCTGCGCGTCGAAACGTTTCGTCGCAATGGCGTCGATTTCGTCGATGAAGATGATGGCGGGAGCATTCTCTCGGGCCAGCCTGAACACGTCGCGGACCATGCGAGGACCCTCTCCCAGGTACTTTTGCACGAATTCACTGCCCACGACGCGAATGAAGGAAGCGGTTGTGTGATGCGCAACGGCCTTGACCAGCATAGTCTTGCCAGTACCTGCGCAGATGCGGTTAGGTTGTCCCAGACACGCACAGCTGTGCAACAACATACCTGGGGGGCCGTACAGCAGCACGCCACGCGGTGGGTCGATACCAATCTTCTTGTACAGGTCAAAGTGGGTGAGGGGCAGCTCGACCGCCTCCCGGATCTCCTGCTTCTGCGCGTCCATGCCACCAATATCTTGGTACGTTACATCCGGCTTCTCCTCCTTGCCAAGCATGGAGATAGAAGAGTCCGCCTCTGGCGGGAGAATGTCGACGAGGGCATTCGAGTGTCGGTGGAGGGCTACGGATGAGGACGGCTTGAGCAGCTCGCGGTCGAGGGTGGAGAGGATGCGGACGACGTAGTTCGAGCCCGTTGTTGAGCCGACGATGCCGGTGTGTTGGTCAATGGGCTCCAGGAATTGCCCGATGACAAGCGGGACGGACTGAATGCGCTTGACTTCCTCTTGCGCGCGGATGAGTTCGCGCTTGAGATTCGCCTGCTCGTCCTTGATGTAGCTCTCCTGGATGTCGAGCATCTCCAAATGCCGCGCGAGCTTCTTGTACTTCAGATAGAGGTCCTCTTCCTGCTCCAACTCTTGCAAGAGCGAGGCCTTGTCCTCGACCACAGCCTCAAAGGTTGGCTCCTGCAACAGTACAATTAGCACAAGTCCACTAACAGACCCGCGCGCGTGCTTACCTGCTTCTGAATCTCAACGCCGATTTCATCCATGTCGGCAAAAGTGTGGTTTGGGGAGTGGCTTCGAGGAGGACGAGGGAGTTGTGCAGAGCGCAGAGCTGACGCGGCCGCTGAGGACGACGCGTCGAGCTCCGCACGTGAGCCCAATAGACTCGCATCATGGGCGCCTGTTTGCCCAGCGTTCTCTCCGGACGTTCACCCAGCCCCTCGAAATTGCATTCGCTTTTCGACATTACCTGCTGCGGCCATGGCCCATATAATCACGCCCCTTGACCAGCCCTCGAACTACAAGGACTCGCAGTCGCGGGTGGACCGCCAGACGCAAAACGACCTCCTCGCCAAGTCGAGCACTCTCTACGTGCGCCACATCTCCGTGTTTTGCTGCAATCGGTGCTGATAGTCTGCGCAGGTCGGCAATCTCAGTTTCTACACTACGGAAGAGCAAATCTACGAGCTGTTCTCCAAGTGCACCACTCCTGAGGATGGAGGCGGCATTAAGCGTATCATCATGGGTCTGGACCGCAACACCAGGTATGTAAAGTTGGCTTCCACTTATGAAACATGGGCTGAAAGTTCTGTTCAGGACGCCGTGTGGGTTCTGCTTTGTTGAATACTACACTCATGCGGAGGCATTAGCATGCCTCCGGTACATTAGCGGTACCAAGCTAGACGAGCGCATCATTCGGTGCGACATCGACCTTGGCTACCGAGACGGACGACAATTTGGCAGAGGCAAAAGTGGAGGCCAGGTAAGCATCATCATCTTTTCCCCAAGAAATAAGCTAACGCGAATCTGCTTTCAGGTCCGAGACGAGCACAGGCAGGACTACGACCCGGGACGTGGGGGATGGGGGGCTCAAGCACAGCGGCTGGAGGCGGAGCGCAGACGGGAAGTCGAGGAGCGTTACAACGACGCTCAAGACGTCCCTGGCGCTGTCGCCGGAGGTGGAGGAGAATGGAAGTCTGAGCACAACCAGGAAACAATGGCAACGCTCAAACGTGGGCGGTCACCGGAAGACGAAGGAGAAAGCGGACGGGGGGTGAGTTGAACTCCGTTTTAAGGTTGTGCAATATTCACTGACTGGTGTTGCAGGAGCCCCGTGCACGAGTGGAGGAGTCGGAGCCCGACGCAGACCGCATGTAAAGTGCCCCAAAGACACTTTTCTCCCCGTATATACTTCGCTTTCGTGCTCTGTACGCCTATCGTTATGAATTCTTCGCCCCAACGACGTCCGACCATGAGGAGAGCCAATCTATTAATGTATAGCAATAATGGGTGTCGATAGTAGCATAAGGGACGAAGGTTGTGCGAGGCCTTCCACTACCAGACGACGAACGCGCGCATGGTGTGCTTATCGCTCTTCGACTCTGGTCGGAACATCTGCATGTGGTATTTGCGCACAAGGCGGTAGGCTTCGGACGGGGAGGTTGTTCGGACGAGGAAGCGAGAGGTAGAGGCAAGCCGGTCACTGCACGGGTATACAGATGAGAACGGGGTGTTCTTTCGATGAGACAAGCACTCACGTGTCCAGCTTAACAACAACTTCCTTCCCATATTCCGCCCCCGCCAGCTTGACCCCACGCAGGCTGTCGAGCAAGGACCCAACGCTGAGCTTTCCCGGGAGTCCATAAAGCACGACGTTCCGTCCGCTACCAGCGATACCTCCGCTGGGCCCGTCCCCGGTGATGGCGCCTCTTTGCGCTGCCTGGAGGATGCCCTTTTGTCCTCGCATGCGAGGGAGTTCGGGGAGATAACTGAGGAGCCGCGTCTTCACCCTCTTGCCGCCCGCGACGGAGCCATTGAGTGCTTTGTGTGCAACAGCTGCATGTTCTGGACGCGAGAAGGTGAGCAGGCCAGTTCCCGTCGACCTAAAGCGTCTGTAATCCAGGACAGCTAGAGTGCCGACAGAGTGAGTACCCTTGGACGCGTGCAGAATGATGTTTGTCACATACCATTGGAGACGTGTTCTACCTTGGACTTCCCACATAGTCTCCGCAAATCGGCTGGCAGCGCAGTACGAGAAAGACCAGTGAGCTCTACGTGAAGCCTCGAGTTGTTGGCTAGAGAAATATGTCAGTCCCGAAGACAGAATAGTACTGAAAGAGAGGGCGACCTTCGAAGACCTGCTTGCCGACTCTCCTAGCTGCTGTCTGTGTGGCGGCCATCGCGAAACCGAGAAATGTCTGAAGCGCCCGATTCGCGTCTGCCTCGTTCACGCGGGTTGGGCGTCTATGAGGGATCTGCTCCTCCTACCTCCTCCAACCCAGCTGCAGCATTCCCTTCCCCCTCTCGTATGGCTCAGCCAACTACGAAATTCCTGCTGGACGACGATCTCATGATGCTGTTTTGAGCGGACCCCCATGCACGAGTATGTCCGTTCGTCCGTATGAATATCCGAAGGGCCCGTGGCTCCCCGCCGAGAACTCCCGACGTAACCCATTCCTCTTGTGTCTGCTCTTTGAAATCTAGACAATTTGCTCTAGACCACCTGCGTCTATGGGTCGAGCTTCGTCATATACTAGCCCGGCCTTCCTAGGCCACCTGGTGACCGATATCTACGTACGCTCTGGGGCACACGTCTAGCATATCTCACGACAACCGAGCTAGCTTTCAAAGGAGGGCGCATTCATCTGGTCCTGGCCTCTGTGAACTGTCGGAAATGGTGCCCTCGGTGTTGGAATGCAAATCCCGACGGCCAGTCGCGGCATCCGTCGGACGAAGGCCATTTCAATACCGTCCGACGGTGTGTTCTTCTCGAGCGTCGGGCCCAAGAAGCGCTCCATGACGCAAGAGACGGAACGCTATGCTTTGCATTCTACGCTGACTCACACAGGAGAACGTTCACGAACAACTCACCGAACCCGTCGAGACCCATGACTCTATGGGAGGTTTCGCACACTGAGTAATCTCAATTCCGATTATACACGACGCCCGATCAGCTTGCCATGGCCTTCGACCCTCTTCGACCGGTGGGCGCGAGCTATAAAACGTGGATCCGGCAGGCCATACAGTCCTCGCTATCCAGCCTCCCATCCCCTCCGGGTTTCCCTGCGATACATCCAACCTTAACCGAACCACCCCCACTACTACTTTCTCTCTCTAATCACCAACCTCCACAATGGGCAACTCTGCGCTCGACCTCAACCCTCCCAACGCCACCTTCCACCTTTCGACCCATGGGTCCGACTGGTTGTGGGCAGCCTTCTCGGTCTTCGGCGTATCTTTACTTACCGTGGTCGCATGGACGTTCACTGTGCGTAATTAGGCACTGACACACGCACACTGAACGGAGACTGATCGCTATTCTTTGTACAGCGGCCACGGGGTGCACGTCTGTTCCACCAGATAGCCATAGTGGTTCTTACGACCGGCTCCCTTGCCTACTTCTCTATGGCTTCTGACCTCGGTGCGACCCCGGTCCCTGTCGAGTTCAGGGGCGAGGGCACCCGTCAGATTTGGGTATGTCGACACTGTGCCCGACAGATACCTTCAGTCTAACCCCGCCCCTGCATAGTTCGTGCGTTACATCCAGTGGTTCATCACATTCCCGCTCTTGCTCCTTGAGCTCCTCCTCGCTACCGGTCTGTCGTTGTCCGATATCTTCACGACACTCTTCATGAGCATCGTCCTCGTCATCACCGGTCTCGTTGCTGCCCTTGTGCCGAGCACCTACAAGTGGGGTTACTACACGTTCGGTGTATCCGCGCTGTTCTACATCTGGTATGTGCCGTATCGCACTGCGAGGGTGTTCAGTAAGCTAACTCACTCTTAGGTATGTTCTCCTTTGGCATGGTCCCCATACGACCTTCGCCGCTGGAGGCGTGCTCCGCCGCGGCTACCTCCTGGCCGCCGGATACCTGTCCTTCCTCCTCCTGCTCTACCCTATCGCCTGGGCATGCGCGGAGGGCGGCAACGTCATCTCAGTCACCTCCGAGATGATCTGGTACGGTATCCTCGATATCTTCGCCGGCCCCATCTTCCTGTTCTTCTTCCTTTGGGAGCTGCGCGGCGTCGACTACGCGACCTTCGGCCTCCACTCCGGCAAGTACACGGACAAGTCGGCGTATGCGCCCAACACCACCCAGGCTGCCGGAACTATCCCCGCCACCACCTCTACTGGCGCCGCTGGTAACGTCTAACCGCCTCATCACCCCGCGACCTCCTCGCTTCTACGACCTGGCCATGAAAAACCAACGACCGCCGCTTCACGATCGCATCCATGCCTATCATGCCTTACTTCATGTATCGCCTCAACTTTTAATGACGCCTAATCTTGTACTCCTTCCTTGTTGTACCACCACCTCGCTTACCGCTTCATCCCACCTCTACTTCGTTATAAAGTTGTAATTTCGCGTGTAATCCATACTGACACCAACTCAATCGCATATCGCTTGGGTCGTCTACGAATATTTTGTGGATGAGATTGTCTTTTGAGTACGATGTGCAAGTTGCTCCGACTCAGAGCCCATATCGAAGGATGCTGGATAGCTATGTAGGGCCGTTTGCGCCATCGCGTGCTATGCGCGTGCTATACAAGAGAGCGCGAATCCGCGATGGCTTATACCGATCGTGCTCTGTAATCAGCTTCCACCGCCCACTGACACAAGCCGTATATGACGATGGCACCGCTCTCCCTCCTCGTCTCCCACCGCGACCATGGCCAGCTCCGCCCCTCCCCAATGGCCTCCCGAAGTCACCGACGAGCAGCGCGAGGCCCTCACCCTGCTCGCGACCACATATGCGCTCTCGCACGGGCTCGTCTACCTGCCTCCGACGGATGGCGCGCAGCCCCCGGCGCCGACCGCTGTGATCCACGCGCCGCTCGCGCTCTTTCCCTCGCCGTTCCCGCGCAGGCAGTTCGAGCTCGCGCGGAGCCTGCAGAGCCACTATAATGGAATGTATGCACGTATCGCGATGGCCGAGGATTTCCTCGACGCCGTCATGGGCGCGGAGGTCGGCGTCGGGCGCGTAGACGAGTTCACGGGGCAGCTATGGAAGATATGGAAGCGACTGCGTAGCGAAGGGATTACTCAGGTGCGTGCATTCGGGCGGTATGCATCGCTAGGACCGTACTGGAACAAGATATAGCTTCGCCATCTAGGTCTCTTCAGATCAGACTACCTGCTGCACACGCCCGAGGAAGGCGGGGCTCCCCAACTGAAGCAGGTTGAGTTCAACACCATATCCTCGTCGTTCGGGGCGCTATCGCAGAATGTCGCCCAGCTGCACAGGTGCGCGACTCGCATCTTCACATGTAGGCAAATGCTCACATACGACGCCAGGCATTTACTGGCTAAAACGGAGTACTATAACAGCTCTCCCGTCTTGAAACTGGAGAACATGCCGCCCAATGATACTATCGCCGGCCTGGCAGAAGGCTTGGCTGCCGCCCACAAGGAGTACGGCTCCCCGTCGTATGTCTTCCCATAGCCACGGGGGTGTATGCGCTCACGTATGCTGAAGCGCATGGATCCTCTTCGTCGTGCAAAATGGTGAGAGGAACGTATTCGACCAACGGTGGCTAGAATACGAACTGCTGGAGAAGTGCGTACCATGCACAAGTGCATTCCGCTTCAACCCGCTCATGTCTCGGTCAGGCATTCGATACGCGTCGTGCGGCAAACGTTCGAGCAGCTAGCCGTCTCTGCGCAAGTAGTGCCGACGTCGCGAATTCTTCGGCTCAAGCTGCCCGGGCAACTTCCTCGCGGAGCAGAGTCCGTTGAGATCTCCACGGTGTACTTCCGTGCGGGGTACACGCCAAACGATTATCCGACTCCGGCGCATTACGAAACACGATACCTGCTGGAAAGCACTGTCGCTACGAAGTGCCCTTCCGTCCAACTCCAGCTTGCGGGAGGGAAGAAGGTCCAACAGGTGCTCACACAACACATTCACTACGAACGTTTTGTCTGCCCGCCTGCGCGTGCGGCATCAGGTCACCCAGTATGTCAGAGTTGGATGGGCATGTGGGGCTTGGACGAGAACGGCGACCAAGGCGTGCAGAAGGCGCGTCAGCAAGCTCAGAACCTGGTCCTCAAGCCACAGAGAGAAGGTGGGGGAAACAATGTGTACAAAGGAGACATACCCGCATTCCTGGACACCCTTCCTCGCGAGGAACGAGAAGCGTGGATCGCCATGGAGCTCATCCGCACACCTGAAGGCCTCGGGAACTACCTGGTACGCGCAGGAGGTGGGACCGAGGGCGCCGTGAAGACCGAGGTGGTGAGCGAGCTGGGCATCTTTGGTTGGGCGTTATTTGGAGGTTCGGATCGTGCGATACTGGAGAAGGAGGTGGGATGGCTGCTGCGAACGAAGGGCAAGGACAGTAACGAGGGCGGTATTGCGGCTGGGTTCTCGGTCCTGGACTCAGTCGTGCTGTACGACTAGAGGTCTCTAGAGACGTACAAGAAGAAGTATATACATGTGTACAACAATTTTCGTTGCTCACATACAGTACTGGCGGTGGACGTCGTGAGTTGATGGACGCGTCTGCGGTCAAGACGGGAAGTGTATACGACGCGTCTGGATCACGTGGACGCAGCTGTTCGCCTCGCGCCGACGGGGCAGGAACACCTTGTGCTGCAGCCACCACTACCGCTTGTTCCCTTTCCTCGCGTATCCGTTATGTCTTCACGACGCGAACCTATTAGAAGGGACAGAAGCAGAGACAGAGAGGATCGAAGCAGCGGCAGGGACCGCTATCCTCCCCGTGGCGCACCTCGTAGGAGCCGTTCACGGAGCCCACCCCGCCGTGGAGAGAGGAACTGGCGCGGTTCAGGTATGCGCTTCTGTAACTCGCACTGTGACTTGCGCTCAATCTTGACTGCTCGTCTGCAGACAGGAGAGACGCTCCAGGCCGTGATAGAGAGGATGATCGTCGCGACCGAGACAGGCGGGACGACCGCAGGGACGACCGACGAGACGACAGGCGGCGCGACGACCGGGACAGGAGAGACCATGGCCGCGATGCAGGACGGGAACCACTTCCGCCTCCTAGGTCCGATGGAGACAGAGTACGTGACCGGGACAGGGACACTCGGCCTGTAGACCGCGCCCCATTGCAAGACTCCAAACCCCCGCCCCGCATCGAGCCCGAGAGACAGAAGTCTGCGACAGGTAGGTTCACACCTCTCTCACCACCGAACGTTGTCCTGATGTTGTCGTCCAGGTACTCCTGAGGTCGAGGCAACTAGTTCCCGACCTGCAGTGGAACCAGAAGCATCCGCGGACGGTGCAGAGGAAGGAGAAACCATGGACGCCACCAACGAAGACGATGCGGCTATGATGGCTATGATGGGCATGTCCGGTTTCGGTACCACGAAGGTCAGCATAAGTTTGGGTGTGTCATTGCGAGTCACGATTAAGTGTGGTCTAGGGCAAACATGTCGAGGGCAATCAAGAAGGCAGCGCAGACGTCAAGAAGATGCGGACATGGCGTCAGTACATGAACCGGTATGTTTCCCTTTCAGTTGAGGAAGATCCATTACTCACGCAAGATCAACCACTCCCCTTCCGTAGGCGTGGGGGATTCAACAGGTCCGTATCTTAACTCTCCTATCACCTCACCGACTGCGAGCGTTCGCTGACGAATCGCCTATAGGCCTCTGGACAAGATCAAATAGCCCTGCGCTATTCTCTGCGCTATTCAGTACAGCCCGTTGTATCCTGATATCACTGCGGCAGTTGAGTGGTTGCCTCTTTCATATATGTATCTTTAATACTACGCTATCTTTGGACCCAAGATCATAGCGCGTTTGTGGCTCGTTCTCTGATCATGCACAGTCCGCAAGTAACCGGAATGTGTCCAACATATAGGTGAGCGTGAGTTTTGGTCGTTCCGTAGACCACACCATCATGTATCATGATCCCACAATTACAAGGCGCTCTGAGCTCACGATGTTACATCTATGGCGTGAGGAGTCCGATATATCGTCACAGTACGTAGTACAAACATGCAGCTATAGGACAAAAGGGATGGCGGACGGGAACGCAACATGAAGCGCTGAAGGAAGAGAATGGAAGAGGTCCAAGACTAAACCAGTGCTCTAGCTTCCTGCCTCGACGCAGGGCTACTACTACTCAGAAACCGTGGACCTTGATGCTGGCCTTCGCGATGCCCTCCCCGACGAGGAACGTAGAGATCTTGAGGCGTTGATCACCCTGGAGCTGGATGACTTGGCCAGACTCCTCATCATCAACGAGGGTCCCGTTGCAGGCAAATTCCTGCACGATCAGAGGTTGGTTAGCCACACGACCTCGGCGGGCGGGCGATGCACGGGCAGGGCGGCGAGATCGCGCGCGCGACTTGCCTTCTTGAATGCCTTCAAGAGCTTCTTGAGATCATACTCTGCGCGGGCGGGGGTGTCAGCACGGACTGATCGCACGACAAAAACTCGGGGGCGGCGACAGACCTTTGGGCAGGCCCTGCAAAGTCGTCAGGGTCTTGCGTCCGTTCCGCTGCTGGATACGGATGTGGATGTAGTTCTGCTGCGAGCCGACGTCCTGGCTGCTGTTGAGCGGGTCTCCCTCGTCTGCGAAGGGGTCTGTGGGCGGGGGCGGCGGGTCAGCGTCGCGATCGATAAGGCGGGCGCCCGCGGGCGCGGCGGCGCAACGCACCGAAAGTGTTGAGGTTCTGCACGCTCATGCGACGAGTTGGAAAGAGACAGGGAAGAGGTGGGAGAGCGGACTGAGTGGGGGTTGAAGGCGGCGGAGGAGGGTGTGGAGAGTTGAGTCGCGCCGGGGCCGCTATATATCGCGCCGCGCGGTTATGTAAGCCGCGCAGGCTCTTCTCCGTCCCATTTAGCCTCGCTCAGCTGCCTTCGCTCGCCTGCTCGCGCTCTAGCTCACCCACAGCCCTTGTCATCTTTTGCCGTCGCTTCCGAGCTGCCTTGTCACTCCTCACGAGCCCTCGGTAGCATTTTCTGTCAGTGCCACAGAGGCGATGCCGCCTCAGCAGGAGCAGCCGCGCGGGGTGAAGAGAAAGCCGCCCACATTCCAGCATCTTCCTCTCGATCGCGGTGCGTCTTATTCTTCGAGGCGGAGACGACCGCCTCGCTGTGCTCTTGTGCTCATGTACGTCAACTGTAGCTAAGAAGCTCAAGCAGTCGTGGGTGGAGACGCAGAAGATCAAGAGCAAATGGAAAGCACAAAAGCGTAAAGAAGGGCTCGTCGCCCCTCGGGCGCAGTTGGAACACATGCTGGATACGCCGGCAGACAAGGCTGGACAGTCGGATGAAGAAAAGGACGATGAGGCGCTGTCCCAGACTTCTAGCGCGGATCGCGCGAGTGAAGAGGGCGAGGAGGAATCCGAGGATAGCGCACCCGAGGAGGATGCTGCCGATGAAATACCTTCCACTTCAAGACCGTCCACTTCAAGGCCTGCCACATCAAGACCAAACACCTCGAGGCCTTCCACCTCAAGGCCTCCAACAGCACGTCCCACCGTACCCAAACCCAGACGCCGCCCAGGCGGTGCTCCAGAAAAGCCGGAAGAGAAGCTTACCCTTCGGGAACTTCAGGATAAAGCGTACTCTAAAGAGTCACTGCATCGTCACAAATCACACCCGCTGAAAGGCCACAAGGCACCCGCCAGCTCGAGAGGACGAGGCGGCAGGGGCGGCAGCAGCCGTGGTGCGCCGAGAGGACGAGGTGGAGGTCAGCCGGATATGGGCCTGCGCATGAAGGCGATGCTCGAGAAGATCAAACAGGACCTTACTTGACTGCCGTCTACAACACAAGGAAATGTTATCGTGCAGCGCCGTTACACTGCCTTGTTTTCCTTCCCTTCGTCTTCATCCTGTGCCATCGGCGGGTCTACACCTCCGCTTGTGCTTGTGCTCGCGCTTGCGCTCTCGGCCTTCGCGGCCTCTTCGGTTGTCGACTTGACAAACCGCTCTTCCAGGCTTGGGTGTATTGGTCTGGATGGCACCGTCGTTGTGGCAGAGATGGGTTCTATGTGGTCGCTCAAGTGGCCTGGGCTCGGGTCATCCAGCTCGTCGACCAGACCTAGCACCTTCGGTTCCGTGCCTTCTTGGGCCGCGCTAATGCCCGCGAATGTCTCGGGAAGGACGAGCGGGCTCGGTGGCGGACTCCTAGATTTCGAGCGCCGAGCGTCTTCGTGTAGGAAGGGTATGGGTGAGAACATGGGCGTGTTGGGGGCGGATACGGCGGAGGTGCTGATGGAGGGATGGCCGCTTGTGGAATACGTGCTTTCGATCTCCGTTAGAGCCGGGAAGGTGTCCCAGGAGGACGTGACCAGCAGGCACTTCTCCACCGCCCGCAAGTATTTGCCAATATACTTGTAGTGTTGCCGTGGTCGCACGCAAAGCTCGCATATGCGCTGGATCGTGAATGGCGTGCTGTTCCAGATATATAGTTAGACCCTGAACACATGTGGGGAGGCAGTCATGCGTACGCATCGAAGTCGTCTAGCTGGGCATGAATAGATATCTTCATGTCCTCCGCCGCTTTCTCGTCTAGATCGACCTTCGGCGGCGGCGGGTTCGGGTTGTTGGGATTATGATCCCGAGAGGGGAACGGAGGGAGCCTTAGTCCGCCGTTGGGGAGCTGCTGAGGCGCAGCGATCATCAACGGGGGTCGCCCCTCCCACCTCGGGCCATCGGTCAAGTAAGCTGCCATGTTCTGATGTTGTTCAGCGCGGCCGCATACAGTTCACGCGTGAACTCGGTACCTTGCTAAGCTGGTGCTTAATGATGTTACGCAGTAAAGGCCATTCTGTCCTGCGAAGCTCATGGTCGACATGCGTACTTGTGCGGAGCGTGTGGCGAGAAAGACGTACTCGACAACGTCCGTGGACGCAATCCTCTCAAGGATGTCGCCGTGTTCTGGTAGCTCAATGTGAGATGTCAATACGTGGGTTGTAAGGGACACAGCGTGTCTACCTTCTTTCCATTCAAACATTGGTTCAGCTTCCATGGTGTGGTGGGAAACGCGTGGTTAAGAGCAAGACGCGCGACGGGCGTCTCAGACTGGACGCGTTCTACCATTGGGCGCTAACGCGCGTGGTTGTTTGAGTTGGTACGACGCGCGCATCATACCCAAACTTCAGTCCGCTACTGCGTTCTACTGCAGTCAGTCCCATGGAATTACATCGAAAATTTCGCTTTTGCACTGCTGAAAGTGTCACAAGTACTATGATCATATTTCGACCGTCAGATACGTACAAGCACGTCAACAACTATCGTACACAAACGTTACATGACCGAGTCAAACACGATATTCGTACACCAAGCAGCGATTCATACACGAATGTGGGAGCCCCAGTTTAAGCAGCGGCGACCGTAGCAATGGGGGCGTTGAGGTTAACATCCGCCTCAATGACTATCTCGGGGTCGAACGTGACCTTCACCTGCGGCCCGAAGATAAGGCAGTGCGTCGACCCGCCAAAGTGGAACATCCCCAGCTGGTCGCCCTTCTTCACCACGTCCCCGGCCTTGACGGTCGCCTCGCATGTCGACACCTCCGCCATCCCGACCCCGATGAACGCGAGCAGGCCGATGGTCGGGTTGTCCGCCTGGATGAAGATGATCGTGCGGGTCGCGACGGCGGTGATGAACGCCTGCGAGAGGTTCGGGCCCGCGGCGTCCGGGTCCGGGAAGCCCTCTTCCGGCGACTCCGCGTAGTACGTGCCCGGGACGGTGACGACGCGCACGATGGTGCCGTTCACGGGCGCGTGCCAGCGGTGGTACTTCGTCGCGGAGAGGAAGGCCTGGTAGACCGTCCCGCCGACGAACTGCGCCGCGAACTCGTCGTTGTTGAGCATGTGGACGAGCGAGTACGGCTGCCCCTTGAGCCAGAAGCTGTCCGTCTCCTGCGCGTCGAAAGCGATGCGGTAGACGGTGCTCTCGCACGCGCTGGTGATGATGTCCTCGTCGGGGAAGAGGACGGGGCGGACGCCGGGAATGAACAGGCGCGTGAAGAAGTCGTCCCAGGACTTGAAGCCGTGGAAGGGCGCGGTAGGGTCGCAAACGTACGTTTGCTCAAAGTTCGGGAGCGCGGCGCTCGCCGCCGGCCCAAACCACCCGTTCGCAGAGTCGTCGAGCACGGTGCACGAAGCCGAGGAGGTGAGGAAGCTGGTCCAGACGTCGAACATGTTCTTGAAGTGCACGTTGACCTCAGGGCTCGAGAAGAAGGCCATGCCGGCAGGAGTGCCCATGGGCCAGTCTAGAATAGCATTGATGGGGAAGCCGACAAGGTCGTCGTCTTCGTAGCTAGGGGCAGTTCCAATGATGTCGTTGAACAGCTTGAACATCAACTTGTAGTCGCGGACCTACAAATCCTGTCAACAGCTGTCCCCTGACACTGCGCTTACACTCGTACCTGCGGTTTGCCCGTCGGATCGTTGTCGTACGGGGGCTTGGTGGGCACTTGCTCAAACATTTGGTTGCAATACATGTAGATCACTGGGTTGGTCTCGACGAAAGTCTGGAAGTCTTGAATCACCGGCTTAAGAGGCTCGTCGACGCGGGATGGGTGCTCGACGATGGCGATCTTCTTGTTGAGCCAGGTCTTCAGAACCTCGTCGTTGCGCGGCAGCCATCCGCCAACGCGATGTTTCACCAACGCGCCTTGCGGGGCACGAGTGGCCTTGGGTTGAGTAGAGACGTTGCGGCTCTGCATTGACATGAGCATGGCCGTCTGGAGTACGAAGAGGGCTGAACTCACCATGGCGGGACACGAAGGTATGTAATTTGTGAGAGGCTGTGGATATGTGCGGATAGCGGAGGTGCGCTGGCCTGGAAAGATCGTAGAACGAGAGGCCCTTTTATGCTGCGAGTTCGACTTGCACGATGGCACCACTCCGATAGTCAGAGGTCCGGCGAAACATCCTCCTGTCGAGCCCGCTCATCCACGTTCCTGACTTCCCTGCTCCTATGATCCACAAGACGCTCAGATGGAAGTACAAGACGTTCGTTCTCCTCACAAGCTCCGGAAGTTTACGGCCCGGTGGTGTATGAGAGAACGACTCTTTCAGGGAAAGTGAGTGCTGCCACACCAGAGTTGCGTGTATGGTAAGCTGCGTAGCATGGAAGCGAGCGCATCGGAGGGTGATGACCTCAAGGGTTTGTTCGAGCAAGACAAGGCAGGAAACCCCGGCAGTGCCAAGGTTCAAAGCAACACCTAGGTGGGCCGAGGAGCGGTTGAAGAGTGACCGAGTGGCGCGAGAATGACAATCTTAGTATCGTTGAGCATATCTACTGGGCCACTGGAACGGCGACAATAACCCGCCCGAGTCTTGCGAGGAGAGCACGACCCGTGAGGAACGGTGTCGCGATGTCTTGCAATGGCAAAGGGGACGTTAATGATGTACATAGAACTCGCGTTATAGGCAAGCAGCGCAAGGTAGGATGATGACATACCGAGCTTAGAGAATATGGCCATGTCCTGAGCCAGGCACGCAGGTGTCGGCGTTTTGGATACGTACTGCACCAGGATTCGCGAGCCGGTGTCGCGCCATGTCGTGGAAGAGGGCGCCATGGAGAGGGCTGACATCAAAGGTTCGTTCGAGGAAGGAACTCCTAGCGGCACCTAAAGGGCCCGAGTCCATGTCGAGAAGTAATCGAGCGGCGCGGGAGTGCCTCTCGCCTAGAGCGCTTGCACGATGAAACTGGCAACCGCAATCCTTTGAGGAGAATAGGTCCCGTTAGGGGCGGCGTCAAGAAGTTGAAGACGTTTGTGTGGCGGAGCAAAGTTGAAACTCTGTTACAGGAAACTCTGGGGAAGCGAGGCTCAGCGCTGATGACCGGACGGGAAGCCCTAGGTTTGCACACTTCGATATGATCGTCCTATAGCATTTTTTGCGCGGCCAAGCAAACTCCCAGACGAGCGGTGCGGCATTGGTCTATGTTGTTAACGCACCGCTGGAGGTCAAAATCGAGATTCAACGTCAGTGTTTGAGAAAATGGGCGCCATTAACCGAGTCTACTTACCGGTTTTAGTTTTCGTTGACTCTGCCCGACGCAAAACCTTGCCTGCGGCCCTCATATCTCTGTATAAGCGTTATCGACTCTAAATATATCAAAATAGTACGCGGTCGTGTCGAATGAGCAACGAGATGGCCCACCAGGAGGAGCGTAAGTCCTGCACGTCTTAATCTATCTGTACCTAATCAGCACATTCGTACCGACCTCATAACTATGAGGTCCGTATGAATATGTTGATTCGGCGCACAGTGAGATGATGAATCGAAATGGTTATAGCGAAGGTCGAGGGTCGCGCTATGCAAGTTGTGGCGTGGTGGCGGCAGGTCGAAGAACGATCGACGGTCGAAGTCCGCCAAGACGTCCTGTGACGCCGCGGGAGGACGGCACGCGCACCGAAAGCTGTGGGCCGGGATGAGCACAGCGACATACGACGCTCACACTGCCCTGCTCTCTTCGCCCACGACCGCTCGCACCTGCGGGGACCACACCTTGTCTGTACTGAACGTATATGTCCTACCAACGACTGCACGACTCCGAAGCGTACCCACTCCAGCCCTTGCCGACCGTCTCGCACAGCTACCCGCCCGACGCCTCTTCCGTTCACACGACCGCCCCGCGCCCTGCATCGAATACCACCGCGTCGCCTATGGTGCCTATGGGGAGGAGCGTTCGCTCGAGACTGGTGCTCTCGTATGCCCCGGACTGGTAAGTTTGATGATGGTGTGGTCTGACAGGCGCCTCGTGCTCACGGATCATGGTATGACGTCCAGGCTCGTGTGCATTGTACTAGCGTAAGCACTACCAACTGCTCTCATATTGTTATGCTCATCGTGCCCCTCTAGAGCTGCGTTTTATGCGCTTGAATATATCGAAGGATTTAAGAGGGAGTTCTCGTTGACCGACACTTCGTGAGTCCGCTTTATGGGCGCACTGGTGCGAACACTAATATGTCGTGAACTCAAATAAGACTACAACATACGTGAGTCCCGCACCAAGTCATGTTTAGCTCTTGTGTCTAGATGCTTAGCTATCCGTTTCCCAGGTTTGCAGTACATGAACGCGTACCAGTAAGTTGCAAATCAATCTCCTCCACCGTATCATCTCATGACGCCCCTCAGGCCCTCGCACTGTATATGATAGCCGGCGTTGCGCCGCTCGTACTACAACCCCTCATCAATGTACTCACAATACGGTCCTGGTGGGACCTGCACACTAGCTGGCTGGGTTGTGAGTGTCTTGCCACCGTACCGATGTTACACAACCATCTCACACCACGACAGTACTCCTATCCCTTACCATAACCGGGTCGATAACCCAGTTCGTTAAGATTACCGTCGGACGCCCTCGTCCTGGTGCGTGATTTACGTCCTGCTGAGCATTGCACGGAAACTTACGTGGAAGTGGCCCTTAGACCTGATTGCTCGATGCATCCCTATAGCGGGTTCTGTTGACCCCCCTCTCGGGCTGTCGACAGTAGCTATCTGCACCCAGACCGACAAACACATGCTTCAGGACGGCTGGAGAAGCTTCCCCAGTGGCCACTCGAGCTGTAGGTTCATGCAAATGCCCGCTTTGGCTTGCACTGACGAACTACCTACGCAGTGACATTTGCGGGCCTAGGCTTCCTATCGTTTTATCTCGCGGGGAAGCTGCACTTATTCGACATGCGAGGACACACAGTACGCTTCCATTCCTCGGCCTTCGGTCCCATTACGAAGTACTGACATGCGCTACGTCAGGTGAAGGCATGGCTCGCGCTCGCGCCACTTGCGGGGGCCGCGATGGTGGCCATATCGCGCACGATGGACTACCGGCACCACTGGCAGGACGTCCTCACGGGATCGCTGCTCGGCCTGGTGACCGCGTACTTCTCCTACCGCCAGTTCTACCCGCCGCTGTGGTCCGAGATATCCCACAAGCCGTACTCTCCGCGCATCAAGCGCGGCAGCCACCTCCTCCCTACGCATACGCGAGACCCGTCTGAGGCAGAGGTGCTAGCGGAGATCGCTCCTAACCGCGGGGATATACGTCCTCGAGCTGAGAGGCGCTATACGGACAGGCCAAGTATAGGCGACGAGACGACTATGGCTGCTACGACGCGCCCTGTAGAGTCCATAGATGGCGTGGATACGAGGAAGGAGTCGTGGCGCGAGTCCCGTTACGATAATGCAGAGTAGTTGCTATAATATGAATACTTCCCGTGACCGTATATCTAACGCTCAGAATAACGATGTCAACGGGCTTGAAAGTGAGCTTGCATGCGGGCGGCGTTCAAGTTGGCGATAAAGACACGTTGCGCCCAGATGTATCGGAAGCCAAAGCATTCTGCTATACGTCATTCTTCGAGCTCAGATTGCGACCTTCGAGGACATGCGAGTGACCGGCCGGATGATGGGGGGATGCACACCGGATAGCAGGATGCGTTGCCTCTTTTACAAATAGCCCGTGGGCTGGAGAGCGAGATGATGATAGGGGGATGGATACAACAAGAGCAACCCTACGAGAGCGAGATCACTTCTGGTACGACCACACGTTCCGGAGGACTGCGTCGGGTTGCATTGTCAGTACGAAATCGAGAGAGCGAGGGATGCAGACACTCACGACCGGCCTTCGTCGCGAGACGGTTCAGGGAGTCGTCGCTCTCGCCCATAGCCCGGACCGCACCGCTAAGCGCGAAGGTGGTGGAGGTGGAGAGTGCCCGGCCGTCCGCGTCGACATCAACAACGCTGATCTGGACGGAGGCGTGGTCCTTGGAGGTGATGAGGCGGTCTAGGTGGCGAGTATGTTCAGAATTCTGCCGCACGTCGTTCCGAGATTTTTTGGCACTCACTGGTCGCCGCGCACTTGCGGGGGACGTAAAGGTCAACGAGAATACCCTGAAAAGTGACGCAAATCGCTCAGTTTTTCTGCGAGACGTCTCCGAGCAGCACGCATACACACCTGATCGTTCTCCATGGCTAGAAAGTGGACTTTTGGTGCGGCGGGGCGGCGGCGGGCGTTTGCGGCGGTATACAGAGAGCGTAAGGTTAGAAACTGTACAGTTGCAGGTTTCTGTTTGGCCTTCTTTGGTCGCCTGCCGAAACGGGCGCGCTCTGGGCGGACCGCGCGGCACGTGACGGGAGGGATGACGCGCCGGCTACGCGCGTCTGGCGCCCGCGGCGCAGCGGACGGGCCCTGGGACGCAGCAGCTCGGCCGCGATTTATACACCCATGTCCCTCTGATGCACGGATCGCCACAACCACCCGCTTTCGACGGCACCCTCTCCACGACATCCGTGAGTAGCACCCGCGTGCGGCCCGCGCCGAGCTCATGGGAATCGCGGCAGGTGGACTCGATGGTCGAAATCAAGCGCAGTGACCTTGACTCCCAGGATGCGCTCGCGGCGCCCGGATCTGCAGAAGCCAGCCCAGATGATAGCAAGTACAGGCTTATCTACAGCAAGTCCAAGGTGTACGTCAATCCTACCGCATATGCGCGCGACAATATCCCGGGCTTCGTTGCCCTCGTGAAGAAGGCGAGCGGACAGTGGCTACCCCGCACTGTTGCACTTTGGCTAACCACCGCCACAGGAAGCAGCGCAGCCAATATACCTCCTCGCCTGGATCCCCGAGTCTCTCCTGAACGAGAAGGGGCCCACGGAATGGGACAAGTTTGCCAGAGTTGAGGAGCATTCGGTCACGGAGGATGAGGATGAAGGTCGGTACCTGCGCCATGTTCAACATACGGATTCTTACGCCGCAATAGATGCTGTCCTCATCGACCTTCCCATTCAGAGGCCAGAGTCATATGCGTTCTCTGTTCCCCTGACCTCAATATACTCCCTGATCGTCAGCCCTCCGTCTCTCTCTTCATGGTGTAAGCCATTCCAACCAGTATTTGGCAGTCTCATCTGACTCTGGTGGCCAAATTAGACGGCTCCATTGCAATCAACCTCATTAGCGGGTCAACGCTGCCTACGCTTCACTTTCACGATGACGAGTCGCGCTCTTTCACCTTGCCCGCCAAGTCTCCTGTCGAGTCGCGTCCAATGTCCTATCCACCGCCGCCCTCAGAATCGGCGCCCAAGGGGAGTACATGGGGTGGCGAAAACCTGCTCACCAAGCTCCGGTCCTACTGCCACATCTTGCGCTCATGTCTGCAGTCTAACCTCTACTTGATTGACCCCTCTCGAGACGACATTGAGACTCATTCGACGCCTCTCTTCTCTGACGATGCCGTTGACGACATCTTGGCTCAGTCTTCATACGCGAACTCCCACTCTCCTATCCCCGCTCACCGCCGGCCAAGACCCCTGTCGACGACAAATAATCCGTACTCTGAACGATCTTCCATTCTACACAAATCCCTCTCGCCGGTCTCGACCTCGTCGGCTTCTGCCTCGCCAGCCCGTCTTGCACTCTTGCAGTCATTCTCCCAGATTACACGACACGCAGCTCACGCCGCACAGCACATTCTCTCCCACCCTTTAGCGAAACCGATCATACCCCACCTCCCTGACCCAGTGAGGAGTCTCGTTAACGCGAATGGCGACCTTGAATGGGGCAGCTGGGTTGAAAAGGGTGGGGTTGGCGAGTTCGAGAGCGCGCGGGTGTACCTGGCGAGGTGGGCACGGATTGTGGCTGAGGAGGGCGAGCGGGCGCGGTTGCGCGAGGCTCAAGCGCTTCCTGCCGGGACGTCGGACCTCGCGGAGGAGGACTCGTCGCTGGGCATATTTGAGCTGCTGCAATCTACGACAAACCTGCCGAGACCGAAGTCGTCGAGGGACCCTCAACACCCAGTAACAAAGGATACGTGGAGCAGTTGGTTTGATTCTGAGGGGGTCCCGAAGATTCGGAAGGAGGAGATGCGAAGAGAGGTATTCCGGAGGGGTGTTGTGTCGGACATCCGGAAGGACGTCTGGCCGTTCGTGTTGGGCGTTCATAGCTGGGAAGATAATGCCGCCCAACGGACTCGTGACTGGGAAACCAAGCGGTATGTTGCGGCTAGCCAGTTTCAAAGCGTCACACTGACCCTTGTCTCAGCGAGCAGTACCGCGCACTCAAAGATGAGTGGTGGGGTGTTCCCGAAGTGTTTGAACGACAAGACATCATTGAGGTGCGTCGCCATGCTCCGTTCGCCATCTCTGCATTGACTTATAGATCTACTATTCCAGGAGCGACATCGTATCGACGTCGACTGCCGACGTACGGACCGTACACAACCTCTCTTCGCGCAGACAACACCGTCGACCGAAGACACCGAGAACGAGAAGGGCATGCACATGCGGTATTCCACGATCTCGCCACAGCTCGGGGACATCGGCGCGCAAGCACCCACGAACGAGCATATCGAGCGGCTCGCGAGTGTCCTTCTGACATACAACTTCTATGAGAAGGAACTTGGTGTGTCTGATGTCGTCTGCATCATTCCAGAATTCCCTGGCTAAATTGCGGCGAAAGGTTATGTTCAAGGGATGTCCGATTTGTGCGCGCCTGTCTATGTCGTGATGGGCGGCGACGAGGAGATGACTTTCTGGTGCTTCGTCGAGATCATGGAACGGATGGTGCGCGTCACTTTGGCATGCCTTTCCGATGCGCTCGCTGATGCACTAGTACAGAAACATAACTTCCTCCGAGATCAGAGTGGGATGAAGAAGCAACTGTCTACCCTGCAACAGCTGATCTCTGTCATGGATCCGGAATTGTACCGTCATCTCGGTATGCTTCAGCGCACTATGGGTGCTTCTCCCGGCTCACACTATGCCTTGCAGAGAAAACTGACGGTCTAAATCTGTTCTTCTGCTTCCGGTTCGTTGAGGTATCTACTAAACCGTTTAGAGCGTGTGCTTATACTCTTTCCAGGTGGATTCTGATCACTTTCAAGCGGGAGTTCCCATTCGACGACGTCCTCCGGTTATGGGAGGTCCTCTGGACAGACTACTACAGCACGCAGTTCGTGCTCTTCGTCGCACTGGCGGTTCTCGAGTCCCATCGTGATGTCATTCTCCGATATCTGGTCGAGGTACGTTCGTCCCTATGTCATAATGAACACCGCTGATCAGTGAGTCTCCCCTCAGTTCGATGAGATCCTGAAGGTATGACTTACGACAGCTAGCCATCTGGCGTTGAGCTAACCAAATTTGGCTGCAGTACTGCAACGAACTCAGCATGTCGATTGAGCTCGACAGCACGCTCGCACAGGCGGAAGTCTTATTCCTTTCCTTCTCTCAGCTAGTCGCCGACATCGACCGGAAGGCGGCAGAGACATCGTCTTCGGCGAAGAACATCAGGCGACGGCGCACCGACAGCGTGAGCGCTGCCCCGCCAGTGGAGATCAAGCGAACGATCATTAGCGAGGAGCTGCGGGAGCTCTTGAAAGCAGGCCAGTGACCCTCGGTGTACTGTATCATATCGGACAGGTTGATTTGTTAGACCAGGATGTACTATATACGAGCGTACAATAGTTGTATGATGCAGCATAGAAGCCTTCACACTCCTCCGGCGCATGCGCGAACGTGGTGCCATGCAACACGACCAGGGTGAGTCTTCCCTGAAACTATCAGTCATAGCAACGCCGGGCTCACGCACGTCAAAATGAAGTTCTCCAGTGTAGTTTGACGCAACTTAGGTGGGACAGTGGCGGTTTCCACATCCACGTCACCATGTCGTTGGGATTTCCATGCGCGGAGGCTCGTCAATAAGATATACTACGGCGCTAGGTAACCTTCCTGACACCGAGAATAATACAGGATTACACCGCCGGTGAGTGCAGAGCTTCTGTTAGAAGTTCGCCATCTCTCGTGTATCAGACAGCCGCTGTTCACGCAGTACGTCGCGCAAGGTTTGGAGGTTGCTACCAGACTGAACCATCATACCGCCCGGCTGTCGACCATACGCCGTTGACTACCATCGTACGCATAGCTGCACCTGCGCATGCTGGAAAAGGTATTGTGAGTTGAGCTCGCGATCCAAACCCGTCGCATGCACGCTGACCAGAAAGCAGGGTACGATTCCTTTACGCGGCGTATGGCCATGACACGCCCAAAATTGGCGGATTGTATTCACGATACGACTGATACACTACAGTCAGCTCAGGTGCATGATGATGCATTGCCATGGTCCGCGTATGACGAGAGGTGCATCGAATGCAATGTGTCTGGCCATAGCAGCTCAAATTATGTGAGCTCAATGAATGCAAACCGTTCACTAGGATCCGCGATCTGTTCCAGGGGCATCCCGGCGGGCGGTCAGCGTAGCTATGTGTATCCTGTCTAGATGGTACACACTGCAATATGCAACATAGCGACAAACATATCGAGGTGGGTGTGCAGAAACTTTGGGACTCTCCTGCTCGAAGCGGCCGAGCAAAAACGCGTCACCTGAGCGATTCGAACACTCGCGGGCAAAGCCCAACCGCTAGCAGCTATAAATAGCAGGCGATCCCGTTAACCACTCCGGCAAAGTGACTTTAACTCGGGACCGTAGCGTCGTTATATAAGCTTTGACACTGAAAGCGTACCGTACTGTGGATGCTACTTTAAGCTTATGTGGTTTGTCGGACGGCGCCGCGGGTTTCTTTTCAACTGCAACTTGCTCTCCTCACAGCAGTGCTGCTGGTACTCGTGTGGTAGCAACCGCGCAGTTCGGCGTATTCTCAAGACTGCGATTCGTCATGCCATAGCCGACTTGAATAGGCAACGTCCTTGCTCCAAGTTCAGCGAGCTCAATACTTGCGCTGCCACACCTCCGAGTGAGTCACTGGCACGGTCAAGATCTGGATGGAATTGCTCCGAGTCTCCTAGCCGACCGGGAAAGACGATGGTCAGTGCTTCTACCGTCCAAGTTATTAGAATGTTGTGTAGGCCCGCTGACGGTTGACCTGTAGTCTTGACAAAAAAGAGATGTATCTCTGAACACTGTTATGCACAGCGGCGCACTGCTGTGTTTAGCAGAAGGCCTGCTACACACGTCGTAATCTACCTGGCACAAATATATACCTGAGGCCGCCGTTTTATTCCGACTCTTCCGTCTCCAGTGTGTTTATGGAGTAGAAGACATCTACGGAGGACGTGAGTACTGGGCTGCATGTCATATGTGCTCACAAGTAGCGCACGCAGCTCTAAATGAGCGTGTGCATGGGGGGTGATAATTTCTTATTGGGCTTAGCAGGAGCCTGATACAGAATATCAAACCGCATTGACGGCGACTCTCTATGGTAGGCTCGTTCCCCTTGCATCCTCAAGTTCAGGGGAGCAGTAACAGTGGTGACAAGTACTGCGTATGACTACTTAAGCGAGCGTACTTCTCATGGACATCTTTGTCTTTTAACTCTCCCCCACCGCAGCATGAACACGACGACAGACAGCTCCGATTATCAGTGGGAACTAGTGGAGGAATTGAGCACCCAGCTGTGAGTACTTACTGGAGCTTGCAAGATCCTGAGTGACGAGTGTACTAATCACCTTCTCAAATTAGGCCCCTAAATTATGTGAACTTGGCTGTCTTCGGTACGTGTCGGACTTGATACTGGTCTCGGGATGGACTAATCAACCCTGCAGTCATCTTTCTTTTTGAGTATCTCATTACCATCGACTGCGAAGTTCGCCTTGCCTGGAGCCGCAAACTGTCGTGGGCCAGGCTCATTTTCCTGCTCAATCGATATATCGCTCTTTTCCTCTATTTTTTATCCTTGATTCCTCTGCTTCCAACCGGAAATCTTTTTGTGAGCAGCACCCTCTCCTTACTCTACCCGTCGCTGACATGATTATCTCAGGGGCAAGTATCCACGCTACTACATCCAAAATACGAGTAAAGATAACCGATGCTCCTCGTATCCAGTTGCGAAGTGATCATATTCATGGGGCAGGCGTTCACTGCGATATTGTACGCCGTCTGGGCAGGTGAGTCCCCAGCGTTGGAGTGCGGTGATTCGTCTGCTCATTGATTTTAGCGTTCTCCGGTCTACGTATATATGCCATCAGCAGTCACAATCGACTTGCTACACTGGGGGTCGTGTCCTTCGCTGTGGTCCCTGTAGCCACTACTATCGTGGGCATATCGCATCCGTATACCAAACCCAGCTGAATCTAGTCCCTCCCAGTATCTTGAAAGACAGAGCGTACACGTGTACGATCCAATTGTAGGTTGCGTGGCAGAGTTAACGGTGTCTTCGATTCTACTTCGCAAGTGCGTCTGTTTTCTATGCCTCCCTATGGCTGCACTGCTGACTTAAGTTCTCAGCCGTACGTTTTACCCGTGTTATTTTTATTTTGCATTGGCTGATGGAGCCCTGACGCAGTTGTCATACTCATACGAGGGTGCTGGATCGCGTCCGAAACCATCGTGATCGCCGTGACATGCCTGAAGATTAGGAACAAAGCACTTTTTAGCCTTTGGACGAGCTCAAGCACATCGTTTACGGAATTGGTGCTGGGACAGGGCATCCTATATTTTGTGTATGTCATGCTTCCACTGCATGTCCTGTTTGGTGTGGAATTTACGTGCGTTCCCAGCGTGCTCCTGTGTTTGAACGCGGTGCAGATCGTCTTCGCGTTCTACGAAGACACATTCTCCCTGATTATATTGTTCACGGACCCGTACGTCGCTCGACCCAGCCAATGATATGCGCGATGGCACTAACACTTCGCGTGCGACAGACTCACCGCCATCCTTATTTCGCATTTCTACTTTGCTTTGGATGACCTGCAAGCACAGCAGACTACGACGATGCTGCCCTCCGCGCGACACACCACTCTCCAGTTCGCAGCCAGCAAAAACACCGTGAGTATCACCAATTGCTCTGTCCCCGAGAATCCGCCACTGACATCCCTCCCGGATGCAGGACGGGACGCATTCGGGGGGTAGCTGCAATGATGACTATATCATTTACGACGCACAGATCAAGGACGGGCTCCCTCCGCCAGTGCCACCAAAGGATGTATACAATTAGACGTCTTCGACACCGGGCGTATAGACTGTAAGATATGTAGGCTGTATGTGTGCCTGAATTCATCTGCAAAGTAGTTCGTTGTACTGCATACTTCCTCTGGAACCATGATATCGTGTAAAACTCGTGCACATCCGAGTCCTCGTCGGGTGCTATGGCACCGACGTAAGTCTCCCCCTCGTTCAAGATGGCCAGGACGCTTCTCATTCTCATGCCAAACGTGTTTCTACTCACTTTCAACTCGAAGATCTTAGCACAGGTGAAAGTCGCACCTCCATACTGATGAAGCAGGACGCAGACGAAGTCTTCGTATGTACATTCCCGATTACTGTACAATTTCGTTTGTGTTGTCCGTCTGCACTTTTTACGCCGCCGCCTCCACGCTCGCGGACTCGGCCAGGAAACGTGCCATGTATGCAATCAGTTTGTCGACCTCCTGTTCGGTGACCGCGTTGTATAACGAGACCCGGACGCCTAAATGTAGTGTCAGCACAAGTCAAAATGGTGGGAGTAGCTCGCGTCCAACCTCCAACGGATCTACAGGAAGCAATTAGCAAACGATGAGTAGCGTTTACCTGAAAGCATGACCGACCTGTGTCCCTTGAGGCCCTTCATGCCCTCCTTTTCTGCACCGTCCAGGAACTTCTTTTCCGCGCCCTCTCCGAGCACTTCGAAGACGGCGTTCATCCAGCTCTCGGAGCCCTGCTGTACCTTCCTCCTGAAGACGCCCTTTTGCTCTCCTTCGTGCACTGCGGCATAGAGCTTATTCGCTTTACGCCTGTTTACCTCTTCGTAGTAGGGCAGGCCGCCATTCTCCTTCATGCGTTTCACCACGAGGCCGGCCATGTAGATCGCGAGTACCGAGGGAGTGTTGTACAAGCTCCCCGAGTCCGCGAGCGTCTTATACGAGAGAATGAGGGGCACGGGGGCCGCGCCAAGCTTCGCCGCCGCGTCGACGTCCACGATGCAGTCCTCCCGGACGATGAGCACGGTCAGACCCGCAGGGCCGATGTTCTTCTGCGCGCCCGCATAGATGACCGCGTGGTCCGCGAGGCGCGGGATCGGGCGGCACATGAACGACGACGAGTAGTCCGCGATGAGCGGCACGAGCGTGTTCTGCGGGAGGAGGTGGAACGGGAACGCGGCGGGGCTCTGCGCGTCGTGCGCGAACTCGACCCCGTCCACCGTCTCGTTCTCGCAGTAGTAGATCAGCGCGGGGTCCGCCGAGAACGCGAACTCCGCGTGCGGCGGGATGTTGTCGAACGCCTTCCCGTCCTTCGAGTACACGCGCGCGTCGACGACCGTGCGCACCGTGCTCCCGCCGAGCCGCCGCGCCTCCTCCGCGGCCTTCTTGCTCCACGAGCCCGTCACGACGTAGTCGAGCACGGTGTCCTCCGCGGAGGCCTGCGGGCGTAGCAGCTTGTAGCGCGCGAGGAGGTTGAGCACGACGGCGGAGAATTGGCCCGTGCCGCCGCCCTGGGTGAAGAGAATACGGTGCGTGGGCGGGACGTCGAGCTGCGTGCGGATGTCGCGCTCGAAGCCGTCCAGGAACGCCTGGAACTCCTTCGAGCGGTGGGAGATCTCCGCGATGCCCATGCCTGTGCCCGCGAAGTTGACGAGCCCGGTTTGTGCTTCCTCGAGGACGGATAGTGGGAGCGCGGACGGGCCTGCGCCGAAGTTAATTACTCTGCCGTGGTCGGTGCTCATCGTCGTCAGGGTCTCAGAGGGAAGGAGGGAGGATCGTCGTGGTAAGAAGGAGAGATGAGGGGTGTCCGGTGGATCGGGGGCACAATCTATATGGCGACTTTGACTCGGTCGCTACCAACCTCCACGGTCTCGTCTAGTCCTATATTAAGTGACTCATGAGCTGAGAACTGGCCTCGTTTGAGGCCGAGGCGTGCACACGGTATGCGCGCATCGTGATTTCCCAAGGAGTGTCCTCGAAGGATGCGTGGGTGGCGGCAGTCCGAAAGGCAGTCTGTACAGCTAACGAGAGCGCCTTTACTCTCATGGTGGCAATTACCCTCGAAAGGATATCTCGATCGAGCCGACACAAACACACGCCCCGGGCGCTGTCAGTCTATACAGTACGGGGAGTAGTATTCGTTCGGAACATTGAAATACATGCGTACATCGTGAAGTAGCACATTATACGTGAAACTCGTAAGCATCAGCCACAGCAAATAGCGATATCGACAGAAACGGAGAAGCGGAAAGTTCGAGAGCGTAGAGGTCGAGGATGAAAGCGAAAGAGGAGGGAAGACTGAGGGAGGAGAGGATGGGGGAGTGATCTGCAAGTGTGTTGCGCATATAGGAAGGCAGGGGGTTATGTCTGTGGAGAGAAAACAGGAAGGAAGCCAAAGTAGATGAAAGCTCGGCTGAACGTCAATTCAGCGACAGCGATATATACGACGCCACAACGGTGGCGAGTAAGCAGATTAAACGTATATGGCAGTTGTCCATCAGTACGATAGCAAAGTGACATCAGCCGCTGAGGGGCTCGAGATCTTGCAGATGGAGATGGGGATGGGAAGATTGGTCGATGATGCGACAGATGGAGGGTTCGTGGCGTCGTAGCCGTACACAGATGGGAAGATCGGTTCATGAGGCTCTTGGGGCCAATAAAAAGGTATGCAGCAGAACATGGAAGATGGGATAGATGATTGCGATGCGGTGATGTTTGAATGCGAGGTTAATGCGGGCGAGAGATTCCAAAGACGGCTAGGGGCGGCGTGGCGGGGACCGGGGGCGGGAGGGGGGCGCTCAAGGCGACGGTGTTATGTCCACCCGCCTCGGAGGATAGTCGAGGTCCGACGGGAAGATCGGGCGAAGACCGTGGAAAATGACCTCCGAATGGTCGGCGTACGGTCTGGGAGCCGGCGTCTCAGGAAACTCGTCCATTGACACGAATGGGAAGGGAATCGGCGAAGAACGCTCCTTGCGCGTGGGAGTGGATGGCGAGAGGGGGTCTGAGCGGAGGGAGGTCTTACGACGGCGCATTGGTCCAGGCCCCCTCTCCTGCCAGTCCGCGTTGAGGAGCGAGAGGTCGGCGATGTCCCAAGGATCGGTGTAATCGGGCTCGATCGTCAGGGCAGATATCCAGGGGAGGTCGTCGAGAGATGAGAGAGGTCTTGGGAAGGTATTGATACAGCACTCTGCGCGAGTGTGGCGGCGACGCGCCGAGCGGGTTAAGTTAGATGAGAGGCCTCGTCGCCTCTTGGTAGGGCTACAAGGAGCAGGCTTGGATAACTGCGCGTATGTCAGCACGGGATGGTCGGAGCGCGCGCATATAACGAGCTCACCTTAGGGCGTCCTGCATCCTCCGGCAACCGGAATGGGGACAAGAGCTGCGGAGGGCTCTTGAGGGATCGAGCGTCCGGAACGACCTGCTGCGGGGTGAGAAGGTGCTGTAGAGACGCGTTGTATGCGCTACTCACATAGAAGGGGTCGTCGGCAAGATCACTGGGCTGCGATGGGGTCCTCGGTTGTGTTGTGCGAGCGGAGAACTTCGCGGCCGCAGTACGCGGCTTGGGCGTGGCGAGGGACACCATATTGGAGAAGGAGGCGGGCTATGGGGCAGGCAACGGAGGCCGGGAGGTGCTTGGGCAGGTAGGAGGCTGGGAGGAAATAAAGATAGAGAAAGCGAAGATGGCGTGGAGGCTTTAAAGGGCGGACTGGAGGAGGCAGGTCAAGGCAAATGGGACATAGCGGGGCGTCACCCGAGAAGAACAATGGGGAACTGAAGAGAGAGGCGAAACGCGCACCGACCGAGAGCAGCTGTATTTACCGCCTCCCCGTCACGCCCTAGCGCCCTCCATTTTCTCGGGCGCGCGCTCCCTTTTCGGTCCCTGCCCTCTCTCCCGGGCCCTGCCTCCGTCTCTACCGCACTGTCCATTACGCTCGCACAGGCCGAGCTCACCGCGCACTCGCCGACACCGTGTCCGTTCCCGCTCCAATCCGTCCGTCTCGATTCCACGACGCGCGGCCCGCGCACGCATGCGCAGACACCGCCCATCCGTTGTCACTGTCGCGCGTGTCACGCCCGCAGTCACGCGTCCGCGTCACGCGCGCTTGACGCACTCGCGTCATGGCCGCGGCGTGTGTCCCTAGAAAAGCCTGGAAACGAAAACCTGATCCCAGCCCCGTTCGCGTGCATATCGTGAATGAAGTAAGTTCACGCACGGTGATGTTCCCATGCACATACGGACCCCCATCCATTGTCCGCCTCCTTGGGCAAGCGGCACAAAAGAGGGCGGTCGCCGCAATCAACGCCGAAATCGCGATGCGACCTGGGCGGTCGTCTTCTTCGTAGCCTCGTGCCCCGACGCGAGATCGCGTGCACGGTGCCTCAGATCTGCGGGGGAGATAATCGGTCTGCCGAACGATCATCCGCACACCTGCGTCACAAAGGCAGCATTTGGACATCCGGCTCAACGCCGTCCGATGAAGCTGTTTGAACTTGACGCGCCTCCACGACACCCGTCGCGGAACGCCCTGGTAGCGGCCTAATACGCGAAGGACAATCGTACTCACCTGCGTGCCCTGCCACCTCACCCGACCTCTATTATTCTCAACCGAGATTCGTGCGGATTTCCGGTCACCAGACACGCCTTGCTTTCTCCTGGTCCTGGTCTCATTACGTCCGGATATCTCGGCATCAGGTCTGTCAGCAGCGACATAACGCTATCATAGGCATCGCGTCTACCTGCCATACTCGTACACGCGTCAGTACGACTCATACGACCGAAAGCTCGCACATACCGAATTCGCAACTACCACAACCAGTTCACTCAGGCGGTGTAGGGTGCTTCCTAAGTGCGCCGCAGCCAAGCTCGGCCGACCTCGGCCTCCCACAAGGACGTTCGCATGGTTCCCAGTGTTCACTAGCCTTCGCCAGGACGATATCCATATATCCAACGCACTGTCGTATTCGTATCCGGATGCTGCCACGGCCTCCTATCCTCCGGGCGGCGAACGGTGCGTCGATGCTCCTATGGCTCCATCCGTCTCCTTGCATTCCCGCTCGCCGCGAAGCATGCACTGACGTCGGCCATCTCCAGCCACACAGCGCCGCGCTCTCACCGTCTATTCGTCCCTAGCCCGTCGTGGCGTCCCGCAGTCCATTGCTGCCCAACGTCGCTACTCGTCTCCACCTCCACCGCCACCACCGCCCGCCGTCGATGTCGCCGCACTCGACCGCTGGATCAGCGCCAACAAGCAGCTCGTCCTGCACGACACGCTCCGACCAGAGCACCTTGCGGACCTGTACATCACCCTTCCCACGCGCGACGGGTCGCTGCGTCCGTTCGCGCCGCCCCAGGACGGCGCACCCCTGAGCTACGGGCATCATCTTGCCTTCTTCCATCCGCGGAACCCTGAGAGGGCCCTGCGATTAGACGGGACGGACACCGACTTCTGCCCCCCAGAGCCATTCACACGGCGGATGTGGGCGGGCGGGCGGATGGAATGGAAGCGGCCGTTGAGCGTAGGCGACGAGGCCACCGCCCGAGCGACAATCGGCGCAGTGACCAAGAAAGGGTTTGAGAAGGGCACGCCGATGGTGTTCGTGTCCCAGAAGGTCGAGTACTGCAAGCGGGATAGCGGGGAGGTATGCATCGAAGAGGACCGCGCACATGTCTACCTTGCAGTATCCGGCAATAAGAGGGGCGCGAGGGAGGGTAAGGCCGTCTTGGACGGAAGAGCAGCAGCATGGAGCATGCCATACTGACGACTTGGGTGCGGCACAGTGGACGGCTTACCTGATCCTGACTTTTCCTTCGAATACCTCCCTTCCCCGACGACCCTGTTCCGGTTCTCTGCACTCACCTTTAACGGGCATTATATCCACTTGGATAAGGAGTATGCGCAGAACTCCGAGGGATATCCGGGTACGTCTCAATTCGCGATGTCTTCGTCGGTGACGCACTGATTGCGTGGCAGAAAGACTTGTGCACGGGCCGTTGACGGCGTTGATGCTCCTGGATGTGACGACCCTCCAGTATCCAGGGTCCGCGTTCAAGTCGTTTGAATATCGTGCGGTGAACCCGATCGTGGTGAATCGGCCAGTCAAGATATGCGGTGCGCAAACGGACAAGGAGACGGTGGTTGTATGGGCGGAAGAGACAGAGACCAAGGTGGTGGGCATGACGGGGAGAATCACGTTAGCCAGGGCATGACTGCCTGTATATATGCGCTTTGGAGACAATGGCAGGGGAGCCACGCGAGTAATGGGCGCAGCAGCGTTTTGGTCTACACCCCGGTGAATAGACAAAGTGCCAAAGCGCCCATGGCAGATCCCGATCGTGATGGACGCGAGAGCGAGCGCCTACGCGTGGACGCGTTTGTGGCTACAAGCGACGCGTTCGCACGTGACCTTGTTGAATCCCTTATAGTCCTCGACGCGAGCGCAATCGGCCTCACACACTCTTCCCTCCGTCCACCACCACCCCCACCCGTCTCCAACCCCATCTCAGGTAAGAATAATAGTAATCGATTGTCTTACGCTGCTTGTATACTGATTGTATTGAGTAGATCATCTCAAATGGCCCCCAAGGTACTTGCAGCGCTTGCCAGCCACCAGTTGGGTGTAACAACTAAAACACGCTCTCTAGCCCGCATCTTCTGCCTCCAAGGCACCTGCGTCGACGGCGCAGAAGGCGTCCACCGCGCAGAAGGCCCCTGTGAAGTCTGAGGCCAAGGCGAAGAAGACCGCCGCAAAGTCGACAGCGGCCGGCGCTGACGGCGAGAAGAAGAAGCGCAAGAAGGTCCGCAAGGAGACCTGGAGCTCCTACGTGTACAAGGGTGCGTGGCATCCTTGATGATGAGCAATGTTCGGTAGCTAAGGGTATCATGGTGTAGTCCTCAAGCAGGTCCACCCTGACACGGGTATCTCCAACAAGGCTATGGCAATCCTCAACTCCTTCGTCAACGACATCTTCGAGCGCATCGCGACCGAGGCATCGAGTACGTTTCTAATGTCTTCAAGTGGCTTTGATAGTTGTTGACGTGTGGCTGCAGAGCTCTCGACGTACTCGAAGAAGTCGACAATCTCGTCTCGGGAGATCCAGACCGCGGTACGGCTCATCCTCCCGGGTGAGCTGGCCAAGCACGCCATCTCGGAGGGGACGAAGTCCGTGACGAGTATGTATATTCAACTTTAACATTGATTGATTCACATTTTGACACACCTTCTGCAGAGTTCTCGTCCAGCCAGAAGTAAGACGTGTCCGCGGGGATACCTTTCGTCTGTCTGTTGCATATCGTACACTTGTATTACATAGGTCCTGTCATAATATGTTCGCGTGCTGCCTGGAATATATCGTTGGATATGGGATGAAAACATGACTATGCGAAGACATTGCATGGTGGGGTAGAGACGCTTCAGAACCCTGGACAGAGATTGAGAGCTCTACGATAGACAAAGCTACAAAGAACACGCACCATACTTGTTTCCGGCCTCTTTGCGGTTCTTCCGCCCCTGCGCAATTCTCTCCTCCAAAGCTTCTCGGTTCTGGTACGCCTCCGTGAGCAGCGTCGACAGTTGGTGCCGTGTCCTCGCCCTCCCGCCCAGCGCAGCACCCTGGCAAACAGTCAGCCAAAGCATCAGAGACAAAGTGCAGCGCAACATACCTTGATATTCATCTTCGGGGCTTCTGGTGCGGCATCCGCGCCGTTCGTCAGAGCCTTCCTCTCTTCCAGCTCTTGGACCACCTTCTTCGCCTTCTCCATCTCCTGGAAGGCATTCACCTCCTGCAGACCCTCCGCGTCCAAGTCCTCGAAGCCCTTGACTTTGCCCTTCTCCAGCGCGCGGACGTGCGCATCGTACTCGCGCTTCCACTTGTCGTAGAACTTCTTGTAGTATGTGGGCTCGTACGCCGCCCACTGGCCGGAGGGGAGGAGGTAGTACCCCGGGTAGGGGTCTGTTGGTGTGGGCTCTGGCGCGACAAAGTCCTCTACTTGAGGAGCGGCGGATGGTACGTGGATAGCGGGCTTAGAGGATATTGGTGGTGCGGCGGATATGGACGGCAATGTGGAGGCAGTTCGGGCAGAGGATGAGGACGCTGTGCCTGCGGAAATGTTAGAGGTGGGTTCAGATAATCATGGCGGGAATATAGACTCACCAAGTGAAAAGAAGTCGACCGCAGGAGCGGACGGTCGCGACACTGGGACGGAGTGTTTCTCCTCTACGGAGACATTGGCCTTCCCTCGCGCAACCGAGGTGGGCATGAAGGGTATTGACGCCTTCTTCTCCACTTTCTCCTCCAGGATGGATGTATGGGACGAGTCGAGAACATCGCGTTGCTGCGTCTCTCCATCGGAATCTTCTGCGTCCTCCACAGTTGCTGTCCTAACCGATGCGCTTGGAGTAGCCTTGAAGACTAAGCCAGGCCCGCGTCCTCCACCAAGTACTCGCTCCGCAGCGGGTGCAATAGGTACTTTGTTTTTAGGAGCAGGAAGCATAGAGAGCAGACCAGAGGCACCAGCACCAGACTCTAGCCGGGCCTTCTTCGTAGGAGGACGGTCATCGGTGTCAGAGGTGCGGTCATCATCTTTGGATAAACTAGGGAGTCCAATCGCAATCTTCTTCGGAGCTTTCCTGGTCTTAGGTGGAGGTAGAGCAAGCCCCGAAGATGCTTTGGAAGAGGAGGCCGAGCTAGAAGGTGGTGGGAGCGCAAACGTCGACTTCTTGGTGGGTGCGGGCAGCCTGGAGGTTATAGATGCACTAGATGTAGTGGTAAAGACTTGTGGGGTAGTCTCACTGTCGCTCGCATTGTCGCTGTCGCTGCCGTAGCCTTCGACGCCGAGCATGATGATGAGGGGAGGGAGGAGGGGAGGTTCGGCAGTCTCCGAGCGCGGTTCAAGCAAGACGCGTTGCGGGTCAGACGCGCCTCGCGGCTCGTTCTCTTCACCTTCTCCACCCTCCTCCTCTCTTGACCGTCCTCTCACTGGGTGGCGCGCTTGCTCTACTCGACCATGGCGACCTTCTCACCGCACCCGCGCCGTGCAGCGCGCTATTCTTCCATCGGCATGTCTCCCTCGCCCCCTAGACAGGGTGCAACAAGGCGCACCCGCGCCGGGAGTAATCAGCCACAGTCGCGCTTCTCCACACCTGCGCGGCGAACTGGTCTCGCTGCTGTCAACGATGATGAATCTGTCATGTCTGGCTCTGGGATGGATGTTGACGACGAATCTTCGGAGGTGGTCGAGCGCGGGCTGAGAACAGACACCGTCTTCTCCAAGTCAAAAGAAATGACCGTTACGTTTTATGCGCAACTGCCCGTGGAAGTTAAGCAGGCATTACGGAGTGCTGGTACGTTGGTAAATCTGCTCATGATCTCTATCACTCATGCAGCCATTTCGAAGATTTTTATAGGGATGCATACACGGGTGATGTTGACACCCTGACCGGCTTCGCGGTGGTCGCGTCATTGCGGACTTGTTTCGTGTGGAAGTATAGCCAGGTAAGCACCGATCGTGTTGAGAGATATCGCAGTCGCTTAAGTTGTACCTTCTCTGCAGGCGTTGACCGGAACTCCTACTTGCTATATATTCGGCTGCCCTAGGGAGCCCTACCCGCCGCCCATGGCCACGCCTTTCCATGCACTCGTTCCGTTTGGCTCCCAAAGAGAGCCCGGCCTCATTGTCTGTTCCAATATAGGCCAAGTGCGCTTCTGGGACAGTATAGGCATGGGACTCGCCGGAGGCGACAACTTCTCGTTTTCAGTATTGTCCCTGGTGGAAGGGGAGAATGTTACGAACCTCGTCAGAGCAGATGTAAGACGTGAACCCTACGCATACGTGCATTTCTGGAAAGTACTCACACGATACTTCAGGCGCAGACGTTCATTGCCTCAACGTCTACTGGCCGACTTTTCCGTCTACTGGTCACCTCTTCTGGCGGCAAATACCACCTGTCACTCCATCCATTTGGTCGTCCACAATCAAACCTACAGCGGCTGATTCCAAACTTTTGGTCTGACCCAGAGCAGCAGCCACAACCAGGTTTCATCAGTGCAGTTGCGGCGGAGGACCTGGCTCGTGACGCTACTGGCAGGCTCGTGTGGGTACTCATCGACCTGAGAATACAACAGTGGAACATGTCCATCGAAGGCTGGGAGAAGCTATTGACAGAGGAAGACGTCAGTTCGCAAACCCGGGCAGCTCTCCGGGAACACTTTCCCAATGCGCCAGAGAGCGACGTGGAATTGGACCTTGAACTATTGGACCTGAAGCTACAAGGGTGCGTTCGAAGGTATATTTTGTCGCACAAGCGGGATTAACAATTATTGTCGAGATAGGCCTGACGACATGGTTATGCTCGTCTCATGGGCCGGCCAGGACGAAGAGGGCGTCGCTACGGAACTCACAACGCACCCAAGACGTGTCTACGCTATCGTCTACTTGAGGCATCTTCCCGGTGCTTATACCGTTACAAATGTCCGAGCAGTGCCGTATCAGAGTGTGCGTATATGCGCGGCCTTCTGTGTACTTGAACTAACATTTGCACTATGGTAGACCTCGAGCTCTGGCGCGCCAATGCATCCTAGGCTGCAAATCATCGTTCCCGAGAAACTCATCGCAATCCAATTTGGTGATGCTGTGACCATCTGTGCACAAGGTTTGACAAAGTTGGGCTTTAGTAGGACGTTAACTTATGCTCCGATTGCACAGAGAATGAGTACATGGACCGCCTGGAGCTGAAGTCTGCCATGGACCGTACTTTGGGCCTCGGAGTCATGAAGGGAGACAGCGAGTTTTTGGTCCTCACGGCCGCTACCATGATGAAGACTACTATCGACCTCGACGAGGTGGCCACGTTCTCCCCGGAGTAAGTCTCGCATTTCTCGCTTTCTTCTCTAATAGGGCTGACGTTCGAGAAGGACTGGCCGAGCCAACCTCATCAAGTCTACTATGACCAAAGCGATCCTGTATGGTTCCCTGTCTGAGGTAAGGTTTTGCAAGATGGTGGTAAAGTGCACCGGTGGCTCATACGAATTGCGTACAGAACCCACTACACTTCAGCTTCCCTCCTGAGATCGACGAGGAAGCGCTGATGTCCGGTGCCCAGCAGCTCAGTGAGGCCATTTTGGAGTCCGGTTAGTCAATCGTCCGACCACGAAGTGGTATCATACGCTGACAGCTTCTTCAGACACTGAAGTTGTTCGAGCCCATCACGACTTGCACGCACAGATGAGTGGCCGGAAGGACAGGCTAAGCTTCCTCATCAAATTCATCAACGACAACTCTGCGTTGGGGAAGGTATGCCTAGATCCTACGCGTCGCAAATAGCGGGCTAAAGTCACACGTGTAGATGTCCCAACGAAGTCGTCAGACCTTAGCGGCCGATGCTGAGAAACTCTATGCAGCTCACCAGTTGTGGTTGCGACACAACGACTCCCTCCGGTATGCGCTTGTTTGTTTGCACGCCGATGAGATACTCATTCTTGTGTACAGGGCCGGACACACGGATAATGTTCTCCACGAAGCAGTCTACCGGTACATGAATGCACTTGGGGAGGGACACCACGAAGACTGTCTTCGGGCATTCCTGCGGCTGCGCGTACGAGACCTGGGAGGACTCCTACCGCAAGTCGCAGAGCTCGTCCGACGCTCGTCGTCCGAGATGGGCGGCAAGACTGCGGAGACCATCCCACAAGCGAACCAGATTGCATTGGTAGGTCAGCCCCGGGATTTACGTCGTGCGATGTACTGAAAGCGAACCTCGCGTTAGACGATCCTGCAATCCGCTCACAGCTACCGCGAGTACAACCTGGGTGTATACGGCATCGTCCTCCCCATGATCAACCCTTGGACCAGCCAGATAGAAATCGTCGACATTGTCAACGAGCTATTCCAACGGACCACTCTACTGGTCGAGACGCCTTCTGGCGACTCGGAGGCGGCGGAAAGCAAGAAGGTGCCTAGGCAACAGCTTCCTGAGCTCGCAGCGTGTTTGTTCCGGTGCATTCAGGAGCGGCTGGATTGGTTGGGAAGGTGAATCTATTCGTTTAGAGCATCTTGCGGAAGCCACTGACGCGTCATTAGTCCTAGCGCAGCGGAGGACTCCGAACTGAAGAGAGACCTTTCTCAGTTGGAAGATAGGTTCCGCCAACTTCGACCGGAAGCCCTGGAAGTGCTCAGTACGTTCGCTTATCAGTACCCGTTGTGTATGCCTCACTAACGTTCAAACAGGGCGTAACGGATTCGCGAACGAGGCATTCAAGCTCGCAGAAGATTACCACGACTTCCGGAGCTTGGCGTCGCTCTGCCACAAGGGCAAGGTGTATCCTCCAGAGGAGAACCCGAATGCGGCGCGCATCGAGACATACATCGAGAAGTTCAAGGAGGCGTTCACGACTGAGCTTTACCAGTGGTACATTGAACATGGTACGTATGTTGAGGACTCTGGGATACCACGCGCTGACTGATGGAATTTACAGGCGAGCTGCGCACGATGTTTGCTGAGGGGCACAACGAGTACCTCGACGCGTTCTTTGCGGAACACTCACACCCTGGTATCTCATGGATACACGACCTCGGGCGAGGCCGTTACGCATTGGCCTCCCAAGCTCTGCTCACCGAAGCCGAGCATGCCCCTGAGTTGGTGTCGAAGCATGTAGGTATCCGGCGTCACATAGGGATTTCATTGCTCATCATTAACTTGCAGCTTATGCTCAGCATGGGCAAGCTGTCGCACCTCGCGCAGCTACATGAGGGTACCAAAGCAATCAACCAAGATGTTTTGGACGGTACGTCAACACGACACAACCGATTCTTTCTTGCAGCCTGACAGTCATGACCCCAGCCTTCCATGACGGCCTCGACTTCGTGAGCGTACACGAGACGCTGATCGACGACCTCAAGTCTGCACTTGCTTCGGTCCGCTCGAGACAGTCGCTCGAGATGCAGGTTGAAACGATCACGCAAAAGAAAGCTAGTAACCTCAGCAATCGTAAAGCCCTCTACAATGTAAATCGCACATGCCTTTGGCGGGCGGACTTCCACTGACGCCTCGCTCAGGTCTTCAAGTTCCTGGTACGGCAGTTGCTACAAGGCAAGGCTCTCTCAGTCGAGGACATGGCGGAGATCCTAAGCCTGAAGGACAACTATGAGCGTGTCGAAGATTACACCACCGCGTTGCACCTCCTTGCCCGCGCCGAGGTACGTCCAAGCTACTGATCCTCTTCAATTTACACGGCTGACATAGCCTAAACAGAACATCCCGAGCACAAGAAGACTAAGCGTCTTCAAGAACGTCTGGCGCAGGATCTACATCCACGACGAGTGAGTGCTCATCCCTGGTCTCCTCCGGCAACCCGATCTGAGGCCTCCCCCAGCTGGAACCTGATCCGCCAAACGACGGGCGTGTCCGACCAGGAGCTCAACCAGCGCCTGCGCAGCACCGCGCTCTACGCCGCGCTCCAGGCGGTCGTGCACAAGCGTGGGCGCCCAGAGGGCTACAAGCTCACTCCTGCCGATGCGCTCGACGTGCCCGCGGAGGACGAGCTCGCGCTGCGCTGGCCGAGCATGTCGCCCGAGGAGGCGACCGCGATTGCGCGCGACTACCAGCGCGACAGCCGCACTTTGCGGGATCTCGACCTGGACGGGATATTCCTGAGCATGGAGCAGCTCGTGAATGCGGACGAGGGTGTTCCCGGCAGCTCGTAGTGCATTTCCTGGTCTGGTCGCGTATCGTGTCAAAAGTGTACATGTCGAGCTGTGTTCTGTAGCTTTCTTGCGTGCGTTTCCGAACTGCTCAAAAGACCGATATTATATGTGTACATACAGTGCTGTAGCATCGTCAATCCTGTCGTCCCCGGAACGGATGCATGACCCGCGAGATGAGCTCCTGGTAGCGCACGCGCGCCCCAAGGAGGATCGTCGACCAATTCCGTTTCCGCCATTCGGAGTTGTACGCGTCAAGGCGGGTGCGCTCCTGCGCGACCCAGCGGGCGTAGAAGGCGGAGAGCGCGTGTTCCCGCTGCTCGGCCGACCCGCTTTCCGGGAGACTCTGCAGCACTGCGTCCTTGGCGGCGTAGAACCGTGTATTGCTCTGGTATCACGGCGTGGCAGTTAGTATTGAAGGCGTGCATTTGCGAAGGACAAGGGGGGCTGGCGGGTGCAGAGATGTTGCAGGAAGGGGAGGAGAGCGTGGAGGTCATAGACTCACGTCGAGCCAGAACGCGTGGTTGAAGGCATCAAGTTCTTGCCGCTGCATCTTCCACTGATACTCGCGTGTGTCGCCTGAGAACTCCCCCAGCGAGTATGGGTGCCGCTCGCGGGCGGGTGGGGGCGCATCGTCGTAGATGACGGGGCGGAGGTGCGAGACAGGGTCGATGGGGCCTACGCGGTGCCTCCGCGACGCCGAAGCATGAAAGTGCCTAGCACATGATGGACGTTTGTGTGGGAGGGCCGTACGAGGGAGTGGGAGGGGGAGCTTGATCATGGTGGCACCCGGAAGAGCTGCAAGGCGCCTATCACATGTGGATAGGTGTGCCCAATGAAGGCGTAAGGATCGAATTGATGATCGAGAGTCTGCTTTGGTAGGGTGGAACACGAACTTCAGCGAAGAGCTAGCAAAAAATTAACACTCGTCCGAAGGATGCGAGGCAGGAGTCCTGACTGACATCCCTCGGGACGATATTCGAACGCGCGACGCGGAAGGTCCGCGCCGCCCCGACGCTGTCGGCATTCGGGGGGCGGTTTACATCGCTGAACCACGAAGCATATCATGATTTTGTCTTCACGCTCCTGATACTGATCATTTCTAGTCGCGACGCGATTTCTGTGGTCTATGATATAGTAACGATGTACAGAGAAGGTATCTACTAGTGATGGAAGGTTGAGGGAGGCATAGACGGGTGCTGAGGAGACTATGATACACGGGAGATTACACTGGAGCAATAACATGCGGACGAAGACAAGTCATAGCAAAGAATGTAAATCGAGTAATTGAACGAAGTGGTAGGTAGATGAGTAGGTATGCAGGAGCGACTGTAAACCAACAGCACAGACGACGGAACGGGGGGCGTATTAGTGATTTTCGAAAACAACACAGACAGAAAAGGATATGCCAAGAGACGCGAGGAAACCAAGTTGCGATGGATGCGAAGCTGCGACAGTTTGTTGAGCTAGGGTAGCTCTTTCTCATGTCTCAAAACGGACAGTCGCCTGGACGGCCCTCACCGCTCAAGCAGGAGGAATTCCTTGAGAGCGCGGAGCCGCTCGAAATATCGCTGTCGAAGAGCAGCGAGGAAAGCCTGCGCCGCCACACATAAGTTCTCGTTCCGCGGACACATAAACGCAGCGTACTCACCGCTAACACGTCGACAAGCACAGGAGATGCAGCAGCTGGGGGCGTAGCGTTTGCGAGCTCAGGCACGTCCTGGGGGTCCTCTGCGAGGAGCGGCTCGTCTTCAAACGGGCAGACGTCGCTGTCTGGCACCTCCGTACATGTTGTGACGCGTCGCTGCGGCTGCCAGCGGCGAGGAACGCGTCAGCATCGAAGAGGTCGCGGTCAACGGTTCGAAAAGCAGGGACGACTTACTGATACGACGAGGGGCTCTTCGGCCTCCCACAAGAGTGCTTGCTCGTAGCGATGGTCGGAAGTGCTCTGTGACGCGTCTGTTCGTCTACACCACGACGCGTTGATCATGAACAAAGACACGTACCATGAGCCGCTCCTGGCATGATGCACGTCCGTACATGGGATATGGGTGGTAGCGTCCACCGTGGCCTGAGCGATACGCCGGCAGCCGGCAGGAACGCGCGTTGCGAGGTTGCGGGGTGGAAAACACGGCGGAGATGGAGGGATAGGGAGGATCGACGCGCTGCATGAATTATATTGGTGTGTAGAGGAGATAGCGGGGACGAGGGCGAAAGCTACGGCAGAGAGCGGAGAGAACGAGTAGACTGGGAGAATAACAGAGACGAGAACAGGAGGGGGAGGTGGTGGAAGGGAAACAAATGGGGGAGAAGTCGTGGAAGGGATGGTCGTGAGGGAGGGAGAGTAAAAATGCGCGAGGGCAAGGCGCGCCCTTAAACGAGGCGACGTCGCGGAGCAATGCGACTCAATTCGCGACCCTGCAGATGGAGAACCTCCGTTAGCTTCGCTTGATGCTGCTTTGACTCCCGCTCTTCCCGACTCGACGCATCCCGCCGCTCACACGGTCATCCCTCGGGCCTCGACTCTGCACGCATACTCGTTGCGAATGTTAGCCGCACCACAAAAGAGAGAGTGCGCAGAAGAGAGCGTGCGCGAGTGAGTTCTCTGGAGATAGGATATGGACGTGCAGGTGTACATGTAGACGGCGACGCCACATACAGCGCAGGTGTGGCACTGTCAACGACTTCACACCACGCGAGAATACCCTTCCTCCTTGCCTTTCACGATGGGGTACACAGGTTCTAAAGACGCAACTATGTCTCGTCTGCACGTGTTACGAGACTGTAGCATCTGTGCTTGGAGTTTACACGGGACAGCCATTTACAGTTGCGGCACGATGCTCCTCCAGACTCCTGCTGTACCTAGGTATTTCGCTCCTTCAATCCTCCGCAAAACACATTAGCGGCATGTTTACAGGAATCGGCGTCGCCGATGCTTTCCATAACCTCTTCGATAACGAAGGAATGCCAGCCGCCCTTGTGTAATCTCCCATCCTAGGGAGCGAGGAACATGTCACAACTTCTGTGACGGGGTCACCGGCGCCTTATTGTAGAGGATGGTGGTGATAAGCCTCGGTGAGCATTTTGACCGCCAACATCCTCCACGCAAGAAACGCTTGAGTGCTGATACTTGCCCGATGTCTGCCTCAACCCACGGACTGCATCAAGACATGTGTGTGTTCAAGATCAACATCTATCAATTATGCGGCAAGACGCTACTTCAAGCCTCAAGACAATAGGGCGAGCAGTACAAGTACTGCTCTGCCAGAGTGAACAACGTGCTGGAGCACAGAAGACCAAAACATGCCATCCAAGAGGCAGTGGAGAGACGTACCTGCAACCTGCGGGGCGAGCGAACGAAGACGCACCGTGTAGCAAGCATGTACTCTGCTCCGCAGAGCGATCTCCGCTACCTTCCTCAGGACGTGCGGGCAATATCGCGCACGCACTCGCTGTTTCGGTGAGGAGTGGTGTAGGCTTGAAACCCGCCAGTTACTGCTAGCAAACGCGTCATAAGAGAGTGCAACATGACGGGTTGGCCGTATCCGGTTGGCCAGTGATGTTGAGCTCGAAATCGCGAAGTCGTGCAACCAGACGCGAGCCTGGATGAAGCCTAGTGTGCAGCGGATTGCGCCGGAAGACAGAAGAGAAGCAATAGTGCGAGCAAGCCTCAAGACGACATGTGTGCCCGTAAATTCCGCCCGAGGATTTATTCCATTATCTGGACAAGCCAGTGATACTGAAAGACGCCGACAGGCGGAATTGTCGAGGAGATCGGCGATGGGAGCGCGCGCGCGCATATTGCGCGACGAGTGCGACAGCACCGGCGACGAGGAGGCTGACGAAAGAGAGGAGGGGTGAGGAGGCTGGAGAGGGACTGGTGGAGGAGCGAGCCTCGCCACGGCGATCGAACCAAATCCGAATCGCTTCGCCCTCCGCCTCTTCGGCCCCTGCCTAGTCCGGCAACTGCCTTAGCCACCCTCCACGCCGTCAGCCACCCTCCTCCGAACGTCCATGGTGTGCGCCCTACTGCCATATTCTCCCCGAGACACTTCATTCTCTCCCCGAGGCCGCACAAAAAACTACCTCTCCTGTCTATCGCTTTAGCCACCCTCGACAACGTCAGCCACCCGACTCCGAACTCCATGCTCTTAAATTCCGAACATCTGTCCCAAGCTCCCGTTTGGCCCGCCGCCCAATCCTCCGTCTCCTTCGTCAGCCACACAATTTCGGCTGATCTCGCCAGCCATCGTTCGCCCCCTTCACGTTGCCAGCCAGGTCTCTCTCAATCTCGCGTCAGCCACTCGAATTTGGTCGCCCTCGCGGTCCGCCTTCTCACGTCAAACTCCCTCGATCTGGACCCCACGTCTCGCGCCAACCTATGCTTTTTCCTGTCGGCCACAATCACCACTGTCGCTGTCGCACGTTCTCCCCGCCCCCGGGGGATGTTAACCACCTACTTGCCCAGGCTACCCGCCGTCCAGTCATCCGCCATCACCTCCCGGAATCACGGAGCCGCTTCCGGCAAGCTCCCCGAGCTCAATTGACTTCCACTGCCATCAAGCTACACCTCTTGCTCTCACCCTGCTACACCGGCCTCGCACGAGCCTTCGAGAAAGTCGCTACAGCTGGAGGACTCCGCCGATCGGAGGCCCAAGTCAGATCTATGAGGAGGGCTATTATTCAGATGAGTGCAACCGCCTTCACGAACACTGAAAATATTTGCGATGTAGCCAAGCCATTGGGATAATTCTCGGATATGCGGAGGATAGCGACAGGAAGTTTGGGAGAACGTAACAATCTGTCTGTTCGCGTTCAACGTCCCCGGCTCGCCGCGACCACGATCTCGCTGGGATTGAGTCGGCTCGCCCTCTTCCCCCTTTCACGAGGATTTTCGATGCGGTCACTCATGCTCTGCAACCAACGAAAGTACCATACCATCACTTCGTATATGCGGACATGCCTCGCCGCGGCGGGCGCGCAGGCTCCCAAAGAGGTTGTCAAATACGCGGAGGCACGTCATCGCGAACACCGTACCTTTCGTGCGTTTCATACGCCGATTCCTGAAGTGCATCTGCGAGTTTCCCGTCGGGATCTTCCCCGCTGCACCGAAGACAAGAGAATCGCGTCGCAAATACACCACAATCGCCGCCAAGTCCGTATTTCTGTGGACAACTCAAGAGAGCGAGAAGACCGAAGAAGAAATGTGTTACGCATCTACGATATGTGCACATATATATGGACCGTGCACTGTGGAAGCGAGCGAACGTGTTAAAGAACGAACAACGTGCACCGGCTTCCCCCGCCTCTCGGGTGCGCCGCTCGCCGGTCCTTCCGACACGATCGACGCAGGGGCTCGGAGGAACCTCTAAACACGCTGTTCGGGTCCGTAGAACGTCGCTTGCCACCGCTGTGCGCATACAAACCTCACCGGTCACCAGCGGCCCCTCTTCGCCGCACAAAATCCGGGCGGAAGGGGGCCCCCCGACGAGGACATGTGCACAAGGGTTATCAAGAGGATGCGGGTACATCACCGTATGGGCCATAAAACAGCATATTACAAGCAGGACGAGCACTCACCAAAGGGCTTCACCGGCACGTCGCGGACGCGGGCGAAGAGTAGTAGGTGCCTAGTGGTCCTAGTCGCCAGCAAGATACTCAATACCCAAAACCAGCACGGCCACCCGGTGTAGAATGGCACGAGCTGTCAAGCGAATCGGAAGCGTAGATGCGCCACAGGATAAAAAACGTGCACGTCTATCACGCTCTACCTCCGGGATCCAGATCTTCGAATCGACGTCGGGGAGGACGTCCTCAAGATTGTCGGAACTTTGCTATCCGAGCGCGGTATGTATACAGCAAATTGATGTTCTGTATACAGGTAGGACAAAGTACTGTATCATACACGGCCAAATATATTTGGTGCCTCTAGACGCGGATTTTGGGAGGTCGCCTGGCGCAAAGGCTGTGTGCGAGAATCCTGTCCAACACAGAACTTCGCCGCCATGGCGAACAAAGCGACACAACCTACGTCTACCTCAGGCCTCAGCGCGACTGTCCAATACCGACCACTACGCTCACTGACATTCTGCAGTGCCGTCTGCCCGCCGCAGCCGCCATGGAAAAGCAAGTATATAACTCCAAAATTCTGCTGACAAACGACGAGGGATGGGGCGAGATGTATGTATAATTTCGCGTCCTTCGATGTATAGTACTGCCGCTCTGAGTCACACCTCGTTAAGTTCTATGTGCCTGACGCAAGGGACGCAGGAGGGAGGGTGGTCCACGCCTCGAAGACAAGCAAGCTCTACAGGGAGGCCATCGACAAGTCGCATTACGGACAGCTGGACTGGGTCACATTATACATAGTGATGTGGTATGAACTATCTATGCGTCCAGTCTACGAGCCACGCGCCAGCCGCGAGGCTAGTGCTTTTTGCCCGTAGCCTTATCCTTCTCGTCCTCCGCCTTCTTCTCCACCTTCTGCGCCCACTCCGACACGGGCGCAAAGACGCCCGCAGCAATCCATGAGCCCGCGAAGAGGCCGAAGAGCACCCACGCGCCGGTCTTCTCGTCACTATCCAACGTCCGCGAGTAGCTCTTGTGCTGCCCGCCGGACGTCTCCGTCTTCTGGGCGAGATCATACTCCACATGCGGAGCCTTAGGGAGCTTGAAAGAAGTAGGGAGGCTCAAGTCCTCTGCCATGGAAGCGGCGAGCTGCCCGAGTATGGAGGTAGGTGCCTTCGACGGGGCCGCGGAGGACGCCTCGGACTCGGAGGAAGAGCTGGGGACGTAGAGGTTGTGCGAGGGTCCACCGCCGTGGTGCGTGCTGGCTCCTGCGACGGTGATGACCTTGGGTCTAGTCGACGGCTCGGGCTCTTGCGGAGCAGACGCCCTCTTCACCTTCGAAGAGTCCCAGAAATCGGGCAGAAACGGCTAGAAGTCCCGGTTAACACAAACACATTTTGCGCAGCTGGCTAGACGTACGATGGGAGTGGGGGCCTCGGGAATGGGCTCAGACAGGATGGGCAGCTGGACGCTCAAGTCGAACTTGGGGTGCACCGGGACCGGGTCGGCCGAAGCAGGTACACCGGGCACCTCTGTTGGTGGGGCGGGGACAACGGTGGAGGCGCGGCGGACTTTAGGCGCGACGGAGAAAGGCTCGGACGAGAGGGTCTGGTTGTTATCATGCTGCTGAAGGCGCGTGATCAAGGTAGCCTTGTTCCCGCCACTAAATCCACGAAGATGAGTGCGGGGAACACATGCGGAGAAAGGATGGACTGACGCGGGGAGACCGCGTTTGCGGGCTTCCTTCCTAAGCTCGTTGACGGTCTCGTTCTCCCATGCTTTGGTGAGAAGCACGGTGGAGACAAAGGAGCGTGTACTGCGAGGAGAGACGGCGGGCCTGAGCTGGGCGACGAGGGCAGAACGGAGCATGGCGGGTTGGAGAAGGGGAGGAAGAAACCTGAGCAGGCTTTGGCCCGGAACGGGTTCAGACGTAGCACACTAGACGCCCGCGCGGGCCTATGAGATCATTTGCACGTGGGGACGACAGCATAGGCGCCGGTGGATGGAATCTGGACGAGCGCGATGGTCGAGCCCGCTCCTCCTCCCTGTCTCTCTCTCCCTCGTCGGACGAACCAGGGAAAGCTGGGCTGAGGGCACACGGAGTAAGAATCGAGGAAGGGGAGCATACAGCTGCGAACTATCCATCACGATCGCGCGACTTATCTGTGCTAATCGCTGCTCAGCTCGTTCTTTTATTCGACCCCGTACCGCCTGCCTCGTGTTCGCCTTGCCTCGTGTTCTCCCCTCCCCGTCCTTTTCAAGGCCTTCGCTGACTCCCTCGGCGCCATCATTCCTCTCTTCCGCTCTCCTTGCCACCCTCTCCCTCTTCCCCCTCCTCCCGCCGTCTGCCATGCTGCTTTCACCAGCGTACGTACAATGTCAACTGTGCTCAAAGCGCGCCCGATCTGATCAAATTCGTTCACTCTGATAGCGCGTCCAATGCGAGCCTCCCCGGCTCATCGCAGGGCTTCTGGGGCCGCTTCAAAAGCCCCAAGAGCAACAAGGATGCTGAAATCATGCGCGATCGCCAGGCTCAGCTTGCCCTCACGCGCCAACGTCTCCTCACCCTCGCCTTCGAAGACATGGAGACCGTCCGGATGGTAGGTGGCGTCCCATTCCCCCCCGCTCAAATTGCCACTCACACTTTCGATCTAGCTCCCTCAATCATTCCTAGTGAGTATCCGAGAGTATGTAGCCCGATGGACATATACTAATCGCGCGAGCGCAGGAACTCGAGTCCCTCGCGAGAGACTGGATCAAGCCCCCGCCAGATATGCCCATCAGTTTGCGCGTGCCTATAGAATATGCTTCGCTTCACGCAGCGGTATGTGCCTCATACCATATACCACGGTAGACAAAGGGCGAAATCCACCTGCCGCCATAGCCATGCGATAGCCTTAAATGTGGCCAAGGGTCTCACTGTCTGTGAGCCTATCGCAAGGTGTTTTGAGCTATAACACGCAGTGGCTTTCGCACCTAGTCGGCCGTGATTGCTGCCCGTACATTCGCTCATCCCCCATGCCCACAGCGTTTGGTAGCGGGTCCATATATCTATGTGAGTCTTCCGTCCTTATCGGAGGCGCCGCCCTAACCTGTGGCCCGCAGTTGACGAGCGAGGACTCGTATCAAATCGCCTGCATGGGAGTGCAAGGCCTGCGAGTCGAGGTGGTGTGTGACAGCCCACCACCGCCGGACGAACCTCCGTGAGTGAATCAGCGCCCCGCACAGCTACCGTCCATCTGACCTGCTCCGTCCTTCTCTAGTCCGCCTCCGTGGGTATCCTCAGTGACATGGATATCTTGTGACAGTACTAACATGCTCCCAGACCGCCGCCGGTGCTGGAGATGCCGGCGACGTTCAACCTGGAGCTCTCGCCGGGGCAGAACGTCGCGCTGGACACGACGATCAACTCGGACGAGATGGACATGGCGCGCATGGAGGACGGGACGACCGTGGACGGCTCGTTCTGGGGCAAGCTCGACATCGTGCACGACGGGGACGTGCACAAGATGGAGTTTTCCGGGACGCGCATCCAGAACACGGAGAACGTCTCGACGGATCTCATCGTCGACTCGCGCATCATCAACAAGCTCGCCGTCGCTGCGAAGCCGGCCACCGCGCGTTGCCATCTTGGCATTCTTGCGCCCGCGCAACAGTACTGCGATGTTATTCTGTCGTTCTCGCCGTACTGGAAACTCGGCACCAGCTGGCCGCCCGCGGAGCCTGTTGCCGAGAATAAGGTCAAATATTTCCTCCGCGTCCACCCCGGCGGTGCGGTCGAGCATTTCGAAACGGAGATGACAGCGACGTCGCTGTATTACGAGGCGATGTCAGTGCTGATTTTGCGGATCTGGTCGTGTGAGGTTCTTACTGTTCCTGTTTAGACCTGAACCAGGCATGCTGGACCCGCAAGAGTTCATATCGCCTCGGAACGGCTTCGCCATGACGTTCCGCGACTTCGTACCCCATCTCATGCGCGTCCTCGACCAGCTCGGGATGTCGCTTTTCGCGCGGACGAACTTCATCAAGTAAGGCATATACCGCTCTTATCGTCATTCTGTACTGACCATTTGCCCTCCCAGCAATAACATGAACGCCTTCTCCGCACATCGTAACATTGCGTACCGTTTCATGCAGCCTCACAAAATCGCCGCGGCGATCGACATCTCAGTGACGGTCGAGAACTGCGTGTTCACGCGGCTGTTCCTGATGTTCCGCGGGCTCACGGACGACGAGCTCAGCATGTTCGCGGGCGCTGGCGAGAAGGAGGCGAACCAGGTCAACTGGCGCGACCGCGTTGGATGGTCCGAACTCAGTAAGGACTCGACACAGTTCCGCCTCCTCGAGACCTCCGTACTCGAGGTGACGTAGACCGCGATGCCCCGTCCAAGTCCCGCCTTTCTTTTCTTCACTGCGACATCCTTCTCCTTTCACTTCAATACCTCGCGATTCCCCGATTCCCCGTTTTGATCTACATCCATGCTGCATTCCTCCCTTGGTTGTGTGCTGTTTCCCTCCCCTTCCTGGTCTCTCCATCACTGTAGTCTTATCGCTCAATTAGTGTTGTAATCCGCGCGCAGGTGCGCTGTTTCCCGATTCCGCGTTCCCGCACTACTTCCCGCCCGTCCTCTCTGTAGCGGAATACCTTATCCTCCTCATATCCCTCCACTCTGTGCCCATCTACTTGCCTCCCGACGGACAGTCCTGCTCGCTGCTCTGTTACGCTGTCGTTGTACCTAGTACCCTCATGATCATGCCCATGTAGCCGTGCACGTCTCCCGCCCTCCCATCTCGTCTTGCGCTCTATCTCTTTCTTTCCCTCTATCCACGTTCCTGCCTTCTTTCATACACTGCGAAGTACTGCGTACATAATGGATACTTTACACACCCCGATCAGCCGTGCCGATCACAATGATGCTGGAACTACTGGTTGCGATGCAGTGATCGTCCTGACTCCGCGCGGAGGTAACGTGCAGAACGCGCTCAGCCATGCCAACGCAGCGTACGTTGACATTGACAATGCGCGCACAACGTTGTGATGCTAGTACACGTACAAGCGGGCGAAATATGCAAATCGGGGTGACATGCAGACGCGAGCCCGGCCGGCCGCGCGATGGAGGTGATTCCACGAGAGTGGTGACTGGTTGATCAGTGGCATCGCGTTCGCGTCCCGCCTCTCTTCCAAGCACCGACCGCTAGCTGCACTTCAATTACACCCTCTACCACCACCACCACCTCACCACGCGCCGTTGCCCCGCCCGCTGTCCCGTATCCCACTCTCTAGACTAAGACTACCTGTACCACCCACACACCACACGATGAGCAGCATCCCCCGGCACCTCGACCCGAAGTTCCCCCAGCCCCAGTGCGTGCCGCGGCCCCGTTCCTCGTGCCCATGTCCGCAGGGCTAACCACCGGTTGGTTGACAGGAAGCAGCCGTCGCGGGACTCGCTGCGCTCGCTCGCCCGGTCGCACATGAGCACCGCGAGCGACGGGTTCGAGGAGGACTTCCAGCGGCTGCCGTCGAGCCCGGCGCGGCTCGACATCGAGCTGCCCGAGGCCGCGCTCGACCTCACGATGGACTTCAACTCGATCCTCGCGGTTGCAGAGGGCGCGCCGAAGGACGCGCAGAGCGTTGCTGAGTGAGTGGTTCGGTTTTGGTCTGTGCGCCGCCACCTGTCCCCCTACCGTTCGATTTGGGATGTCTCTATGCCCGTTCTATCAGCGGCAGATGGGTGGTGCACGTTTACATCTGCATCTACGACTACATCTACCCATCGTATTCTGGTGCACGCGTTTGATTGCTGCATGCTTACGCTTCTCTGACAGGATGGACAAAGTACAGAAGCGGGCAAGCAACGTAATGCGGCTTGCAGAGCAAAACGAGAAGCTGAAGGCCGAGCTGCGGGCGATGACGGAGCGTCTAGAGGCGGCGGAGCGCAGGCAGCGGGAGCTGGCGCAGGCACAGGCGCAGAAGAGCGGCGGCGGCGCACAGCGGCAGGCGTCGGGGGAGAGCGCCCATTAGCGGCGGTCGGGACCGCCGCGCCGGCGCCGGCATGGGCGCGTCATAACCTAGTTTGGTGAGCCCCGGGGCGCGCGATCGAGGACGCCGTTTGAGTCGAGGTCGCGGTGTCGACGGGGCTCGGATGGAACATACATACATTGTAATTGTACAGAGGATACCACCGCGGCTGCACTGTCTCTCCTTTGCTTTCTCGCTCTAGCAGTACTTCGCAACTTCGCTCCTTTTCTCCCCTTCTCCTGGTGTCCCGTGAGGATGCGCGGTGCACTGCGCGGGATCGATATCGTCGAGGAAGGGCTCGAGGCTGATTCGATCGCGGCTGTACAAGCTCCACACCCCGCAACCTTGCTCTGATCGCCGCCCCATTTCCCCTTCTTGCGCTGGGAACGGCTCAATATCTCGCGGCTGCCCCCGCCACCGTCCTCGTCCTCTGACCTCACCGCGCCGAGCCCACCTATATTAGAGTATCTCTCCATCTTATCGTCCCAATCCCCCACACCCCTCCCCACCTCTTCTCTCTCTACCACCACCACAATGGCTCGTCGTCCGTCTGGCATCTCTGGCAGCCGCCGCCCCTCCGTGCTCGACGCGCCCACCTCCATCTCGAGGAGGCAGTCGAGCACCGGCTCCAGGAGGCCTTCGATTGATCCCTCCAGGCTGGTGCCCATGGACAGGTGCGTTCTCCGCCGCAATCGCCGTGACAGCCAGACCCTGATCTGCGCTCCAGGGCGTCCCACATTGGCGGCACAGAGGACTTCAACGTCGTCTTCGTCGGCGCGGGCAACATCATGTTCGGTGCGCAAGATCCATTATACGCGGGGAAATTAATGCTGATTCTGACATCATCGTATCGCAGGTTCGGACGAGGGTCCGTGGAACCACTCCTTCCGCTTTGAGCAGTGCGTGTGCTGCTACCCCGCGTTTAAGCATGTGGATGCTCACCCGCCCCCAGCAAGCTCGGCCCGCGCCTGAAGGTCGTCGCGCTCATCGACCCCGCGATCGACCGCGCCACCGCGGTGCTCCAGAAGAAATGCGAGACGTTCGTGCGCTCCGCGTACGAGAACACGCGCGTGTTCAAGACGCTCGAGGACTTCGTGCGCAACATGTCCAAGAAGGACATGCCGCGCGCGGTCATCGTCGGCTCGCCGCCCATGTTCCGCGGCACGCTGCAGCCCGGGCGCGACATCGAGTCGCAGATCATGAAGTGCTTCCCCGGCGTCGCGATGTTCATCGAGAAGCCCGCCGCGACGGGCCCCGCGAGCGAGATCCCGGAGGCGTTCGCGGTCGCGAAGAAGATCGACGAGGCGGGCACGCTCTGCTCCGTCGGGTACATGCTGCGCTACCTCAAGGCCGTGCAGATGATGAAGCAGATCATCGAGGAGAACAACCTGACGGTGATGGCGACGATCGCGCGCTACGCATGCGCGTACGAGGCGATCGCGAAGCCGGACTGGTGGGACAAGGCGAAGAGCGCGGGCCCGATCGTCGAACAGGGCACCCACTTCTGCGACCTCTCGCGCTACTTTGGCGGCGAGGTCGACATGGCCAGCGTCTCCGCGCACTCGCTCGAGTGGGACGAGAACGCGGGCACGCTCTCGAAGATGCAGGTCGACGAGACGGCCATCCCCGCCGAGAACAGGATTCCCCGTGTCACGGCCGCGACCTGGAAGTACGACAGCGGCGCGGTCGGCAGCTTCACCCACCTTGTCGCGCTCCAGGGCCACAATTACAGCTGTGAGCTCGAGGTGTACGCCGATGGCTACCAGCTCAAGTGAGATTTGAGTGCTTCCCGCTGCTATTGAATAACGCTGATTTTTCCTCTATCTAGGCTCGTGAACCCCTACGTTCAGCCCGTGTTGTACATCCGTAGACCCGGCAGCGACTTGGAGGAGATGCACACGTTCCCCGACGACGATCCCTTCTTCTCTGAGGTGAACTCGAATACCAAAGATTCATTACACAACCGCTGACACGCTGGACTGCACAGATCTCAGTCCTGATCGACAACATCGAGGATATCGAGGAGGACCCCGACACTGCTCAGATTTTGAGCTCGTTCCAGGGTATGTAAATGATTAACCATATCAGCCTGTGGATCATATACTGAGCACACAATTTGACAGACGCGTGCAAGACGTACGAGCTGACTTGGGCCATCCGTCTCGCTGCGGAGCAGAATCGCAAGCTCAAGTTGGAGTCGCAGAAGGCGGCTGCGGCGGCTGCCCCCGCGCCCGCATAAACGACTCGTGTGGGCTGAAGGACGAAACGACCGCGGAGGGAGATGTAGACATTTATCGCAATTGGGGGGTGTTGTATGAATTTCCGGCCTTGGCAAACCAAAATGACGAAGCCTATGTGTAACAGTACTGTACATGTGCGTGAGGAGGGGCGAGCGCTGCATGTGAGAAACGACGACAGCAAGAAAGCAATGGTGTGTGTACACTGGTCGGTCGATGAGCAGAATGGTTACGAGTCACTGGGAGCCGCAACTTGCTGCCTTTTCGCCTGCGGCGGCTCGGGCAGGGCATCAACGTCAATGACCTCCGGCCCATCGCCCTCGCCATGCTTGCGCTTCAAGCCGTTTTCCGTAGAGGTGCTGCTCTCAGCAGCATCAGCCTCTCCCTCTCCCTCCGCCGCAGCATCCGTTGGCTCATCAGGCTCCGGGGCGACCTGCAGGAGGTTGGGGTCGTCGTAGTTCATAGCCATGAGCTTCGCGAGCTCGCGCTCCGTCGCCTCGTCCTTCATCTTCTGGAAGTGCGCGGTGAGGTGCTTGCGCAGCTTCGGGACGGTCGCGTGTGTTGCCTCGCAAATGGGGCACCGCATGTCCTCTTTCAGGATGGGCGCATACGTTTTCTTGTCAAGCGCTGCTTTCTGTGTGCAGCGTATCAGCATACACAGACGTGTCCCGGATTTAGTGCGCGAGGGCAAAGAACCGACCATAGCGAACCAGGACGGCTCGATGTCCGGCTCGAACCACCGAAGGACCTCGTCAATATCGAGAAAGAAGCCCATCTTCGGATGGAACGAGTTCATGTGCTTCTTCGTCTTGAACGCCTCGCCGATCATGTCGCTCGAGATGAGGTGCAAATGCAAATGCCTGCAAGAACCGGTCAGCCCGGCGCGCGCGCGTCAGCCTCTTCCTTTCCACAGCAACGCGCCCCGCCACACTACTACTGGCACACACTTGAGGTGCCGCAGCTCGGGAGGGACGTACTCCACCGAGGGCAGCGCGTGGAAGCCCATGCGGATCTCCCACGCGAAACTGTGCGTGAGCTCCATCTCGTTCTCGATGACCTTCTTCGCCTCGAGCGCGTCGCGTTTCAGGCCCAGGAGCAGCGCGTGCGCCTGGGCGCGCGGGAGCGCGAGCACGGTGCGCAGGTCCGCGAGGTCGTGCATGGTGTAGGGCGGCAGGACGCGCGGGAGGACCAGCGCGTGGTACATGCCCTTCGGCCACTTGTCGTGGATCGTGATGGAGGTGTCGGTGTGGCAGAGCCGAATGGCGTCGGGGATCTTGAGCGGGTCCATCATGGCGTAGGTGCGCAGCTGCGAGTAGGAGCCGCCTGGGCTGGGCATCGTCATGTTGGGCGAGTGTGCGGCGCGACGGGGTCGCGGACGATTCGACGAAGTGGTTCGGGGACAAGAGAGGCTGACCGCCTGGATCCCGAATAAATCGGGCGGGCGCTCGGACCGGGCTGGCCGGATGTGGCTAACATATCGTCTGGCGGCTTGCATGTCTAGCCACCTCCCAATAATCTTTGGAATCTTTTAGCATGATATCGGCGGGCAGATGAGGAGTCGAGGAGGCGGATGAGGAATATATGGCCAGGCATTAGAAGTTTAGGTGCGAGGGCGCTGTATACACATTTATTTCTGATTGTGATAATATCGTTACAACTGCTTGTAAGGATGGCTAAGCTGGCAAGGCGAATTGTAAAAGGGTGCCTTCTAGCTGGGAATGGAGGTCGGAAGAAGAGGAAGTCAATCGACATCGGCCAGTGGAAGCGCCACGACGGGGCGGCCGGCATATGTAAGATGTGGGCGCGAGATTTCGGGGGCGATTCAGTGAAACAACGAGGGAAAATGCGTCGGGGAGTTGACAGAGAAGCTCTGATTGGGTAATAGACATGAGGGGATTGCCATACCGTGGGGACAACGACAACCATCGGGGATCTGCAAGTGCCTCCGTCTACATTTCGCTCCTGGACGTTTGACTGATCGATTCCGCGCGAAACTTCTTGTACGGGCAAGTAATGCTGAGGAGGTATTGGCGTAGGGAAAAATTGGCGTCGCGAGTCATGTTGAGAAGATGTCGTAGGTATGCATCGAGCGATAGGCTCTTGTCGGCGGCGCGTCTTGGAGCTTGAGCGTACGTATGACGATCAGGGTCGACCGAAGCAGTTTCCAAAGTCTAGTACTGCGTGGGGACTTGTTTGTGACAGCGGGTTTCTTGACAGGCGAGTTCTCAGTTGATATTCGGTGGACTGGTGCTGTCGGTAAGTCGGTAGGCGGGGAGTGCGTCGGAAAAAAGGCAGCGGTGGAAATTCGATGGCTAGTGGGTGTCTTGTGGTTGAGCGAGAAGCGGAGATAGGGGCGAGTTGTCCGGCCGAGAGAGGAGCCTGACGAGGGCTGACAGGAGAAATGGGTCTCGAGGCTGTCGGCGGCGTTGAGTGAGTCTAGGGCGACGAGAGGATGCTGGTAGGGACGGGGAGAGGTGGCTAACGAGCGATCGAGTGCTGGGTGCGGCTGTCGGACTTTGGGCAGAGAATCGATCGGGGAGAGGCGAGTCGCGAGTCGAACCGATCTCCCTCCCCACGAGGTTCCCACCCGCCCCGCCGCGACTCGCGCGTCCTCTCTTGCCTCTTTGTCGTCTTGCGCGCCGTGCTCTTCTCTCTTGACGTCTGCGAGCCGCGGCCTTAATATCTAAAGCTGCGGCGAGCGCATTGGACCTCCCCGAGCGGTCTATGTCCCCCGTCGGCGAGCAGCTGGCTGAGCACACATCCTGGCGTGCTGCACATTGCCTGGCTTGGCTGCGCCGACAAGGATTCCCCCTCATTTACCTGGCTCTTGATATTCGGGATATCCTGGCAACGTCAAGCTCAACACCACCCGCCAGCCGGTCAAAGCCAACAGGTCATGTTGCGCTCTTCCGCCATGCATTCACAACGCGAACGTGGCCTCTCTGCTTACGACATTCTTGTCGGGAGAGCTCGCCCCGGAGCTCGGTATGGGCGATATCACACACAAATAACTTGCGGTGCGTTCTCTTCCGTTTCTCTTCTCGTTGATATGCACGTCTTCAACGCTGCACCCCCCGCTTCTGGAGTCAATTCTTGGTCTTGAAAGCACTCTAGTCGGACAATAGCGTCGCAGCATCCCCTCGTCTTGTACGAGTTTGTTCTTGCAGCTTGATTGAATGGCTTGACGATAGTCTTGCGCACACAAATCTTGCGTTCTTGAGGCATACCAATAGTTTGAGGCAGACAAAAGGGCGTTTCAGCAATCACTCGGTCTTTGCGTGGAAGATGTTGGTGGTTAAGAGCCTCACCATGCCTTATCACCGTCATCTTCTACCATTGAGCGCCCGTGACACGGTCACGCGCCTTGTGACGGCTTCTCGGAGACCTAGGATGGGGGAGCAGAGACGCTGGATGCTTTACCGGCCAGCAGCGCGGGTTGCTACGGAGTATATCACGCTGTGAGTAGCGTACAGGATGTGGGGGATGCGTACAGGGTGGATGGGGATCCATACGGCCTGGAACTAGACGCTGCAAGCAAAGTTCCCTGTTACAAGTCCCGAATAGCCGTCTCAAGGACGCGCTCTCGCGTTCCTGTCCTGGAGTCAACGGGAGCACTGGCTGCCTGCAAATCTTCTGAAGACCATAGAGGCGCATTGGGGGCCAAGAGATTCGCATCGGAAGGTCTGAAAGCATCGCATAGTGAAGTAAGCATTGGCCGAAGGCCGCACGTCGCTCCCTTACCTCTCCGCATTCCCACCTTCTGGGTCAGACCTAGATAGACAGCCCGAACACCGCTGTTACGACACAGACAACATCGATGCGTGCAAATGAACCGTATCCGTGACGGGCTCTTGCAGGATTTGGGCGAAGGAGGGCGCGTGGTCCGGCAAGGAGAAGCGAGCTGGGAGGACATTGACAGGAGTGGCATCAAGCGAGCCAAGGCAGAGGTGCGCATCTTCAGGGTCACGGCCCTCTTCTCAACCCATCCCCGCCTACTTAGCCTCATTTCGGGGGGCACTCCTCGCCCCCTCGCTCCTTGCCTCCCACCCCCACACTCCTTCATACTTTCATACCTTCACGGCCCATCTTCTCGTTCTTCTTTTCATTCTGCTATCTCGAACCGCGTTCGCTGTCCTAGGCTCCTCTGCTCTACACTCTGTGTCGTCTACCCGCAATATAATCCCATGCCCCGCATCGACCCTCCCTACCCGTCGTTCACGTTCGTGCTGTCCAAGCCTCTGCCCCGCAACGACCGCTCGTCCCGCCTCCCCGCATACCGCGCGTCCCACATGGGCAGATACCACCCGTACGCCAGGGTCGCCCCGAGCCAGTGCCAGGACCGCCTGATGGTACGTGTATGCGACTGCTGTGTGTTTGTGGGTCCATGTCGACGCGCTCGCAGACCACGATCGACTATCGCTACGCGGACGAGCCGTTGTGGGAGGAAACTGTCGGAGAAGCTGTACGTGGCATCATCGCTCGCAATGTTCCGCGTGTCTTGACGCTTTGCACGTTCCCTAGCAGGGCGCCACAAGCTGCGAAAACCTGTCGGACGGCGATGACGGCGACAATGGCCCCTCCCCTGCTGTCGACACCGAGCACGGTAGCGTCGCGGATTCTTCTGTTCCCCCTCAAGCCCTGAGCCGCAGCAAGCTCGTCGCCACGTTGACTGTAAGTCCATCCCCCTCTCCCTCCCCGTCGGTGCTCAGCAGAGCACAGGAGGCCCTTGTCGCCCTGCGTCGGCACCTCGCGCTCCAGGCTGTGCGGAACTTCCTCAAGGCCCAGCACCTCAAAGGCCCGCGTGCCTGAGCGCCGCAGCCCCGGCGAATCCTCGCTGCCTTCTTGATCTCGTAAAAGTTAAAACCTAATCGTCTGTACTCCCCGTCGCAGTCAGCACACCATCGCAATTCTCGTGTTTCCCCGTCCCTCTGTTCATGCCCCGCTTCCGTGCTATCGTGTCCTCGTCCTCGTCTCGTCATTCACGCTAGTCGTACCCTTCTTGCCTACTGGTCTACGTTACCGCGCCTTTTGATCCATTTGGTTATGCATGTAGATATAAGACTGTCGGTGTATCATAGTTAGAACTGGATCCTGCCACCCCCGCTTCATTTTGTACATGTACATATTGACACCCCCGCTCTCGCTCAGCGCCGTTGCTTCGCTCGGTCAATTGTAAAATCAAAAGAATGTTGGAACTACCTGCTTTTCGGTGGCAGCTGCAGCGGGAAGACGGGGCTGCAGAATATTACTGAGGATACTGGTAGGTATCGTGCAGTCGCACTGGGACCGGAGGTGGAGCGAACTTTTGTTTGCTATGGCGCCGAAGTCCGATGCCGAGAAGAATTCTCGCACACAGCTTTTCCGTCGAACGACCTCCCAAATTCCGCGTCTGGCATCATGTATATTTGGATATGTATGACACAGTACTTCGTCCTACTGGCATCATGAAATTACCTTGTTGTACATGCCGCGCGAGGGTAGCAAGATTTCGACAATCTTGAAGACGTCCTCCCCGACGTTCATTCAGAGATCTGGATCCCGGAGGTAGAGCGTGATAGACGTGTCTTCTATCCTGTGGCGCATCTACGCTTCCGATTCGCTTGACAGTTCGTGCCAATCTACACCGGGTGGCCGTGCTGGTTACGAGTATTGAGTATCTTGCTGGCGATCAGGACCGTTGGACCCCCACTATGATTCTTCGTCTGCGCCCGTGACATGCCGATGGAATCCTGCGATGAGTGCTCGTCCTTGAAACTGCTTGCAATGTGCTATTTTCTGGCCCATACGGCGGTGTACCCGCGCCCTCATGGTAATCCGCTGCGTATATGTTCTCGGCGCACCCTCTTCTACCCGGATTTTGTGCGGCGAAGAGGGAATGTCGATGAGGTTTGTGTGCGCACAGCGGTGGCAAGCGGCATTGTGCGGACCCGAACAGCGTGTTTAAAGCTTTCTCCGAACCTCTGCGTCGATCGTGTCGGAAGGACCGGCAGGGGGCGCACCCGAGGGGCGGAGTGAGCCGGTACACGTTGTTCGTTCTTTAACTCGTTCGCTGGGATGTGTTACACACCTTATCTCGCAGCACGGGGAGACGACCTGTTCGCTTCCACGGTGGATCCACACAGATGCGCACGTACCGTAGATCCGCGATATACTTCCTCTTCGGGCTGCTTGCTGTGTTATGCAAACCACAAAATACAGACACGGCGGCGGATTCTGTGTATGTGTGCTGCGGCTTTCCTGTCTTCAGTGCAGCGGGGACAAATCTCAACAGAAAACTTGCAAATGCACTTCGTGGATCGGCGTATTGAACGCAGGGAAAGTACGGTGTTCGCGACGATGTGCCTCCGCGTATTTGAAAACCTCTCGGGGGGTCTGCGTGCCCGCCATGGCGAGGGATGTCCGCAGGTACCAAGTGACGGCGTGGCAATTTCGCTGCGGTGTAGGGCATGACTGACCGCTTCGACAATCCTTGGGGAGAACAATCCCAGCGAGATAGTGGTCGCGGTGGGCCGGAGACGCTGAATGCGAACAGTCATATTGTTATGTCCTCCCAAACTTCCTGCTATTGTATCAGCATGTCCGGGGTTATCCCAATGGCTCGGCTACATCGCAGAATATTTTCAGTAGTCGTTGAGGCAAGACCACTCACCTGAATAAGAGTCCTCCTCGTGAATCCGACTTGAGCCTCTGATCAGTAGATTCCCCCGGCTGCAGCAACGTTCTCGAAGGCCTGTGTCGCCTAAATGTCGCCAGTACGAGGTCGGCGTAGGAGGGTCGGAGCAAGGTATACAGCTTGGTTGTAGTGGAGTTCAGATGAGTTCGGGGAGCTTGTCGGAAGCGACCTCAAGACTCCGGGGAGGTAAGGGCCCTGGGCGGATGACTGGACGGCGGGCGGCCATGGCAAACGGTGGCTAACATCGCGCGGGCACGGGGAGTACGTGCGACAGCATTGGAGGTGATCGTGACCGACAGGAGAAAGTGTAGGCTGACGCGAGAGATAGGATCCAGGTTAAGGAAGTTGACATGAGGAGGCGGACGGCGACGGCGACCAAATTCGAGTGGCTGACGCGAGATTGAGAAAAGTCCGACTGGCAATGGGAAGGGGGCGAACGGTGGCTGGCGAGATCATCCAAAGTTGAGTGGCTGACGAGGAAGATGGATTGGGTAGCGGGACAGGAGGGCATATGGGATGGATGGACGTTCGGAATTGTATAGCATGGCGTTCGGAGTCGGGTGGGTGCTGGTGGGTGACGCTGTCGAGGGTGGCTAAAGCGATAAACAGGGAAACGAGTGTTTGTTCGACCTCGGGGAGAAATTGAAGTGCGTCGGGGATAATATAGAGGTAGGGCGCACGGCATGGACGTTGGGGGAGGGAGGCTGACGGAGAGGAGGGCGCAGTGGCTGAGGCGGTTGCCGGACTAGGCAGGGGCCGAAGAGGCGGAGGGCGAAGCGATTTGGTTCGATCGCCGCGGCGAGTCTCCTCCACGAGGCTCGCTCCTCCAGTTCCTCTCCCTCTGCAGCCTCCTCCCCGGTCTTTCTTCCGTCAGCCTCCTCGTCGCCCGCGCTGTCGCTCTAATCGCACGATGTGCGGGCGCGTGCTCCCATTGCCGATAAACTCGACAATCCTGTCTGTCGGCGTCTTTCAGTATCCCTGGCTTGTCCGGACAATGGAATAAACTCCTCGGGCGGAATTTGCGGGCACACATGTCGTCTTGAAGCTTGCTTGCACTATTGCTTCTCTTCTGCTTTCTGGCGCAATCCGTCCCATACTGGGCTTCATCCAGGCTCACGTCTGGTCGCACGACTTCGCGACTTCGAGCTCAACATCACTGGTCAACCGGATGCGGCCAACCCGTCATGTTGCTCTCTCTTATGACGCGTCTGCAAACAGTAACCTGCAAAATTCAAGCCCACACCACCCCTCACCGAAACAACGAGTGCGTGCGCGACAATGCCCACACGTCCCGACGACAGTAGCGGAGATCGCTCTCCTGAGCAGAGTGCACGGTGCGTCTAAGTTCGCTTGCCCGGCAGATTGCAGGTACGTCTCTCCACTGCCTCTTGGCTGGCAGGTTTTGGCCTTCTGTGCTTCTAGCATCCGTCATTTCACTCTGGCAGAGCAGTATTCGTACTGCTCGCCCTGTTGTCTTGAGGCTTGAAGTAGCGTCTTGTCGCATAATTGATAGATGTTGATCTTGAATACACACATGTCTTGATGCAGTCCATGGTTTGAGGCAGTCATCGGGCAGGTATCAGCACTCAAGTGTCTCTTGCGTGGAGGATGTTGGTGGTTAAGATGCTCACCGAAGCTTAGCACCATCATCTTCTACAGTAAGGCGCCAGTGACCTCGTCACAGATGTTGTGACATGTTCCCCGCTCCCTAGGATGGGAGATTACACAAGGGCGGCTGACATTCCTGCGTTGTCGAAGAGACTTTTGAAAGCATTGACGACGCTGAGCCCTGTAAACATGCCGCTAACGTGTTTCGTGGAGGGTTGAAGGAGCGAAATACCCAGGTACAGCAGGGGCCTGGAGGGGCGTTGTGCCGCAGTTGTAAACGGCTGCCCCGTATAAACTCCAAGCACAGATGCTGCAGTCTCGTACCATATGCCGACGAGACACTTTCTGTGTCTTATGGACCTGCGTATCCCGCCGTGGCAATGCTAGGAGGAAAGGTATCCTCGCGCGGTGTGAGGTCGTTGACAGTGCCACACTTGTGCTGTATGTGGCGTCGCCGTCTACACACCTGCGCGTCCATATCCTATCTTCAGAGAACTCACTCGCACATGCTCTCTTCTATGGTGTGGTTATCATTCGCAACGTGTATGCGTGCGGAGGCGAGGCCTAAGGTATGATCGTGAGAGCGGCAGGACGCGTCGAGTCGGGAAGAGCGGGAGTCAAAGCAGCATCAAGCGAAGCTAACGGGGGTTCTCCATCTGCAGGGTCGCGAATTGAGTCGCATTGCTCCGCGACGTCGCCTCGTTTAAGGGCGCGCCATGCCCCCGCACATTTTTACTCTCCCTCCCCCCACGATCCCCCTTCCACGACTTTTCCCCCACCCTTCTACCACCTCCTCCTTCGGTTCTCGTCCTTGTTCTTCGCCCAGGCTACTCGTTCTCTCCGTCGTAGCTCTCGCTCTCGTCCCCGCTATCGTCTACACCCCAATATAATTCATGCAGCGCGTCGATCCTCCCTATCCCTCCATCTCCTCTGTGTTCTCCACCCCGCAACCCCGCAACACGCGTTCCTGCCGCCTGCCGGCGTATCGCTTGAGTCACGCTGGACGCTACCACCCATATCCCATGTATGGGCGTGCATCATGCCAGGAGCGGCTCATGGTACGTGTTCTTATTCATGTTCAACGCGTCGTGGTGTAGACGAACAGACGCGTCACAGAGCACTTCCGACCGTCGCTACGAGCAAGCCCTCCTGTGGGAGGCAGAAGAGCCCCTCGTCGTACCGGTAAGTCATGCCTAGTATGACACGCTGTTCACTGCGATTTCATTCGACGCTGACGCGTCCCTCGCCGCTGGCAGCCTCAGCCACGCGTCACAACGTGTACAGAAGTCCCAGACCCCGACGCCTGCCCGTTCGAAGACCAGCCGCTGCTCGTAGAAGACCCCGAGGACGGGCCTGCGCTCGCAAACGCTACACCTCCTGACGCTACATCTCCTATGCTCGTCGACGTGTTAGCGGTGAGTACGCTGTTTTTACGCGTCCATGGAGCGCGAACTCACCTGTGGCGGCACAGGCTCTCCTCGCTGCTCTTCGACAGCGGTATTTCGAGCGGCTTCGCGCCCTCAAGGAATTCCTCCTGCTCGAGCAGTGAGGGTCGTCTAGGCGACCGTCCGTGTTCAAACTTCAGACGTGGAAAAGGCCACTCTGGTCCAGTCCCCCGTCGTCGCAGTTTTCCTGTCCATCGCGATTCTGATTTCCTCGTGCCTCTTGGCATATCCTTCTCCTTGTGTGTTGTTTTCGAAGGTCACCAATAGGTCACCCGTTCCGTCGTCTCCGCTGTTGGTTTCATGTCGCTACTATATACATACTCATCTACCTACCGTTTTATTCTATTCCTCGATTTACTCTGTTTGCTATGACCTTGACTCCGCTCGCATGTTATGACTCTGGTGTAATTCCCCGTGTATCATAGTCTCCCCAGTGCTCGTCTATGCCTCCCTCAGCCTTCCACTGCCAGATACCTTCTCTGTACATCGCTGCTTTACCATAAACCGCAAAAAAGCATTGTCGCATTTGCCGTTGATCATGAACTTCTTGAACAACTTGAAGTTCTCGTTCCAGCCCGGCGCCGCGATCATCAGACACTTAGGAATAAACAGAGGATATGCTTCGTGGTGCAGCGGTATATCCCGCCCCGATCCCCGACGGTCGCATCTGTCGGTGGCGTCGGGGCGGCCCCGCGTCGCGCGTTCGAATATCGTTCGGAAGGATGTCAGTCAGGGCTCATAACCTATTGAAACCCAATAGGTTGTGGCACCTGCCTCATATCCTTCGGACGAGCAGCGCTGCCTTTTTACTAGTCCTTCGCCGAGGTGGAGTAGGGTGACATGCATCCACCCTGTTCGATGCCCCAGAATCTCTTCCCCGGGCATTCTACTGCGGTGGGCACATAGAACAAGAACAGCGTGTGATCCAAAGCGGCAATAACATACACGGGAGAACGTGAAACTATGCATACATCTCGTCCCATCCCTCGTCGTTTGTCGCCTTTCGGGGCTCCCCCTGCTCCTCGGGTATGGACGCTCCAGTCTGAGCCTGACCCTCGCCTGCCCCAGTCGCAGGTGCGAACAGAGCAGGGGCAGTGGGGGCCACAGTAGTGGCAGTCGGCTCATCCTCCATCTCCCGCACCATGTCCCACATGTCCTCGTCCATGTCCTCGTCCATGCCGCCGCCGCCACCAGAATTGCTGGGCCCAGAAGGCTGACGTGTGGGCGGGACGTACGGCCCGTCCGGCAAGTCGTCCATAACCGCGTCCCACATCGCCGCGTCCTCGTCCTCGTCCGCCGCGCCTCCACGCGGCACACCGTAGGTGGCCTGCGGCGTCGGGCGCGGAGCAGGTGCGGGAGGCCCCTGCATGCGCACGGCCTCGTCCTCGCGGATCATCGCGTCGATGTCGAAGTCGTCGTCCAGCGCACCCAAGGACGACGCCCCGGACGAGGGAGAGGATGGTGGGAGGGATGCCCCATGCGTGCTCCGCGGGGGGGAGGACCGCTCGTCGTCGGTCGCGATGGGCACGTCTTGCGGCTCGTGCGTCGCGGCGCGGGACCGGCTGGCGTTCTTGTTCGCGCCGTCGCCGTGGTCGTTGTCGCTGTCGGAGGAGTTGAGCGGGTCGTCTGGGCCGGGGATCTTGTGTCCGTTGATGAGCCCTTTGGCTTCGTCTCGCCAGACGCTCAGCGCCACCTGTAGTGAACGAGTGAGGAAGGGCTTCGCAGGTAAAACATGTAAGAAGTACGCACATTCATGCGTTTGGAGTGACATAGTTTCTCCACCTTCTGGACGGTGTCGGTGAAATGGGTGTTTGCGTACAGGTTGTGCGCCCAGAACTGGTACACGTTGAGGAGCCTGCCTAAATCTTGTACCTATCACGATGCACGCTCGTTAGTTCATTGCATGCACTGGGTCTCAGCATATGTTACGCACTTCGTGACCCTTTCCCTTCGGCTTGAATTCCTTCGCCTGCTTGATGAGCGCCGGGAAGCCATCGGGGCTCACGAGACGCGCCTCATCCAAGGGGCGCCGCCGCTTTATCTTCTTCTTCATGGCCGGCTCATCCCTACCCTTCCTGTCGCCCGCCCGCTTTTTCGCGCCTCCATCTTCGCCGTCACTCAAGTCTCGAGGAGGTGAGCTGCTGGGCAGGATCTGGTGCGGGGTGAGCGCGAGTCGAGCCTCTGCTTGGCGCTTGAGCGCCGCAACGTCGAGGGACGGCGCGAGGTCCTGGAAGGCGGTCTCCGGGTCGTCGTCGTCGAGGTCCGCGAAGAACGCGTCTATGTCGGGCTTATTGGAGGCCGGCTTGGACGCGTAGCGGGATTTAGATGAGACTTGGGCTTCGTTCTCAGAGTCGGAGTCGAGGAAGAGCGGGCGTGAGGAGGTGGGCCGTTTGCTGGGGAGAGGCGAGCCAAGTTCGTCATGGTCTGCGGCAGTGGAGGGAGACTTTGAGCGGGAAGAGGAGGCCTCTGCGGGGGTGTCCCAGATATCGTCGAGCGAGGCCATCGTTGTAGATCGCACACAAGCTCGCCCGGGCCTCCTCTCCCCCGCACGCGTGCCACAGACGCGTCAAGTCACGTCACAGTCACCAATGCCTGCCGCAAAACCACGCGTCAGTCACAGCTAGTCACGGCTCATTTGGGTCACGCGTCCCCTGTCGATCGCGAGCTGATCGCCACCTTCTCTTCCAGCCACCCCCGCCAACTCTAACCTTACGATGACTGCCAGCTTAGAGCAGACCCTCCCCGAGCCGGATGTCGAGGACGGCATCAAGTATTGGGCATCGCAGCCCGCCAGCTACGACGGTGTGCTCGGTATGTCTCCCCTCACCTCCCCTCTCTAGCACAAGTCTAAATATTAATGCAGCCTACGTCCATTCATAGGTGGTTTTGGCAATGGAGTACGTCCTCACGCATCCTCCCCACAGCCTGCACTAACCATGTGCGAACGCAGACACTACCCCGGGTCGACGCCCTAGGCTCCCGCCAATTCCTCCAACACCTCCTCCCCGAACTCTGCACCGTCCCCTCCGCCATCCGCCCCCTGACCGCCCCCTCCCCCTCCGCCCGCCGCCCGCGCGCCCTCGACGTCGGCGCGGGGGTCGGCCGCGTCACCTCCGACGTGCTCCTCCACCTCTTCGCAGACGTGCTCCTCGTCGAGCCCGTCGCGCCCTTCGTCGCCGAGGCGCTGCGCCGCGGGCGCGCGAGCGAGGCCCTCCCGGCCGGCGCGTCCATCGCGCTCGACGAGAACCCGATGGCGGTCCCGTGGAAGGGCGTGCGCGCGCGCACGACGAGCGTCACGTTCGTGCAGGCGACGCTGCAGGAGTTCGACCCTGCGCGGCCGAAGGGGCGCGTGCTCGGGCGGGTTGGGTATGAGGGTAATGCGGAGGGCGCTGATGCTACCGCCGTGGCTTTGGAGGACTTGGACTCCGGGTTCGACGTCGTGTGGTGCCAGTGGTGTCTTGGGGCGCTGAGCGATCCGGACCTGGTTGCGTTCTTCAAGCGGAGCAAGGCCGCGTTCCGGGATCCCGCGCGGGGGCTCATCGTCGTGAAGGAGAATCTGTGCTCTGAGACGGGCTCGCCGCGCGCAGTCTTCGACGAGAGCGACTCGAGCTTGACGAGGTGCGTTTGCACTCCATAAGGCTTAAAGTCGTACATTGGTGCTGATCATGGCCGGTATGCAGATCGGACCTGGCGTGGAAGCAGTCCTTTGCGGAAGCTGGTCTGCGTATTGTGCACGAACAGGTCCAGGAAGGTTTCCCAGAAGGATTGTACACCGTAAAAATGTATGTGACTCCTCGCCTCGGATGACCCACTTATTGACCGCCCGATTATAGGTACGCTCTCAGGTAACGAGGCCTGAGAAGGGCTTTCATTGTATACTTTACCAATCAAAATAGATGTATGATATATCACACTGCAGCAGAGTAGCAAGACCGTATTCCTATTCAAGAGCAAAAGACTAGCAGAGCCATAGGTATACAGCGAGAGAGAAAACCGTAGCCGCGTGAGCATATCGTGGAGCGAGTATGAGAGCAAACCACCAAGGAACGTAAAGTAAAGTAAAAAAAAAAAAACTCAAACCAGAAACATCGCACCGCCCACAGCTCAAGCACGCTGCAGCACCTTGCCCTTTTCCCGCCTCTCCTGCGCGAGCACCGCGTCCGACAAGGAGTGTCGCCGCTTGACCTCCGGCCGCTCACGCACACCCGAGAAATGCGCACGGACGGTGCCCTCGAGCTGCGGCCAGATCTCGTCCGACGTCGAGCCCGAGAGCGTCACGACGCGTGTCGCCGCCGCCCCCGTGCCCGCCGCCAACGCGCTGTAGTGCGCGAGCAGCGGCGACGTGGACGCGTAGAACTGCTCCAGCCGGCGCGCGAAGATTTCCTGCAACGAGGCCTGTCAGCACCGCGAGGCAAGCGCGAGGCTGCTGGCGTGTACGTACGGGGTTGTCGTCTGGCCGCTTCGTGAGCGGCTCGCCCGTCTCGTCGTCGTGCCCGGCGACCTTTGGGGGATTGTACGACAGGTTGTACACGCGCCCTGACGACAGGTGCACCCAGCGGTCGGAGATGCGGCTTAGAATCACACTGTCCGGCACGTCGAGGTTCACCACGAGGCTTAAAGGCGTGCCCCTGGCTCTGTAGCGGACCACAGCGTCAATCCTGATCATATCTCCGGATATGCACGGAGAAGACCCACGAGAGATGGTCGTCGAGAAGCTTCCCCTGGCCCACCGTGCGCGGGAAGCCATCCAGGATCCAATGCTACATACATCGGGAGCATGTAAGCATGAGCGGTAGCTATGGAAGCGGCTGCCCGTGCTCACCCTGTTCTGCAGCAGGTCGAGCTTGCTCGTTACGACCTTGAGCATGATGTCATCGGGCAAGAGGCCCCCAGACGCGACGATCGACTCGGCGAGCAGGCCGACCTCCGTTCTGAGGAAAGGCGCGATGCGTGTAAACGCCTAATCTCTCGCTGACATGAAGCGCGCTACGCACTTCTCTGCTATATGTTGCCGAAGAAGGTCCCCAGTCGACATCGACACGATATCGTACTTCTTCACGAGCCGTGCCGTAAGCGTGCCCTTACCCGCCCCCGGTTTCCCTAATACACAAGCGCACAAAACGTCAATACAACTTCAACGCAACGCAACGGACGCTCGCGACGTCACTCAAGACGCACCGAACATGATCATGCGCAACATCTTCCCGTCATGCCGCACGCCCGACGCGTCCTCCCCCTGCGCAGTCTCGGAGCGCGTCGTGTTCAGCGCGAACGGCAGCGCCTTCTGCGGCGCCGCGCTCTGGCTGATGCCCCGGCGCGCGCTCGCCCCAGCCGCGCACCGTCGGACCCCCGTAGCGGCACGCCGAGACGTGCTTGGGCCGAGCGCGGAGGTGCTTGCGATGGGCCGGAGGGCCCGGAGGGAGAACACCGAGGACATCCTTGCAAGTTGCACGCTAGCGCAGGCCAATAGTTGTGGGGGAGTAACGTTCTGCAGGCACCCGCACGGAAATGGGCAGGCTTGATTCCTTTGCGCTCGCCACGCGGGTCGCTCGCAATTGGCTCGGGTCGATGCCGCGCGCAAGGGACGTTCCGTTCGCGCTGCCTAGTGCTTCTGCAGACGCAGCGGGCCCGTCGAGCAGTCCGGGGTGGGGAGGGGAGGGGAGGGAGAAGGAGAGGAGAAGGAGGGGAGTGCGGGGGAAACCGCGTCCCCTATCTTTTGAATTTTGAGGAGGGGATCATGCAGACGCTTGCCGGGCTCCCCAACGAATGCCTTCTCCGGCACCTCCTGTCACGCGATCGTCTCTTCCCAGGCGTTCGAGCCCCAGCTTTGTCAGACCTCTTGCTCATCCAGTCGCTGCCTCGGCTCGTCTGGCTTCCTGGCTTCCTCACACTCGTCAGAGTGCATGTATAGCGCACGGTCGAAACACTTGCGGCGTTTGTGCGATATTCTGCGAGAATGACGTCGAAGATGTAGAGACGGCGCCTAAATATGCATCGTTCTGTGGGCGCCCTCAGCAAGTTGGGGAAGAGTGTACAGGTTTAAATACACCCGCATTAATCGTTACCAGAGAGACGTATACGATCTAGACATATACATACGCAGCTGGTTACAAGGAACGATCGCAGTCGCGGGACGCTTAAGCCCAGCATCCAGCCAGAACCGCCGCTCACTCTGTCAGAGTGTTCCTGAGCAGCAGTGATTGAGGCCGGACCGTCTTCTTACCAGCCTAGCCTCGCACGAGCAGCGCTGCGTGAACCCTAAGAGGAGTCTAAGTATGCGCCGCAGCCGGGTTCTGGCCCTTCTGGTACCACCCAATCAACTCGCGCATCTCCGCAACCCCGTAGGCTCCCCGCACGTCCGCCCTCGCATTATCCGCCGCGATGCAGATCGCCTCCGCGACATGGTCCACATGAATCGGCGGAATGGTGAGCGACCGCGCGAGCGCATGCAGCGGCGAGTCCGGGGTGAGCTCCGGGTGCGCAGGGCGCGGCAGGAACCCGCCCAGCGTGCGCAGGATCGCAGAGGGCGTGGGGAACCCCGCGGGGGCCTTCACGTGGATCGTCGCGGACAGGTCGAGCAGCGCGGCGACGGGCGAGATGATCGGGCGCAGGTGCGGGTGGTATATGAGCGCTGCGTGCATGCGTCAGCATACCTTTGACTGCGGACGGGGGCAGAGCTCGAGGGAGCAACGTACATGGACGGATGTATACCCCGCGGAACCCTGGGGTCGCGGTCGTCATTTGCTCGATGCCTGCTTCTGCCTCACGCTTCGTCTCGATGTATCCGGCAGGAATGACTGGACGACCGCAGTCCTCTGCGGAGAGGTATATGAACACGCGGGGGCCATCCACCTTCGTCTCTGGTTTCGACTTGATGAACGCGTCGCACACGGTCAACGCTGCGTCGCAGACGACGTGAACAACGGAAGACGTTCATGCATGGGCGCGGGCGCGAATATGAGGGCAACGCGGAAACGACCCGTCAGCACCCGCGGCCCGAGGCACACAGCACAACGCACCAGTGTCGCGGTTAATCGCCGCATACGTCCCCTCCCGCCGCTTCTCCTCCTTCTCCAGCGGGTTCGCGGACGCGCCGGCGCCCGCGACGCCCGCAGCGACGCTGCTCGCGAAGTGCGGCACGCTCCCATCCCTGAGCGCGCTCTTGTACCCGGACTTCTCGAACAGCGTCCCGATCGTGTGCACGACCGCGGTCGTCCCGGGCAGCAGGTGCGCGTACGTCTCCGGCTTCATCGCGTCGCCCTGGTGCCATTCGACCTGCGGGAGTGGGGAAGGGGGATGAGCGTGTGTGCGGACGGGCTTGGGGGACGCGGTCACACTTTGTGTACCCAGCCGGGCGTGTGGCCTTTGGGTGTCTGCCAGGGTCGGCCGGACCCGCTGCGTTGCGCGTACGTGGTCAGCACTGTCGTCGCGCCTGCCTGTGTAGAGAAGCGTATATGCGTACCTGACGCTTGCCACCTGCATTCCCCGCGCGAGCGCAGTCCTGCAGACCGCGGAACCTGTTCACGAGATGAAAGCCAGTCGCGCGGGTCGCGTGGTTCATGCGCACCTACGAAGCCATTACCGCCTATGACGAGGATCTTCTGGACGACGGGTTGCATTATTAGGCGTTATGTGGTATGGGTATGGTGGTGGTTCCAGCTAGAGAGAGGGTTGAGGCATTCAGGCAGAAGGAGACGTGGTTCAAGTTGTGCTCAGTCTCATGCAGCCGGGACAGATCGGTGAACTACCGTCGACGTCACTTCCACGGCAGATCTCGATCATGCTGGACGCACAACCGCCCACAGCGCGCTCAGCCACTCCAAGTCCGACTTCGAAGTCTTGCGTATGGACATTACACAAACACCCATGCGGGCCCACACTCACAGCCTTCAAGCTTCTAGCATAAAACATGGTGGCATTCGATGAACAGCAGAGCACGAGATGCGATTGCGATAAGTTTACGTATAAGAGAGAGCTATATGCACCGGACAACAGCCTGCAAGGGCTTCCACAGGAAAGTGAGAACGTATAGCTACAAGGCGTATCGTAATGATGAGCAGCGTGAGCGATTCTTCCGCCACCGGGGTCGTCAGGTTCGTATCAACTCCTCGTTGTCATCACAGCCAGACGGTACGCTATGCAGAGAGGGGGGCTGGCCCCGGGCCCGAGAGCAATAAAAGAGAAGACGGGAACGGAGACCAAGATGAATCAGAAAATCGGAGAGCTACGCGGGGGCGTGCTCCTTAAATGAACTTCCAGGAGACTGCATGCGTGTCAGCATATGTACAGGTAGCAAATGCGCAGGAAGACTTACTGGGGACCTCGCCCTCCTCCTCGGTGGCGATCTGGTCGAAGGCACCCTGCGACAGGTCAATGTCGTTGCCGGTGCCGCAGGTTGGGCAAGCGTCAGCGATGGTGACGGTAACGGTCTTGCCGTTCTTCGTGTTGGTGATCTGCACCTGCTTGCCGCAGAGGGAAGACTGCTTGCTGAGGTCGCCGTAGCGCTCAGTTTCTGTCAACGATGGTAAGTAACTGAACGAATCAAACGGATTGAGTACTTACGCATGGCAGCAATGAGGGCACTGTCAGGGTGGACGGTGCCACAGGCGCCAGCGATGCCTTTCTGGAAGAAGAACGTAGCGCTAGATGAAAGACGCTCTGTAAGCGGCCGGAACTGATCGTGAGCGCTCGGCGTACTCACTTTCCGGTGAAGGGGCCGTTGTCCGAGGAGGAGGTGGCGGCAGGAGTGCTCGCAGCCTTGGTGGAGCTTGCCTTGGTAGAGCTCGCCTTGGTGGTCGTGGGAGTTGCCTTGGTGGTAGTGGGGGCTTGCGTGGTCGAGGGGGCGACCGAGTGCGTCGAAGTCGTCGCGGGCGCCTCGGTAGACGTCGCATGCGTGGAGGATGCAACGTGCGTGGAAGAGGCGGCGTGCGTCATAGTCGCGGGGGCGACGGAAGACGAGGGCTCGTCGTCTTCATCCTCGCAGTCCTCATCGTCGTCGTCCGAAGTTGCAGAGGGCGCGGCGGAGGAGGCGGAGGAAGTGGGCTCATCATCCTCATCATCGCAGTCCTCGTCATCGTCGTCATCACCGCCGGTGCTCAGGACCTGAGACGCAGCGGGAGCGGCCGACGAAGCGGTGGAGGAGGCCACTGCCGAGGAGACCGCAGAGGAGATCGCAGAGGAAACCTGGTTAGCGGGGTTACACTCCGGCGCACGGTTCTTCTCGACCGTCTCCGTAGCCTGTTTGATATGTCAGATGAGATTGGCGGTGGCGGATTAACGGAGATGGATCCTCACCAACAGAGGGTGGCAGCACGCATCGAAGAAGGGCTTGCCGTGCTCGTTCTCGCAGTTGAGAGCGAGGTACCGGGTGTGGTACGTCGAGTACTTCTGTTGTGCTGTTCAGAAAAATGCTCTACGGGTGGGCGCGTAATTTACGGACCTCGAGGTAGCCCTCGTAGTACGTGTCGGGCTTCACAGCAGAGTGGCGAGCATGGTGGACGTGGCTGCGGGGGACCACGATAGCGGATGCACCGGAAGCAACGAGAGCGATGGAAGCAAGAGAGAGGAAGTGCATGGTGTGCGAGTGGAAGTACTAGGAGGGGTACGGTCGGAAAGGGAGCCTTTGACGCGGGGGAGCAATGAGTGGAGGTGAAGAGAGTGGGGGGTTTAAGAGAGCGACTGCTGGGATCGCGGAAGCGAAGCGCTTCAGTACGGGGAGACGTAAGATGGGCGGCGAAGGGCGGACTCACCGTCAACGGGCACGCTTAAAAGGCGAGGGGGAAGGGCGGGAAGGGGAGGGTGATGAAGACCGTGAGGTGAACGAGCAACTTCCCAACCACCGGGCGCCATCTTATTTATTGCCCCCTCGGCGTTCCCCGCAACCGCTGCACAGCGTCTACTCCAAAATATTTGCCTGCCCCGCCGAGGACCACCCTTGTTCCTCGCGCCGCTCCGGTCTAGATCTGCCACCCTCAATTAATGTCTGCATCGTCATGCCCACCCACCCCGTCTGCACGAAACACGCAGGACAAGCCGTCCAAGACACCCTATCCTCACTCGTCGGTCGCTGCACCTCCTCCGACTCGGGCCCGCAGCCAGATCAAAGTCCGGAGCGCCAGTAATAGCCTCAGACACGAGCGCCGCGTTGCCTCACGACACGTCCGGGCTGTCCATTTCCCAGCGGAGCATCATCACCGTCCGCCGGTGCCCAGCGAGGAGCATGGCGAACGTGCCACGCGCGACTCGACATCACAGGCACAGCAGCCCGCCAGCCATGACGTGGTCCTAAGCAATACAGCGGCAGGTATAAGACGTTCGCTCAGAAGATATATCACGCCGCACCGAGCAACGTCCGGCGCCCTAACACTTCCAAGCTTCGAGCGCGATCCCGACACCATGTCGTGTATTCCCAGCTTGAGACGTCGGATGCGAACAGAGTCAAAGAGGACAAGGACGTAGGTCAGGCAGGCGTGTTGCGCTTACGCGGCGAGACAGGCGGTAGCATTCCATGCGGCCTGCCAGTACTGCCACGCGGCACAGGCCAATAAGGCATCGAAATTGCTGCATAGTTATCCTCGCCCGCAGAGACCTAGGTGTTTATGAGATGCTAGATGTCCTCGAGTTTATGCATGTCCAGCCGCTAGAGGTGTTCGTAGAGGTTGAATTTGACGGTAGAAGACTGCGGCAACCGGAACAAGCCAAACCGCCAGCACAGACCAGGGCGCTACCAGGCGCTACTGCCGCGCAGCGACGCTCACCTCCTCCCTCCACCACACGAATATACTCCCTCCGCCTTGTAATCACTCATGAGTATGCGTACCTCTCAGACTGCTCTTCAATCCTCTCTCATGTGCTGCGCTTGACCAGATTACCCTAACGAAAACCCGTTCGCCTCTACGCACTCTCTCGACACGAACCCCTTTGAGGACCCAGCCGATGCTCAGGCGTCCGCGAATGCCGTACGACTAGAAGAATTAAGGCAACGGGAGCTAGACCTCCAGCGGAGAGAGCAGGAACTAGCTCAGAAGCAAGAGACCATTCGGAGGACCGGGCGCAACAACTGGCCGCCATGTACGTCCGCTGCTTAACTGATTGCTTCCGCTCTTAGCGTATATCGCGTCCGTACACTCCAGACTTCCCCCTCATCTTCCACTCTATCCGAGATGAGATACCCCAAGCCTCGCAGCCGCTTATAACACGGCTGTACCAGTTGTGGCTGGTCCTCGCTGGAACGCTCGTGGTGAACATGGTGGCGTGCATCTGCATCCTGGCGTCCGGCTCGTCCAACGGTGGTAGCGACCTTGGTTCGAGCATTGGGTACGCGTTCATGCTGTCCCCCGTGTGCTGCTAACATGCGTGCTCACCGCCCATTGGCCCTCAGCTACATCATTTTTATCACGCCATTGTCCTTCTTGCTATGGTACCGGTAGGTGCACGCCCTTTCACGACGGGCATCCCCGCATATAGCACCAGACAAAAGTCGTGTCATAGCCGAACGGTGCGGTTAACTATGTGCCGGAACAAGGCCTTCTGCACGACTATGTGCTGAAACAACGTTACAACTATTGACTGACTTTTGTCTGGTGCAATATGCGGGGATGCCCGCTGTGTTTGCCACAATGACCTGCTCATATTAATTCACACCTAAAGACCGATCTACAATGGCTATATGAAAGTAGGTGCGACTGCAGGCAGGCAGGAGGCATTTGCTAACTACGGCGAGCAGGAACAGGCCCTCTACTACTGTAAGACGCTGCGCGTTGCGCTGCGCACCAACTGCTGACCTCTCTCCCAGATATGTACTTCTTCTTCGGAGGGTTTCACCTTCTGTTCTCGGTCTACATGTCAGTCGAAATCTTCGCTATTGTTCCAACGTGTATTGACGAGTGCATGCAGGATCATTGGAATTCCGAGGTAGCCTTGATTGTTCTCTTAACCTAGCCCACGCTCACTGGCATCCAGCACCGGTTCAGCAGGTCTTATTCAGACTATCCAAGCCTTTGGAAAACCCTCCCTTCCTGCGGCTATCGTGGGTACCGTAGCGACGGTTGGCTGGGTCGTGCAGGGAGTGGGACTGGCGTACTATTACCGTCAGGTACGCTTTCAATTTGGCACGCCCCACTGTCGCGTGTTTAACACGATCCCCGTCGCGTCAGATCTGGGCTCACCACAATGCGGCCGGACACTCCGTCGAGAAGGTGCGCTATATCCATCGCGTAGGCCATTTCATTTGCGCGAGCTTAACCTTGCTCCACATAGGCGAAGACGGAGCTCGCCGCACACGGCGCGAAGGCGTACTTCACTCGGGGATGAGATCAGGCGGACGAGTGTATGCCATGACGAATCTAATCTTATCCTGCTCGCGGACATCGGTGCCCTGTTGTTACTTACGCATGTTTTCGCTGCCCCCAATTCCATCAGGTGTGGCCCGTATTGTCGTTCCGATTCTACCAATCGGATTATCAGCTAGCGTTAGGTTGCAGCGTGCACCCGAACGTTGAGCGTTACTTCACGCCGGTTTCGTTTCGTCGTAAGACTCGCTGCTGCCGTCTACCATCTTTACCCTGGTCCTCCACGTTCTCACTCCAGACTGCAATTTCCGTGGCGGCACAACGCTCACTGCCAGAGGAGGTGTCCCCCAACAGTTCTAGTCAGAAGCGGAGCTACCGCCTACGCGCAGGTAATAGCCGCGCGTGCTCCGTATTTCGTGTTCTTTGCGCAGCGCACGCTAGTTTTATTCCACTTCAGCATTCGACGACAGGCACCTGTATGTGTAGGGTTATGCTAGCTCTCATAAATTTGTCTGAACGACTCGAAGAAAATGTTCTATGTGGTAACTTCAGTCTACATAGTTTGATAGATTGTAAGAAACACAACAATCATAGCGGAAATGCAATATTAACGACTTTACTTAAGTCTTATGCACCTCAAGTCATGCAATGCGAGCTGCAGCGTAATACACTAAGCTAGTAATTAAGCGTGCCACATGCAGCTTAGGTAGAATCGGTCCGGCGTGCGAAGCATCGCCTCTCATTCACAAGTAAACGAAGGCGTTTTGATTCAAAGATGTGTCAGAAAGGGAGAGTGGGCGGGCGTGGCCAAAGCACGCCCATTGTGCGAGGAACGCCTTTTGTGCCATGTGTGGCACTAGCGCCCGCCGCGATTAGGCGGAGTCTGAATCCGATCCCTTCATAGAGCGCAGTTTGCGCCGCGCTCAGCTTTTCACCCAACCATCATCATATAGGTCTGTCCCCTGATGCTGCTTGCCCACCGTCCGCGTCGTACTCATCGTGTCCCTGCTGCAGGTCAAAATCTTCAAAAAATCCCCTATACCAAAAAATCCAAAAAGCAGTTGCTCTGTCGCCTCCTGTGTGCGTATAGAGCGCGTCCAATTTCGGCCACATCGACCGAGCGGCTCACCTCCGCTTCCCTTCGCAGTCGCAGAAAAGTCCACAAAGCAGTAACGACCCCCCACCATACCTGAAAAAACAATGTCTTCCCCCGCTGTCGCTCCCGCCCAGGAGGCCGTCCCCGTCGTCGAGGCTGCCCCCGTGCCCGCGCCTGCCCCCGTGGCCTACAACCCTCCCCCGCAGACCATGTCCGCCGCCCCCTCGGCGTCCCTTTACGTTGGCGAGCTGGACCCGACCGTCACGGAGGCCATGCTCTTCGAGATTTTCAACATGATTGGCCCTGTGGCCAGGTGAGTCGCGTCCGCAAAGGTCTTATCGGAGGGCCGATCGACTGACTGCTGGGGCCGCAGCATTCGCGTCTGCCGTGATGCTGTCACTCGTCGTTCGCTCGGGTACGCCTACGTTAACTACCTGAACGCCGCAGACGGTAAACCACATTCCCTTTGTCCACGTGTGAACCGGCGAATTGACCGTGATTGCAGGTGAGCGTGCTCTGGAGCAGCTCAACTACTCCCTCATCAAGGGCCGCGCTTGGTACGTTTCATGTGAAACGCGTGCGATATATGCGTCGTTCTGACTTGTGTATAGCCGCATTATGTGGTCTCAGCGTGACCCCGCTCTCCGCAAGACCGGCCAGGGCAACATCTTCATCAAGAACCTGGACGAGCAGATCGACAACAAGGTAATACGCTTATTGCTAATCTCGCGTCCAAATTACTCACGCATGTCATCCTAGGCCCTCCACGACACGTTCGCTGCTTTCGGCAACGTCCTGTCCTGCAAGGTCGCTACCGACGAGCACGGCCGCTCTAAGGGCTACGGTTTCGTCCACTACGAGACCGCTGAGGCCGCCGAGACTGCCATCAAGGCCGTCAACGGTATGTTGCTCAACGACAAGAAGGTGTACGTCGGCCACCACATCTCCCGCAAGGTACGTTCCGTTATCACCATATCACAAGAAACACATGTCTGACTGGATGTTCAGGAGCGCCAGTCGAAGATCGAGGAGATGAAGAACCAGTTCACGAACATCTACGTTAAGAACGTCGACCCCGAGGTCACCCAGGAGGAGTTCGTCCAGCTGTTCGAGCCCTTCGGCAGGATCACCTCCGCCGTCCTCCAGGTCGACGATGAGGGCAAGAGCCGTGGTTTCGGTTTCGTCAACTTCGACACGCACGAGGAGGCGCACGCCGCTGTCGAGGCACTCCACGACAGCGACGTCAAGGGCAGGAAGCTCTTCGTTGCCCGTGCCCAGAAGAAGGCTGAGCGTGAGGAGGAGCTCCGCCGGTCGTACGAGCAGGCCAAGATGGAGAAGATGAGCAAGTACCAGGGCGTCAACCTGTACATCAAGAACCTCGAGGACGACATCGACGATGAGCGTCTCCGCGGAGAGTTCGAGCCCTTCGGCAACATCACCAGTGCTAAGGTGATGCGCGACGAGAAGGGCATCTCCAAGGGCTTCGGTTTCGTTTGCTTCTCTTCTCCCGACGAGGCCACCAAGGCTGTCGCTGAGATGAATAACAAGATGATCGGCACCAAGCCGCTTTACGTCTCGCTCGCTCAGCGCCGCGAGGTCCGCAGGCAGCAGCTGGAGAGTCAGATCGCTCAGCGCAACCAGATCCGCATGCAGCAGGCCGCTGCCACTGGCATCCCTGGTGGCTACATCAACGGCCCCATGTACTACCCTCCCGGCCCTGGGGCTTACCCTCCCCCTGGTGGTCGCGGCATGATGGGCTACGGCCAACCCGGCATGCTCCCTCCTCGCCCCCGCTACGCTCCCAACGGCCAGGTCCCTGGGATGCCCCTCCCGACGCCTTACGGTCAGGCCCCTCCCCAGGCCTACGGCGGCATGCCTGGCTACCCCCGTGCGCCCCGCCCCCCTCAGGCTGGCCGTGCTCCCCCTCCCACCGACCCCAACGCCCCTCCCGCCAACGGCGCGGCTCCTCGCCCCGCTGGTCCCCAGGGAGCCCCCGCCGCCCGTCCCCCGCCCGCTGGCGCTCAGCCCCCCGCGGCACGCGGCCCTGCCCCTGGTCGCCCCCAGCAGCAGCCCCCTCGTGGACCTGCCCCCGGCCAGGGTCCCGCCCCCGGCGGCGAGGTGCCGACGATCACCGCTGCGGCTCTTGCCAACGCCTCCCCCATGGAGCAGAAGCAGATGCTCGGCGAGGTCATCTACATGAAGATCGTGCAGTCGCAGCCCGAGCTCGCGGGCAAGATCACCGGTATGTTGCTCGAGATGGACAACACGGAGCTGCTGCACCTCCTGGAGACCCCCGACTCGATGAACACGAAGGTGAACGAGGCGCTCGCGGTCCTCCACGAGTTCTCGCAGAACGACAAGCTCGCCGCAGAGGGCAAGTAAGGAAGAGTCCGTCGCGTTGTTGTTTTGATATCACATGTTGTAGCTTTTTTCCGCCCCCACCCTCCCCCGTCCTCTTTCCCATCACCCGACGTTCTCCTCTTCTTTCTGCTCCTCTGTCTCGCTCCGTGCTATAGCGGGCAGGGTTATGTGGCGGTCGTTCCTTTGTATGGCGTACGATATGGAACAGAGGCGATATCACTGCAGATACTATAGTACTAGGGGATTCACGTTGTCAATGATGATGGTTGTACCATGAAAGTCCGGCTGGCGTGCCCAGGGCTGGTGGTTGTGCGCAATCGCCCGCACATGAGAGTATGCTACAACCGGGAAAGTTTGCTAGTATTACAAGTGTCGTACATGTCTATCCCAAGACGCAGGTATCCAACGCATGATACAGGCAGGGGCGTTCACCGGCCACGGCCCATTCCTGGCATCCCACCCATACCCCCCATCATCTTCATCATGTCGCCCATGTTGGGCATACCTCCGCCGAGGCCTCCCAGACCCCCGAGCCCACCGAGTCCGCCCAAGCCACCACCACCCATTTGCCCCATCATGCCTGGTAGTCGGATCAGCACCGGAGTCGTCGAAACGCGCAACACGAAAGGGGGCACTCACGCTGCATCTCCTCCATGTCGAATTGGTCACCGCCCTGGCCCTGCATCATGGCCTTCATCATCTCCTGCATGCCGCCGCCGCTCCGCATCTGGCGCTGCATCTGCTGCAGCATGCCCGGGGGCATCGCGCGCTGTTTCACATGCGTAAGCTCCCGTAGTACTTATCTCGCGCAGCGCAACAGAGAGTACACACCTGCATCGCCTGAATTTGCGCTTGTGTGGGCATGCCGTTCGCGCCGCGCCCGCGCCCGCCCGCGGCGGCCTGCATCTTCTGCATGGCGGAGAGCCAGCCGTTCTTGCCGCCGGCCTGCTTCGCCATGTTCGCCATCATCCGGTACTGGCAGAGGAGGTCCTCGACCTCGCGCACGCTCGTGCCGCTGCCGCGCGCGACGCGCGTGACGCGCCAGGTGAGGCCCGTCGGCTTCCCGTCCTTGGCCCACTCCATGAAGAGCGCGCCATCCGAGTCGAGCTCGGCGGCGGTCATACTGTCCGTGATGTAGATCATGCGCTTCATGCGCAGCGAGCCCTCTTCGTCGGAGCCTTGGAGCATGTCTTGCGGGAGGCCGGGGATCATGGAGGCGATCTTGGAGAGCGGACCCCTGGGTGAGGGTCAATGGGTGTACGTTGGATCGGGTAAGACGACTGTACATGTTCATGACGTTCTGGATCTGTTCTCGCCAGTCCCGGATGCTGAGCTTGCCCTCTTCGAGCTTCTTTGCCATCTCTTTCTGCTTGTCGGGGTTCTGTGTTGCCATGTCCTGCATGTGCTCGACCAAGCCTTGTACATCACCCATGCCGAGTAGCTTGGAGATGAACGGTTGTGGGGAGAACTTGTCGAGGTCATGCAAGTGCTCGCCCACACCAAGGAAGATGATTGGTGTTTTTGTCGCAGCAACGCTAAAAGACGTTGAGCATCACCAGGATGCGCACGAGTAGGCCGCACTTACGCAGATATAGCACCTCCACCCTTTGCGTGGCCATCCATTTTGGTGACAATGATGGCCCCAAAGTTAGCACTCTCCTTGAAGGCATGAGCTTGGGCTTCGGCCGCCTGACCTACAAGATTGTGAGATGAATTGGACAACTTCGCGGCCTATACGACATACCTATGCTGGCATCGAGGATCATGACCGTCATATTTGGCTTGACAGCCTCCCCAATCTGCACCATCTCCTTAAACAACTCGGACTCCTGCTTATGCCTACCGGATGTATCGACAATGATAACATCGAAGCGCTCCTTCTTGAATTTCGCAACACCTTGCGCCGCAATGGAGACAGGGTCCGTTTCGGTATAAGAACCGAAGTACGCGACCTTGGCCTTGGTTGCTGACTGCCGGGTCTGGTCAAAGGCACCAGCACGGAAAGTGTCGGCACAGACAATACATGACTTGAAGCCGCGCTTCTGGTAGTACACCGCGAGCTTGGTACATGTTGTCGTTTTACCATTGCCCTGCAAAATGGCGGAGTTCAGCGCTGCAGGAGGATAGTGACCGGAGTCGACGCACCTGTAGACCAACTGCCATGATCACATTGGACTGGCCCTTCTTGGGCTTGTATGGCTCAACGCCTGGGTCGACAAGCCCCACGAGTTCATCGAAGATGGCCTGACGGTGGGAAGCCTTGAGCGCGAGGATCTGGTAGAGTGCGAAGAGTCTGACATACCTTCTGGACCACATTCCGTCGATTCTGCTCCTTGCCCTTGTCCGCACCACCCTCAATAGCTGCCTTGACTTTCGCTTTGACTTTCTGTCGTAGTTGTGCGACGAGTTTGACGTTCACATCGGATTCAAGGAGAGCCGCGCAGACCTCCTTGAGCAGTGCATCGAGGACCTACAACAAACTCCAATGAGACGCCGATTGGATCAACAGCAGTATCCCAAGATGACCTTGTCGTCGATAACAGATGCCCGGTTGAGAGAAGAGAGCGCCGCGTTGAGTTTGCGGCCGAGGTCAGCGAGCACCATGGTAGGAGATGAGCGGAGTGCGCGCCACAGTCCCGCTCGCGTCGAGTGCGAAAGCGGCTATAGCAGTCACTTGACTTCGATCACTCATGGATCGCGTTCGGTCCTGCGACGACCATGGCCAGCGACTCGGACGAGGAGTACGACGACCTCGACTTTGACAACGGGTCCGACGCAGAAGAGGACATTGATGAAGACATCCTTGATGCGCTAGAGGGTGATCTCGCGGCTGCTGCCGCGGCAGAAGGAAGTGAGGGGGAGGAGGTGAGTAGCGCCTTCGTGTTCGCTCCCTCTGTCAATATCTTACGACACTTGTGCTCAGGATACCGACTCTGAGTCGTCTGACGGGGGCTCTGACGATGACGACGGGGATGATGAGGACGTGCATGCACACAAGGATCTTGAGCGCGTCCTCACGCAGACATTACAAGAGACAATCTTGCCTGGCAGCAAGCCCCCCTCCCCAGACACCGAGTCTCCTATAACTGTAGACGGTGAGTCAAGCCACACCCTTTCTTCATCGCTAGCTCAACCTCATTCTACAGCACCGCAACAGCAGGCAGAGAAACGACCGCCATCGCCAGCCCAGCTTCGCCGAACCAAGCTCTTGTCAGGTCTCAGGTGGCCAAGGTCGTTCACCGTCGAGGCTATCTGCGCAATTCCACACCCGTGTGCCACCCACGCCCTCGCGTCGACCCCATGTATGACACACCTCATAACTGGGTCCGACGACGGTTATATTCGCGACTATGACCTGTTCTCTGCCGTCAACGGGAAGGTGTTTCTGACGGCCCCTCAAAGGCAACATTGTGGGGTGATTGAAGGCATCATGAAGGCGGGGCAAATCAGGTGCTGGTGGGAGAACGCGCTCCCTGTCATCAACCCAGACAATACATTGGCGGCCGGGGAGACTTCACTGTACCCTGTGTACAGTCTGGCTATGCAGTCGGACGCTCTGTGGGCCCTTTCGGGCTCAGACGTACGTACTCCTTGTTTTCATACTCGCGGGCCACGTTCTTACGACGTCTTTGTTCAGCAAGGCCATGTCTCACTATTCACCGTACGACATAGTCCCGGCCGGTTATGTCATGTCATGCCCGGACATAGAGGGCCCGTCTCTGCGCTCGCTCTGGCACACGACGAGAAGAGTTTTTTCAGTGCTGGGTGGGACGGGGAAGCCATTGTAAGTTTCTTGTGGTCTCTGCAACCTCTTTGCACTTTATTCATCATACATCTACAGCATTGGGACCTCAACAACGGTCAGATTGCTCGAAGGTTCTCAGCTCATGGAGCGCAACTTGCAACAGTTGCGGTGCGGCCGCTGAACACCAACTCCATACAGAGCCAATGGGGTGACATTACCCCCGGGAGCGAATTCACCATACCCATGAGAGGCCCACGGGATGATCATGCCACTTCGTACGATGCACCTATGCACCGCCCAAACGGGCAGGGCTTCAAGCAAGAGGACGACGCGAAGTCCGAGGGCTCTTACGACCCCCTCTTCGACGAGCCGGACGCAGATGGATACGAGGGTCCCAAACCTCCGCACAGTGCGAACAGTATGTCTGGGTTTCAGCAACCCAATAGCCAGAACCTAGGGCGAGGGGCGATAGCGCCGAAAGGCGCACCTCCTATCCTCGACCCCGCAACATATGCCTCTCTATCTCCAGACCTCCTCATGACAGCTCACGTCGATGGCCAAGTTATCCTCTGGGATAGAAGGGCGCAGGCCCCGGGGAAGGGCGTGGGCCGGCTGTGGATGAGTGAGAAAACACCGCCCTGGTGTATGTCGGTACGCCTTACCTCCGCTACTGCATGGAGTTCCAAGGGAATCTTACACGAGTGAGCAGGCATGTTGGTCTGCCGACGGTAACCAGATCTACGTCGGACGGCGAAACGGGACTGTAGAGATCTACGACGTTCGACAGACTGGCCGTGCGGCGTCCGGCACACCAAAGATCTGGAAGACGTTGCGGAACCCGCTCAGCTCAGGCGTAGTTTCCTGTGTGGTTGCGTTCCCAGATAGCCGGCATTTGGCATGGTGAGTGGCTGGTACCTGATGTTGGATTCTGCGAAAGCTCACTAGCATGGGCAGTGCGTCTACGGATAACATCCGTCTTTGGAACGTCGCGGAAGCCGGAGAACCAGATGCCTACGGAAAGATGAAGAGCGGCGTGCAATTCAAGATTATCCCGGGACACCATGGCGGGTTCGTTTCACAAATGCGTACGTATCTGAAATTGCTGCGTACTCGAAGTGAGTTCTGACGTTCTGAATGCAGTGGTAGATCCCGCTGCAAGATTCCTTGTCAGCGCCAGCAGCAACCGGGGGTGGCATGGAGAACACACCAAGACCGTCTTCGTGCATGAAGTCAAGCACCTGTCTTGATTCGGCGACATGTATTTGCTATGTATATATGCTATGTTGTACCATAATAGTAACGTTGAGCGCAAGTTTATTCTGTCCACAAGAAGGCCGCCAGCGCGTCCGCGGACCCGCTGGAGAAGGAGGAGAAGCGGCAGGAGGGGACATATGCGGCGATTAATCGCGACACTGGTGCGTCCAGTCTCTCGTGTGCTGTGCCTTGCGCCATGGGTGCTGACTGGTTGTTTCCGCGTTGCTCTCATATTCGCGTCCGCGCCCATGCATGAACGTCTTCCGTTGTTCACGTTGTCTGCAACGCAGCGCTGACCGTGTGCGACGCGTTCATCAAGTCGAAACAAGAGACGAAGCTGAACGGCCCCCGCGTGTTCATATACCTCTCCGCAGAGGACTGCGGTCGCCCAGTCATTCCTACCGGATACATCGAGACGAAGCGCGAGGCAGAAGCAGGCATCGAGCAAATGACGAACGCGACCCCAGGGTTCCGTGGGGTATACATCCGTCCATGTACGTCCCTCCCCCTGCCCCTGTCCGCAGTCAAAGGTATGCTGACGCGTGCACGCAGCCCTCATATACCACCCGCACCTGCGCCGGATCATCTCCCCCGTGGCGGCGCTGCTCGACCTGTCCGCGACGATCCACACGAAGGCCCCCGCAGGGTTCCCCACGCCCTCTGCGATCCTGCGCACGCTGGGCGGGTTCCTCCCGCGCCCTGCGCACCCGGAGTTCACCCCGGACTCGCCGCTGCACGCGCTCGCGCGGTCGCTCACCATTCCGGGCGGATAATGCGAGGGCGGACGTGCGGGGAGCCTACGGGGTTGCGGAGATGCGCGAGCTGATTGGGTGGTACCAGAAGGGCCAGAACCCGGCCGCAGCGCATACTTAGGGTGCGCGCAGTGGGCTCGTGCGAGGTCAGGTTGGCGAGAAGGTCGTCGTGCTCAATCAGCCCTGCTCAGAACAATGACTCAGAATGAGCGGCGGCTCTGGCTGGATGCTGGGCGTAAACGTTGTGTGACTGCGATCGTTTCTTGTAATAAGCTGCGTATGTCTAGATGGTGTGTCTCTAACGGCAATTGTCTTCGAGGCTGAGAATCTTCTTAGCTAGCTGCCGGCTTGACTGACAGGGCTCGACGGATACAATCTGCCCACCGGCCCCACTCGCTCAGGGGCACTATGTCTTGGCACGATTAAAGCTGTGCTGTCTCCCAGGAGTCTAGGCTCTGCGGCCTTTGCCCAGAGGATTCTGAGGAACACACTCAATCGACACACCAAGGGTAAGTACAACAAATCATTCACAACTAAACCCGCAGCGTTGTTGCCATCAATCACGCTATAAGTCCCTGGCAGAGAGTGCACACGGCTTGCACTATCCCTTACCCCGGCGATGGCCTACTACGACCCCGACGCCCCCCCGGACTTCGATGTATTGCTAGAGGAAGTAAGTGAAATCGGGCGCGGCATCAGCAACCGCAACACCGATTTGGAGTGGTTGTGGTTCGATGTCAGGAACAACATAATCGACGTGGTGACGCGTACAATCGGACTCGGTATGCACTCTGGAGGGCCAGCTGTCCTCAGAAGCTACACTCACTAGATGATCCCCAGGACTATTTGCTGCCATCGCCGTCGTATCACTCTATATCGTCATGTAGGTCTCCGTACTCAAATCGGTCGGCATTGCTGATGCTAAAACGCCCCGGCAGCTCGAGAAAGTGGAAAGATGGCGTGTCGGCCATTATCCTTGTCTCGGTCCTCCCGGACTGCATGTCTCAACTCGGCTTATGGCTCGCTATGCTCTCGAGACTGGCGCAAATGTACGCCGCGATGCATGCCAACATCCTCGATATCGGCGCTATGGCGGTCAGCATCCCCGCTTGCACCCACAGCTACCAATGCGGTGATAAATACGCCCCTGAAACCCACGAGCCCGAGTACACATCCCATAAATGTTTCGGTACAGCTTTTATGGCCGCAGACGTGAGTGGCACTATAGCATACTCACGCAGTCCAATCTGCTAATGCGACGCTCACCTCGCAGCCAATGATGCATGCAGCAGTAGTCTGCGTCACTACGGCGGTCTTCTTACTGCACAGGAAGAAATTCGGCCTCGTGACCGGATCCCTCCTATTTGCACCGCTCATAGCGGCTTTCGGTATGCAAATCTTGCGCTCGCATCGACATCTAAAGCTGACCTGACCCGCGGCTTACAGTGTCCGCGGTCATGCACGTCCGAAACGCATGCCTGCCCGAGACTGTCGTGGGCGAGGACGGCAATATCGAATACACCACCGCCGACTGGTCTGACTGGGAAACGTTCAATCCGCAACCGGTCGATGATACCACAGCGAGGTTGGCCTTGCTTACGCGCGTGATGCCACTGCTTCTCGTCGCCTACCATCTTTGGTGCGTCGGTTTGTGCGATGTCAGTCGCCTGTTTGCTCATGATGGCACATTCAGGGGGATCCGAGATGCTCTCAGGGTGCAACTCGGCGACGTTGATGCCCGCCGCCGATGGACTTACTGGCTGGCGATGACATATATACTACCCGCACTCGTAAATGAGGTGCGTGCGCCCGTCATGACGCGTTCTCCCCGGTCGTCTCTGATCGCGCTGGTTCATGATCCGTGCAGGGATGGCGCTCGTTGAGCAGCGCGTACAACGCAGAGGAGGACCCATATATGCCGGTCTTCAAGTACGCGTTCTTCTCCGCCGGCGATGCGATCCTGGTCCCACTCATGGTAGGTCCATCTCGCCGTGACATCGCTGCGCTCGGACCATTATACAACCTTACGCATCATTCTTAGATGGTATACCCTGGTCTTGCACTCCTTGTGCAGAGAATATGGGATTGCACCCCTGAAGATCACAGTGAAGACACGCCGGCGCAGGAGAAATCCGACACACCAGCCTCTACTCCGTCTCCCGCACTGCCTGATGATACCAAAAACAACGAAACGGCCCCTTTGACGAACTGATGTCTAGCTGCTCGAGGTCGAGGCTCAGATACACCCCTCCTCGGATCGTTGAAGTTCTTGGATGACTCTTGGGTTAGTATATAGTCGCTTTAATGCATTTTTAGGGAAGCATCGGTTGTCAACATGTCACCCAGATGCCTTTTCAACCCCGTGGGTCAACAATACTGTCTACGACACACATATGTAACAGGAAACACTTTTGACTGCCAACACATATACAATTAACCTGCATGCAGACTCGGAGCCGAATTCAATTGGCGAGTCAGAGTCACTGCCACCGCATGCCGATGGCGATGCTGTGCCTGCCAACGGCTCTGACCTCGACGACCATGTGGCACTAATACAACCGTCTAGTATCAGCGATACAAGACGAGTTCGCACTGGGCCCGCAGCAGTGCTGTTGCCATCTGTCGTGGTATAAATCTCATAAGCGGCCGTACCAGCTCGCGCCCTCAACCAGCCAACTTCGCCCATTCGTCGCTATGTCCTCCGCGTTCAACCCTTCCGATGTACTGTCCGGTATCATAAACGATGCCGCTTCGGCCATTGAGAGACGCAACACCGGTCTGAACTGGCACTGGCTCGATGTCAGGAACAACATAATAGACCTGGTGACACGCACCATCGGACTTGGTATGTTCTCCAGCTTCGATCACATCGTCCCTTGGGAAGCCACGCTCACCCACCTCCCTAGGTCTATTCACATCTATCGCCGTTGCATTGCTGTACATCGTCATGTACGTGCCTATGATGAAACGCTCACCGGTACCCGCCCGATGCTAATACCTCCCTGGCAGCTCGAGAAAGTGGAGAGATGGTGTGACGGCACTCATTCTCATCACCGTCCTCCCGGACTGCTTGTCCCAGTTCACCGTATGGCTCGCGGTTCTTTCTAGGCTTGCGCAAACGTACTCTTTGATGCGCGCCAGCATACTCGACATCGGCGTTCTGGCGGAAAGGATCTCCGCGTGCGCGAACGACCCGCAATGCGAAAAAACAATGGCATATGCTCTCTGGAACAGCAAGCCCGAGTACACGGCCAACGGTTGCGTCGGTACCGCGTTGATAGCTTCTGACGTGAGTGTCTCCCCCATAAACCTGGGTGGTACAGCTGCGGTGTATATTCTCATGGACACACTTTATAGCGAATCTTGCACGCCGCGGTGATCTGCGGCGCAGCTGTCGTCTTTCTGCTCAGTGCTAAGCGACTAGGGGCGGTGACCGGATTGCTCTTGTTCGCCCCGCTCGTGGCGGCCTGTGGTATGTTGCCGTCTGCGTCACCGCCAACGCCGTGCGCCCACCTCACTTGACCCCACAGTCTCCGCGGTCATGCACGTCAAGCGCGTCTGCCGCCCGGACCCTATCGTGGTCCCTGGAGCCACCTTTCTGAGGGTTTCTACCCACTGGGAGATATTCCACCCGAAAGGGATAGACCCCACCACGACGCGATTGTTGCAGCTCACGAGCGCGGTAGCGCTGCTGCTCATCGTCCATTACTTTTGGTACGCAACTGCTTGCTACACCGTGCAAGTCCGCCACGCTCACCATCCGGACCGCTGGGATATTGTAGGACGAACCGCGGAGCGCTCAAGCTGTTCCTCAAGGACGGTCCCAAACGCGGTCAGTTCACCTACTGGGTGGTTGTGACGTTCGTACTGCCTATGTGCGTGAACAGGGTGCGTGCGCCAACAATGGCTACTTTTCGTTCGGTCGTGCTCATAAACTGATTGGCATGCTGCGTTCTGGCTCGACACAGGGGTGGTATTTGTTGAGAGGCGCATACCGCCCTGGGCCAAACATGCTGGTCCTCCAGTATGCCTTCTTCTCCGCAGGCGATGCGCTCCTCGTCCCGCTCATGGTACGCCCCTCTTCGAACTCAAGTGTTATTGGTGAATGATACGCATGATATATTGCTAGGTCATCTACCCTGGGATCGCCCAGCTGGTGCAGAAGATATGGAAGGAACGCAATCCCGAAAGCGATCCAGTCATCCCTGCCCCGGAGAAATGTGACGCGCTAGCTGCTGTTGATGATGCTGAAAAGAACGAGCCGGTGTTGTGAGCGGATGACGATTCGCAGGACCAATTTCTATACATGTGGGGATTAATGGACCACCCCTGGGCTCGTCATTAACTGTGTCTTGCTTCCATGCCATGAACAAAGTAGAGGACTCTGCTTCTTGTACAATTGATCGATGATATTTATGCGTCCCTCGATATTATGATTCGCTTGTGGCAATATCCCTGCTCGACTTCGGGTTTGGTCCTTGCTAGATCAGCGCGGTGGTAGATGCCCGCGCACCTTCAGCTTAACGATACCCTAACAAACCGATGTTATTGCCCTGCATACATGATAGTACATCGGGGATACCAGACGGATCCAACACCATAGCACAGATCAGAAAAACAAAAACACACCGCCTGCTATCCAATTGGAGGGCATATCCTCACTTAAATAACAACCACTCCTCAGAGGTCGGTCCTCTTGTCATACCGCGCCATGGCGGGCTGCGCGCCACTCCGCTGGAGTTCCGCCGCGACGCGCTCGGCGCCCTCCATGATGCGCAGCAGGTTCCCGCTCGTCAGCCCGGCGAGCTCCTGGGCGTTCCAGCCGCGCTTGTACAGCTCGGCGATCTATCACAACACGTCAGGCTCGCGAGTCGAAGCGTTCGTCTAGATATCACGCACCAGGTCGGGGTATTTCGTGACGTCCTCAAGGCCGACGGGCGTGTCCCCGATGCCGTCGTAGTCGCTCCCCAGTCCGACGCTGTATCGCAAGTTCAGCAATGCCATTGCCATTTACCGCGCGCTTGGAACGCGGCTGCTTACTGTTTCTTTCCAGCAATCTTGGCTATATGCTCGACGTGGTTCGCGACGGCGTTCAGATCGGCCTTGCCTGGCGGCGCGACGAAGTACGGCGCAAAGTTCACCTAGAGCGAGAAGCTCTCAATCAGCTCATCTCCGACCCCTTCTCACAGTCTGACCATACCATGACCACCGCGTCAGTCTGGTTCGGCCCGGTCCCAATGAGCTCAAGAACATCATCCGGCACGTTCCGCGGCACATCATGCACCGCGCGCGCCGACGAGTGCGACCAAATCACCGGCGCCTTCGAGTGCCGCAGCGCCTGCTTCGCGGTGTCGTCCGACGTGTGGCTGAGGTCGACGAGCACCCCGAGGCGGTTCAGCTCCTCGACGAGCGCGAGGCCGTACGTGGAGAGCCCGCCCCAGCGCGGCTCGAGCCCGGGCTGGATCCCGCACGAGTCGGCGAAGGCGTTGTGGCAGGCGTGCGTGAGCGTCACGTAGCGCACGCCGAGCTCCTGGTATTGCCGCAGGACTTGGAGCGAGTTGCCGAGCTGGTGGCCGCTGGGGTGGGGGTGAGTATGCTGGGTGAATGCGGAAGGAGGAAAGCGACGTACCCTTCCACACCGAGCAGGCTGGCGATCTTGCCACGGCTGATTGCGGTCTTGACGTCCTTAGAGGTGAGCGCATAGCTGAACGTCTACGGGGAGGGTACAGGTGAACACTGAAAGTATGGGTATATCAGCATATACACTCACATCGGGGTACTTGTTGATCAGCAGCTTCGCAATATCAATCTGCTCCAAGGTATCGCTGTAGTATGGTACTAATGAGAACCTGGAAATGACTCCATACACGTCACGCGAACGTACCGGACGCGCCAAGTTGCGTTCAGGAAGTCGTCGCCTTCATCAGGCCCGGGGCAGCCGACGTACACAGACCAGAAGAAGCCGCCGACTTTGCCCTCCGCCAGGCGAGGAATGTCGAGATGCCCGGGGAACTCCTTGGACAGATCCACCGCAGACGCGTTGTTCGCGAACAGCTCACGAACAAGGATAGGGAGATCTGCGTGAGCCGCGCGCGTTAGGCTGAAGCAGAGAATTTATGGACTGCCAAGTACGAACCAATGTGGCCATCCTAGCGAATAAGAATGAGTGCTCGCCAGACCACTCCTAGCGGGGTATAGTGCTCACGATAACGGGGGCGTTCTTGAGCACTATCAAGGCAGCTTTGTGCGGATCCTTCGGCAGAGTTCCGATCCCGGTAAATGTATCCCATAGGAACAGGAAAAGTACGAGTGCCACGACGAAAGCAGTGGTGAGTACGCCATAGGTGATGGCGCGAACCGTCGCCGCGCGCCGAGTGTTGTCGGGGGGAGCGTTAGCGTTGCGCGCGAGGTTGGGGATGTTCTCCCCGAGGAGGGGCGCTGTCTCGCCGTTCTCCGGCATGGTGGTGGGAAGGAGGGAAGGGTGAGAGGGGGTGGACCGCTGCGGCTTTGGAGAGAGCCTGGTTGAAGAGGACAGGCTCGAGCTGCGACCGCGGGTGCGATCCAAATGCGCCCATGGATCGGCAAGCGCGCTGACGCAATATGGGCGCCTACATACGATCGACTCTTCGGACCGTTAACTCCGAGCGCATCCACTGTGCCTCGCACTCGACGGCGACTTGTGGAAGAGTTGTTATACACGGTCTAGCAGTACACAGAGAAATGCGAGCAAGAGATACTACAGTAAGGTACTCCAGAGTGTCCTACGCCGAACGCCCCTTCTTCCATTGCTTCTTCTGCACAGATGCTGCAGCCTTATTCCCAAACAGAAACCGCGACGTCCGCTTGTCAGCCCCGGTCTTTCGGGACACATAAGCTGATCCCGAAAAGAGGAGCTGTTCTCAAGATAGTCAGCAAACCTGGCATACGATAATGAGACCGGAGAGGTTACTTACCGCCCATAGTCCCCAGAGTCCGATGGTGCCTGAGCCGAGGAACACCAGAAAGCCTAGAGGGCCCACGGACTTGGTGTTGTACGAGATGAATGAGATGAGAACACATGCTACGGAGAGGGACCCCAAGAGGGGGTGTCCAGGTGCCCCTCGCTTTGCCGTCGTGTCCAAGGGGTCCGACGGAATCTGAGGTAAAGCTAATCACCGGGTGCTGAAAGTACGCGATTCACTGGGGACGTACATTGAACACTAATGCGAGCGCAATGGCGAACACTAATATTCCGGTGTGGAATGCCATGAAGGACTCGAGGGGCGTCAGAGCAACCCTCCGCTCAGTGCCCGTCTCGGACAAGAAGAGGAGCAGCCTTGGAGAAAGTACTAGGGGAACGGCGAGCACGAGCAGTCTGTCGAACATTCGCTGAGTCTCAGTATTGCACTCATGAAAGTAGATATGTATACGCACAGAATCGCTGAAGCCCATGCCCATGCGTGAATCACTCCGTCGTCTACCGCAGGGAAGTTGGTGTCCGGGAGGGGGGCACCAGTCTCGGATGTATGATCAGGCTGAGTTTTCGTGGTGGGTTTGGACAAGTCTTCCAGTTCGATATCGACAGCCATGCTGGGAGCTGGTGGTCGCGATTGTCAAGAGAGACGTGCGGTCCAGAGTGAGTAGTAGAAGGACACGAGTCCCCGCTGCGGAGACGTGTTCCGTGCAGCCACAGGCAAGGCGCGCATACAGCCATGACGTCACGCGTCCTTAATGAGCAAGTCTTTCTGTTTGTCCTTGTTAGAATCAGAAGCTATCGCCCCCAACCACTCAACGCCATCGTGGTCACCGGCGTCTCGCCATCCCTACGTACGTAAGGACACAGTCGTTTCATCGTTACAAATGGCTAAAATCGTTTCACAGCCTTGATGGAAGCCACGTGCTCCAGACTCGACGATCCAACCTCCTACGACGATTTTCTCCAGGCGTACCTGTTGCCCAATCAGCCGGTGATCATCGGCCCAACTCTCGTATCCTCCTGGCCTGCATATAAACTCTGGAGACGAGCAGGCGATACAATTAACTGGGCGTACTTGAAGGACGTGTACGGAGATCTGGATGTCACCGTTGCCGACTGCGCTACGCGCGAGTTCAGCGACCAACGACGCGACCAGATGCTCTTCCGAGACGTCGTCTCCTTGTGGGAGGCGGGAGAAGGCCAGAGCTTATACGTCAAAGACTGGCACCTTGCTCGCACTCTCACATTGAAACTCCCTTCCTACGACGTATTCTATACGACCCCAGACATCTTTCGCGACGACTGGATGAACGCGTACTATTCGGCGAATACAGAAGACGACTTTCGGTTCGTGTATGTCGGAGCCGCTGGGACGTTCACTCCCCTACATCGGGACGTCTACACCTCGTACTCATGGTCCACAAACATCTGCGGGCGCAAGCGATGGTGGCTGTTCCCCCCGGAGCAGACGCACCTCCTCTTCCGCAAAGGCGGCGAAGAACACCTGGAAACTGCTTTCGACGTCCGACATGTCGACCCTGAAACGCATCCCCTGTTCGACCAAGCGAGGCCTATTATTGTCGAACAGAACTCGGGAGAGACCATTTTCGTGCAAGTTTTATCAGTACTTGGTCAAGATGCGTCTCGCTGACCAGGCCCTTCTCCATTCCAGCCCGAGTGGATGGTATCATCAGGTGGAAAACCTCACAAACTGCATATCCATCAACCACAACTGGTGCAACGCTGTGAACCTACCCTCCCTCTATGCCTCCATGTGCGCAAAAGTCCTCGAGGTAGAGCACGCCCTTGAAGATGTTCGGGAGCTGCTCTCCCATGGATCCGCGCAGTCGCCGGATACAGACCCAGAAGCGTGGAAGCAGGAGTGGGTCTCGATCGTGCAGGATGTCGTGGAGAAGGACGCAGGCTGGAAGTACGTGCGCCTTTTCCAGGTGCTGTATCCAGGCGCGGTGCTGACACCTATGCACAATATCAGCTGGATGACGTTCTGGCGCATGATCCTACATGCGTTACGCCTGGCTATGGACAGGCCATGTAGCGTCAACGACACGCTGTGGCCGCGCACTCCTTCTGATCTCATGCCGTCCCCGGACCTCATCAAGACCCGGGTCAGGGCATGTTACGAGGACTTCGTAAAACGCCCCGAGAATGAGCATACTCTTCTCGCTGGCCTTGAGGAAGTTCTCGTAGATGTGAAGAGATTGCTGGACGAGTAACTTAGAGGTACGACACAGGTTATCCTTCATTGCTGTGTTAGCTTGCACCACCTCGAAACTACCCAATACAACGAGGTGCGTTGCTCTGAGTAGTCCCTTGGAAGAAATGTCGCCTCACCGGATCGAATTTGATCATACAGGTCCTGCAGGTATTAAGCGACCCCACCAAAGCTGAGGAGCAAGCATTCGCAGGGCCTGAGCGTACTCTTCCACGCGGAGGATGTCTAGGTATTCGCATATCTTGCGCGCAGTCGCACACAACAACACCCTTTCATCGAGCGCGAATAGTATACAATGTATTACAGCCGGTAGCAAAACTGTGATAAAGTACGTACGTGAGAGTGAGATCAACTACAAGAGGACTGTCCCAGCGCGCGCAGGCGCAGATCTACATTTCCTACACCCCACGCTCAGAAGCCGCCCTGCCACCCGTTCCCCTGGATCATCGCCGCGCGCGACGGGTGCACGCCCGCCGGCGCAGGCGGCTGCGCGAACCCGGACGGGCCCGGCTGCTGGTACGAGGGTGTCTGGAAGCCTGCGCCCGGCGGCGGCGCGCCGTACTGCGCACCGCCGTACTGCGACATGCCGCCGTACGCTGGCGGGGGCATCGAACCCGGGGGGGCAACGCTCGGATGTGTCGACGCGCCGCCGTACGGATTGGGTGTCCGGCCCACCTGGCGGGCTGACATGTGTCCAGGGGTGGAGTGTCCAGGCGCGGGCGTCCTGGCAGCGGGTGTGCGGCCGCCGTATGGTGTCTTGCCTCCTGGTGCACCCCCGAGACCACCACCGAGCGACATAGATTTTTGTCTGGTTTACAGTCAGCACAAACGTCGGCATCCAGGGTGTGAAGGGTACATACCGGACTTTGAAAGCGTCGCACAACTCTGGCACACCTGCCGCTGGCGTGTCGAAGAGATAGTAGGCGTGTGGTGACACGCGGACAGGCTAGATATTCGTCAGCTTGATGTCGCGAAAAAGCAATATCAAAACGCATACCCAAGTCTGTACAGTGGAGTTCTTGTTCGCAAGATAGCAGAGGTTGAAGTGCCCTGGCTTCTTCCGGTTGAGGGTGAATCCATAAGCACTCTTCGAAGGGTTGGCCGCGACGAAATTCCGCAAGAAGAGGTCTGCACGAAAGTCATGTCAGCAGTGCGGAAAATCGTGTTCGACGTCAGCGCTTACGAAGGTCGTCCTCTGTCCCAGGCTTGAACTTCTCATGCACCATCAGCTCTTCCACCTTCCGTGCCATGGCTTGAACGTGGTTGACGATGAGCTCATCCAGATCGGAGAATTGATGCGCGTCAACGACGAATTTCGAGCCGGCCCCCTGTCCGGAGGGATCCGCATTCAACTCGACGACGTCTAGAGTTAGGCGGTGTGTTCAGCAACGTCGCATTAGATACAAACGTAACCACATACCGATGTGCTGGTACAGCTTGTCATCCACCTTCCAGGTGACCGCGAGGTGGTTGCCGCCCTTTGATGAAGAGCGAATGACGACATCGCCGCGCTGCTGCTTCTCCAGATACTGCTCCGCCTGCTGCGAGTTGAAGTTGTGGAAGTTCGGATGCTTGATGACCCGTCGTGTCCTGCCAACCGCGGCTTGCGCCTTGCGCGCCTGCATCTCCTTGTCGCGGTCATGCTGGGTGTGGTCCCAGGCGTCGTCATGCTTGACGCGGCGGAACTGGCTGTCGCCAGCGCTGACGTCGCTGTCGCGAGACGAAAGCTCGACGGTGAACTGGTCTTGGCTGAGATCCAGCTTGACGTCGATGATAACGCCGGAGAGCGTTTGTCCCTGCTTCACAATTGCCGCGCATTGAACCCCCTCATCCGTGAGATAGCGCCTGGCGATCATGCCCTCGATACCAGAGTCAAGGCGCACAATGACGAAGTTCTCCTTGACACGGACGACCTGCACCGAGACGAGGATACCGACATGGAGCGTCCGCTTCGACTCGCCAGTGAGCATCGTGAGAACCTCCCAATCACTGGGCTGGATGAACGGCGGGCGTCGCTCGCCGAATGGATCGAGCAGCTCGGCGCGAATGACGTTCAGTGTGTGCCGCTTCTTGTCGTTGTTCGCTTCGAACATGTTGACGGCGAAGTCATCCAGATTGAGGTCGTCGAGCTTCTTGACATTGTCATCGTCCTGCATGATGACGGCGACTACGTGCGAAGGGTGCTCGTCGTGGATATCTTCTTCGTCAAGCTCAAGGGCGTCCGTGGCCATCTTGCGGGCCAGCTCGTAGTCCTCTGGATGAATGCGGGTACTGTCAAGCGGGTCGGGGACGTCAATCTCTTCGCCGTGGCGGTTCTTTGAGGGTTTCGGCTCCGAGTCTTGGACGATGCGAAGGAAACCAGCGGCGTTCAAGAAGATCTTCGTGGTCAGGAGGCCATTCTTGATAAACTGATCTCGGTTCACGAGGTTGCCACCCTAAACACAATACGTTAGGACGTTAGGACTGAAACAGCATGTGTGTATGGAATAAGCATACCATGGAGGCGATCTTTTTGACCAGAACCTGTGCCTTCCGAGGACCCAGACCGCAAATGAACCGTAGAAGGTGCTGGTAGTACGAATCGGTCACAGCGCGGTTGATATCAACGCCAGCCTTGTTGACCGCGTCGACAAGAACACGCTCCAGGGCGGAGAGCAGTTTCTCCTTAGGGACCTGAAAGGAGAGGGATGAGTAAAGGTGGTTGGTTAAGAGGGCACGCTGTTATGCCTACTAGCTGCTGATACTCGTCCTCAAAGGTGATCGCCGTAATGTCAGAGCCCAAGGCAGCATACTCGTTGAGCGGGCTCTGCACATATCGTGCCAAACCGATACAGTACTTTCCGAGGGGAGTCAAAGCGCTGAACTCCTCGGCTGCGCGCGGACTGTTCTGATAGATCCGCGCAACCTCGTCATGCACGTAGATTACCGGCGTAGTGGGCACCTCGTCGGAGCTGGTCTTCGTGCTATCAATAAGCTCCTTGATCCGCCGTGCAAGCTTCGTGGTGGCGATGCTGAAGCCTCCGATCGCGATGACATCAGGCCGGCGACGCTTCAGCATGTCCATGAACTCGTCTTGGTTCTCGGTGTTGACCAGGTTGTCGAGTTTTGTGTGCTCGCGCAACCGGCCTGCCTCGTCGATGAAAACGATTGCAATGGAGTCCTTGTGCGGGTCGCCCTTGCCCCACGACATGGCCATGACGGAAGGCGTATCTCCCCGCTTCATCGCTGGCGAGGCATACGGTGCAACGTCGATGCGCTATAAAGTGTTTTTAGAAAAAGAACCCGTGCGCATGGCAATCGTGCTCACCTCTCGGAGACTCTGCGCGCATTGTTTCGCAAGGTAGTCTTCGGTTTCTTCTCGGATCCACTCACGCGTCCATTTGACACCAGCGGGAAGAAGATGGTGCTCGAGCGTTTCTTGGATAACGCGCGAACGCTCCTCGTTCCATGCTCGTGCGGTATCGCTGAAACTGTCGGAAGCGAAAGCGTCATTGAGTTTGCGCTCAAAATTGGCCTTTGCGTCTGGGCGCAGGGTAATCGAAACCGTGACAAGATGCTCCGACTCGGCGGCAAGGATGTTGAGGAACTGGGGTGATTGCAGCATGTCTGCGGCGCTCTTGTTGAGCAAGTACTTGAAGTTCTGGGGGAGAATCAGTAAGTGGACCAAAGTCTTAGGACAGACATACTCACGAAATACGGGTGATGCTGGTCGATTTTCGAGATACCTCGTTCGGTGGGGGTCACCGATACCAAGGCATTCGCTTTGAAAGTATTCCGCATTTCATGCCGAAGGAGAGGGTCCTTCCCAAGCTCTGTGGCGATGATCATCCTAGCTCTGGTAAGGAGCTCCTCGGCCGGCTGCGCGCGGGTTTCATCGGGATCCACGTGTTGCTCCGCGAACGCCAAAGGATTCAACTCCTGCTCCTCCACGAAGTGGGTGTTGTGATCAGAGATGAAGTTAAGGACGACTTCGTGGGGCTTGATGCCGAAACCCTACCATAGAAGCTTTAGCTTCCATCTGGAGAACATGTACACCGACACGTACCTCGGCAATCTTCGAGACTATACTCTTCTTCGCCAACTCGTAGGCAGAGACGCGGCTAGGCATCTTGTGCTTGCGAGTTTCACCCTGGTCTTCGTCGTCGTGGAAATGGACGTCGAATTTGCTCTTCTGCCCGTCGCGGTACTTCATACCGAGCCACTCGATGGCGTCCGCGGCCATCTCAGCCGTATCAACCCGCTTGCGCACCTCTTGGTCGAAGTAGTCGTCAGAGGCGCCGAAACGAGCGTAAAGGGCGTCCAACGCGGCGCGGCGCTCTAGCAATGAGCGATACTTCTGGCCGACGGCGTACAAGCGCCATAGCTCCTCGAGTGAGAGAAGCTCTACGGGTGCACGGGGATTCTGTGGGTCGAAGTAGGAGATGTAGTCCCGCTTGTGGGTCCAAACGTAAGGAACCTCAAACTCAGAAACGAAGAGGTACCGCAGAGCGCAAGTGATGGCCTGTACCAACGCTTCCAACAGGTGGTGGAACTGGCCGTCTCCTCGGAAGAAGTCGCGTTCTTTTCGGTTTGAAATACGGGTGATCACCCAGGATGCTGCGTCGTGCAGGTCGTTCTCAGTGAGTGGCTTGTGTATTGATAGAGTGGATGATGAGGAGAGAGAGGAGGTGGCCAACTGCAGTCGTTCCGGTATGTCTTGAGCTCGGATGAGGTCGTCGTCCTCCGTCAATAACCTCGCGCGGATTTCCGAGGGTTCGAAGACCTATGATAATCTCAGCAACTCTCCGCCAACACAGATGCGGACTACGTACATCTTGGTATTTCATTTCAGGCTTCGCCTGTTCTGCCTCGTACGCGTTCTCCTCATCATCGACCAGAGCCCAGTCATAGTCATGACCGTCACCGAACACTTCGTGGATTTCCTCCCAAGCACTGCAGAGTTCATTGGTGATTAGTGTGAGTGCGAGAACAGGAGATGCTCACTTCTGGTCAATCCCAGCCAGTTCGGGACGGGAGCCGAACGCCCTCCGTCTAGCCTTCTCTAGCCGTCTCCTCTCCCTCCGACGCTCCTCGCGCTCACTCTCATCCATGGCCCCACCTGCTTCCTCCTCGTCCTCGTATTCGATGAAGTTGTCCATGTCGTCCATGTCAACATCATCGTCGTCCCGGCCAGCAGCCGCTCTCTCGTCGTCCCAAATATTGTGAATGTCATTGACGCGAGGGAAGTCGTCATTGTCGAGGTCTTCATCGGAAGACTCGACCACAGCTCGCGCTCTGGACGAGGATGGAACTGGGGGTGATTGGGCGTCGCGTCCCGGACGTATGCGGGTGAGCCGACGAGGTTGGGAGGCACCAGTGTTCTCCTCCAATAGCTCCAGGTCATCCTCGTCAAGGGCATCCTCCTCCTCATTGTCTGTAAATATGAGATGTAGTGAGTTGAAGAGTAAGCCACACTCATAAGGGCGAATACATACGGGATCGGTGGTGACGCTTCTTATGCCTCTTCCGACTCTTATGTCTTTCTTCCTCCTCTTCTTCTTCCTCGTCCTCGTCGACAATGAACCCTTCCCTAATCCTCCGCTCTTCCTCCTCGTCTTCTTCCGGTTCCTCTGAGCTATCATCAGACGCGCCAGCAGGAGCTACAGCATCGCCTTCCTCCTCTTCCTGTCCGCTGCCCTGCATAGGGTCATCTTCGTCGTCGCGAGGCGCGTGTTCATGGTTACGGACGGGGGAGGACATGACGGAAGCAAGGAGAGTGGTCCAGAGACCAGTGAGGGCCAAGGTCGAACTGGTGTCTTGCCTTTCCTGCACAATTGGCGCTGAGAAATCTGAGATCGAATCGGCTGACCAAATTGATTGTTTTGCTAGGTGAGACGTCAGTCAACCAGGCTACAATAATGCTAATACAGGCTACAAGCGTATACGTCGGAGATTTAACCTCCTATTGATAGCGATAATAGGGAGGACCAACGGAGCTCTTACTTCGTACAGACGGTATTGCTCACGTCCGTCTTCTTCTCTCACCATCCCGTGAACCCGAACATGACCTTTTCATTATCCTTACAAACTTGAGGTGTCCTGGGGAAGACTCCACGCTCTGGTGGCGTGCCAAGGGCTTCCATTCTAGACAACTCACCAACGCAGCCGGTAACATCGAATGAGACGCTAGCCTACGCTACCGAACTCCCAATGAGTACTGTATGCGGGATTGGACATCGAGTGTCGAACTCTTGAGATTCTGAGAGCGTGTATTCCTCGAGCCCCGACTGGGGCTTGTAACACTTCCTTTGCCTCGAGGTGCGCTATACCGTCCACTTACTTCACCTCACAACCTGAATGAAGTGCTACGGAAGACGATAATGGTGAGTCTTCCATGAGCTTTTCATATGTCTCTTTTAGCATTACTAATGCTTTACGAACGAACAGGAGACTACACATATGGAGTCGCTCAAGTGGCTGCAGAGCTGCACTCCATAATGTATGTCCACCCCGGCATAGCTTTCATGTCTACATTAAATGGGCTGACGCGGTTGCATGTACCCCTACGCGTGTTCTGCTGTTTGTCGTCATTGTTGGCACTAATTAGTCTCCCCTAGGCAGACGTACCGATGAGCGAGCTCAACGGACGGCACTAATAGGGCTGCAAACCTACCGCTCCCTGACCGCCCCACCGTTACAGTGCGGCACTCGGGATCGGGGGTCCCAGAGAACAAATATTAACTCTACTTCGGAACGGAACCGCGGACACGCTGACGTGTGAACGTGCACTGTGCGCTGCACATACAATCTGTTACTACAGGACACGCTCACAGCATCGCTCTGCTTCTTCGGCATCCCCCACTATTTATGATGGGCGGCATGTAACAGGGCCACAGGCTTCCGCGAGCGCGCAGCGGCGCAGCCCAACTGCAACAGTGTCCTCATCATCGGATCTTCAGATGATTGCGAATCTGTCGCATCGCAAAGCTCACCATCAGCTAGTCCACAACTCCTCACACCATCACGTACAGGACGGCGTGCTTGGGAAACAAGTTTGGACACCACTTGCAGGCAGGCGTCTGGGACGGCTAGGCCCATAGCTATAGGTGCCCACTGCCCAGCCGTCCTGAACATTTTCAAAACGAACAAATGGCGCGTATTGGTATCTTTGAGTGACATCGTGCGTTTACATGCGTCACATCCATCTGTGCTCGCAACACACACTGCCAATTGGGCGGACGGATTTTACCGGCCGAAGCCTAGTGTGGGTTGCGCGGGATGATTGTAGCTTGAGAAGGACGCTAGAAGATGCTCTGTCATCTTGAAACCACGCATCTTCGTTGATGGTCTGCGTATATTCCTGTCACAAATTCAATCCCTTGGCAAATCTCATTGACTTCGTGTTGTTGCCTGCACAGCAACTTGACAGATAGGACGGCCCAGCCTGCGGCGCCCATGAAGATAGGCGCAACCAGCACATCCCAGATTTATATGCAGGACTCCCGGGCGGTCAGCACCAATTCGTTAATCGACGCCGCCTCGGGCAAAGCGACCATTGCATCCGTCGGCGAGATAGGGCTATAACAGCTCCTCGAGTCAAGATTCAGCCATCCTCATTCTCGCCATGGACAAACTCGCAGTTGAGCTGCTGACCCTCATATCTTTCTACGCATGCACCGACGGCGGCCCGACCGGTTGCTCCCTCTCTCTCGTCTCGCGGCGCATCCGCGAGGTCTCCCGCCCCGCCCGCTTCTTTTCTGTATCCCTCATGACCTCGCCAACACAAATCGAACAGTTCCTCGAGTGTCTCCAAAATGAGCGCGCACGCGCCACCGACATGCTCCCCCGCGTCCGGCACCTCTGTCTCTCGCTCTTCGGCAACGGGACCGCAACCACCACTTCTACCCTACCAGCCTCTCCATCTCCGTCAATGCCTGCGCCCGTGGGGCCACCGAGGTCACGCGTGGAATTTCTTGCGGCCCAGCGGCGGCGTGCGCAACAATGGCACACGGGGCAGGACACGCTCGACGAGCAGTACGGACGCATCATCCCAGCGCTGATCCGCGCGGTCGCCCCCGACGTGCATACATTCGCGTTCCTGCAGGCGCAGTGGCGGAGCACAAGCGTCATCCGCTGCGTGTTCCCGAATCTGCGCGAGCTCACGCTCGTCGGCGGCGACCCGAGCTTCCAACCGTTCGCGTTCGTGTCGAGCGACAAACCGCTGTATCCTGCGCTCAAACGCCTCCACCACATCCTTGCGTGGGTCGGGAAGGACGTCGACTTCATGCAGTGGGGCTTGCATGCCCCGAACGTGACACACCTGCGCGTGTCCCGGCTGGACTACCACCCACGCATCACGGTCGAGACGCTTGACCAGGCTATCGGTGCGTGTCCCTTTTGCCACCTTCGCTTTCATGTACTGAATAATACTCATGTGTAGGCGAGAACGAGCCGGAGTGCTTCCCGCACCTGCAGAGCGTGGTCATCCAGCCGTGTCCAGCGCCCCCGCCCGTGGCACGGATGGGTCCCACTCACCTCGCGTTCCGCGACTACCTGGTCTATCTGGAACGCCTCGCGGAGCGGGCACGCGTCCCCGTGAGGGTGCTCCCGCCGCTCGAGATGCCGAAACTCATGCCTGGGGTGGACCCGCAGCAGAAGTGCATCCACCGCGTGAAGGATGAGTGGCTCGACCGTGTGGAGGGTGACGGGGATGGTTGCTGGCGGGAGGGCATGCACGGGCGACAGGCTCCCATCGCGTGATTACTGTTCGATAGGGACGTGGATGCTGTACCGGTTTACGATTGAAAGGGTGCGATACACATATTCATATCACTTCTAGAGCTGACGGGTTCAGCGACCCCCTCTTTTCCCGCATTATCGAATGCTCTTTGAAGGGCGGGCGTATGTACGCCCCAGATGTTGGTTCTACTCACTGCCTCACAGGATGTTTCGGAATAGCATAGGCCTGTCCGCATACGACATCTGGCTGCATGGTGGCAGTACATGCCAGTGCTCGTATGCCTGTACTTCAATCGGCCTCGCGCTTCTGGCCACTACAAGGACTTCCTTGGGTAGCCGCCAAATCTGATATGATCATACCTCGCCTGAACCTTGCAGCACATTCATAAACTGGCCTATCGGATCTTCTATAGCTAAGCCTCCTTGCTCATACCGCTACCATGGCCTCGCAGCCGCAACGCCTGCTTGCTCAATATTCCCTCCCACTAACGTCGGAAACAGCCCTCCCGGCCGTGGTACTGCCGACCCCGAGCGACCTACGCGCCGTGCGCCGTATCCTTGCCCAGTGTGGCCTACCCGCGGAGCTCGTTTTCTCCATCCTCCACGAGGCTGCCTATTACGCCGCCGTGCGTAGTACGCTCCGTGACTGGGACCCCGCGCCGTACGACGAGGATAACGACGGCGACAACAACGACTATGACGACGACATGGGAGATATAATCTATGGGATCGACGATGACATCGACGATACTACCAACAACGCCAGGTCAGAGCACAGCTCAGACACGCACCCAAACAACCATGCGCCGGACAACGTGGGCGCGCCCTTGCTCATCGACGCCGGATTGGGCTGCGTAAAGCCAGATGGCGGCAGCTGTGCGGCGCGCCTCTGCATGCTCACCCCGCCGCTCCCTCACGGTGCCCCGGGCGAAACGTGGCGCGCCAAGGCGGTCGTCTGGGACGTCGAGGGCCACGACCAGGGCTGGGGCGGCGAACGGCCAGGTATGTGCCCCAGATGCCCTGACGCTCGCAGTCTAGCTGACCTTGGTGGCTTCACACTATAAGGCACCTTCGACGCCGCATACTCGTGGTACGAGGCGACTATCATCCGGCCCACGTCCTCCGCAGATGCCCTGAGCGACCATCCCAGGCGCACGCTCGCGTCCTGCTGGGACACACTCAATCGGCCGCACTGCTCCCCCGAGACAGCGCGCCCTCTCCTCACTTCGCTCGGCTACACGTTCGTAGAGGCGGGCGCCGACTCGGGCCCAGCATGGTTCGTGCAGCGCAACCGCGTCGCGCGCGGGAAGTTCGCCCGCTACCACGTTGAGTGGAGCACAGACGGCGCGGTGCTGCCCCCGGGGTCTGGCCCGGGCGCGGGCTTCTTGGAAGCGCTCCGCCCGGGGGATGTCGTCGCGCTTTGGATGCGCGCGATGTACCCTGGCTGGGCGAACACTCTCCGGGCGGCGTCGGTGAAGGTTCTGTACGATGTGTACTGAGGCGAAATCTGTGAGACTGATGTATGCTGAACACGTTATCTGAGGCGACTCACCCTTCCACTCGTAAATTTGTACACGTACCCGATCACATGCATGTAGACTTTCGAAGCCGGCAGTGTGGCGCTGTACCCGTTTTTGGAGCTTGAACGATATCCTGCCCAGGCCTGCTCAGCGTCGTGCAGGTGTAACAGTGTAACATAGCATGCGTGCAAGTCAAAACAATACACAGGAAACGCAGCGGTATACTCTATCTGAACTATAAGCGTTCGAGCACTCAAACCTGGAGTTCGAATCCCGGGGCGCAGGAGTCGTCCCGCGCAGCCCGAGCTCCTTTTCGCTGCGATTGCGCACGTACGAATAGCCAGCGGTGGCACACGTCTCTCTACAGCCGCGACAAATCGCGCCCCCAAATTCCGCTGCACGCAAGCGTCAGCAAACCCGCTCGCTCGCTCGTGGTCCCCACGAACACTAAGACACGCACCGAACGATCCAGTCGATCATGAGCAGCGCGCGCGTGCGCATGCTGACCTGCTCGCTCCAGTACACGCTGCGCCACGCGTACATCGCCGCGAGCCCGCCCATGAAGCTGAATTTGCCGAGGTCGAACACGGCCGCGTTCCCGATGTACGCGAGCGAGCCGAGGTGCAGGTACCGGAACGGGCCCGCGACCGCCTCGTCGCCCTCCTCGGGCCGCAGCCCGTTCGCCTCGAGCACCTTGCGATGCTGCGCGACCTTGGAGAGCTTCGCGCCGAGGTATTTGCCCTGCTGTGAGGCGACTTGCGCGGTCTACGGGCGACGGATGAGCGGGTGGGCGAGGCGTGAAGGCGAGCGTGAGGGTACGTACGGCGGGCAGGGCGGTGATCTTGTTGCCGATTTCTTGCAGGAGCACCGCGAGCTCGTTCAGAGTGAGGCTGTTGTCCGAGTCCGAGTCGTAGAGGTCGAATAGCTCCCGAACTTTCTGCAGCTGCTCTTCAGCCATGGGGATGCGTTTCTTGATGCGCGACACTGGGTTGCAATGTCAGTCAACGAGGACTTGGTTGTCAAAGACAGATGAACGTACCCATGATCGTCCATTCGTCGTAGTCAATCTTGCCGTCCTTGTTCTTGTCCGCCTCGTCAACAAGCTCAAGCAGGTATGGCACTACAGACGTTTCGATCTGTGTTGTGTGAACAAATATTAGTTTCGCGAAACATGTTTAGACGTTGAAACTAACCGTGCTCGCATCGCCAATAGCATACACCTCGCCAAGAGGCGCGCCCTTGACCCTCAGGTGCGCGTCGACCTCGATAGCCTTCTTGTGCATCTGGTTCGGGAGCAGGTCCGCTACACGCCGGGTGAACGGGTTCATGGCAATACCCGTGCTCCACAGTACGAAGTTTGTCGGGATCTCATGCGTCTCCGTCTTGCCGTCTGGCCCGCGCCGCGAGTACGTCACCTTGTCGATGTCGACCGCTTGCACACGGGCGGATGTGATGAGGTCGATGCTGTCGTGCATGAACTTGTCCTCCGCATAGCGCGAGATGGCTTCCGAGTACTGCGCGCGGAAATGAGTGATCATCCAAACGCCCAACCGGCGTGCGTACAGTGTTGAGAATATGTTCCCGGCTCTGAATGAGGTGTATCGATACTTCCTGTCGGCAGATCTTCGGGAACTGCAAGCAAAATTAGTGCGCTGCTACGTTCCATTCAAGTCATACTGACGTAGTTGATGAGGTCCTCTTGGCACAAGTCGTATATTTCCGCAGCCGTTTCAACTCCAGTGGGGCCGCCACCGCACACGACGAAGCTGAGAAGCTTGCGACGCTCCTCAGGCGTGGTAGTCGGTAGTGAAGCCGCCTCAAAGTTGTCTGCAAGTTCTCGGTCAATGGGGACATGTCGCGTTTCTACTGCACGAGATCGTACCAATAATCCGCTTCCTGATGCCTTGCGCGTCGCCGATGGTCTTCAACTGGAAACAGTGCTCCAATCCAGGTACGCCGTGTGTGCTCGAGGTGGAGCCGACTGCGATGATGAGTTTGTCGTATCTGCCAGACTTAGCCTGAATGTCTATATTTAGACGGCGAGCAGACCTACGGGATGTACATGCGCTCGCCCTTGCCGTCTGGGCGGATGGTTTCGACCTCGAGCAGGCGTTCTGACATTACCAAGTCAATCGCGCGTGCATTGACGAGATGACCGCGGAGGCGTGCCGCAATCTTGCGGAGGGGTTCAACGAGGGAGCGTACGGACACAGTTCCAACCGCAGCCGCTAGGGTTTGTTTTGCTGTCAGTACGCTCGTGTGATCGCAAGGTGACATCACTCACAAGGTAGAAGAGGAGTGAACGTGGTGTATGTTTCGGGAGACACGATAGTTACATGGTAGTCGCCGGGGGAGAGCTTGTCCAGGATACCAACAGCCTGGAGGTACAGGTGAGGACATGAGGCTCAGCAAGGGAAACATCAAGACGTGGACGTACACCCCAACCACCTCCGACGATGACAAGATGCGGTTTGTGTACCAGGTCGCGGTTCTCGTCATCCTCATAGTCGCTTAGAAGCCGCGATAGAACGGGCAGATTCTTGGGACCACCACGCTCAGGGTGCAGGGCGCGCGGCGATATGGGAACACCGTCGATGTGCTACAGCAACGTGAGGGCTATGACGCGTTTCGATGAGAGAATACGTCACATACGCGTTCATGGTAGGTGAATGCATCGTGCATGAATATGGCGCCAGTGAGAAGACCAACGCCGAGGACGGAGGAGCCGAGGACATAGAGGGTGTAACGACCGATGGTGCGCCAGCGTCGGATGAGTTTGGGCGGTGCAGGAGTAGTTGCCTCTGTAGCGAGCGTCCGGGTTGAAGCTCTATGTTGTGCGAAAGACACGAGAGGAGAGCGCGTCGGGAAGGCCGCGACCCTGGACAAGGGCCGCGCATGGAGAGGGCGCATGGCGAACGGTGTCCGGAGCATGGTGGTCGCCGAGTGGGTAGTCGAGCGAGCAGATGCTCGTCGGGGCGGTGGTCGTCGCGCTCGTGTATGGGGGCGTGCGCGGGGATGGGTGAGGAGGGAGAGAGAGATGAGGCGAGCGCGGACAGCGAGGTAGCGGTGCGATCAAGCTGAGCGCGAGCGGCGCGTCGACGGCCGATGATGTCACCGCCGCTGCAATCCGACGCGCCCGGCGGCAACGCCCTCGGCCCCGCCTCCTCCTCTCTTCCGCTCTCTCATCTTCACGAACGCCAACGCGGCCGCTGCACGCACCCTCTCTTAGCTCATCGCGTGAGACCAGATTCTAGAGCAAGTACGATGTACAGCCTTTCTACGACTACGAGTGACGACCAAAAACAGTGAGACGCTGAGACAAACGACACCCACTCAGAACACCAACTTTGCTCATGGGATATCCCAAGTGTATAGCTGATAGCCATGCATCGCAGACGCGTTTGTGTGGCTCATACCTGATAGTACGTGTCCTGCAGTCGGACTCGTTGTGCTTGAGATGAGCCGTTGGAGCTACTCACCATCTAGGCGCAGATGCCTGAGGTCCGACAGGCATACCAGGACGGTCGGGATCAACTCCCCGCGATGGGGAAGACGTGGTCGACGCGCGCCACGCGTGTTGGATTCGAAAGGCCCGCGCGACGAACCTGAAGTACGTGGGCAGGCATGCGCCGAGCTGCTGTTCTGCGGCGCAGAGCACCCTGTCTTTGTACTCGACGAGCGCGACACAACACGCCGTGATCGCGGCACAATAACGCGTCGCGCGACCTGACCATATGGCCCCTCGGCAGAGCGACTCTCACTGTTGCCACTCACTCTCATGAGGAGTCGTTGGTCTCAGTGAGCGTCACTCTCACAGATCTGGTATACACTCGACGCGTACCCAAGGCATCCGATATTCAAAGTCACCGCCTCTCGCCTCCATTAATGCAAACGTCAGAACGCACGGACGCCCACGCCATATCGGCCCTGCAGAACGAAGTCCGCATCCCATGACACCCGCTGAACCACGTCTATCGGGAACGAGGCCGGTTGCCGTAAGATCTTCTGTCGACTCACCCGGTCGTCTAGCGAATCTGGGCCAGAAAGGCAAGTCCTGCCATGTACGTCGACCACTGACAGCGGAGTCATCCCGCTGTCGGCCAATGTAGACGGAAATGCATGCAATGCGAGCTAGTAGCCGACACACAACGCGGCGTCGCCTGTCGAGATACATAATATGAGGACGCGCAGGGGCATGGTCGAGGGGACTTCTCCGCCCCCCCTCCAGGTTCGCCCTCTATATGAAGTGGTGCTCATCGGATGGCATCCTCGTCTGCCCCACTCCCCGCAGTGCTCCCAGGAGGGTCGCCCCCACCAGATATATTGGTGAGCATCGCGTTTCTCTGCGTTGTGGGCGCATACCACGATACTGACGCGTGCTATTTTCCTTTTGGCAAGCACACAGCCACTACGAACACCTCCGCGAAACGCAAGCTCGCTGACGATACACCATCCGAGCGGATCGACAAAACGCGACGAACGAACTCTAATCGCGACCACCCAGCGCCCATGTATCTCTCGTCGTACGACCGTTTGCAACAAGCAGGCCCGAGCCAGACGTTCGCCCGGACGTCGCCCCTTTACGACTACAGCAAACCTGCTTGGCCCCAGAGTTCCGCAGGTCCATGTCCCCGACGGGGAAGCCCGGTGACCACCACTCGAGCTTCCACCCCGTCTTCTGAGGTCTGTCTAGTATTCAAATATGCATGGAGTTATATTTTTTTATGAGGGACAGAGCTCCGAGGACACGGAGGACGGGGAGGACGCGAAGAACGTGAAGGACGTAAAGTACGCGGGAGACTCGAAAGAGTCGGAAGACTCAGAAGACTCGGAGGACTCATCCCCGGAGCTCGCCAAAACATCCACACCCCAGCCGCCGACGCTATACCAGGCACACCAAACAAGCCCCGCGAAGGGAAAGGGCAAGCCCGTCACTACTCGGAGAGGCTATGTGCCCTATAGCTTTGAGAGCCGATATACGCCGGTGAGCAGTATGGATGACGTCCTGTCCCTTATCCGTATGTCCGCCTCCTCCCGCGCAGTGTCCCTTCTGCTGATCTCCCGTCTGCACCTCTCTGGCAAACCAGGTAGCGATGGCACACAAGAGGGCGCACGACTAGAGGATATACGCGTGCACTCCTTCGTCCCCGTGCCAAGCACGCCGATGAGCTTCGTCCGGCGCCACGCACCCCCGCAGCTTTCAAGCGACGATTGCGAGTGCACGATCTGCGTGCGCGCACTCGCAAAAAGGCTCGAAGAAGCTGCGCCCTTCACAGAGAAGCGTGAGCAGCTTTCGGCAGCCCCTCAGGGTCTGTTTCCCTGGATGACGGGGATTGAAGAGGGCAGGTCCGTACCCCGGCTGTATGGGCCTGGGGTACCGCCTCCGCTGGACGCGCCGTGGAGGAAGGACGCTTCCGCTGACGTCCCTGGCGGGGCAACACATGATACGCTAAAGTGTACGTCGATAACGAGCATTTCAGTGCCGTTCGGGTGCTGATCCGCACCACAGCGTTTCTCGACACTTGCATGGCTCGAGGCTTCAGGCCGCCCGGCTTGCCAGAGTGGATTCAGTGAACGAGCAGCCCAAATGTGGCTGCAGCTAGTGTCACAGCGCGCCTCCGTTGTGTATCTTGTACTATCTCTGCGTTATGCGATTTTTGCTTGACTTCTACACGTTCGTCCGCATCGTCAACGGTGCTTTCCCGGGAACAGCCCGCCCCACGCCCAATGGCAGTTCTCCTCGTCCGCCCGCGGGAACAGCACCCAGTGCTCGTTCATCGTCCGCCACGCCGGGTCGCACTCAACGTCCCACACCGCCCTCTTCGCGTACTCCACCGTGCCCACGAGGCCCTCCACCTCCGCCGCCGCCTGCTGCTCCTGCTCCGTCGTCTGCCACGCACGCGAGCCGTGCAGGACGACGCGCTCGAGCCGGTGCCCGCGCGCCGCGCGCTGTCGGAGCACGTCCACGAACGGCTCGTAGAAGCGGCCGTCGCACCCCTGGCTCTCCACGCCTATCGTAGTCAGCGCGGGGAGCGGCACGACATCTTCCCCCTCCCCGTCGCCCTCCCGCCGCGGCGCAAGCGCTCCGCGCAGCCCCTCCGCGCCCTCCGCCCAAGTGTGGTTCGGGGTCGCGACGACGAGCGCGTCCAGCGCCGTGATATGCGGCCCCGCCGTCTTCAGCACGGTCGCGAGGAGCCCGTCCCTGTAGTGCGTCCAGTACGCCGACACGCGCAGCGTGCGCACGTCCGCGAGCGCGGGTCCCAGCGCGCGCACGAGTGGCGCGAGCACCTGCTCACGCACCCCGCCCCCGTCCTTCGCGTAGAACTCGAGCCAGAGCCCACCGCCCTCCGGCCGGCGCGTGCGCACGTGGAAGAACGACGAGCCCGCGATGACCTCGAGCGCGGCGAGCGGGCCGAGCGCCTCGCCCAGCGTGGACGGGAGTGCGAGCGCGGCCTTGGAGAGGACCTTGAGGAGGTGCAGCTGGAGCGTGCCCGTGGCCGGGATGCGGAGCGCCTGCACGAGCGCGCACGCGGCGTCGACACTCTGCGTGTCTATGGAGCCCGCGCGCAGGCGGTCGAGGCGCACAGTAGGGAGCGGGAGCGCCTGCTTCGGGTGCCGCATGGTCGTGTTGCGCACGTATAGCGTCTCGAGCGCAGGGGTGTGCTCGAGCATCGCGAGGAGGCTGAGCGCGGGGAGCACGATGTGCTCGCTGCCGGCGATGCGCAGATGCGCGAGCGCGGGGAACGAGTCTGCGTAGAGCACCCCGGAGCGAAGCGTGAGCGCGAACGCGGTGAGCGCGGGCGCAGCGCCCCCAAAAAGCGTCGTGGAGGTGATTGCGGGTGGGTCGCTGTACCGGTACTCGCGGATCGGCGAGGTGATGGCGAGGTAGCGGAGGTGCGGGGCGACGGGGCGCAGCGAGTTTTTCGCGGTGTAGCCGGCCATGTCGGAGTGGCTCGTGTCGATGATGAGGGCGCGCACGCGGAGGGACAGGGTCGGCTTGCGGGGGTCCTCCCGCCACCATGGGAAGGAGAGCCCGATGATGTGGATGGTCAGCGGGACCTTCTTGCCGGCGCGCTGTAAAAACAGGCTTGAGATCTTCACGGGGACTCGGGGGACGTGGCTCCAGAGCGCGGGGGAGGCGATGGCGGTCGACCGCCAGAAGCGACAGACATGGGTGAGGGAGAGGAGGGTCTTGTGGTCTGGCGGGGGAATGATGAGATGGCTATCGTCGTCCAGCGTGTCTTTGACCTCTCGGGCGTGCCGGAAGACGTGCAGGAGGACCTCGGGTGGGAGCTTGCCAGGGAATGTCCGAGAGTTGTGCTCCTGCCGCAAGGATAGGACAACTTTGGAGAGGTCTTCTTCGAGGGTGCGCAGCTACACGCAATCATATGAAGGAGTAAGTATGCGTTTTATCCAAGTTGGTGTCGTTTCTGTGAGCCTTACTAGATCAGAACTGGAAAATAGGCAAGTTGATTAGTTGATTCGTTTGAAGTGAGCAGTAATCAAGGCGCCCTTACCTGAGTGTGTGCATCTCGATAGGCAGCGATGTTTTGAGCATACCGCACGCGGCCACACAGTTGGGCTCGCCCGAGACCATTTTTCTGACTATATGCGCACAGGAATAGGCAGACGCGGTGGTCGTGGTCGTAGACGTCGTGGTCAAAATCACTAGCCTGGGCATCGGTGAATTGCGGGGCGGCGCTGCGCCACAAGAGATAAGTTGGGGTCATGTCAAACCACTGGGAACGTCTAGAAACACTACAGGCTTCGAGCTTCAAGATATATATATATATCAATATAGCCAACGCACCAGCTGGGTCAATATTGGAGCTATAATTGAATGGCGCAGCCCTCTGGCGGATGCTATAACACCCACAAACCCAAGAATAATTGGCCTGTTGAATTGCTGACATAGTGGCTTTGTCTGCTCGTCAGAAAGTCAATGCATGATATATCGCAGGTTCGGCGAGTAGACGGAGACGATGATAGAATCTAAAGACCTCGCGCGCGACGCTGACGCCAACACGACACCGCCGGGATCCCCATGTTGCATGGTTCTCTTCCAGCCTGCGGCCATTGGACGACGATGAGGACTCCCAAGCATCAACGCCGTCGCAGCACGACGGAGCGCGCAATATCTGCCCATCACGTAACACCACGACAACCGCCACATCTTCAGAGCGCTGATCGCCCGGTCTATCTCCTTGACAGCCTGCGCAATGCAGATCAGGACCCTCCAGGCACATACCCCAGGTCCCCATTGCTCTCAGTTGAGCACAGCTCGCTGCTGCCTCACCCTCGCACACCACGAAGATGTTTTTCAGTGAGCCGATCCCTTGAAAAACTATGTGCTACCTAGCTACACACAATGACAGAAGGTTACTGGAGGAAGTGTCCGCCCTGCGCATAGCGCAGGGACAAAGCTAACTAACGATGCGTTGCCTGAATGCGTGCGTGCGTGCCGAGCTGCGTGTGAAGCGTCCCAAACCCGATGGTAAAGCAGTCCATGCCAATAAACCCATATCCCCAACCCCTCTCTCCTCGCGGCGAGCCCAATCCACCCGGCGCGCCGGGTACAGCGGAGAGCGCTCTAAGCTTAGAGGAGCATGCCGAGCGAGAGACCGGCGAGCGACAGGAGCATCGCGCCGGCGCCGGCGTGTACTGCGCCAGCACCGTTGCCGGTGCCGACTGCACTGGGCGAGGCGGTCGAGCCGGACGCGCTGGCGGAGGGGTTCAGCGCACCAGAGGCGGCGGCCGAGCCCGTTGAGCCCGTCGCGCTGGCCGCGCTGCCGCTAGCGGCAGCGGTACCGCTGGTGGTCGTGTTGGAAGCGGCACCGTTGGTGGTCGAGGCGGAGCCGTCGACGGCGTCGGAAAGGGCAGCCGCCGCGGCGAACGCCTCGTAGGTCTTGGCCGCCGTAGGGTTCACAGCGAAGACCATGCCCGCCTGACAATGCCTAAGAGACGACGGTCAGTCGCGATTGCCGAGCAGTGCAAGTACCAGATTACTCACTTGGCTTGACGGCAGTAGAACCAGAGGGGCGTGGAGGCGTTGTTGACGGTGATGCTCCACACGGGGAACGAGGTGGCATTCGTGGGGACGAACTGGTAGCCAGAGTCGACACCAGTGACGAGGCCGGTCGCGTCGGTGATGTTCGAGCAGGGCGAGGCGAACGTCGACTGCGTGACGGTGTGGTTCTTGGACAAGAACTGGAACTCAATCGTGTCGCCATTGGCCGCAGTGACGCTGCGGATGCGGGGGACAGCGTGAGCAAGGATCGACGCGGTGCAGATCAGCGGACGACTACGCACGAGGTGGGGTCGTAGGTCAGGCCGCCATTCTCACCGACCTTGACGGTGTGGGTGGTCTGGGCCAGCGCGAAACCAACGGGCAGGAGAGCGGCAACAACGGCGGAGAAACGCATCTTGAACTTGGTCGAAAGGGAGTGTGGGATGAACAGGCACGAGTTCAGGAATAGTTAGCGAAGGACGAAGTAACCGACTCGAGACTAAATGGCAGCATGTCAGTATACGTGCTGTGAGGTCGCCGCGACGAACAGCGAGGACGTACCCTGCTCGTGGTGTGCTGGCAGCAAAGAGAACTAGCTCGACAAGGGAGGAAGGGCGGATGGGGGGTGCTGATGGGCAGCTGCGCCTTTTTATCGGCCAGGACTCGTCTGTCGTCGTGGAAACATCTGTCACCTTCCCCCCGATCTGGCAAGGCCCTCTGATCAAAGACGCCCAGATCTGATCAGCCCAATCTTGCTGTTTTGTGCTCCCCGCGCCCATCCACCATCTCTCGACATCTCCACAGGCCGCAATCACCCCGTACGCCATGGACGCCATCATCTAAACTCCCCTCTATCGTGTGGCAGATACAGCCTCTGTACAGGCCCTCGTACAGCACACCCCGTCCTGCAGGCGTTGCAAGACGGACGCAAGGAGGAAGGCACGGGTGTGTTGATCCGCCTTCTAGAATTCGGCGTCGGGGTTCTAGCGTTGCGATAGCCGTCTCTGTCCCCTTCCGTCGGCTTCGCCCAGCAAAAAATGCCTCAACCCCGGGTGAATTCCCTCAGAAACACTTCATGCTGGATTGGACACGCCTCGCCCAGGGCACGCATGACCCACACCCACCCACACCTGACGATGGTGCTCGTAGTATAAACACCACGCCGAGCTGGTCTACCGTTCGGTATAACTCAAGAGCGTTGCAAAGCCTGAAATAATTCTCTGTTGCTAGGTGACTCTCCGAAGCAAGGAGGAACCTGATTAAATTCGGACGCTTCCTCATCACGAGCCGCGCGACAAAGGACGCGCCTACCGCGAAATGACGCGACCACCGCGCGACGCGACTGCTGCCTGCGGGGCGTGTTCAACACGCCGTTGACGACTTGTTCGTGACTCCGAAGATCTCACTGCTAAGCACAGTTCGGGTCCATACAGCTGCGACCAAGGATCGACCGCTGCACCTGTCAGCACAGATACGCCGCTGCAATCCACAGCACGCAGGCAAATCTGTCCTCGGGTATCTCGTGCGCTGCGGCGTTCAATGACAATCACAGTCCGAGGACGTATTTGTCCGCGGCTGAGGAGGACGTCTAAAGTTATGCAATCGCTTCCGTTTAGCGTTGTGTTAACGGGGCCGCTGCTCCCGCCGGCCATCTGGACATCTGGTGAGAGCCTCCAGTCCGACGTCATTAACCCCGCCGGCGCGAGATGAGGTCAGAATGGAGGCTGCACCGTCCCCTTCTTGCTGATGCGCCTACGGATGATGGCTGATGCTAGCTCCTCCGGGATCCCCTTGAGCGTTCGCAAATTGCACAGATGGCAATGTGCGACATATGGAGAGGCATCTAGATGCAGTCAAGTCTGCGGTCAGTGCCTATAAAACCTTCAGTATGGAGAACACAGCAAAGGGGTGCCCGTGCACACAGCCTACCGTCTTGGCGTACCCGCCCGCCAATTGCTCGCGCGCTTCTTGCTCAGCGAGGAGGGGTGACCGTATCGAGGAGTTGTGCTATGAATACCCGTACCTTATTATAACCACCCGCGGACACCCGCCGCTCGATCGCCGTTGCTGACGGTTGAGCTCTTGAAGTCCATCCGTGCGACCAATTACAATTCCGCCAAATCGTGAAGATGACCTCCCGCGCCGAGCGCCGGGTACATCATGAGGCTACGATACCATTACGACTGGTGCTATGATAACAGCGCTGCGGTCAGACGCCCATCGTGGACGCGGGTGTGTCGGCGCGTCCGCTGATGCTTCGGCGGCACCCCACACGGCCGGGTGGGAACTTGGAAAGAGGCCGAGCAGGCAGGGATGACGCCAGAGCAGGCAATAATCCTGCTTGTGGTTGGTGGAGGACGGGGCGTGATGGCTGATGCGATCCATCACTTCGAGCTGAGCAGGTCGAAGAAGGCTTCTTGCGGGAGGTCGACTTGCCCGACGCGCTTCATCTTCCGCTTCGACTCTTTCTGGTTGTTCAGGTGCTTCATCTTGCGCTCGTAGTGCCCTGGGTCCTGCCTGTCAGAAAGTGCTGCTGTACGCGTGTGGGGGCGTACACACCTCCGTATAGTCCAGCTGTGACATCGGCCCGCATGGCAGACAACGTCCGTCGTGCGAGGACCTTACCGCCAATGGCTGCTTGGATGGGAATCTCGAACAGCTGGCGGGGTATAACTTTGACTATAACGGGCTCAGCAGGGGCAGTGTCAGAGAAGAGTGCATGCGCGTACACAGCTTGTCCACCCAGCGGCGCCCGATGTTAGCCGCATTATCTGCATGGACGATGAGTGCGAGTGCGTCCACAGGCTTGCCGTTGAGCAAGAAAGTCATCTGTGGGGTATTCCCGCCCTCAGCGTCTGGTAGAGGCTCTCACGGCCACCCGCTGGACTGACCTTGCGCATGTCGCTCGCCTGGTAGCCGGCATCCTCGTAGCTGCAAAGCAAGCGCGGGAGTCGATCAGCGTGCAGAAGCGCACCGGCGGGGCCACAAGGACGAACTCAAAGCTGGCAAAGCCCGAGCTCCGGCTTTTGAGTTTGTCGAAAAAGTCGGTGACGATCTCGGTCAGGGGCAGGGTCGCGGTCATGAGCACGCGGCCGTCCCCGGATGTGTCCCCGTCCGCGTCGAGAGCGTGCCACTCGAGGCCCGTCCCACGGTTCTCGAACACGAGCTCCATCATCGCGCTGAAGTACTCTGTGGGCGGGCGGCGTGTGTCAGTTCAAATTGACGGAGGGACGCGGGAGAATGTGAGAATTGGGGTCGTCGACGAGCCTTGGACGGGCGAATGGGAGGCGAGTCCGCGCGCGCGAAGCAGAAGGGGGGAGCGAGGACTGACTTTCGGGGACGATGATCGTGGCCTTCACGATAGGCTCCTCCACGCCCTTCGCGCGGCCGCCGCTTGCAAAGTCGGCCGGTTCTGGAAAGTCGGTCGGGTTGCTCACAATTGAGTCCTTTCCGTTCCTGTGAAGCACTGGGCGACACGCAGGGCGCCGCGCGAGTCTATGTTAAGCGACTGAATGCCAGGGCCGTTTGCGGAGTGAGCCTACCCTTGTACGGGACGGTGGGAGCCGTGATGATGACGTCGGCATTGTATTCGTCTTCCAGGCGTTGACGAAAGACGTCCATGTGCAGCGTCCCCAGGAAGCCCAGTCTGCACCCTTGGCCAAGCGCAGAGGATGTTTCCCGGGTCACTTCGACGCTGCGGTCCGTGAGAGAGAGCTATCCGGATGTAACGGCGCGTTATTCGAGAGCAGCGAGAGAAGCCGAACTCCGCGAACGCACCCGCTTGATGGACTCCTCCAGCTTCAGGAAGTCGTTGCTGTCAACGGGGTACACACCCGCGTATACCTGGATAGGAAGATTCAGAGACCGGCAACTAGATATAGAGGCTAGGTTTACGCGCCATTGCCTTGGCGGGTTTGAACCCTGGCATGGGATCCACGGGATGGCCGACTCGATAGAACGTGTCGCCTATATGGGCTGTGAAGATGTCGTTAGCGATGAGTCGTGGTATGGGAAAGTGTGTCCGACCTTCCGCAGACTCCTTCATGCTGCAAGCTACGAACCCTACTTGGCCGGGTCGGAGACAATCTGTAGACACTTCCTCGGGATGCATGATACCTAATTCTGTGACCTCGTACTTCTTGCGAGTGAAGCATGAAGCTATTTTGTCGCCTAATAACACCGTGTTCAGATACAGTTCTTCGTCATGAAGTTGTATAGATGCATACCTTTCCGGAGCACACCGCTTTGAATGTTCATTAAAGAGATGACGCCACGATAGCGGTCGTACCTACAATAGCACACGGTAGGCGAACAGAAGACAGTCCGGGGCTTGTAACAACTTACGAGGAGTCAAAGAGGAATGCCTTGAGCGGGTCCAGAGGTTCGCCAACCGGGGGTGGTATCCGGTCGATGATTGCTTGCAGCACCTGTTCGACGCCCTTGCCAGTCTTCGCAGATATCTTGATAACGTCCGCAGGTTCTATTCCAAAAGTAGCATGCATTTGTTTGGCGACCATGTCGGGCTGCGCAGCGGGCAAGTCAATCTGTCTCATAAGTAAGTAAATATAGTGATGAGAACACCGCTCTTCTGAAGTCACCTTATTGAGAACCGGGATGATCGTCAGACCCTTCGATTTCGCAACATGGTATACGGATATGGACTGGGCCTGCACACCCTGTGAGGCGTCTACAAGGAGTAAAGCACCCTGACACGCTGCGAGGGAGCGCGCCACCTCCCAGGAGAAGTCGACATGCCCCTAAGGTCTGGCTAAGCACAGAAACGAATATGACCTATTTGAAGGACGAACCGGCGTGTCAATAAGGTTAAGTAGGTACCTCGTGTCCCCCTTGTCATGGAACATGCTAACGGATGGTCAGAGTGGAGTAATTGAAACGATACAGTAACTTTACCTGGCAGTCTGCGCTTTGACTTGGGATTTCAAAGAGGGTTACTTCAGTGGAACGGCATGAGTTAGTCCGACAAACCTACCGGTAATTCCGCGCTCTCGCTCGACCTTCAATTTGTCCAGAACTTGCGCATTTACGCCTTTTACTCGTTTGTTGATAGTGCGCGTCAACTTTAGCGGGTCAAGTTGTGTATATGCCGGGGATTAAAGAGCGACTAACCTCCAGCAAACTAGCCAGTCCGCGGTCAAGATCAATACTTCCGTATATACGAGAAGCGGTACATACCGGTCGGCGAGGGTAGACTTCCCGTGGTCTGCCATTCATCTGAGCATATGTACAGCGGACATGCAATGCGATGTTGTATCTCACCTATGTGTGCGATGATGGAGAAATTCCTAGGGTAGGCGGCATGAATATGAATACATGCGCCGTAGGTGTACGCATCCTGACGCACCGTATGACCTCACAAGGGTAGTCCTCCATCGTTGATACCGTCTTCTGAAGCGCCATACATGGCGCCGAGTACGTAAAAGCCCTCCATGACTGAGAGCGACACGACTGTGGGAGGTATTTCTGGTGTCTGTCGAATACTTTCAAGCAGGCTTGCCGCCAAGTCTGAAGCATGTGTTGCGTGTAGCTCGACCAGCCACCAGCCCAGTAGACGTTGTTCCAAAGTACAGAAGCTCTTCAGTAGAGTAGATTGTCACAAGATAAGAGCACACCGCCGGAAGATGAGAGCACCGTCGCGTCGACGTTGAGTGCAAGAGGGCTGGAGTTGTGCGAGGACCGCGTCGGTTGGCCAAACTGGGAAATATTGAAGAACCATTGACGTTGCTGAGTCAGCAGCGCGCTCTCTACGATCGAGCGTCTGTTGTTTCGCAGACGCGACCAACCGTGTCCACACCTCCTGCACCACCTGCAGCCCCTCGCCATGTCTCTTGCAGAAGCGTCCGAGGCGAGAAAAGCTAGGCTTACCGCGCTGCGGAAGCGCAAGGCCGGTGAGGCCACAGACGAGGCTGGGTACGTCGCGCACCCACCAGAGCGGTATATGACCTGCTGACCTGTGGGATAGAGCAGATGATGAACCAGTCATTAAGCACCGTTCCTTTGACCCGGATACGCGTACGCTGAAGAAGCATGCACAAGATGAAGATGTGCAGATGGAGGACACGGTCGAACACCAAGTAGAGGGGCTCGCAGAGAAGATCATTGCGGAGGATGCTGAGCGGAGAGCACAAGACCTAGTGCGTACCCACCGTTCATGCTGTGGAACGTATCCTTATGCTGTTGTGACCGCCTATAGGACCTGTTTAACATCGCGCCCAAAAGGCCAAACTGGGACCTCAAACGCGAGCTAGACAAGAAACTCTCGAAGCTGGAGAGGAAAACGCAGGAAGCCATACATACCCTCATCCGTATGTCAAGGCACCTTTCGTTCGACAGGTCCGAACCTTATCACGTTCTATAGGGCAACGACTAGCGGAACAGAAGGGCCAGTCCGACGATCTCGTCGGCGCCATGAACGCCGAGCAGCGGGCGGGCGAAAACGCCTCCTCAGACGAGGAGGATTGATTCCGACTAGCGTTATCTGGACCTGCTACACCGCCCCCGCTGTTGTACTGTATCATCTACTTACGTGTACGTGTATCCTTATTCTGACCACAGCGTCAAGTATGTTTGGCATTTCTCCCGCCGTGACCGCCTGGAATGGGCCTAAACCACGATCCATGCGCATGGCGGCCTCTTGTTCGTGGCAATTGGCCGTTCAGACTCGCACACCCGGCGCAAACGGAATTCTAACTCGCGTTCTCTACCCTACTGCTAGTAAGTACAAAGTGCCCAACGAGCGCTGAGAGCAAATATACCCAAAACAGTCCCCTGAAACCCTGCCCACGCAGCCGTAGAAGGAACCCAAAGACCGAGCCACACCACTCGCGCCCTACAGGATTGGACGCGAGTTCAACATCTGTATCATCCGCTGGTCCTCCGCCATCCGCGGCCGTGTGAGGTGATGTGAGTTTGCGAAGCCCATCGGGGTATGCGCGATCGCGGATTGGAGGGACGGGAGCACGACTCCATCCTTTTTCGCTCGTGGGGAGGTCTGCATCGGCGAAGACGGGCGCGACCCCGAGCTTCCTGGTGATGGCGTCGACGGCGGCGAGGGGATCCCGGACGTCGACGCGTCCGAGTTCCGCGAGCGCGCCTTCCCGCTCTTGTACACGCCCGGTGGGACCGCGACGGTGCGGAGGAGCGGGTCCTGGTCGACGGTGGGTATACTGGGGAGATCCGCGTAGGTGAAGTACGCGGTGAGGTGCCACTTGCGCGGCTTCGCGTTGACAGACGTGAAGACAAACGCCGAGTACGCTTGTTTGACGAGCCCCAAGGGGTGGTGGTCGCTGCGCTCGTAGTGCGACTGTGCGGAGGACGTCCACGTCCGCGACGGGCCCTCGACGAAGCGGTATGTGCACCTGACGCGACACGCTAAAATCAGCAAACAGGCACAGCGTCCGATCTGTGGGAGCCCTACTTCGTTTTTGGCTCGGAAGGTGGCTCGTCGGTCGCGAGCTTCTCGTCGTAGAACAGGTAGGGCTGGCCGAGGTCATCCCGGAGTCAGTTTGGAGTGGGACCGGTACGTTTGAGGACGACTGACCTCGCGCATTCGAGACTGGCTCCAGACGCGGCCGTCTGTCCATCGTTTTAGGCCCATCTCGTCATCGCTCTCCTCCCAAACGAAGAGCGAGCCGGACTGGATGTAGTTGGACCTCTCCAACTCGTTTAACCGCCGGAAGACCGGCTTGAGCAATCCTTTGCGCACGGCCTCGAAAACGATGTGTGCGTCTCGCGCGTCGCGGACGTGGAGGCGTGGATGGGTGGGCCGCTGGACATCCTGTGCAGGGGCGTAGAACATGGTGGGCGGTTGCGCTAGGTTGCCGGTATTTGGACGCCGAGGAGAGGAGCCAGGCGGATAGGGCGGTCGGTGTACACCATCGTACACTGCCGCGCAGGAGATTTATATTTCCCGCTCGCGCTAGGCACCCACGAGAATGCTGTAAAGCTTCCCGTGTTAGAGTCCAACCCGGGACGGCGGCATGCGTGCACAGGCGTTCCCGCCGGGAATCTCGATGCGGGGACGGGAGTGCTGGCGGAATCTTGAGAAAGCGTGGACAGGAGTCAATTATGTCCACGGGCCTTGCCCGCAGCATCGGGGCTGGGAACGGCAGCGGACGGGGCTGATCGCGTAATGGCCGGAGCCTCGAACGGGACGCGCTGGAGGAACCGGGGAAAGTGCCACGGCGATAGTCTGAGAAGGGCTCAGGAACAACTCTGTTTCGAGCGGTAGGGAAGCGCAGTTCCTCGCGAGATCGACTGGACCCATAAGGTGGGAGACGTGTATGAGAGCGGGCCGGCGAGTCAATGGGCCCTCCCCACGGCCCCTCTCCCAGCGCATGCTGTCTCGGGCACGTTTCAGGATCGTTCGAGGACTGAACAGACTTCACATCTCCCCGTTCCGGCTTGCTTGGCTTGCCGTTGGGGGAAATTCTCAGAGCGCTCCCGACACAGTGGGCGGTGCCCTAGAAAGGGCAAGACGTCGCAAGGCTGTTTCCCGCCCTTCTCATGCTATCTCGGACGCTCGGGGCTCGAGGCGGAGTAAGGGGGATCTGACGCCGTGCATGACGAAAAGGTTCCTTGGAACTAACGTGCAGCATGCTGAACGAGTCCGAGTGCCTCGTTGGGGATATGTGGCATCCGAGTACGACACACGCCTCGATCGGGTGTAGGGCGGTTCTTCTTCCCGTGCGGAGGGCCGTGGACGCGGTTAGGGCTGGGACGGGACAGAATGCGTCGGCCGTAGTAGGGAGTGGCCACATGCTGCGCAGACCTTCAGGAAGAGGAGCGTGCCAGCAGAGGCGGGAGACGGGGAAACAAGCTCGCATCGGATTTCCCGTATCAGTTGACAGGAGCAGCTGTGACGGGAATGCCGCTGCGCCGTCAGAGGGGGCGTGGCTTCTGCGCTTCTGGCACCGTGGCCGAGAGCGCAGGCGGACCGCGAGAACGAGCGGGCTGCCGATTCACACACCTGCTGGCTTCGGGACAGGAAGGACAGGGCGCGCGGCGGGCGTGTCAGTTGACATGCGACCCTGCGCCCCCGCAGACCCCCGCGTGTGTCCCGCGGCGTGCTTCGCGCCCGCTGTGAACACCAGAGCGGGGCGCTGGGACGGGCTAGCATGGGTTTTGTGGTGCGCAGAGGGGGTGGAAGGGACGAACGAACTTGGATCAAAGGAGGCGGTATCCAAAAGGAGGCGGGCGCGAGAAGCACCCGTGGGGAGATGCTCGCGTGGGCGGTCGCTCGTGCCACCCCGTCCACCCTCTCTCTCTCTCCGAGCCGCCGAACATCTGTCCTCGTATAGCCGTCTTTCTCACCTTCCACCACCTCCAGCTCTATCGCTCCTCGCGCGCTCCTCCAGATGTCTTACGATACTGAGCATGGCGGCCGCGCGGTTCCCACTCTCGTCCAGTGTTGTCAGCGCGGTAAGCTTCCCTCCAGGAACATCGATTCCAGTGGCACCTGACCGAGCTACCCGCCAGTGGTCGCCGCGCACGTCAACAGTACGCTCCCCTTGCCCCCCTGCGGCCCTGTCTAGCTCACGTTCACACACCTTAGGCTTTACGAGGCTGGGAGAAGGTCTCCGGAAAGATCTCATTCTCCCCGTCCTCAATAGCTGCACCGCGGAAACCCTGTGGCAACTTGAAGAGGAGGATCCTGTACGCCTACCTACTCCCTCCCGCTGTATTACGGGTGCTGACATACTCCACCTAGTATATTGCCGAGTACAGTTCAGGTGCGGGGTTTCCCCGAATACAGTTCGCGCTCACTCAGTCTCTCCCTCTATCCAGATATCTGGAAGCGGCTATGTTGCAAGCAATATCCTTTGCTGGTCCGTGACACCGACGAGGATGAGCCAGAATGCGGGTCGTGGAAAGAAGAATTCGCAGTGCGTCCCCTTTGTTGTATTACGGCCTGCGGTTGACAGCCCATTTCCTCCGCCCCGTGCTCAACGCTTTGTTCTGTATAGAGGTGCCAAGAAGAGGACGCAAACAAGCTCGAGAAAGCGGCAGCTAGACTGAGAGAAAAGCGCCAGCTAGATGAGGAACAGCGCAAAGCATCCTCGATCAAGATCACCGACAGACTCCCTCCCGCTGCCAAACGCGCCCGCTGTACGTCAGCCTCTCACGCCGCGCCGTATATTGCGTTCCGCCGCCCTGACGCTCAATCTGCGCAGGGGGCGCCTCCGCGCCCAAGACGCTGTTCCAGAAGACGCGCACTCATGCTGCGAACATGCAAAAAGGCGTCTTCAGCGCGCTCATGACGCGCCCGGCATTTCAGCAGCGCACCCTCGTGAGCCACGCCGTCAGTGCACGTCCGCCCCCGCCTTTGACGTCGACGTCGGCCGCATCTGGCTCTCGGGTGACTGTGAGAGCCGTGGCAGTCCCACGTAATCCTCCCAAGGTTAACCGGGCGCCGAGCGCGCCGTCGAAGGTGGCGGGTCCGAGCAAGCCTGCGCTTGCTGTCTCTCGGTCCATGGATGTTGACCCGAGCACGCCCGTCGCATCGGCTACTAGCCCTCCAGAAGTCCCTTCGTCCCCGCCCGATGGTCGGTCGCCGCCGCCCCGGCCAGTCGGAAAGAAGAACCCTGCGTCTGTGCTCTTCATGCCCAAAAACCGGGCCTATTCGCAACTGCCGGCGCGCGGGGTCCGATCGAAATCGTAGACGACCACCCACACCCCGCGTTTCCCCGCTCGCGCCCGTGCTGTAACCGTATCCGACTAACCCACTGCTGTATCCGAACATAGCAAGCGCACCCCTCGCTACGTGAGCCTGCGTTGTCATACTCTACTGTATTCTCCCAAGGAACTTCCCGGTGGCGATGTACTTTTAGCATCCACACATCCATACCCTCGTGATATCGTAATCTTCTAGAATCGATTGCTTCCGTGCTCTCCAAGACCATGCCCTTGGTGTCGTCTCCCTCACCGACGCCATGGTACACATCCCAGCGATCTGGGTAAACGTCCACCGGAGCACGTCGTCCATACGTCTGCGGGCTGTAAAAGCCGACTGTTGCCAGCACCGGCTGGGGTGCGCCATGACAGCCGTGTCGGTACGCACAGCGGCCTGACCCTCGGACGAGTATTTGCCGTACGGCGGAGTCGAGCAGAAAACCCACCCCTTCAATAGGCGGAGTGACGACGCCCGCGCGTGCGTACGCCCAGCGAAGTCGAAACGCACCTCTGTGGCTCTCGACGAGAAGTCGGAGAGAGCACCCGAGTACCCCGAGCGGGCGGACCCCGTTGCGCTGCACAACGTACGTACGGCATGGGCAGTGGTTCTTTGCACCGTCCCAGTCCCCAGCTCCGGCGCCCCGTCTGACGGCTGTCACAGCGGCCGCCCCAGCGTTTGAATTCATTTTCAAGTCGCCGTGCACGGTGCGCGTGCGGTTGCGCATCCGCGCGCGACCCGCCCGGTCATTTGCGACTAATTGTCAGTCTGCATGCCCTCGTCCAACTCTACTCGTCCTGCGCCGCCACCGTGCGCTCGGCTCGTGCGGCCAATGGGGACACAAGCAGTGCCCTACGCCTGCTTGCGTTTCGGAGACGTGTGGCGGGCGTGCTTGTCCGCCCGGAAAGGAGCCCCGTCCCGGTGCGCAGCAGGGGGCGCTTCTCACGTCGTCCGCCACGGCTCTGAGAGCGGGAGCGCACAGCGCGCCGCCAGGACGCGGCCGTGGGACAGTGGGGGCCCGCAGCGTAGCGGCGGCGCGAGGATGAGAACGGCGCCGGGTGCGGGTGCGAGTGTGCGCAGGCGTGCCCACCGCGGCGGCGCAATGCTCAGCCGGCGTGGTCGAGGGATGCGCTCGGCACCTAACGTACGCCTTCGAGGGCCGTCCGACGCAGGCTGTCGAGTGGGTGCAGGCAGAAGGCAGGGGGGGATGCCGGCAGGGGCGTCGGGTCATATCGAAGAGACTCGCGGCACGGTTTTGGACGCCAAGCCAGGGCGGCGGGTCGGGCGCAGGAGGAGGGCCAGTACATGGATCCACTGGCGTATCCGAGCCCCTCCCGCGCGCGACGCAGCCGGGGACGCCTCACACGCGTTATTATGGGGTTCTGCCGCATCGAGGCGGCGGAGGACGCGTCTGGCGGGCGCGAGAGGCGCATAATGGGAAGGTGCTGTCGCTCCAATAAACACGCCCGTATTCCTGGAGCCGAGCACGGGGGGCGGGCGCACGCACGCACGGCTCGATCGACGGGGTGTGCTCGCTGCTCTTTCGAACTCGCGGCGTGCGACGCGGATGAGTCAGGGAACGTGAGAGGTGTGCGTCGACGCCGGCCGCTATAGCGCATTTGAGAACGCGCTCACCATGAACGGCATCCGCGTTTCGACGCAAGGGAAACCGATGGATATCCACGGATGTCCACTAGGCGGATCAGGACGCCGACCGCTGGCTTTCGGGCGACGCTGCCGTCCCGTCGTAAAAGTGCCGTATTGGCGCGGTGTCGGGGTGCATCTCTAGAGCCGGCGAGGCAATTCAGGCAGGTCCGATTCCTGGAGGTTGTCGTGCCTCGAGGCCTTGCAATCGCACGACTGTGCGACCGACCCGCTAGGTGGGTCGCGCCTTGTCGGTGGGGGTGCCGCGGCTGGAGGGCGTATGGTACGAGACTGAGCAAATTGGCGGATGCATGAGAGAAGCTGCACTGCTCACAAATGCCATGACAGAGTTTGGAGGCGGTCCTGCGACTATGCGCCCTATACAGTCGGGCTGCCAGGTAGAGTACGTGGCGAGACGACGCTGCTCGGCTATACTTGGCCATGTACGATTAGGACCTTGGCTCTGTCAGCATATCCATGTTGGAGGGCCTCGGAATGTCAGTGAGGGTTTGGGCACACCCGCGTAGTACGTACACCCACTCAATCAGAGTTTCACGGATGGCAGGAAGTTTTGCTCACCGTTACATGCGCTCGAAGCAATGAATGTTGAATATCCACTCACGGTTGCGATTGGGGGACAATTTGGTATGCAAGGACACCCCAAGGACCTACTGCCACCCCATGACTGACCTGACTAGACCTTGTTGCAAATTATAGCCCGCTGTGCCCGACGAATCAGGAACAAAGAGGTGTCCGCTGCAGATCGGCACGAACGCGGTGAACAAGCTGAAGGCAAGCCAACCACCCATTTCCGCTGTCCGGCCAGCCCGGCGTCAAGCGCCGGGGCAGCACGATCCCGTGACCACGGAGCCAGTACGCGTCGCGTGTGTCCGAGTCGCCCGCCGCGCACCCAAGTCCCACCGGCGACCACACGCACCCGCAACCGTGGTAGCATCCGGTTTTCCCAAGATGACATTCGCCGGGACGCGCCGTACGTACATACATTCATATTATACAAGCCGTTCGTTCGAGGGTCGTCAGGGCGTGCCTCCGTTGCGCATACTCAGCAGCAGCGTATCGTATCTGTACAGAACAGTCTAACTAGTAGTGGGCGGCGAGAACTGAAGCGTGGACGTGAGAGAATGCAGATGCAAAGTGGGAGATTGGAGATGAGGCAGAATGAAGTGTGGAGCGGAGCATGCGTTGTGTGTGCCAGACCGGACACGATGCAGAGCGGGGCGGGGACGGACGGAGACGGGGGCGGGAGTGCGAGGGAGGGAGGCGATCGTGAATGCGTGAGTTGAGCGAGACCGGGGCAGAGCGGAAGGCGCGACGTAATCGAGGGGTAATGAAGAAGGGAACCATTAGATGCAAGCAATGTCTTGTAGAAGGTGAGTGGAAGGAACGCCATGCAAAACGGTCCTGGTTCGGACGGGAGTGGGTGGGCGCTCAGAAGAGCGCCGTCGTCGACCCGATGCCGTACCCGCTCGCCACGTCCGGGCTCAAGCTGGATCCCGCACCTGTGCCTCCCCCACTCGCGATGACACCCGCGGACGTCGACGGGCCCGCGTCCCACCTACCCTTCCCCTTGCCCTTGCCGATATCTGCCTCGTGTTCCGACGTCCTCTCGCGCGCGTCCGTCTCGACCGCCGTGGCGGTCCGAGTGTTGGTACCGAGTGCGTCCGGTGGGGGCGCCTCCCATATCCGCACCGTCTTGTCGTCGGAACAGGACGCGAACATACGCTCGTTCACCGGGTTCCACGCAACCGAGTTCACGCTCCCCTCGCCGTGCCCGGCGAGCACCTCGAGCAGCGCGCCCGTGTCGCGGTGCCAGATGTATACGTTCCCGTCTGCGGGTGTGCGAGCGCGCACAGGGAGGTGGGGAGGTGGCGCATGGCGCATAGGCACAGCGAGCGCCGCGCAGCATTCCGAAAGAACGGTTGAAAAAAAGAAGGGTGCGAGCACGGTCAGTCCCGGTCGAAGACAGGGCGCACAAGGCACACAACATAACATTGACGTACCCTCGCTCCCACTGAGCACGAAGTTGCCCTCGACGCCACCGAAACAGCTGCGGATGACATGCTTTGCATGGCTGTGGCCCGTATATTTGCGCACGACCTGCTCCGAACTCAGATCCAGCAGCTGGATCTCCTGCGAACCGCTTGGCGTGAGCACCTCGTCATCTGCCGCGCACGAATGACACGACGTACCGCCGGGGGCCCGTTCTCGGACGCACGGTTGATGAGCGCGTACTGCGAGTCTTGCGAAATCTTCACGCTCGTGAGCTCGCCCTCCAGCCGGATCATCCTGCGTGCGCCGCCCGGTCAGCGTCAGTCCACACCAGACATATCCCAGGCACGCCCGCGCGCACTTCGCGCGCGAGAAGCACGGTGGAACGCGACGCTAAAGTAGCAAAAAAGACGCACGATTCCGGCTGCTTCGTCGCGAGGTCGTATATGACGATGCGCGTCTCCGACACGCGTCCTGCGCCTGCCCCTCCTGCCGCAACACCGCCTATGCCCCCGCCGTCCTGCGCTACGCCCGGACCGGGTGGTATCGATGGTGCGTCGTACATCCCGACCGCGATGAGCCGCGTGAAGTCTGGGGAGACCTGGAGGTCCGTCACCCGGATCGGCGTGCGGTTCCACGTATCCCGGGGTTTCCCGTCCGCGTCCTGGAGGAGTACCGCAGAGGTCAGCACTGTTCATCCACAAGTTGCGATGGACCAGTCAGTGCTCACCCAGAGGATAATCTTGCGGTCAAGTCCGCCGGAGATAAATCCCGAACCGTCCGGTAGCCACGCGAGCGCGGTGACCACGTCTGTATGCTGCTCGAGCGTTCGGATCCGTACGCCAGACTGTTGGTTCGAAAGAAGTGGTTAATTAAGCGCGCCCGACGTCCGAATGGGACGCGCGACTTACCCTAGAGTTCCACACAGTGATGCGGTTCTCCGAGGCCGTCAGCAATATTGTGTCGTCCAACGACCACGACACGCAACCAACGGCGTACTCATGATCGCTGAGCATGAACTCCGGCGAGTATGCCCTGAAACGCGGATCCTTGTCGAACTGCTCCAAACGCCCGTGTGTTGTCAGCTCTGTACCACACTCACCTACATTGGGACGCTGCTCACCTCGACGCGCCAGATGATGGCGGTCCTGTCTTTACTTGCTGTCGCGAGATACCTACCACTATGACTCCACTCGAGGTTCCATACCTCGTCATCATGTACAGATAGCACCGCAGTGGTGACACGGGGGAACGCGTTCCGGTCGCAGAGGTGATCCGCGTAGAGCGAATACGACTGGTTCCGCAGCGGCACGTTGTGGTATAGACATCGGCTTTGTTGGTATGATCGTGCCTGTTCGAGGAGTGTCGCGAATCGTCGTTGGGGAATCATAACGGATGATGGGATATAACCTGTGAAGGAGTGAAGTTAGGTCTACCTGAGTGCACGGGGACAGTGCATGCGTACGTTGCAAGTCCATGAGTAGTCGTCGCCGTGATGTACCGCCTGCTCCGTCCCAGGCTACTTGACTTCGTAGATCCGCGGGGTCAGAGCACATCATTAGACTACGGAGCAGAGTGGCGGCATCGTTGTGAGTTCAGCATTGAGGTGTACCCAGATGTAGAACGCACCTGGATAATGCATGCAGGTGGTCTAGTTCCGGGTTCAGTGGCGCAATCTCGTTACGCAAGACAGCCAACGCTGCAGTAGTCTTTCCGGCCTCGAGATATTCCAAGTACTTCTGCTTCGCGATGAGGAACCTCGCCTCCTGCATAGCACGTTGAGTGGCGACACCGGGGAGCAGCCTCCATTGCACTTACCCATAGTCCCTCACCTTCCGTAACTCCGAGACGCATCAGCGCCGTCTCCGCAGACGTCCATGAGGCGTCCAGGATGCACCGCCTGAACTCAGCGACCTCTGGCGTCTCCATGATGTAACCCGACTCGGCCTCGAGAGTTGCTGCCGATTCACTTATGGCCGTTGAGCTAGAAGGTCAGAGTGACAGCAGCGAATGGGACTTACATGTACCCGACGTCTCGTAAACTCTGAATGACCAGACGAACGAACTCTTCTCTATCCACGTACGAATTGTCGTAGAGCGTACTCCCGGGTAATGAGACTCGTGCGACCGGCGGCGGCCTGTGCCTCTCCGATGCAAGCCCGTCAACTCCTCCATTCGATGTGCCATTCGATGCTCCATTCTTGTATGGCAGGGAGAAACCGTTGCTCTTCGCCGTTGTACCATTATGGCCGTTCGAGGATCCAGGTGAGTGTGATGGGCCAGCCTCGGGGGCGGAGTCTAGGGAGACAGACAAAGCAGAATCTCTATCACTCTCAGTGAGGCGCATGTTTCGAATGCGTATGAGGGCAGGTGCAGAATCAGGCGAGATCAAGGCACGGTCGATGGAAGCAAGAGACGAGGATGCAGGAGACGAGGGCTGGGGGTCGACTCTTTGTCGCTTACGTGCGCGGGCAAGCTCGGCGTCTGGGTCGAGGTTGGCTTGTGCCGACGGAGACGAGAAAGAGGTGCTCGCAGACGGGTGGAGGAAGGACAAAGAGGGAGAGGAGACGGAGAGCGGGGCGTACTCGGGGGACGGCGCGTCGCTGTCGGCCTCCTCAAGCTCTGCGCGAGTGCGGGTGTGCGGGACTGTGCGGATTGAGTGTGCGGGTGTCCTGGGCGTCGGGGATGAGCTGGGCGAGGAGCGCGGGCGGGGGGCGTGGGCGGTCGGGTCTGAGTCCAGCGCTGGGGACTGGAGCGGTTCGGTGACCCGCGGAGAGGAGGGGTGTGTGCGTGAATGAATGGTGACGGCGGTTGCTGCGGGACGGCGGGCACAGCGAGCACGGCTCGATCGAGAGACCGAGCACAGACGGCGATGGTCGTAGGATCAGTGGGAGTACAGAGCAAGAGGTGCTCGCCACAGCCAGCATCAGCAGCACCCCGACCCCGCCCTTCTCATTTCGCCCAACCGCGGCGGAGTGCCATTCCCCACGCCTCTTCTCCAGCGACAATCATCTCCGCCTCCACAAACACACTCATCCCCCATATATTCCTCGACATACAGCGCCGGGCGTACGCTACACCCAGCGGCGTGCACGGGTGGACAAGACTCCTCTCCAATGCTAAGCGTTATCGAAGTCCGACATCGACACGCGCCTGCCGGCCATCGTACATGTAATCCTCGCGCAACAACACGCGCAGTCCGCCTCCGCGGTCAATGATATGGCCTAGACTGCCTCCGAACTGCCAGCGACTGGCCAGAGAAACCCATATTCGACACATCCTGAACCGGGAGGATCTGCCAGGCGAGTCCAGCTCAGCTCGACGTATATATACCCCTCGCTCACCGCGACCTATTCCCATCTCATCTCCCGTACATCCCCGTGCTACAAAAGGCTTGCACGCATGCTCCCCTATCGATGGCGCCCGGTCGTCTGCCTGCCTGTTGCCGCGCAGTCTCCGATGCCTCATTGCATGCTGCAGCTGGCCGCGCAAGCACAAAAGGCTTACACATCCCGAAGCTTGGCGGCAGATATCGCCCAATTATGGCTCGCGTTTATGGACTGCTGCCGAACGCTCGTTCTACTCCCTGACGTCGCCTCGCACTTCTGAGACGACAGGCCTGGAGGCATCGCAGAAGCACAGCAGGGAATCCTGATCAGTCGACGCGTTCTTTCACTTGAACTTGGGTGTACGTGATTACGAGCGTGCGGTAAGTGGGAATGACCCCTTTGCAGATACCGTCTATTCTCCGTCTTACGGGAGGGCACACGGGTATGCTTGCCGGAGCTCTTTTGGAGCATCAGCTGGTGCCGTGGGAGGGATTCGGTCTTCGGGCACTGAGCATGCAACGTCCTCAAGCCCTTGCAGTATGGCCGAGGCCATGATCGGATTTGCAGTCCTGCGCGCGCGCTGTAGAACGCAGCCTCGTGTTTCCTTCAGAGCGGGCAGGGGAGCCTTGGTGTCCCGCACTAGCGTGTATGCTGCCGGTGCGGCTGCTACTGCAGCGTAAGCGTGAACGTACATGTAACGACCCCTCAATCCGCGCAGGTCGACAAGCGTCTCAATACGCCGCCATGTGCGACGATCCGATCCAAGACGGTGAGTACTACTTCCTTCCTCTTCTTGGTGTGCTGTATAAGGCATCTCACGTTCCTTCATAAATCTAGACGATGCTAAGGTCTTTGAGCGAACCCGCTAGTAGTCTGTCTTCTCAATAATCGGCTCTCCAGCTCCGCCTTTTCACACCTCGAACGTGTGCTATACTCCCGTCACCGCAGCCCCGCCGATCCTGCTCGTCTGGCCCGGTCGCCGCCTCCAAGAAAGCCATAGAGCTGGCCTAGAAGCCTCCGCCACAACAAGCACCCTGGACAGCTCCCCCACTTCCGCCATAACCTTCATACTGATGCTATGACAACACACTCGCCGTTCCCTTCGCCACCCTACTCTCGCCATCGATACTGATATCGCTACCTAGTGTTTCAGCGCTGGTGCAAGCAATGCTAGAGTGCTACAATCAGCCTACGACCCTCCAGCTTTACTGCAACTTCTTACTCGCCACGATGATGTTCAAGCTTCTGGGAGATTCGGTAATGTCCGAATGCCGTGCCTGTCGAAGTACGTACAAGTACGTATAGATAACAGCCAGCAATCGCGTTTTCGCCCTCGCACGCAGCGTGATAGTTCGGAGAAGGGTAGACATCCGCGTACTTTCTCCACGCACTCGTATGGCCTTTCTCCTTCAGCTGCCGACAGCATCTCGCGAGCGATGATGCGCAAAGCTCACTTCTCGTGCGGACTCGATCGCTATGGACACTTTATGGAGGTCATTCAAGCACTTCGCCACCCTCACACGACCTCGCTTGCTCATTCCCACTCTCACAGGGTTCCGTCGGGTGTCGGGCTGCCGCGACGCTTCCCGCGCCCACTGCGAATTTTTCGGCGACGTTAAGCTCGGTCGCTATGCATCTTGCACGTTCTGCCATCACACCCGAGGATTCCGTGTGCTCAGAACTCACGTCATGCCAGCATCATTACAGTCGATATTGGATAAACTACCTCGGCCGCACACACAGACGACTGCCTCCGGCTCCGCTCACGCGGCGGGTCATGCGCTCCCGACAACTCTCGCGCATGCGCGCCGACAAGATTTGCTTAGCTAGCGCAAGACGTCAGCCGCTCGGACTTTCTCCCTGTCACCCGCGAAACTCTTGGGCTCTCGAAGCAACAGCGGCGCATGGCGCACATTCCGCCGACTTCTCTTCCATACATACGGTGCCGACCGGACGAACAAGCATCCTCCGAACGCGGCTGCGCGCGAGCCACTTGCCTCCAAGCCGGTCCAACATACTGGAGACGAAGTCTATCATAGACGTCTCCCTGCCTCCCGACTCTGCCGGCAGGTACCTCGTCAGTGCTGTCTCTATGTTGCTAGGTTTACTTCCAGCTCCTGACCCACCGCCCAAACTCGCGCCGCGCTCTCGGAAACAGCCAAACGAACTGGATTATTCCAAACCGCGACAATCAATATGTCAATGTCCGAAAATCGTAAACCCGGGCGTGACACCCCTCCTACTAGCGTGCCGTGCCTGGGTGAGTGGCTCCGCCCATGGCCCCTTGCAACGCACGATCGACTTTCGGGGCAAAGTAAGTAGGAAAGAAAGCGCAAAGCGGTGCCGCGACCCCGCCCCACTCGGCCAGAATAGGGGACTCGCGGGGCGGATGTGGGGTCGGGCGGGCGATCGCGCGTGCATATCCGCCTCCGCTCGATCAGGACGCGAGCAGGAGCAGCAATCGACACTGGAGGTCCGCGGCGAGCTCAAGCCACCCGTCGTATGCTGGGTGTCGCTTGCCTCCGTGACGCACCTCTCACTCGGCGCCTCGTCCCGCGCTCGATCTGGGGGTGTGCCCACTGTCGTTCTGGGCCTGTCTCGCACTCCCTCTATGCCGGAGAGGAGGTGGGTGACGCCGATGCGCAAGGGGCAGGCCGGGACGGAGGGCGTCACCTGCCGCGATGCACTCACACCTGGGCAATTATGAATGTGATGTGCAGCAGCTGACACGCCGATTGTAACAGCTGTACATGGGACTAGGCGCACAAGGCGGCGCGGCGGCACATTGCAAGGGAGTCGCCTAAGCCGTGCGCATTATTATTGCTGCAGGTGAGCACCGTATGACGAACATTCGGCCGGAGATGATGTACATACTCATGCGGCTCTCGCGCAACATTTCTAGGGGCAGGCGTCATGGTTCATTCCGCTAAGTTCGAACCCTTTCAAAGCGGGGCACTCGCCTACGCAGTACCCACTCGCCCGTGCGCATGCGCCGCCCACTTCGGCAACCTTAGAACTTGGCGTCACGCCCTCTCCTCTTCCGAAGGGATATCCTATGGACAAAGTTTGAGGGCCGCAGCGATCGCGGACGGGGCGTCACGGTCCCCAGATTCTCTAGCACGCGAGCGGCGACGGCACAGGCGAGTCCCCGACGGCACGAGAGGCTGTGGCTCGAAGACTCGGACGAGATGCTGTCGAGGCGTGCTGCTGCTGCTGCCTGGTGACCTTCCAAGACACATCGCCCCAACGCCCTCTGACGTTCGCGCTTCCCGCGCAGCTCACTGGAAGCGCGTCTCGTCGCACAAACGGCGGACGTACGCCTACCTACGCCTTCTAGTTATGGTATCCGCAAGCCTGCTGCGGACGGAACGGACTGACATGTTTGGCGTCCACTAGTCAGGGCCTCACTAGAAGGCCGCCCACGCGCGGATATCCACCCACAAACTCACAGCTCGGGTCCGGATCTCCGTTCAATACTCAATAGCGGTCAATACTCAATACGCAGATAGTGTACGAAGCGCTGCGGCAGGCACCGTTCCTGGGTCGGCGCGCACGATCTCCACAGCTCGCCCACCCTTGTACTTCACGCAGGAACGGGGGACGATAAGCAGGCAAGAGCCGGACGATAGGCGGCAGGGGTGCACGAATAAGGCGAACGTCGCCTGTGTTATAGCGCAAATAGCGCGAGCGCGTCGCGGTATCGCTCCCGACGTCGCGCTGTCCGCCCGGATATCCGCCCCTTGTACTGCCGAGTCGATGTCGGGTTCTGACACTCGCACTAAGTAGCGTGCGCGGAGGTATGTAGTGCATTATACGCAATATACTCGTCGAGGCACGCACCCGCCTCCGAGCCCGCCTTGGCTGCGCCACCCCCTCCCCCGCGATCGTTAGCGTTTCGGCTGTAATAGCTAGACGCACGAGATATCCCTGTCGAGTGTCGGCCACAGCGATTGTCGTGGAACAGTCACGCACGGACAGCGCTCGACATCGCCGCCCGTGATGAGATGATCCCGTCCGAGTCGCAGCGGTCTAGAGCGCAAGCAAGGCCCCAGCTGCTAGTGAGAGCGAGGCGGCGTTCATCAGGCTGGGGACGCTTGACGGTCAGGTGTCGGCGTCACGATGTCGCTATTTCTCGACGTGTGGCTAGTGCGAGCAGCCCGGGGACACGTCGACGATTTATCGTGAGATGTGAAGGGTGGTACGAGGATATCCAGCTAGGGCGTGGTGGCCAAGAACGCAAGTGAGGCCAACGCCGGCGGTGAAGCACGCAAGGCGACCGCCGCGGGGACGGCCACAGCGGAACGCTAGAAGGGGGACGGAGTTGGAGAAGCGTGGCCGAGGAAACTCTAAGCACACGCGAAGGAGCCCGTGCGGGTCGCGCATGACCGCCGAACACGCACACGAACGTTTAGGCTCGAGAAGGGCACGCACGGCAGACGGCATATGAAACCCATGACATTGCACACGCGAGCGAAGGGCGAACAGACGAAGCATGTGCATATCCGGACGCGAAGGGCGTGTGGGGTGGCTCTGCACCACGCCCGCACGCCGTAAGACTACACAGAAGGGGCGAACCATACGGTACCTAGCGACGGGCGAAGGGGAACAAGTGTATTTATGTAATGGGTGGTAACCTAATGGGGTGAGGGGGGCATGGAATGGCGAGGATTTGTACGTGCGATCGAATGCAATTTTGACGATGAGAGCGGTGTGGAGATGTGTGAGAGCGGGTGGGTGAGCGTGAGCGGAGGTGGAATAGATATTGATAGAGATTGCTGTTGACGGATGCGGATGATGCGGAGTGTGGGTGTAACGTGCGGTGACAAGAGATAGGGCAGCAATGGATGGATGGGGGCGGAAGATGCTCGGATGGCAATGCAAGTCGATGCGATAGATACATAGATAGTGCGCGGCAAGGGCAGCAGCTAGATACCGGAAGGTGACGAGGACGACCGATAAGCTGCAGTAGAGCGGCGAGCGGGCGGTCTCGATAGCCGGTGAGCCTGGCGGCGACCCAAGGCGCTTTTGAGGAGCGTGGACCAGGCGAGCGGATGGAAGGGAAGGATGTGGAGGCGTGGTTGTGCGCGGTCGGGCACAACGATAGTTGAATATCAACAAAGCAACTTGGGGAGGATTGGGTGACATGGAGCGAGGAGAGATGCGAGGACGAAGGCAATGCGAATGTAGGCTGAAATGCGTCTAGGGAATAATGCGAGTGTCGTGGAGAGGAGAGGTCGTACATGCAGTCGTGGTTTTGGTCGTTCGATCGTCATTCCAGTCGCAAACTGAACCGGATGGTTCACCGCTTCAACGTCACCGTCCTCCCGCGAGAGCGTTCGCGCGCCATGAGACCGCTACGCCCGTTGCCATAGCCGGGGGCACTGCGGTCGACACACGGAGGCAACTTGTCCAGTTCGTCGGTACGCCGCCGTCCTCGCCGAGACCCCCGCTCTTGCTCGGGCTCCTCGCACTCGTCCTCCTCGTCGAACTCCTCGACCGCGGTGTTGATGTATCCGATGTCGAGGTCCACGCCGGAGTCGGGACGCGACTTCTCAAACTTGGGGAGCGGCGGGGGAGAGCTGTTGCGACGGTGGTGGGGGTGGTGTTGAACCTGCTGGCGAGCAATGCGGACGCTAGCGGCGACCACGGGGCTGTGTGCGACCCAGTCGGCGACCTTTTCCATGCTGTCCAGACGTGCGCGAGCGTGGGCGTTGTGATGCGCGTGAGCGCGCGCCCCCGGCGAGCGGCTAGCAGAGCGTCGAGAGGAAGATGAACGCCCGTCAGGATCACGCTGCCTGCTGCGGCCGCGAGGCGCTGCGTCCGCGGTGACAATGTGAGGCTTGGTAACACGTCCCATCTGCGCGGTGGCGAACGCCGTCGTCGTGTCCACGACCGGCTTTGCGAGGCGGGGAGTAGGCGGGGAAGACGAAGACTGGAGAGAACGCGAGATCATAGAAAGCGTCTGGAGCGACGACAAGCTCTTCTGCGACCGGGAGCCGGCAGGCGAGGTCGAAGTGAGGAGGGAGAAGTAGGCAGGGAGACTCGCCCGGTTCCTCCTGTTCTTCGCCGTCACAGTGTCATCCTTCTCGCGCTCGCTCTCGTCCGTGATCTGAGCAACCGAGTCCGTCGACTTTCGGCCCAAGCGGCGTCCCGACCGGCCGGAGATGGAAGAGGCGGAGGCGGAGGGCACGTCGGAGGCATCATCCTCTGTCGAGCAGTAGTAAGGCACACTCTGTGAGATACCGTTACTTGAAGGGGTAGAAGCCGAAGACGTCCGGTGGTGCAGAGTAGGGATCATCGACCGGTTGTTGGTCGTTGAAGGCCGACGGACGTACGCCAGGGAAGAGTTGGTGTTACGATAGACGTTGCCGTAGGAGCTCGAGGGTTTCGAGGATCCGGCCTCGGCGGAGAGGTAATCGGGGTGTACTCCGAACTCCTCGTCGGTGCCCGCGCTGTAGAGTGCGGGGTTGACAGACTCCTCCTCGTAGTCCTCCTCGAGTGCCGACCAAGAGACAGAAGAGTTGGATGAGGAAGATACCGAGTGGCGGACACGGTGCGTCTGGTGCGCGTCTTTGAGAGAGCGGCCGAGAGTGGACGGAAGCAGTGCGGGGACCTCGGCGAGTGCGCCGGGGACGTTTGCGGTAGAGTTCAAGAAAGGCGATGGTTGTGCGCTGCTTGTTGTGGATACGGACGGGGAGGTAACGTCGGTGCTCTCACACTGGTCGCTGCAGTACGGACGGCTGCGGGGGAGGGGGGCGATGAGCGCATGTGCGGGCCGGGGGGCGGATGCGACTTACCCGTCGGCGAGGACTGGCCTGCCGCAGATGAGGCAAACTTCTTCGTACATGCGGACGATGCTGCGTGTGCGGACGGAGGACGGTTGGGGGAGAGCAGGCGGGCAGTATACGAGGGAGGACTGGAGGAGACGGCGGGGGTTATATAAGAAACATAGGACGAGTGTGAAACGGCCGTGAAATGGTGAAATCCTTCGGCGTCTTCCCCCAAAATAAGTACTCATGACTCCCTTCTTTTTCCACTCCACCGTGACCCAGGTCACGTCCGATCGCGCCCCCTTGGCGATCTCCCACCCAGATCCCTCCCAACGCGGCCTCTTCCGGCGTCCCAACCGCTTCCCGCGCGTCACAGCGTGTCACAGCGGGCGTGGGTATGCATCCCGATGTGGGCGACTCTGCCGCGGCGGGCGCTTGACTGGGAGGACTGCCCAGTCCGCGCAAAGGCCTCCGAGCACGTTCTATTCGAGTCTTGTCTCCTCCGCCCGCGGTCGAGAGCCTTCTTCCCTGTCCTTTCTCCGCAAACGTGTATTCCACCAGCTGTGCAGAACGTGCCCTACCGACGCCCACCCCCCGGCTTCTCCTTTCCTCCACCACGCCCGACGTCGACTTTCATTCTCCCGTACGGACGTGCCCTCTTATCACGGCAGACCCTCGGTGCTATGCCGCCATTCCGACCCTCGCGCGCTGCTCTTCGCGCGTTCGTGCTCAATACAGCACATCGCACTTCTCTTCCCAACTGCACCTATCCCAGCAACCGCCCAGGTCACAGCCCGTGTCCCATTCCACTGTCCATCCTTCATTTCCCTCCCCTTCTCATCGTAGAATGCCGCGCCGCGCCCTCCCATGTGCGCCGGTGCCCCACCCAGTTTCTCCGCCCACGCACAGCGTGCCCGACGTCCCCAATTCATATCACCCCATCGCCTCCCGCCAGACATGCATGTGCCCCGTACATACCTACATTGATCCCTGTCAATCGAGCAGATCCTCACGAAGCCTTCCGCCGTGTCGCCACGTCGCACTCACAAAATTATCTAACTGCTCAGACGACCGAATATCCTCCCCCAACTGACGTGCGCGCACGCCAGCCTGCCATGATCGCGACGTCCTCTCCGAGTCACGACAGCGCAGGTACCCAAGTCACTGGCACCATCTGCATACCCGCTCGCGCACCCCCGACGTCCCGGTCGGCCGAGGCGTCGTCGACCGTCCCGCAGGTACCTCCCCAGTCCGGGCGCCCGCCAAGCACGCCTTTAGCATACAGTCGTGCCCCCGCGACACGCAACAACTTAACAAGTCATACCATCCTGTAACGCGCCCTCGCGTTCCACCGCGGCGGTATCGCGCGATGGCGCGCTCCTCGCGCTAGCCCCGCGATCGGGCACACTCAATCTGCCCCCAAAGCACCAAGTCCGCCCATTAGTCCGTCCGCGCCCGCGCCCGAGCCCGCGCCGGACCCAAAATTTATGTCGCTCACCGCGGCGGTTGTGCCACTCGCGCGCGCGTACGCGCCCGGCGCGAATTTCGGTGGCCTCACGGCGCGTCGAATTCGCGACTCGCCTCGCGCGCCCCCTTGCATCACTGCGTCAATATGGCATGCATTCTCCCGCGATCTAGAGCGTGGGCGCGCGCCGGCGGCCAAATACTTTCCAGCGCGCCCGTGCAGGCGCGTGCGCCTGCGCCCAACAGCCGCGTCCGCCCTGTTCCGCGACGGACGGTTGCAACTGCAGGCACGCTGCAGCACTGCACCGCGCACATCACCTCATTGCCGGCCTTCTTCAGCCTTCTTCACGCGCACGCACCCTCCGCGTGCGGGGTCGCTTGCGCGCACCTGCGCTCTTCACCCAGGCGCAGATCGTCACATGAATGGCGGAGATGCAGATTGAATTTTGAGGACGAGATGCCGCAGCACGCCCCGCCGCGCGCGCATGCCCTGTTTAGTATCGAAGCGGCGGCGGCGGGGATGGGAAGCGACCGCATGCACGAATACACCGGGCCCGCCGCCGCCCGCTCGTGTGCCCGACGGCGTGACGGTGCCGTCCTTCACTTGCATCCTCTTCTGCGCACATATGAAGCGGCGGCATTCCAGCCTTCCAGGCGATTCTGTTCTGCTCCTGCGCCCTGTTTCCCCGCCCCGGAGGGCCGCACTCCCAGCACCCCGCTATGTTAAGCCGCCTAGAACGCGCCGCATCCCGTTTGCGAGGGCGCAGCTCCCCCTGTATGTGGTTTCGAAGCTCGCGGTGCCCGCCGCGGCCTTCTGGGACGTTCTATGCAGCCGCCCCCGGCTGCGTCGCGCCGCGTCGGGGTCCGCCCACGACAATAATAAGCTTCGCTCGGACGGGAGGGTCCTCACTCACGCGCGGTCGTCAGGGCGCGTACCCACACGAAGCGGTCTCCGCCTGGACACACCCAAACGAGGCTCTGCGGGAGTCAGACCAGCGCAGTCTGGCCACACATGGGTGGTGCAGTCGCCCGCGCGCTCGCGCCGGTGCCCGGGCGCAGCCCCAGCGAGGGCAAAAGGCTAAACCCCGCATGCTCGCGCCGCTTCGCCGCCATGCGGCCCAGCAGCCCTGGCTCAGAACGCCTGCTTCTTGATGCAGATGCGGGCGCAGAGATCATGGAGGGCCGTGCCGACGCCCGCACCGCACGCAGCCCAGCAAGTCTATTGTCCGCCGCATATGGGGAGCAGAAAGGACGCGTCGTCGGAGTGGTCGGAGCACGCGGGGCGTATCCTGCGCGCGGGTCGCTGCAGATGGAAATCAGCGCGCTGGCCGCTCGAAGCTTCTGCGAAAAGATACCGGGCGCGTCACGCGTGCTGCTCAGGTGCAGGTCCTGGGGCGAGAAGGGGGCGTTTGGATTGAGGCGAATGGAGCCCGCGCAGAAACATAAGCGTGCCGACCCCCATACGCGAGCAGAAAGGCGACGCCACATAGGCGTTGGTACACAGGCGTACATATCAAGCCGCGTGGCGACGCGAGGGCGGGTGTGGGGCCGATGCCTGTCGCATACGCGCAGGATCGACGCGAAAGTAAGCCGTATCTTGCTGGGCAAGGCCATTTCCCTGACATGCTCGCATGAGCGGCACGGAATCGCGACAAGGTCGAATGGAGTTGATATGGGCGCCTAGTGTTTCTCCGTGTATTCCTCCGTCACGCCGTGCAGTATAGACTGCTTCCGCTCAAAATGGTATCGTGCCGGTCAGTACACAGTGACATTCGGCAGACCCTCTGCCGCGCGTTATGACTGACGATCTCTGGGTGCGTCATGGCCATGCGAGCAGGAGGACAGCGATTCGGACTCAGATAGGCAGCAAGACGGATGCTGCACGCCACGCGTGCAGCACCTGACTTCAATGCGATCCATGCTGCCAGACGGGCGCGCGTCCTCCTCGTATTAGGTACATGGATGGCCCGACGATGGTGACGTCGGCACGAGGTACCGTGCATCATCACTTTCGCGGAACACGTTGAATGCACCGACACGGACGATGTACTCACCATCATATCATTGCGTGCATGAGGTCATCGAGGCGTGGATGTTCGCTATAGCAAACTGTCCGTGACAGGGAGAGCAGTTGAGTATGATGACTCTAGGGCGTACGATGCTGGGAAATGCTCGCAAATAGCTCTCCCATGCTAGAGCTCCTCGATACGTATGGGTTGCCTAGTACTGTGGGGAAAGGCGTCAATGTCCGTTCGCACACGATGTGGGAACACACCTCCGGCAAATCTCGTCGACGACCTCCGCAGACGCGTCCACAGTGGCCGCTGACGCGACCGCACGCGGGCCGCACGGCAATAACGAGAGCTAGCGACAGCCTCCGCCCGATGCAGCCACCCGCGCCCGTCGCCCAATTGGCGGCAAAACGCGCCATCGGGACGTGCGCTCCCCATGGGGGCACGCCGCCGCACGCCGTGTGCGTCACCATGTCGTCGTCCTGGCGGCTACATCGACCGTCCTCGCGACGCGTTCCCGCACCCCCGGGCGTGTCACGGTCGCGACCCCGTGCCACCGATTGCGCCGCCAGCATTGACGCGTCTGCAACCGCCCGAATGCGGGTCCATCGCGACACGCATGGGTCGGGTGACGTCAGATCCGCGCGAGATACGCACAGGAGAACGCGACCCGTCACGCGTCTGGGCTGTCACGCTCATCCGAAAAATGCGAAAAGATATTCGTGCGGGCGGGTTATCAGCGGATGCCAGTTCGAGTCGACGGACGCGATACAGGATCCGGATGCTGACTCGGCGCGGAAAGGAGGATGACTGCGCTCTGCGCCCGCCCTCCAGAAGTGCCTGTAGCACGTGCTACTGATGCCACACGGTGGCGTGCGCACCAGCGCCTCGTGGATGCGCCTTGTATAAGCACTACGATGAGCAAGACCACGGATAATTCTATTTGGAAACCCGGGGTACGCACAATAACCCGGGTTCCAAATGATACACATAGAAACCCCTGCCCGAAGGTGTCAAACGCGGCCGGGCAACAGGCGCTCCCGGCCGCGCTGATCCCTTCGCGCATGCCCGCCGTCCTACGGAGGGCACACGTGATGTGCCGTCGGGGGACTCTAGCACATCTGGACGCCACGAGATAATCCTGTGAATAATTGAGTCAATGCCTGAGCAGTTCGCCCCGCGCACGGGGCTGACATTGAGCCTCGCGCGCAGCGCAAACTATGTAAATGAAGTGGAGACTTGAAGATATGCCTACTCCGGGAGACATATCTGGAATTAAAAAGCATTTACCTGCTCGCGACGAGTCGGATGTGCAAGCACCCATTGTTCAAGCGAGCTCCGTGGTACGCGGCTATTATCGCGATGTTTAGAACGTGCTGCATGCTCGTATTCGTGTACGAAACCAGAGAAACGCACCCCCGCGTTCACACACCTGCCGGCCATGTCCCGTTTGGGGTATGCATCATCCGGAGGTCCTCCGGCGCAGGCCGCCACGAAACCGGGTTTCCAAACTAGCAGAGGGGTTCCAAGCGGTACCCGGGGTTTCCAAATAGAATTATCCCAAGACCACACCTATATCGACGATCGTCTTGTTCATAAACGACGTAAGCACGCGTGCGCACAATATATTGCGACCCCGGCCAACAACAAGAGTCAAGAGGGGAAAACAGACGTTCCGCCGGTGACTCAGCACCCTCAACTTTATCTCGGTCGTCACGGCCTTGCCCAGGAATTTGGCTGGTCAACGTCGGCGATCCTGCGTGACGAGGTCGGTCGAGGAGGTCCAGGCCCGTCCCTAGCAACGCCCCGGATTTTGCGTTCGCGACCTCGTTCTCGCAGTGCGCCCCTACGGTACAATGCGGTTAAAGAACGCATCCGCGGGCGGTCCCCGAACGTCAAAGGGCAGCGAAGCGCCCGTGTATGGGGGTGGCTGCGCGCGTTCTAGTATTCTGTAAGTCCCCTCATTGCTGTGCGCTGCTAAAGAGGTTCTTGTGAGCCTCGATCGATGGCGATGAGTACTTGTGGGCCCCAGTCTTGGTTCAAGTACCTGTCCGAGTGGACGGACGGGGACGGGGAGGGACGGGGTCGCACCACGGTTCCTAATGAGGTTGCAAGGGCCGCCGCGTCGCGTTGCCATGCTCAACAGAAACGTACAGATGACGTCGGCGCCGCTGAAAGAGGTCCTGCTGAGGTGAGCGTCAAGCCATACGGCCAGACAGTGGATGCGGGCGCACGAAATGTTCAAGTCGACCACGACTGCCTGTCGTCCGTGTTCGAGATGCAGCAGGCAGACACGAGGCTAACCGGACTCGTCCGACGGGTCGCCAGTGCTCTAGAACATCATCGACACGGCCAAGCGGTCACAGATACACGCAGCAAGATCTGTGCCTTGGCCCGCTACGCGTGCCGGCGGTTGCTATGTACGAAGGTGTATGTAAGTTCATCTTTGGGGTGCGTCGCGACGGACCCGGCCTGCATGCCATATCTGCTCATTGTTCACCTGCGCGGTCTAGCCCGCGAGGGTGCGCTGAATGGTGATCATCAAGGGTTTGCCTGCGCCTCGCCGCTGCAGAGGCAAGCCTCACATGTTCTTGTCACCGGTGTAACCACGGAGGACTGGCCCGGTTGGCCACAGCTGGGAGTAAGTGATGACCTTCGCTCTCCGACGCGTGGTTAAAGCTCATCCTGATGGTTCAGTGACAATTCACTAAAATCACCATGACAAACATGTCAAGCGTGCGGTCGGTATTGCTCCCGTAGCGTTGGTCATCCGATACAAGCCACCCACCCCGCTCCAGCTCGCCCTGTCGAAACCAATCGTGCTAAACCCTGCTCAAAGGAGTATAGCTTGACGCACCCCACACGCAGGCACGCCCGCCCCGTGCCTGACTATCTCTTGAATCTTCGAAGCACGAGCCAAACCCAAACGCTGTGCACCACACCCCATTCGGACCGGAAGCTGTTCCTACTCCCGCTTGTGGGTATACGAACGCCTCTCCCGCCGGGCGCATCAGTACCGCCGCAGGCGCGGGCGCGCCTGCGACCTGATGGCCCCGATGCCGCCCACAGATGGCCGCCCTGCTACCAGAGCGGGCACGACGCGGACCGCCCGCCCGACCGCCGCCCCCTAGCGCATCCTATTAGTGAGCACCGTAATCACGCCTTCCCGGAGCCCTCTTCGGGGACATGTTGTCTGCGCTGATGATGCTGTCACTAGGACGGTCAAGATCATGTCCCAGTCACGAACGCGGACAGCTGGCGCGAAACAGGAACTGGCGATTCGCAGCCTGAGCTCGGCGAGGCGGCGCTGCGACGGCGTGACGCCGCCACTAGCCTGACTTTCGTTGGGGATCTAGCGGCGCCATCTCCGCGCGCTGCGTCAACTGCCCCGGCCGATGCGTGGCCGACGCGATCACGTCTGCGTCCACCTGCACTCCTGCGAGGAGAGGGCATTAAACGTTAAACCGCCGTGACTGAACTGCGGTAGGATATCCGCTGGCGGGGGTTTGGTGAGCATCTGTCCATCTATGGCTGTCACAATTATGTCCTGCTTCTGCGCGGTCCAGAACGCGCTTCTCCTCGTCCGCCCTGGCCGGTGGACGAGGATATCCGGGCGTGAGCCCAGAAGGCGGCGTCGCAAATACATGGACTCCAGAACGGGCTATGGACAGCTTCCGGGTGTGCGGGTGCGCTCAATGTCCACTATATGCGCAAAATTTAGAGTCTGCTTCGAATCCCTAACCTTCTCCCTTCATTGATAAATCCCCCTTCACAACAATTGTGCTCAACACGAGGAAACAACTCCGCCCGGTTCTAATCCCGCCACAACCGCTTCACACCGTGCTACTATCAGCCAGCTTTCGTCGGAGTTGTCGCGACGCAGACTTCCATCCATCCCCAGCTGGATGCATCATGGAACGTCCGGCAGCTGGGATCTGAGACGTCCCAGCTATTGTTGGGGCATCTCGACCCGACGTCGCACACTGGGTCCGGGCTGCATTCGGAGGTGAGCCTGCTCCTTTTCGACACCGGACCAACTCCGAGGTGAAGCGTGTGTGTCCCGCCCACGGGCGCACGCACGCATGTGTGTGACAGGCTGTGCGGTACGCCATCTTTTCTTGCGGTGCCTCTCGGGGCTTAGTCTGTGTCAGAAGTGGTCTGTCCAACTATCCCGATTGAGATCAACGCGCAGTGGTTTTCCGACTTCGGTGGCCGGCGCGTTTTCCAGAAGTTGGTCATGTTTTTACAACGTGCTCTCTCGATACCGCGTCAATCAGTTTTGACTAAACATGTCAGATGCACATATGGCGCGGGGATGGCGCACTCGGAGAACAAGGCGCACCGTCCGTCAGCGGCGTAACACGGACCCTTCATGACCTGGTGGCGCTTATAGGTCCACATGTGTCGCGGAGGGTACCGCGCCGGGTCTCCGATGCCGAGCGTTCAGTACATGTTCCTCGAGCACCCGGGCGTCGTGTGAGCAAACCGCTCAGAGTGGACCGCGTCTAACATCTGCCGGATAGATTGCTTCATGAGCCTGGCTTCGCCCGGCGTGACAGAATGCGCATTAGACTTTCATCGATGCAAACTTCACGGATCTTGTGTATTCAATGGTATGTTTACGTTCACTAGAACATCCTGCGAGTCGATAAAATAACTTATAACTGGACTTCACAACTAGGCACATCGGTGGCCGTGGAGAGAACGTTTCTTAAGTTGCCGGAGCTTGCGGTGGGGCACCCGGTAGCCGCGGCCAAGAAATCCGGGGTAAGTCCCCGGCGCTAGCCCAAAACTCCTCTCCCGCCCGCCCGATCGCGTTCGCCCTCCCGCCGCGGACAACACATCACCACAACACGCGCCACATACAGGCCCTGCCGGCCGCAAATTCAGGACGGCATGCCACTCTGCAGGGCCCGCCACCAGCGACCGGCCATGGCATCGACAGCGGCATCCGACGCGCTCAGCGATGCCTGGGGCGGCACGATGGGCCTCCCACCTGGCCACCTTAATGAAAATAATAATGGGCGAACGATGTCCTCCGCGCGGGAGAGTCAACGTGCGTCCGTCCGCGAGAGCCGCGGTCGCTATATACGCGCCTCGAACGTGCTGAGCGCACGAGGCCCTACCCGCCGTCCCGTCCGTTGCCCGTAATGGCGCAGTGGGCGCAGGCGCCGCCCCTTCGTACCCTCTTTGCGCTTCTCAGAGTCAAAACACATCCTCCGTCCGGAGTGCGCTGTGGCCATAGGTTGCGGCCAATCACCTTATGATAACGCCATCCTCCCGGCTCGCGAGCTTCGTGCGATCTGAATCTGCGCGGAGTCGCAACGAAACGGAACGCGCCATCTGTTTACCCCGAGCCAACGTTGCTCACGAGCACACATTGGCGCCCACAGAAGGTGTGAGATTGCGCCAAGGCCAAGGCGTCCTGCACGGCCGCCCTCCCCGCCCGTGCACACTCTCGAATTCAGATCAGAGCACTCGAGTCTCGAGCGTTGTCGATGCCCGATCGACGTCGCCCATATGTATTCTTCAATGCTTATAATGCAGTGTGTCACACGGTAGTGACCATGCGGGCCCCAATTGCGAGTCTCCTGTCCCCTGGCCCTCTGGATGCTACTAGAACGCATCGCGGAGTTGATCTCATCGCGAGGGGATCGCCAACCCCCCGGTCGAGTCAGTCACTAGTGGGGGTGCGATCGTCGTTTGGGGTAGACTCAGACTGCGGAGAGCACGCCCGACGACGCGCCGTCGGGCGTGCCCTCCGCGTTCTGCTAGCGGCTTGGTAGCGAGATCCTGACACACGCCGAGGGGGCGAATCAGCGACTGCGCTGGTACTCCTGCTCCTACATGTGGTCCGATGCGCGAGATCGCTGTTCGCGTCAAGGCGGCCGAACACAACGTTGTCCATGGGACGACGGTTTTCGAGGGTGAGTGCACGTCTTCTAGTGGGAGATCTATGACATAACCAACGTCCCAGAAATGCGGCAGTGATAGGGTATTAAGGCATTCCGGGTCCATATACAGTAAATACCGCACCGTCCACGTTACGAGGTCCAGCAGGCGATGGCCGCGCGTTACGCGAGAGGATGAGGCTCCTCAGCCGGAGCGACCGCCTCTTCATCCGCAAGCTCCCCATCAGCCTGGGGTTGCTCGCTATCGCCATCAGGCGCAGGCGTGTCCCCCTTGGGTGGGATTTCCGGAGGGGCATCCTCACCCACAGGCAACAAAGATTCAGGCGCAGCATCCCCATTCGCTTCGTCGGGCTCAGCGACGAGCGACTTCTCCGTGATCACCACAGGAGCCTGAGGAGGCGGCGTCGGTGCGGCAGGCGCGTTGTCAGCCATAGGGTCGACCGGTGGTCCTGGAGTGCCTACGCGCGAGTCCGGTCCGGGCGACGGCGACGCGACGACGGCAGGGGGCAGTGCCTTCTCGACGTTGGGCGCAAGAGCGGGTGGCGGCGTCGACGAAGTCGGTGGCGCGGTGGCGTGCCGACCGTTGAGCGTGCCAGCGCGCTGCAGCATCCCTCTGAACCTCCCGGCGTTAAGCGCGGACTGGACAGCGGGCTGCTGGGGCGCGGACGCGGGTTGCGCAGGCTGCTGGGCTTGCCTGTTCGCGACCGACTTCTCGGAGACGACGGTTTCGAGCATCGCGGTCGGCGCCGCGACGTTCTTGAGCCCCGTCAACTTCTCTTGGAGATAGCGCGCATCTGTGATAAGCCTGAAGGTGCGTCAGTAAAGGGGGTGGACGTTCGCGCGATGTGACGCGTACCTGTGTTTCGCCTCCAGGGACGGTAGCTCGATCTTCGCGTATTCCTCAGACAGGCGGTGGTTGATCGCGGCGAAGACCTGCGTCATCACAAACTGCGCGTGAAACGTCGAGGGCGGTCATTAGAAATGCGAATGCGACGGGATGCATACAGCGAAGACGACGCTTACCTCGACGATGGAGGAGGGAAGGTACCGCGAGAGGACCTTGTGCAGCGTCACAGTCTCCTTCACAAGAACTTCCATGTACTCGTTGACGCCTTCCTTGGGGACGTCCCACCTTACGCCCTAGCGTACTGTCAGAAACGATGTAGCAATCTCGATTCATGGTAGGCCTTACCTGCAACGAGCGAATGTGCGCGGTGAGGCGGTCGCCCATGATGGCAATCAGCTTGGCATGGATCTCGTTCTGGTGCTCTTGGTAGTCCTGGCCAGGTGTACACACGTAAGAACAAATGTACCCCTACAGATATGGTGTGCACACATACCCGCTTGAGCTTGTCGAACTCGATGAGCATCACCGCCTGTTTCTGGCTGAGATGCCTGCGGAACGCCTCGCGAACGTACGGGATGAGCGAGATCATGATCGCTAGTGACTGCGACGCAAGAGCTGCGGTACGTGTCAGCTTGATGCACTTGCGCGCACATTGCGAAACTACGAAACGCACCCAAATGTTTCGCCGTAATGTTTTTCAGGCCCGCTGAGCGCATCGCGCCCGCACCGAGGACGACCTGGCACGTGCGCGAGTTGAACGACTTGAGGAGCTCGATAACGCGGCTCATCGTGTCCGTCACGAGCAGCGGCAGGTTCACGATGACTTTGAGGTACTCGATGAGCAGCACGAGCACGTCGAGAGTCGCGGACACCGCGAAGAACGGCCGGTCCTCCACACGTAGATGCTTTGTTGGTGCGTTTGCAGAGCGCCTTCGCGCAGCACGTCCGGGTGAGGGTGGGAAGTTTGGTGAGGGCAACGGGGAGGAAGGTCGTGGCGGCAAACCATTGACCGTGAGAGAGGGAGATGACGGAGCGGGAGATGGTGGGGGTAGGGGAGAAAGTGTGTCGGAGGGAGGACGATTGAGGAGTAGCTCTGGGGGGTCTTGGATGGACGCGTCGACCATCATATCTACTATACGCTGCACAGAGGGCGCAACCTCTGCGGCGTTCCACTGCTCATCTTCCACGAGCTTGGCCGATAGTGATAGTTGTGTCTGATGGAAGTGCTGCAAGAAGCTCTTGGCCTGAAAAAAAGGCAATCCATTGTAGTCAGCATCCCATGTTTGACCTACCAGTGCGGTGTATACTGACCTGGCTGACAATCGCTCCCCGCAAGCCCACAATCATCCGCCTGCAGATGATCTCCGACTTCACAACGAAATCCCAAGACTCGTTGAATAGTGCGCAGAAGCTTGGCAGGTCGAGTGCGGTATGCTGTTCCGCGCGGACGCTCATCACCTTCGATGCGCGGGCGTTCGCAAGCTCAGCTGCGGAGGACAGGATGTCAGACAGCTCCTCCTGCAGCGCGGCCAAGTCCACGCTCGCTTTTGGCGACCTGACGGATCACTTCAGCTATTGCCTTTAAAGCGCCTTGAATGAACAGACGTACTGGATACTCTGGACGACCTCGACAATGATGGCATTTTCGCGATACAGGCCTTCTATGCAGTTCAGGAGGCTGCGGTACATGGCACGAGCCACATCCATGAAAGCCGCATGTGACATGGCACGTAGTTCAGCCGCGGCATTTGACCTGAAACTACTATGAGCATATGCGCCTTGGCCACTATAATTTAGACTTACTGCTGAGGTATTGAATCATCATCGCTCAGCTCGAGCGTAGGTATTCGCTGCACTTCCTGTTAGCATGGAACAGCTTCGTCCAGTCTTAGCACTTACCCGCTTGATTGTACTTCGTACTTCCGTCATAACTACGTCTCGCCAGGATATTGTAGCTTCTAGGATACCCTTTGTGCGCACCAAGGACTGCAGCAACGGTCGTAGCCGATCTTTCAGCGACATGTTGAAGTCATGTCGCTGCGCCTCCGGCCAATAATCATACTTCGAGTCGATGCGCTCGACAAGATCGTGCCGCAGAAGGTTGACAAACTCGGACGACAGGGATGTGGTGATCTCCATGGTTAGTGTCCGTAGGTGTTCCGGTAATGCTGCGAAGGCCCTCAAAGATGATAGAGGTATTGTAGGGGCAGGGGGCGGTGGCGGCGGTGGCGGTGTGGCAGGGGGTGACTCCATCACCGTAGGCAAAGGTGAAGACCGACCGTTCTTCGCCGGGGTCGGCGGCGGTCTCGCGGCCTGTGCATCCGCGCTGGTAGGGTCCCAGAGCCTGTTCAGCTCTTCAATAACATCCAGTGCCTCGCCCCACTGGCCCGCCGCCACTAGGCTTCTCGCCACTCCGGTCATCTCCATGACCCCGCTGACGAAACGGACGCTGTCCTTGACGGCGCCCATGTTCCGCAGCTTACCCTCTTTCCGTACAATCTCCAGCCCGCGCTTCGCACCCTTCTCGTCGACGTCTTTGAGCAGCCCTCGCAGATTGGAGATGCGGTCAAGGCATTGCTCAGATTCGGTCTGGAGGTCTTGAAGATTCGCCAGGGCAGCGAAGAACGAGGTAGACCGCACGGAGATTTCGCGCACGAGGTGCTGCTCAATCGTGTCCGCATAGTGAGACAGCTTCTCGAGTAATGGCAGAGAGTGGGAAAGTGATGTCGGGTCTGTAAAGTCCTCTTCGCCCTCGCGCTGCTCGGTCACTGCATTGAACGTCCGCGGGTCGCCTAGGTTGAAGCTTGCGTCAAAGAACACAGACGGGACGGTCTCGAGTGGTGGTGGGGCCTTTCCTGACGGCGGCCTCGGTGTTCTCGGCGTGTGCGGTGTGGGAGGGACTTCGATGCCGGACGAGGAGGATGTGCTCTCGATTTGTGCGACCCCGTCCCGGCCTTGCTCCGCGTTCTGCACAAAGCGCTCCCATTCCGGCGAGATCGCGCGGAGGTAGGAGTCGAAGTCCTTGCGGCGCACGCGCGGGAGGTCCGCTGGGGGAACCGCTGGGAGCGCGGAGTGAGCCTTGGGCGGATCGGGTTTCTTGCGTGGGCTATTTACGACATTCGAGATGGCTGCGCATGTTCAGTACACAATGCAACGCTGCCAACGCACTCGAGATAGCGCACCATTGAAGCCATGCCTCGAACTACTCCATTCCGACGGAATCGCACCCAGGGCGAGGTTGGCGAGAGAGCCATTGGTGTAGACATCATATGGGGCGTTATTCGCGAAGTAATCTCCTCTCCCTTCTGTGGTCTCTGAGACACTACCCGGTCCAGGTCGCCTAGAATCCCAGTTGAATCTGTACGCGCTGGGGCGAGCAGCAGAGAACGACGGCAGTTCTCCGATGGGCGAGCCGGGGCGTGAGGGAGTTGACGCGTAGTCGGACATGAATTAGGCCCTTGTGCAGCGCAGTGGGACCGCTATGAAACCTCTAGAGCAGATTCCAAGTTTCGCATGAGCCGTCTACGCGAGAGTGGTGCCAGAGAGGGAATGAGAATGTGATTGGAATGCCAGTGGGACACGGATGCCAATGGGATGTGCGCCTCCGTGTTCGGCATTCGCCGGTGTCAGTGCATTTATGGGCGCTTCTGCGAAAGCAGACATGGTTTCTAACTAGTAGCTAGTAACATGTACATCGAACGGTTCGTTATATTGCGTTGAAACTCCTCCTAAGCAATTTCAATCACAGGTTCTAGCTCAGCGTCCAAGGCGTGAAACCGACGCGCCTGACATCCTGCGCTCGTCGAGATTACCTACGCCGCTGTATACGCCGTCGGGCAGGAATGGGTGTTTGAGGATCTGCGAAATTCGGCGTATTATAATCATGACGCATAAAGTAGGTTCTTAGCCATTTTGGCGGGGCAGATAATATGTTACTGATGGACTAGCCTCGGGACTTGGGGTATGATACTGACTCGCTTCGATGCAGACAAAACAAACCTGCAGCTATTGTAGGAAGCAGTTGTCGAATGAATGTGGTGTGTTGAGCAACTACGTCACATGTAAATGTTGTGATTCGCGCAGTGTGTTCAGGAGGGCATGGAACTAGGGCGAAAACATCTCGATGTGTCAATACTTCGGAGTAGCGCAAGCTCGTCACCGCCACGGTCCCCATCCTCGCTGAGCATGGCGTGACCATCACCACCCTCTTCTACAGGCAGATGCTGGAGGCCAACCCCGACCTACGCAATGTCTTCAGCCGCAGTAAGTAGCGGGTCAGTCCGCTATTTCTCGCAATGATTTGCATGCTTACCTTCGCCCTCTCATCACTCAGCGTGGCCTTCAGGCAGAGGCAACTCGCCCGCGCCGTCCACGCACACGCCGCCAACATCGAAGATCTCACCCCCATCCTCCCCGTCGTAGAGCGCATTGCCCACAAACACACGTCCGTCCACATTGTGCCTTCGCGGTGTTCAGATACTCCCTGTCCGACGCGCCGAACCCCGAGTACTTCCGCGTCCCCGTGAAGCCGGAGCCTGGCATTCGCGTCGTAGCGCCCTCAGGGACACTCGACACCACACAAGCCGCACATCCGGGGTGGATCTCGAGCCCCTGCACGCGACGCTCGTCGAGGGCGACCCGATTGATGCCGCGTTCCTTTTCGGCGAGTTCTTCCTCAACGACTCCTCGGCGCCCGTCGTGCTCCTGTCCGCAAGCGTGGGCCTCACGCCACTCCTCGCAATGTTTAACAAGCTCGTCAAGACAGATTTACCAGCGCGAGGTCAGCTGGGTAGGCGCATGGGAGACGTGGAGGTAATTTGAGGCCGTGACGGAAGTTGGTTTGTATTACATCGCATCGTATCGCGCAGACCACTGCTTGAGCTATGAATTTGTTTCTTCAACGCTCGCCTGTGTCGAAGTCAACGGTGGACTCACTGTGTCAAGACGAGGCCCTCCACTCGTTGGCCTTGTTGGCCTCAGCAGACAACCTTGCCTCGAAATCGCGATCCGCCTTTGAGCCGCCGAGCGCTGCGGAGCCTTGGGGCATGAGCTGCCAGTCGCCCCTCCTGACGCGCTCACGGATGCGCCGTTCGTGCTCCAGCGTCATGGTTGTGTCCATCCACAATGTCCCGGACCGCCAGTCAAGATGAAACTGCTGTATGTCGGTAGGCAGCCTTGCCAAGAAGTCCGAAGAAGCGAGGTCCACACAGTCCTCATAGAGGTATCCTAGTTGGATGTTGAGATACTGTCTAAAAGCCAGACAATCCGTGTCGAGAAAGCGTTGCGCAAGAGCGTTGTACATTTCCGGCAGTGTCGGATAATGACTATCGGCCTCGACCGAAAGTGTGATTCCGGGCCACGTATAGACAGAGAGGAGCACAACGGTGGTTTCCTCCGCACCAGGGTAATCCAGGACGACTTGCTTGTCGATCGCTGGGTCGTAGTATTGAGGTGCGTACTGCGGGACCGCGGCGGCCTGCCACCCGGCGTTTCGCAGACATGCCTCTGCATCTCGAGCTGATTTCACAAGGAGATGGATGGAGAATACCACTGTTTTTGAGCCATAGTAATGCAGCGCATGTTCGTACCAGTACGCGTATGGGATGTTATGGTCGCTTAGGATGGTGGTAGCACTGGGGATCGTTTCATCCAGCATGCGTTCAAAATACGCGTAGTACTACATAATCACTGCTTCAAGGTATTTACGCATATTAAAAGCTGTACACACACCTTGTGGAGATGATGACTGGTATCTGGACGTTGTCGGTCGAGCGCAAGAGACGCATTACGAGCGCCTATCCGGTCCTCCTGCTGCTTACCGCGGAGACGCTGGGGCACCAGTACTTATTCGCGCTCCTTGCACTAACGACATGGCCAGCCCGTTCGCTCTCTCGCTGCCTCCACCCCTCCGCCATTTCTTTTCGCTCTTTCCTCTCTATACACACCCGCCAATCTTCTCTGACGACAAGGCGCGCCCGGTCACCTCGCCGACCCTCTGGATCCACCCTCCCTGGAGCCCGGACGCGGACGTGCTGAGTAGCGACGTCGAATGTCTCAAATGGCAGGCCTACCTCGCTCTCCGCGGGCTCTCTGACGTCGCCATCCGCTGGGACGTCTCCGCGGACGGCGCGCTGGACAACCGTCTTCCTAACCTGCACGTCCCGCTGAAGACGCTGCAGGGCGCGTCGGACGCGGTCAAGGAGCAGGAAGACGGAGAGGGGGAGCTGCTGCCCGCGCACCTCATCCCCGAATGGGTAGACGGACGTGTCGGTGCGCTTGACGAGCTCGAGGGGTATGTAGACGAGGCAGCGCGCGACGAAAGCCGCGCATGGGTCTCACTCCTCGAGGGCAATGTGCATGCAGCGCTGGTATGTTTCATTGCGAGGTCTACGAACGTACTCCGCCTCATAATTTCCGCTGCAGGTTCTGAATCAGCCCTCTACTACGACACTGCTGAGTCTCCTGTCGCCCTACAAGACCAAGCCGCGCTCGCTGGAAGTAGTCGTTGCCCACCCACCGGCTCCGCTCTTTGGCATCAGCTCCCTATTGCCCTCATACGGGACGCACGTCAACGTAGAAGCAATCGAGCAACAGTACAAAGAGGCCATTGCCTCGCTCTCCGAGCGACTTGGTACCGACAAGTGGTTCCTCGGCTCGTCGTAAGCCGTACCCCTTCAAATCAAGTCAGGGCCTTGGCTGACGGAAGTACAGATCTCCCACCGCGTTGGACGCGCTCGTGTTCGCGTATTTGCACTCCATCTTGCATTCCAAGGAGCACACCCTTCGATTCGAGGTGACCCGGCGCGTGAACCTCGTAGCTTGGGAACGCCGCGTACAGAGCCAAGTTCGCGGTGCCTTCCGCTTTTTGGAGGCCACGTCGACACTTGTGCAATAAACGACCTTGACTGGGCTTTCATGAGCTATCTGCAACTACTTCGAGTAGTACTACCTGTAAAGGTGTTGTTTGGTGAGTGTCCACGACGCCTTAAGGATTTGACCAATTCACGAACCCCCTGAGTCAGTCTAGACATATACCATTTAGCAACACCAAATTTTATACGCGCTATGAGCGGCGCAGGGTTTGCCGCCTGCATGAGCATATTTCAGGATGTTTACATGCAACCAACTTGCAACAGGCTCGCTACATCAGCGCCGGAACTATACACAATATGAGAAAGCTCCTTTGCGTGCGTCCGTGGGTGTACAGCCATCTACGACGCCGTTGAAATACTGTGGACGTCACCACAAACGTGAAGCTATCATGAAATCGTACAACTGACGATCATACGCCTAGCGCGCAATGCAGGAGGTCCAGGATCTACGCACTACATATATGCAACAGTTTGGAACCCAAACACGTTCGTACAGCCCGCACGCTCTCTATGTCGAGATATCCCATCGCGGTCCCTTCAAGACGATATGAAGGGCTCCAGTCGCACATAGAACTCCTCTCGACAAACCGGGCACCTCGCGTCAGCCTTCAACTTCTCCATGATGCAGCTTTTCGGGAACGCGGTGAGTATAGCAACTCTCAATGCTTACAGTGTCCTGGCGCTCACCTTTGACAGAAGACATGCCCGCAGGAGGTGGCTATGGGCTCGCTGCAAGGCTCTCGGAGGCACACCCGACAATGCCACGAGACCCCGGCTGCACGCCCGCCCGCTGCGCATGTGGAGGTTTTGCATTTCTTGCTAGTGCGCGAGAGCTGAGATTGCTCCTCCAGCCACGACTCGACCTTGTCAGACGACGACTCGGAGGGCGCGGGCGTAGCGGCAGTATCGAGTGCCGCCAGAGGCTTTCGTGCTTCTCGCCGACAGCCCAGCATCGGCGGAGACGCGTCCTACCGAGCCACTTCATAAGCCGCCATCCGAGTACGAGTGCTCTATGATATGTCACTTACTGCCTCCCAGGCCGACGAGCAGTGGGCGACGAGCGACGTGTCGCACATATACCCCGAGTCGATGCTGCCCCCAGATAGCACCGCTGGGCGTGTGGGCGACAGCAGCGAGCGGCCAGACTTGGGCTTCTCCGCGGGCTCGTCGTCCTCGTCTTCCAGCACGCTGAGGATGCGCTCAATGCTGTGCTGGCCGTACTCGTGGGCGAGGATCTCGACCAGCCCGGTTTCGGGGACGTCTTCGTTGCGCGCGTCGGGCTCGTGGGGCTCGGCCTGCTCTGCCTCCGGTGTGCCATGCTCGATCGGAGCATGAGCGATACGCTCTTCCGCGTCCTCGGTTGCTTTGCTGAGCGACGAAAGACTCGAGCGACGCGATGAGCCCTCGCTTTGCACCTAGAGTGCAGGTTCAGCACGACGACGGCGTCACTCCGCCCCTCGGGATAACTCACCGGATTGGCCTGTGGCAGGCCGCTCAAAAACCAGTCCGCCTTGGGGGCGGGGTTCGCCAGGTCCGGGGTGGGAATGCGGAAGGTGACGCCCTCCGAGTCCGAGGCGTCTTCATTCACCTGGATGTCGAAGTGATGAGCCCGCAAGCCATAAACGCGAAGACTCTGAGTGCTCACCCGACCATGCGTCCAGCTGCTGCTCACAACGGCGCCCCCCACGCTGCCGGGAGCCAGGGTGCTTCGGGCAAGCGAGCAGGTCAAAGTGTGCTGCACAACGCAAACATAGATGCTCAGTACACGCTCGGTCGTGCAGTCACCACTGCAACTCACAGCGACCCACTCGCGGTGGTCCCTGAACGCGTTGTCGCACATCTTGCAGTACGGGTGTAGGTTCGACACTCGCCAGTGGTCCTGCAGGCTCATCTCGGGCGGTAGGTGTACCGCACAGACTTCGCAGGATAAAGGGTTTGCGAGGCGATGCTATCGACTCGTGTTAGCGTCGTGTAGGGCAACCTGGATGCGGCAGTGCCAAAGCGTACTGACCTCTGCGAGCTCAGCGGGGCTGAATTTCTGGCGGCACAAGGGGCATGCGACTCGCTCAGGAGCCTGGGTGCACCGGGTGTGCACCTCGCCCCAGGGGATTTTCTGGGCACAACGTTGGCACTTCATCTCGACGAGAGGTTCTTTGCCATGGGCCGTGCGACGGTGCTGTCGAGCGCTGTGAGTTACTTAGCGAGGAGGCGAGACGCAAGAGACGGCTTACCTCGGCGAGTTCGTGGAACGTCTGGAAGCGTTCGTTGCAGGCGCCGCATTTCGGTACGGCAGGAGGTACCTTCTGCGGACCGGCGGCCCAAGCGGATTTCGCGGGGGCGGTCTTGGGAGGACGGGATGTTTTGGGCCCCGCGACCGAGAACGCGAATCCGTCGGGAGCGTTTTTGGGATGTCCTGTTTCTTTCTGATGCGTCTTGAGAGCCTTCATGGCAGCGAACGTTGCCGAGCATTCAATGCAAAAGAATACCGCCTTCAAGGAGTGACCCGCGGTCATCCTGTGTGTGTTGCACTCGTTCTTGCTCTTGAAGGCCGCCTTGCACACTGTGCATTGTGCGGGAGCCATGATGAAGGGTTGGAGGTAAAGAGGGCTGAGTGTGGATGTGGGTGAGGTTTGGCGTTCATGCGGAGGCCCTATGCTATATACCGACTCTGCAAGACTTGCGGTAGGACGCTGGAACTGTGTAAGTAGATTACCGCAGCACGTGTTCGGCGGGCGGTGTGCTGCATGCTTCTCTCGCGCAACGTGGTGGCCACGGCGCATACCCACAGCAGGGCGGGGTACAACGAAAAGATAACCAGCTAGGCCTACGCTGACAGTCGGTTGAGAGTATATAGCGTTGAGGAGCAGGTACCTATACAAGTGAGTAAAAAGACAGGAAGCTGATACAGTGGCTGGCGATGGGAGCGCACGCCGCAGTGCGCGCGTTGCCACAGCACGCTGCAGACCGTCGGTGGACCTGGCTGTCATCGGTGGTGGTGCTTCTGTGGCACGCCTGTCGCTGTGCGGACTTACAGTTCGATCCTCGCCGCGCAGCGGGAGAGAACGCTATACGGCAGGCCGCTGAAGGATACTTCAGCAATGCGCAGTCGGAAATGGTCGCACACACCGAGCGGGGAACTCCTATAGCAAGAAGCGGGTCATGACAGCTGCGGTATACTACGCGAACACCTTTGACGTCGCCAGCTCGTCCTCGTCCAGTTTCCGCTGGTCCTTGCGCACACCGCGCTCCGCCTGCGCGTCTTTCCTGTGGCCGTACTTCTCGCCCTTCTCGCGCTTAGCGGCAGACCGCACCGCAGTGGGGGTGACGAATTCTTTCACGGAAACAGGTAAGGCAGGGACGAGCGTAGATAGAAGAAGGTACGTACCAGGGTTAGAGTATACCGTTGCGCCGTTGAACGCACCCTCGAAAATGCGGATGGGAGTGAGCACAAAACGCGGCCCAATCTCAACAAGCGATGTTTGAGGGGGCCCGTTGGGTTGCAGGGGGTCCTTCTCAACGATCTATGAAGAAGGCGCGCGGATTGGTCTCTGGACTCTCCGCGCGAGCTTAAATGCTCACCTGGAAGTTCCGGAACCAGATCTTGTTGTCGAGTATGGAAAAGGTGAGGATGTGATCGACGAAAGGCTTGGCCTTCCGCGCTTGTGGGGGCACGCCGAAGATCTGGGGGCGGTTCCGTGTGAGCAAAGGCAATGCCTGGTCGGCGGGCAACTTACATGCGTGAAGACCTCCTTGGTGAGCTTCCCCCACTCGCTCTCATCGAACTCCTTCGAGAAGCTCAACACGCCACGGCTGCCCTTGAGGCAATTTCCAGTCATTTTGAGCTCGTCCATGGTGTGGATATTCTGCACGTGCATCTTGATACTTGGACCATTCGGCGTTTTGGCTGCCCACATGTAGAGATCCTCGTGGCGACGTGCCTCGAAGTACAGTGTATTGTTGCAGTTGTTGAGGTCTGCCAGCTCAGGCAGGAGGTTGAGGTGGTTTTTGGAGTCCAGTTTCGAATCTGGAAGACGTGAGAATCTATGTCAAGCGACAAGAGCTGGTGTGCGCTCACCCTTCTTCACGTGTGGGAGCAGGACCTCCAGGTCGTTCATGAGGTGCCTCATGCGATGGTTGATTCCTCGCGAGGAGAGCATGAGCACTCGCTGCTTGTTCCTGGGCTTCTTCGCCGCAGGGGCACGCTCCTGCTGGTCGACCTCCATGTCGTCCGCCTTGCGCTTTCCCTTCGCACCGGCTTTCTTGACGCTTTTCTCCTTGAGCAGTGAGGCCATGGTGTGGTGGGAGTGAGGACGAAGAGGAGGGTGTATGCGCTCGAGTGGACGGCGGCAGATGTTGGGAGCAGCACGGGCGCCTGGTAACTTTTCCAGCAGCACGTGCGAGATTAGATAGACGCGCACCACCGTTCCGGGAGATTCGGAGTCGCGTCCTGTGTGCTGTGGCTGAATCGCAAGCCACAGCCAGACGCGCCTCTCTCTCTTCCTCCCTCCTTCCTCCCCCCACCATCCCCTCCCACCTCCCCTCGCCCCCGCCGCCATGTTGTCTTTGCGCTGCAAGATCTGCCTCGATACGATGGATAACCTCACTATCCCTATGGCCACCATGTGCGGCCACATCTATTGTCTTGATTGCGCGACGTTCCACTTCTCTCAGGCCGACCCCTTCTGCGCCGTGTGCCGCAAGCCGCAAACCCTGGAGAACATGATTCGCCTCTACACTGACACGGATGACGGATTTACGCGTGACGACGCAAGTGCAATGGGCGAGGACGATCAGCTCAGCCTGAGCCCCGTGTCGGTGAGGAGCATCGAGCGGGCGGGGGAGGACGCCGCCGGCGCTGTGAAGAAGGCTATTGCTGGGCGCGCAGACATGGATGAGGCTCTTGTAGCGTGAGCTATGCTGATTCTAACACACTCTCGCTGCTGTCTCATACTTCCCGCTGAAGTTGCAACACATTCGTCAACTCCGTTACGCCGCGCGAGCGCGCTCATATCAACGAGGTGCGCGCTTAAACATAGGTTTCCTGGTTGTATGCTCATGGTCAATGGGAACATCGCAGGAACTGCTGCGCGATATCGCGTTTCAACTTACGCTCGTCCAGCGGGTTCGTGTCTCTTCATCGCGCGCCTGTTGTATACCGTGCTCACCGGATTGACTTCAGGTCCTGAAGGACAACGAAGTGCAGGTCACGCGCCTGAAGGAAGAAGTGCAGACCGCGAGGGCCGCGGAGACTAAGGCCCGCCTTCGCATAGACCAGCAGCGACGTCTTCTCAAGCGGGCGGAGAAGGAGCAGGTAGAAGCGGTGAAGGGGCTGGCCGCACAGCAGGAGCGATACGATATCCTCTACCAGCAGTGCATTGTGGCCACAGAAGATGCCACCCGAACACGGGTACGCGCAGCAAAGGCAGTGAACGAATTCGAGGAGATGGAACAGGAGATGAAAGAATGGCGCGAGCGCGCCGCGAAGGTCACGAAGAAGGTGAGATCTTTGATGTCCCCGCGTGTTCGCTGTGTCCGACTGACCACTCGCTCAATCGATAGTACTACGCACTTAAGAGCGAACTGAAGCAGTTGAAGCAGGCAGCCCAAGGGCAGCCACATCGCAGCCGCGCACGCTCGGATGATCTCGAGGTGGTCTGAGCGCGAAGGCTATGGGTCTTCACTATACCTCGCGCGTTGCCCGCGCCTGTTCATACCAGCCTAGGTGGCAGTCGGACTTCTCTGGGACATTGCAAGACATTGTATATTATTCGTTGTTATTGTTGTCATCCGCTGTTGCTATCCTCTGGAAGGTCAAATTATCGAATGGATCACTGTATTCAAAACTTCGCGTTTCACGTTCTGTCCTAAGTACGGGTGTGTAATCCACCGCTCAATATACGCACAAGCCCTGCTCAACAATTAACACAGGGTGATGGTTGGGCGAGAAGAGGCTAAGCCGGGCCTTCCGTCCAGTCCTTTTACTTGTGAGTATTATAAAGAGCTGCCTACAGCGGCGTTCATAAGGCCAAGAATACACTACATACAGGATGTCCCTACTGGATGCTACAAAATTCATGCGTAATAAAAGGGTCCCATATAATGATAAGATCATCGATGTCGTGCGTCTCTGTGTAGACCTGAACGATGGTGCGCTCGTTTGCTAGCCCGTAGAACATATCCGATTTGCAAAACGCCGCCTCTTCGTTCGATATGAGCTCGCCACCGTACAGGTTGACCCAGAGCCTGCGAAGGGCCACATATGTCTTCCCGAGGCGTTCCTTGCGCTCCCCGAAGCACCGCTTCAGCGCCTCCCATAGCTCCGTTGCCGGCGCGATGCCCGCGGTGCCGTACAACGTGAGGTCGTCCAGCCGCTGGCACGGCAGTTGGTCCTGGGGTCGCCAGCAAGGTCTTATGAGGGCCGCGAATAATTCCTTTAGAGGGCCGCGGGCCGCGATGTCGTACATGTCGATCTCCAACTTGCGTACCTGGGGGAAACGGTCCAAGGCGGCAGCCCATGTCGCTCGCGGGATGTAGTCGTTGTCTCCGCAGAAGTCGAGTTCCTCGACTGGGGCGCCTGGGAAAAGGTCTCCGAGACCGCGGACCATCGACTCGTAGAGGTCGCCCATATCCCTCTTGTCGGCCTCTGTAGGTGGGTCGGAGACGTCCGTGATGACCTCGAGAAACAGATAACCAGGGTTCCACGCCACTTTGCCGAGGATCTGAGCATAATCCGACGAACAACGCACGGACAAGTCAGTAATCTTCTGGAGGACCGGCAGGCAGTTCCGGTCCCGCGGAAGCATGGTCGTGAAGGCGGCCTGGACTTGCTCGATTGGTGCGCCTCGGAGGTTGGCTATGAGGTTGGTGTCCGTGTTCGACTGGAGGATAAACGCCCCAAGCATATGCGAGACGTTGACAGGGTAATCCTCGATCGTGACCCACTGTAAGCGACCCATGACGGGTGGACAACCCACGGGGTCCTCCGCGGACGCAGGGGAGAAACAATTGCGCACTACAAGGTCTGCCAACTGGTCGATATAATGTAGGCAGTGAACGAAGGGCAACAAGGGGAGCGTGTTTGTGCAGCCAGGTGGGTTGATCATCCGGAGGCGATACAAGTGGGAAGCGATGGGGGCGCTGAGATGTGCGGCAGAGTTCAGTAGAACAAGATTCGAAAGGTTGGGGAGCCGAGAGGGAGGAAGGTTCAAGTTGAGAGTGTGGATCGTCTGCGCCGTATCGGGATCGTCTTCGGGGATGTCGACGCGAAGCTCGAGCTCCTCGAGCGCAGGCAGGTATTCCGGTAGCATGGCGTCTATGATGGCTAAAGCAGGCAGCGGCAGCGGCCGTGCGACGAGTCCCTGAATATCGTCGGAACGCTGCTGTATGTCAAGAAACGCCAAGTTCACGGCAGAAACACCCCGGTACTCGAAGGTCTCGCAGTTGTCCAACCGCCTGAGACGGATGCACGTGTGACGGGGTGCGGGAAAACTAACCGCGGGGGAGTCCATGGCTGGGCAAATCCTTGTCAAGACTGGCCCAGTAGTAGCGGAGGGCAATGAGGGCAACCCACCTCCGGAGGACGTCATGCTTCTTATGCACACCGGAGAAAAAGCAAGGTGAGCTTGAGGTTCGAAGAGGGAGAGTAAAGCGATATACCCGTCTGGTGGTTATATAGTCTGATAAGCGAGATAAAGGCGCGCGGTGGGGCAATCAATCCGAAAATTGTAGTCGCATTGTGCGACATCTAGGGGAAGGGGAAGCCGATCGGTATTGTCCCACCTTCAAAAGAGCGTCAAATGAGGGCACATTCGACTAAAGGATGAGGCGTACGACTGCGCATCGGATCCTGGGGTCCAAGAGGAGGAGGTACGGACAACCTTCGATTTCGGAGCAATGGGATGGCGTTTGAAGGCCACTCGGTGTGTTTCTCGGTTTCTCTGTGATGTACCACGTTGCGGTGCCAACATTGCTGGGCACGCTTCCGGTGAGCCTGAGCTTCAAAGAAATATGTGCGCTCAAAGCCAGAACGCACATTGTATAGGATAACCTGTCGACGTCCATTTACCCATCCAGTATGTGTATAAGCCTGAAAATCAGCAATTAGAGAGTAAATGGGCGAGGCGAGGAGGTCCAAGAACTTGAAGGTCGCCCGGAGATGTGGATTTCTGACGCAGAATAAGCGCCCGGATTTAGCCCGGCGTCCAGCTTGCTGCAGGAGCGGCGGCACATGATTCTCCGGACGCAAAAAGAGCCATCGAGAACTTATCCCAGAAAAAAGCGTACGAGGTCGACGGTGACGTTTGCGCTACCCGGGTACGACGCCCCCTACATGCGCTGGGCCGTGGATGTCAATCACGCCAGTGCAGCCATTCCATCAATACACTGCATCTGCACAGTGGACTCTTGGAAAATATATAGCTATACGGTATTATACTGTGCAGCGGCCGTAAGCGACATTAGCTCAGTTTGCGAGACGCTGAGACTAGGACACTCACATGGACGGGCGGCCCAGCTACTAATCTTCGTTAACGCAACCTCGTCCCCTAGCGTCAAGCCGCTGGCTACCAAAACCGGGTGCTGTCGTGACGAAAGCGGTTCGCCAGGCGCATAGTAACGACATTTGAGGTGACACTCGAAAACTAGTAGACCATCATCACTTTAGGTCAACAGGAGACGACGCGGTCGACAGAAGAACTTGCCCCATTGCCGATGAACACTTGTGCTCGTTGACCGACGAGCATGTCGACCGCTTGAGAGATAAATCGTTGCTCTACGTTGAGTATCACGTCCCGGCTGGTAGCGATCGAATCCCAAGGCGCATCGTGATGAAGAGCGAGGGCGAGTTCGTGCAGGAACGTCGGGTCGCCGTCACTCATGACATAGATCCTGTTGATTCCCTGCGCGGCAGGGCTTTCGCGCACCAACTTGACCCTGTCGACAATCTCCTGCACGTTGGGGTAGCAGTGTGATCGGACGAGCTCGCGCACCCGGGTAACTTCTGCCAGCCCTTCTCCGTGCAGAGGTGGAGAATATTGATCTGGTAGGTCTGGGAAGGAGTTCATCGCAAGGTAGGTGGAGCCCCAGTCCGCGAGGTCCGTACAGCGCTGTTCGTAGTCTCCTCGGCGCACGTGAACAACCATCAGCCCGGGTATCATCGAGTAGCGGTCTGCGTTGGTGGTGTACGGCCGCCCGGACAAGTAGGGTTCCAATACGGTAGGTGAGGAGAAGAAGTCACGGTTGGTATCGAATGCCAGCTCCACCAACGAGGACCAGCCAAAATGAGTGAGGATTGGCGACCTGGATAGAGATGACCATATATCCAACATTGCCTTGCGGTCCCTGAAGACAGTACGGTGCTAGTCAGTTCCTGAGTAAGACGGGTAATCTTATGAACTCCCTGGGTTTGAGACTCACAGGAAATCGTATAATTGCCCAGAGTCCCTTTCCGCCTGCACGCAAGGCTCTTGAACGTTGGCGAGTCTCGCAAGCCAAGCATTTGTGATCGCTTCCGCGTTGAGTGGCTCGGATAAGCTGCCTTGTACAGCTTCACGAGATATGCTCATCTTCCTGGGGCATATCTGCTCGAAGTACTCTCGACTGACAGCTGAAGGAGCATGTGCTCCTTCTGGAAAAGGGTCGCCGATGCTCGGCCCTACCAAACGAACTGAGCCAATGAGATCCCCGAGTGAGAGCGAGAGCGCCGACCTCTGATCATGACCGAGTATGGTATCTGCGACGTGACCTTCTTCCCATCCACGTCCGAGTACAGGGAGCTGTCGTCGGTCCAGGTATAGTTGGCGAACACGAACCTACAGAACAAGATGTTGGTGGAACTATGCAGGAAGTAAACATGTTACGCACGACCTTCCGGCCTTGTAGGCCAGATAACTATTCAAAATCAGCTCTTGCATGGCGTTGCCCCATCCCGCGGCTATAGTAGGGTGTAAGCCAAGTTCGTCAACGCTGTGACTAGCAACAAACGTACAGCTAGAATGCCCTGCAACGAACAAGAGCCTCTCGTCAGGCTGTGGCCGCTCATTCTGCCAGTGATGCTGGGGCAACCGCAGCAGCGCCGCTTGATATCGCGAAAACAGCGGGGGATGTGCGGGGAGCGGCGGGAGCGTGGGAGGCACAGCCAAGGGCGAGCGTTCTGGATACGTGTAACGCGCTAGAAAGACGAGGTATGCAACGAAGAGTACGGCCGTGATAGTGAGCACGCATGTTACTGCACACCGCACTAGAACTGCGCATAGACGGCGCATGGAGACCGCAGCCTGCGATCTTGTCAGCGGTTTGACCCACCGACGGGTGGGCGTTGATGGCATGGCAGGGGGACAGAGGCAGGCAGACGGGCATGGGGTGCAAGCGACCGCCCTATTAACGTATGCGCCACACTGCCACCATCACGAGGATGCGAAGGTTATGAACTGGCGAACTGTAATGAGTTCTCTCTCACGACATCATCTCTGCGCTAGTCACTCACGACCGGGGCAAGGTTTGACGGCGCCGACCGCGGGGGCGCGATTTACGGACACACCCCGCGGGTTAACACTTGAAATGTTCGACTTCGTTTTCGTTCCAAGTCGCTCTGCATCGGTATGCAGCAGTCAATATACAGACTTCGGCATATTTGCAATGGGACTCACCGTGATCTCGAACCGCGCTCGGCACAACAGTCGGCACTTGTAACCTAGCCATCTTGCCGAGCACCTAGGGCGCTGAAAGGCGGCCCAAGCCCCCCGGTGAGGCGCGTGTCAACCTGGTGGCCTGCGGTGCTAAAAATCTAGCCAGATAGAAGTCACAGCAGTTGGACTGGCCGAGGTCAGTGTGCAAACTGTGCACTCAGTGGGCGCTCGGCTTTGGCATATCTGGCAACCGGTGTATACTATACCAGCCCATGCACGTACCTCATAGTCTAGATGCAGCCCATAAGCGATAAAGCTGCGAATCGGCGAAGAAGCGGGTCACCCATGCTCTCCGAGATACATCCGCATGCTTGGCGTTCAGACGGACGTGCAGAGCCGTAGCTCAAAGGCAACGAGAGAGGCATTGCGCTGTCAAGCTCATCGTTAACATATCGGATATCACGAATGAACCTGAACTCACTTTGAGGAAGTAGATGTTCGCTATTCATCGTCCGCGAGGGTTCGCGCATGACTGCCTTTCATCCCACTGACGCAGACGTGCCTGGCGACCTCTGCCCCCCAGGCTCGCACCCCAGACACATATTGACATGCATATACTGTATTAGACATCAGACAAGACAGCGACATATAACCCTAAGACCAGCACAGCCAGGTGGTACGATATGGAGACGAGAAGCGAGGACAGCGAGTTTCCGGGATGCTTGGGAATCGGACGGGCATGAGGGGTGGTGATGGACGGACGAACATGAGGCGACGATGCGACACGCGGCAGCGGGGACATCAGATTAAATAGGATAGCAGCGGAGAGCATACTACACAGACGACAAAAAGGGGGGGCAAAAGGGGATGGGGAAGAGTGAGGTAGGTGGGGGGAGAAGACCGCCTTGAAACCACCAGTTGGGCAGGGAACGTCCGCTTCCAAGAAACCGAGAAGAGGCGGACAAACGACCAACGGAGAGCATGGCGATAGGAGTACACAACGCGTCAGTAGGATGTGATCATATGTGCGCCGACTGTTGACGCAGCTGTTTCTGCTTTTCCTGCTCTAGGCGCTATGAAACCAGTACTGCGTCAAAAGAGATCCCCAAGCCTTGTAGAATAGTAGCCACGTACCGAGTAAAGAAGCTGCACGGCCATCTGGATGTTGGCGGGCTGACCAGTAATGACAACTAACCGTTCGCCTTCGCTACCAGCTGGCGCCGCTGCGCCATTCAAGCCAACGCCGACAGCGCCGGGCTCCATAATCTTGATTTGACTCGCGCTCATGTGGCGAATCTCGTTGATCTTTGCACCTCCCTTGCCGATGATACACCCGACGAGGTCGTTCGGGATGTATATCTGCTGTGTCTGCAGCTGTGAAGGGGGCCCAGGGGCAGGGGCAGCAGGAGCCGCAGGGGCGTAGGGGTTCTGCCCGTATCCTCCTGGGACGTACGACGAGCCCGAGTACGGCGGGCGGCCGCGCGGGGTAGACGAAGGGGGGGCAGAGGACGCCTGATAACTCGACGGTCGGTAGGAAGAGTTGTTCGTCGTGGGCATGCGCTCGTTTGCCTCGATCAAAATGTTGCCAATGTAATAGGTTGCGATGTGGATCGCGTCCGCCACGCCGGACACACTGAGGAGACGCTATCACGAAGCGTAAGAGACCACCCCCAGCACATGAACGAGCAGGCGCACCTCCGTTGAGCCCGGGAGCATCGTCTCGCTGGCGTTCAATCTTGCTCCGCTGGCCTCCTGGATCTCCTTGATTTTGGTACCGCCCTTTCCGATGACCGAGCCCATACGCGAGTTCGGGATCATGAACTTGATAGTCACTGCCCGACTGCCGGGGACTGACGGTTTGTCGAAAGGCTCGTCGTTGATCCTCCGTACGATAAGGCCGAAGGCCTGAGGACGAGGTCGGCTTTTATAGTCCACCGTATAGCATATATGCGCACGCACCTTCGACACCGCGTCCAAAGGACCGCTTACATTCAAGATGCGCTCCGGATTCCCTGGGATGCTCTCGGAGACTACGACGCGTGCACCGCTCTTCTCCCTGATCTCGTTGACGTGCGACCCTGCCTTGCCAATGATGATGGATGCGTCCTGGGTGACGATCAGGCACCGCATGTGGATGTTGGCAGCAGGCGGCGTCGGCTGCCCAGAGCTGCTAGGCGCTCCAGAGGTGGTCGCCGAGCCGTCACCCTGAGCCTCCGTGGAGGGGTCGCCCGACGCACGGTCGGCGATGTCCAAAGGCCCCTTGTCTGAGCGGTGCGAAGCGTCAGGAGTCGACGCAGCAGTGTCGTCCGCGCGGGATTCCATCTTCACGTCACCCGCCGACACAGAGTGATTCGACCGGTGGGAGTCATTCGTAGCGCCGGTGTTGGCACGCTTGTGCTTTGGCTGCTCACTGTCGGAGGGCGAGCGGGAACGCTTCCGAGTGTCGGCTTCTGGCATGATTCGGGAAATAGTGTGGTCAGGATCGCACGGAGGGGGGCGTCAGGGCTTGTGGGACAGTGGACGGGATGTAGAGCTATGCTTTGGTGGGACGGGGAGGAGGCTTGGAACAGGAGGTCGGGATGATGGATATGTGCTCTGGGGGGAACGCAGCGGGGACGGTGAGGAGGGGGAGGATGGGAAGGGCACGGAGCGACCGGGCATCGTACATACCTGCACGCTGTTGGCGACGATGAAGACGATGGAAAGGACGACTGCCACGACGGTCACGGTCAAGATGCAAAGTCGTGGTCGTTCAATCCAAGGAGAGCCGCGTCGTTGCTGGGGTCGCCACCATCAGAGCGCTCGTCACAGCCAGCGCCTAGCACCGCCTCTTTCTTTCGCCTCCTCGTCGACGACGACGGCGACCACCCATGCGCTCTGATAATCATACTGTAATGCGTACACCCTTGTCAACGGCCATGCTCCTCATCTCGCCAGTGTATCCCAAACAGTTGCTGCGGCCTCTGCTGGACGACTCCTCGGACCCCGGCCGATTCCCTACCGTCATCCGCATCCTCGTGCATCAGCATAAGAACCACATACGCGGCTACTGACAAGACGGCCCATCTCTCAGAACCACCAGGAACAGTTAAACGCTATGCATCCGTTCGGTGGGAGCGTTCCCCTGTGCGCAGGTAATGGATACCGCTTTGGTTGTATTTCGGGCGTAGTTGAAGCTTCTGCTCACAGGAACTAGATCGGTTGTAGGGATGCTTATTTCTGATGGGCCACCAAAGCTTCTGGGATGTTTATTCGCCGCCTCCGAGCAGGTCTGTACAACAAAGCCGAACAAATGGACTGCCGTCCTCTGCGCGCCTAATCTCAGTGCAATTGTTCAATTGGCGCTCATGGCACTAGCGTCCTCGACACGGTCCACATGGCCAACGCTCAGCTCGTCAGATCCCAGCATCGTCCCAGGCAACGAACAAGTGCTAGGACGTACACGACAGCACGCAGGGGCCCCCTGGACGTAAAGCGTAAGGACCGAGCATGCATCAGACCGAACCGGCGCTTAGTCAGCATGCAAGCGCGATTGTCCTTCAAACCTTTTTGGACAACAAAGGCCTCCTGGACAAAAGGAACGCCAATCTGGGCGCCACGCTTGTGTACCTCCAGGCCCGCTAATATTGCACTATATATTCTCCTTCAGCTCCTGCTATGACGGACTGACTCCCCGCCTTTTGTGAGCGGCTTTGCCTGGTCACTGCAACACTATCTCGGTTTCCCTTTCGACTTTCACGATGCTGCACGACGCGTTTCCCTCGACTTCTTTCTATCAGTCTCTGAAGCAGACTGTGTCTGACATGGCTTTGACACCATGTAAACTTGACCTTGACGTACTACCACTTGATAGCGTGGACATGTACGGCGAACCTGATAAGAGGTAAGTCATTCATTCTCTCTTTACAACACATATTAACGCGCTCTTCCTAGCTCTGCTTATTCGCTATCTGGCCATGTAGAGGTCAAACTCACCCCGCCAACTAGCCTGCTCTACGACCCGCCAGCCACCGAAGAGCGTCTCCTGCTCGAGTCTCTCGTCCTCACCTTCGAAGGCCAGAGCGAGCTGCTCACGCCTGAGACGGGATACGGCGCATGTCGTCTCGTCCAGTTCTCTCAGGAGCTCCTCCGAGATGGACCCCTCGAGGTCGGCCACTTCTGGGACGAGAACCTGCGCGATCCTCAGCGCTGGCTCATCACCTTCAACATCGCGATCCCGGGATGGCTGCCTCCGTCTTGCTCCACGAGCTTCGGAAACGGCTCACGGGAGGAGCCTGAAGTCAGCTATCGCCTCTCCGCGAAGGCGACGTACCGCGATATGAAGCCTGGCTCGTCGAAGTCTCTTCGTTCCATGTGTTACGGCTACTCTGAGCTTCCCAGCACGCAGACGACAACTTCACCCGCGGCTATCGTCAAGCTTAACCGATATACCATTCCTCCTCCTTCGCATGCCTTGGCCACCTCCGAGTTCCCCCAGTTCCCGTTCCACAGTGTCGAGTACGCCGGCTCCGTAAGGGGCTCGTCTTCTCAGATTCCCGCGGATGTTCTGTCGAAGCTCCGCGTCCTTGCATACCTCCCCGAATACATCCCGACAGACTGCGAGAGCTTCCCACTCTACGTCCGCTTGCGACCCGAGGGGTTGACTGCCGACGAACGCAAGCGCCTTCATCTGCCCACGTTCTCCGTGAGCGCAACGCAGACTGACGTGATGCGGTAAGCAGCAATGTTTCAAGTGTCTATAGTCCATACTCATCCCTCGTTTGCAGGTCGGCGATGTCCTCGAAGTTTGCGGAGAAGTGGCCTGTCCCTCCCCCATCAGAACAACCTCCCAAGAAGCCCCTCCGCGCCCGTCGCCGCGACGTGCGGGAATACGAGTGCGGCCTCATGCTCAGCGCGCCGATGGGCTCAAACAACAAGCAGACCTACTCCATGCTCCCCCGCGACTTCCCAGAGCACTTCAACCTGCACAACGCGGGCGAGGGCTTCGCTGACCCCGTGTTCGACGACTCCAACACGTGGGTCCAGATGCGTCTGGACGTACCCATCTGCAGCGCCTTCGTTGACAAGAAGCACTTCCACGACGATCTCCCGATTCCGAAGCTGCGCCCGACGGAGGCGGGGCCGATGTTGAGCGTCTTCCACACGCTCGACGTCGTGCTGACGTGCACGTACGACGCGGCTGAAGGCGACGCTGAGGCGGAACCTGCGATGGACGAGCTCCGCCTCACCCTTCCTCTCAGCTTCGTTCGCGTACCCCGCAGGAACATTCATATTCCCATCGTCCCTATCGTCGACCTCTCTACGCCGGCCAGGGATGGGACGTACACCGCCACGCCTGCCGATGCCTGCCCTGTGGACATGCACCAGGCGGCGTTCCCGCCCGCGAGCCTCCCCTACGCACAAGCGTTGCCTGCGTACAATCAACTATATTACTCCAACGGGACCCTTCGTGAAGACCCTACTCCTCTGCCCCGTTACACTCGCGATCCGAAGGACGCGGAGGACCCGCCACCTCCACCTGTTGTCTGCAAGCAGGTCCCCCCCACGAAACTCCCTCTGTCGCCCGTGGCCCCATCAGAACTGGATTCTCGCATTTGAGCTCGACGCTCTTTCGCTCGTTGCTTCGCTCCGACCCCTTCGCGCTTCCCGGTCTTCACTGCATACTCCTCGATTGCACCATCCTTCCTGTATTGCGCTACGATGATCGTTCACGCTCCCTCCTTCACTCATCCCCATGTCTGCCTTTGTATCCATACACACCCACGGCTCCCTTCGTCTGTTCGCCTGTTGTGCACCTTGCTCTGTATTGTTAGCCGCACGTCTTCACGCCAGTATCCTGGAGATCCATAGACCATATTCCTCAACGCAATATATATCCCACCGTTCTGAATACCCGAACGTTTGTTGTCCAACTGTAAGAACTACAGCGTGAGCGAGATCTTCTCCAAGACTTCCCACTCAGCGACGGGTCCTTCGCACTTGACAACCCAGATCTCCTCCCCGTCGAAGCCGTCGAGAATCACCAGCTCCCGCGCGTCCTCCGCCTGCGGGTCCACACAAGCCAGCTGGATACACTGCTCATCGTCCTCCCGACTTTCCATCACCCACAGCTCGCTCCGCAGCGCCTCCGCCGTACGTGCGCGTTCCCCCGCGTCCGCGTCGTCGATGTAGTGGAGCGACATGTGGGCCACGGGCGGGACAGCCTTCTCGCCGAGCGCCGCCCTGAGATGCTCGCGCAGGTTCTCCAGCGGGGAGCCCGCCGCACTCCGCACGGCGACGTACACCGACATGAAGTACTTCTCGCCGACCTCGAGCGACGCAAAGCGCACGTGGATCGCATGTTGCTCTTGCGGTATGGCGGCACGTAGGGCGTTGGCGTCGGGGCCCGACGCGAGTGTGACGTGCGGATGGAAGGTCGGGAACGAGGCGGGCGAGCGAGGGGGCCCAGCGAGAGAGGGCCTGGCATGCATTGGGAGCACGATGTCCGCGGCTTGTGAGGACCGCGGAACGAGCCAGAGAGAGATGCCTTATGGGCGGGTCGTCATGGGATGCGTGATGCAGAGAACAAGCACGGCCGAGTGCGCACCCATGGTCACTCCGAGATGATCTACACAACGACAGGGGGTGCTCAGTGTTGCGCGCCTGCGTGAACGTCCTGGGTACTCACAAGCAGAGTTTCAGGCTTGATCTGGGCTTTCGGTGGTCGCGAACGAGGCGGATGGTGGTCGATTGTAACTAAAAGCTACTCTGACAGCTTGGTGACGTCTGGTAGTAGTACCCACGTGGCCGGATGACTAGTGTGGGACCAACGCGGACCCACAAACTCTGCATTTATGACGACTCTTTTATTCTCTTCAGATCAACGTTGCGACCACTCCTTATAGTTAGCCAAACCCTTGACGAACAGAAGTTCCAGACAAGCGGGTTCGGTAGCCACGAAACACTGAGCGCGTTGCAGCCGCCCTGCGTGCCGATGAGCTTGTTGTGTAAAACAACAAAATGGTCCGGAGGGGGAGAATGGACGCCCGAAAACCTAGAGACAATTTAAACCAACGGCACGACATAGAGGCTACCGTAACATCCCCGAGAGCAGCAAGTCCGAGAACCAGCGCCACACTCCCAGCTTCATGGTGAACTTCGCTGAAGCCAACCCTTACCTCGCCCGTCTACGGTCAGCACTCTCCTCGTTCTATTGCCTCTCCCGCGCATCGCGCTAACTCAATATTCCAGGAGCACCCCTCGCCGGGTCCGCCACTACGCGCGGAAGCGCGACATCCTCTCCCTCGAGCGTGCGCGCGTTCTCGCATCAGTGCGAGCGGAGAACCTCTCCAAAGCTGCAGTCGAGCGCGCATACAAGCAGCGCTCCCGCGCACGGTACTTGTCCCTCCGACGCAAGGTACTCGAGACGCAGGGCCTCGAGCTCAGCGCCACACTCCTCATGCGGCTGCGCGACTACTTCTTCAACTACTACGACCCGGAGCGCACGCGAGACATGCGTACGTCCGACTCGTTCACCTTGAAGGTGTACGGGAGGGTGTACCGGTTGAAGCGTGCGGGAGAGGGGCTCTTGAGGGCGTGCGTGTGGGCGTATGAGGCATGGCAAGAGTGCGAGGTAGACTGCCGACGGTGGTCAAGGTGCTACCGCGCGCTGGCGAAGGGGAAGATCGAGCGGAAGTGTTTTGCAAAGCTTCGGTGGAGGCGGCTGAGAATGAAATGGGGCGCGATCAGTGCGTGGAAGAAGAGTGACCAATAGCATAATGTACCCAAGAGTAGTGGAATGGGGCCGAGTAAATGGGTGGCAGCGGCGTGCGCGCTGCACAAAAGGGCGGGTTACTGTGATAGTGGACGATGATCGCGGTGGATAGAGCATAGGTCGAAGTTCCTCACTGGGCTTTTCTCGGTGAGGCGTCGAAACATGCGAGGAGAAATTGATGGCAAATGACGCTCAATGTCCTTGTCAACATCCTGTAATACGCGCAGTGGCATTAGTTAATGTGCTTATCGAAACATGACGCAGCGATCGTACCATCATATGGACCCTTTCCTCATGTTCCCGCACTTTTCACCGCTGACATCTCCAGCTCCATCTCCTGGCCCAGGTCTTGCATCAGGATGATCGGCCGGCGCAGAATACGGAAGAGAACCAGTAGCAGCCAAAGAGGAACCCACGCCAGTGTCGCCAGAAAAGCCGTCCCCAGCAGAAGCCGACAGCGAAGTATGCCCAGAGCCAGATCCCACGGTTTTCGAGCCAGCCTGAGCAGGACCAGAGGGTACCGCAAGCCTTATGGGTCGCAAAGCAGATCCGAGGACATCTGCGACCATTGCGAGAGCCGCCACCGTGCGGTACTTGGCATGGGTGTACCAGATTGACTGTGGTATCATCGCGCCGCCGCCGCAGTGTACCGTGCAGGCACTGCGCGAGAAGCGCCCACATGCCTGGGCCAGGCAAGGAAATGGCTCGGCAGAGTCACGACAGCGGCCGCCCTCTCTCTCCCAGTGACGGCGACCGGGACGACAACTTCGTCATTTGATCTATCCACAAGGGTGAAGGCGATCCCATTCTCGAACGGATATACATAAGAGCGCCTATTTACAGGAAATCGAGACGATCCGAGTCACCACGATACTCCAGGAAGCTCCAGGACCGTCAGAAGACCTCGCTACTGAGGACCCCTCTAACTTGAAGTAACAGCTATAAATTCTACAATGTGGATTAGCGAGGTTGCTCCGGGAGCCGTATTCCTTTGGACTTGAGCATTCCGTCTACGCTCAATGGAAAGTTGCTCCTATCGATCGATATGTTCACGGCATCAACGTCTGGTGAGGATGTTGAGAAATGTGTAAAGTGCTTACGCGGGACCGTACTCGTCCGAGAAGTACCACATCGGCTGAGTAGCGGGAGGAAGGCCGAACGTTTTCTTGATGAGTTCAACAGTCTGCTCCAGCTTCTCCCCGAAACGGTCTCTGAAACCTCGAGTGTTTCGGTTCGTGTATAGGAGCATGGTCCCGTTTGTGTTTGGGCCATGGTCCAGCAACACTGCTTGCGGTGACCATTCAGGTGGGATGATGTGCCAGCTCTCCACGACAGACCGTAGATGATCCTCGAGAATACGAAACTGCTCACGTGAGGCCATCGCCGCCACCTGCTCCTTGAGTACCTGGGCACGTTCCTTCTGTGTTTCTTCTGCACAACCCTCCACCCCTTCCTTGGCACATTCGACGTCCGCGGACGTCTGCTCAGCAACCTCCTGAGCACGGCGCACAAGCGTTTGCTTATCGAACGATAGCTCGATTGCATAGCGCAGCACAGGAATCGCATCTCTCTCTTCCTTGCTTTGAAAGCGCCGACAGGGGTAGCGGAACTCCTCAGGAAGGTCGGAGTCCCTGATGGGTCGCAATTTGTCTGCATACCCCGGGTCGTACTTCGGCTAATTTGAAAAGAGTAAGTGTAAGCATCATGAAAGTTCTCTCGAGTCTCAATTACACAGGTACGACCTGCAGGTTTGTCACCACCTCGGTAACAGGCGTGTCAACGATGATGGAGGTGTCGGTGGAAATGGGCTCTGCAGGGTTCTCCGATGCGAAAACGAAGCACCCGTCCAGACTGTCAGTGCTGCTATTGCGCGAAGCCACCATGGTGAGAGCGTTGTTGCTTTGATCAGTCTTCATGATGAATGAGATGTGCTGCGTGTGTTGGTATTTGGCTGTAAGGGCTGGGCAGGGAGGTTGCGATCGTGCGATGAGGTGCAGAACCGAGTTCACCCTAGGGGGGGCTTTTTGTACCGCGGAAGTCAGCCGCGCACAACACTGCAATACGTAAGAAGCTGTAGAGGTCACAGTGCTCAGGGCCGCCGGACGTGATGCAGATGGCAAGTGATCATTAGTGACTGACAGTATCGGCCGTAGTTGTAAGTAGTGAGCGCCGAGCGCCGAGGCTTAGAGGACCGAGTAGTACGTCCTGAGTACTGAGCACTGGCAGCAGCTGCGACTTGATGAGCGGCCATGGTCGTTTCTGCCTGTATCAGCCTGTATCGATTATCTCAGACGTTTCACCGCATCCGGCATCCTCCTTCGAGTCCGCCCAGCGCGCAACGGTGACTTCAAAACTGCAAAAGGCCGCGGGCGGCGAGCCGATACACAGTGAACTTGAATGCGGCATGATGGAGAATGAAGACCTGTGATAGCTTTAGTCACACTGATACGATTGATTTGAATCAACTTGTTTCCGATCTGTTTTGCATGTTGGAGTAGATCTCATTCGGTATGCAAACGATTCCGGCCGGCGGCTTGCACCAGTTATGGCGAAGTACTGGTATACCACAACCTACGACAGCCTGCAACTGCTCACACATTGCTACACAGACTATTTATTCCACTCGCCTCCGAATCAGTATATAAGCACGCATGCTGGTACCACCCAACCACATCCACTCAACTACCTGCAGCCTGACCACTCCCTTGAACATATCACTAGTATCACCTCGGAATATTTGCCAATAGCTATGAATCCCGTATCAGATGAACATCCGAATACTGCACGCGGCGGCGACTTAAACGTACAACCAGAAAATCCAAATCTGCGGCCACTAGCAACGGTAGTAAGTCTTTTCAGTTGACTCAAAATATATTTTGAATATGTCTCATGTCCATCGATTTATGTTCTGGTGGTTATAGCCCATCTATATCACCCCTGAGGTCATTAACGAGCATATCAAGCTATATCTGGATGACATCGAAAAAACAGAAGCACTCGCCCAAGCTGCACACGCTCAGCGCATAGCGGCTGACCCATCCCTGAGCGACGTCAAGACTTCTAAAAAGAATATACAAGAGAATCAATTCACTTGCCTGGTTGATTTTTTGCTATTCGTATTTGCTTCGATGTGTGAGTAACCGGACCACACGCCCACCCAGATTCCCCACGAAAATACTGATAATTTCCTGCAGTCAAGGGTCTGACCGCCAACCCACGCAAACAATATCGTTTCATTACCGAAGATGATACCGCATCGACCAGACGCGAGCCCGACAACACGCTTATCCACGCCACTCATGGCACTCGTCTCATCTATGAAGGAAAAGCGGCTGATTTCACCCAGGCGCTCCTTATGAGGCGGGGGCAAATGCATCCTGATCTGCCGGACGCACGGCTTGCTATAGAAACTGCCACCATCAACATTATAAAGCAACTCTCCGAGCAAGCAAACCACGTTCTCCAGGACCCTAGGAACGCGCAGAAACACCGTGATACTGTGGCCTGCCTTACAATCGTCGGAACTACATTTTCCATCTTGGTGCTCGTCAAAGATGCACCGAAACAATCCGAACATACCACCAGCATCAAACCTGCCTCTCAGGTAGGACATCAAAGCATTCTGAGCCGAGCGAGGGCGCAACACCGGGAGACCAAACAGGGCATGGCATATAAATGCTCCGTCTACATGTTTTGTGAAGAAATGCTGCGGGAAGATGGGACATTATCGCCGGTTTTTGCGCGTGCACTTCTTCACGCCAAGGGGTACAAGGAAGCAGACGAGTTCAGGAGTGTGTACTCAACTTGGTCTGTACCTTGGTGGGTGGCTATGGGGCGAAGTAAAGATTCACGGCGGGACAAGACTAAAGCGGTAGGGCTTTTCATGATGCTCAGGTGATACATGATCACTCATGCACTAGTATATATATACAGGCTTCCGGTCAACGGCAGGTCGATGCTGCTTGGATTTGGGAGGAAGACGAAGTGCACGAACAAATCATCGATGCGCTGACGACTCATGATGATGAAGACATACGGCATCAAGAACGCGAGGATAAGAAGGAGGCCAAAGACCTGGACTTCGATGTCGCCGGCGAACATCTGGGGCTGGATTCACCCACAGCGTCTCCAGAGCAAGCACCTGTGACCAGGCAGCGTTCGAAGGCCAAAGTCTCTACAAATGCTACACCCGCTACACCTGAGCGAGGAGGTCGGGGTTCCTCCCCGGACACGAGTCCACTCACTCCATTGAATAGCGACACATCCGACGAAATGCGCATGGACATCGACGATACTGGAAGCCCAACTCCTGCAGGGCGTAATAAAGATAGAGGGGATGCACAGTAGGACATTCTAGGTGTTGGACGAGGAGCACAAGGTCCCGGACGTGGAGAACAAGGGTCAGGACAAAGCGAACAAGTTGGTTGGCGTGGCGTGTAAGCTGACAGGGGAACAGGGCGGGCCAGTATTTTTCCACATCACGGACGAGTTATTTAATGCAGGAGCCTGCACAGGTGGACTGCGCCGCGATAAACGTCTCGCTGTATTATTTATTTGGTGTTAATATATATTAGAGTAAACACGCACCTGGAAGAGGGCTCATGGGTAGGATCATTATCTTCTGTTCGGACACGTCCCGCGTTACTGCAAGGATGAGCAAAAGTGTGCCACTAGTACTCATGATGGACTGGGTGAGCGTACCGTCTGCAATAGCAGTGTTAATCCGGGCAGGCTATTGGCCATGCACGACGCCCTCTCACTCTGGCGCGCGCACGACCTCGCCCTCACGCGCGCCGAGTGCCTCCACAGATCGCCGCCCTCTGCGCATCCGCCCCGCCCCTCCGCGCACGCTACTTCGCGCTCCGCGACGAGCTGCGCGAACGCCGTGGGGTCGAGCTCGGCCGCGCGCAGACGAAGTACCTGGGCGACCACTACTTCGAGGTGTTCGACGCGCTGCGCTTCATGCAGATGCGCGACCCGCCGCCATACCGGCTCGAGGTGGACGGGCGCGTGCATGAGCTGAACTTGTGGGGCGAGGGCCGCTTGAAGGCGTGCGTGATGGCGTATCGCGTGTGGAAGACGGAGGCGCGGCGTTGTAGGCTGAAAATAAGGGGGCTGGGAAATGGCGGGCCGCTTTGTGTGGCGGGAGTTTGCGAGGTTGCGGTGGCGGCGGGTGAGGATGAAGTGGGGTGTGATCTGTGCCTTCAAGAGCGGGATACGGGGGCGCGTTGCGGTGAATGGTGGTGGTGGTGGCACATCGGGCTCGGGGTCTGTGTGTGTATGAGGAGTGAGGCAAGTGAGATGGGATTGAACGGTATATATACACCAAGGAGTGGGAGTGTTGTACACAAGCATTATCGTGGTACACGGATCCGAAACACACATAACTTACTCCTTCCATCGCCTCCGATCAGACACTTCAAGCAGAAAAAATGTCAGCGAACATCCGTCATAATGTGGCGCACGAGATTCAAGGCTGGGCCGAGCCACGCTCCGAGGGCTTGCTCTTCAAGCTGACCCAGGACTCGCCGACGCCAGACCCGTACCCCTCGTTGCTCTCCACGTCCGCCTCGCTCCCCGCCTCATCGTGCTCCGGTTCGCTGTCCGTTCCCGGGCCCTCGTGCTTCTCCGGGATCGTCTGCTGAATGATCGGCTGCTGCTGGGCGGGTGGAGGAGCGGGTACGGCGGCGGTGACGACAGGGGGCAGCGGTCCGATGACGCGAGGGGGGATGGGGAGCAGCGCGTTTCGTACGGAGACGATGATGTACGGCACATTCAGGAGCGCGTCGAGCAGGAACGCAGGGAGGTATGACGCGAGCGCATACGTCCCAGCTGCGCGCATACAGTCAGCATCTAGCATCCACTACGAATATGCGTACATACCACCAGCGCCGACGACCACGCGGTCGCCACGCACAAGCTCGTGCAGAGTGCCCAGGCCGCGGCGCAGCGCATACGGAGACAGTCCATTCCGGCTCTTCCGCCCGCTGCTCACCACGTCCACGACCGTCTCCACGAAATCGGCGACGTTGCTCGGCTGCCGGCGAATCCTCTGGTGCCCGCCATGCTCCAGCAACGAGCCGAACGCCGTCCCGTATGCCGCCTTCTCCGAAGGCGTCCACTCGCCCACCACCGCGTTCAGATCATCTGCGGATTCGTTACCCGCAACGGGGCCGACGACGCCGACGTCCACGACGGTCACCTTGATGTTGCGCATCGACTCCGCTGCGTCCGAGCCGCGCCCCGACAGCGCCGCGGCGCGGATCTCGCGCCGGAGCACGTCGATTCCGCGGAGCGTGGCTGCGGCACTCATCGCCTGTGCACTCGCGAACGGCAGCCCGACGCGGGCGTCCGTTGCCGGGAGACATATGACGATGCTCTGCCGTCCCAGGCCGTTCGCGCGCGCGTCCTTTGCGCGGGCGGGGGTGGCTCGCAGGAGCGGGAGGAGGGCCTGTAGGACTTGCAGGGGAACAATGTGGGTGGCTTGAAGGTAGGGCAGGTAGTCGCCGTGGAGGCTGAGATGCTCGAGTGGGGCGGGCGGAGGTGTGATGTTGTGAGAGGGAAGAGAAAGGAGAGATACAACAGAATGAAGGTAGATGTGCGTGGTGGGCGAGGCATGCGGGTCGCCGGCCGCGGTGATAGGGAAGCGGCGAGACATGGTCGAGGCTAGCGAACGTAGGAAATATGGAATCATCTCGGGCTACAACAGATCATCTGAGCGAGTTTACGAACGGTGGACGGAAAAGACGCACCTCGGTCGGGTCGAGAACGAGAGCACGGACATAGCCGTGACATTTGCTCTCGATCTCCTCGACCGCCTCGGGAGTCGATACGCTGGTAATGACGATGTATCCCTTCTTCTCGAGGTCCTGGATGAGAGGGAGGCCAAGCGGAGAGTCACCTCCAAGTACGACTGTAGGGGATAGCCAATCAGCATCAGTACATATCGGACGTCTGGGCGCGGGACACATACCGACGACCTGTCTCCGCTCTCCATTCGCAGCAGATGCGTGATGCCTCTTGGCCCTCACAGCCCTCGCATGACGGCGGATGTGAGGAGATGCGTATCCCACCAGCAAGCCCGTACCAATAAGGCCTACGCCGAGCCCGGCGGTCTGCCATGGATGATCAGCGACCCAATCAGCGGAGCTATCCCAGAAGGACTTCGGAGGCGGTGGAGGCGGCGGTGGTGGGGGAACTTCGAAGGCCCCGAGGCCCTTGAGGGTGGGCATGGCCTGGGGACTGTGTCGCAAGACATCCTGCCAAAGTCTGTGGACGGCCTCGCTGACTCTGGAGAGATCTGGGGATGCCGAGGAGAGGGAGTTGACGACGATGTCTTCGACCTGCTGGAGGTAGTTCTCGAGCTGGTCGATTGTAGGTAGCGCGAGCGGCATGCTGATTGCGGCGAGACCAATGCCTGGCGGAGGAGGGAGATGAGTGCAGAGCGTGGGTTAGGGGACGCGTTTATGCCGCACTCCAGAGAGAGACGCCGTCAGTGCCGCCGACGTCAAACGCGTCTTCGCGCCGGGCCCGGGCCGCTCTTTCGGCAGTCTCTGGGGTCCTCTCCGCTTTCCCAGAGCTGCTTGCTTCTTACAGGTCCTTTCTCCAGAGAGTTCGAGGAGATGGCTTCAGTGTTTCAAGCTCATAAAGCATCCAAGACTGCGTCCACTACAGAAGAGCACGACGCTCGCGAACCTTTACCGCGTCGAAGCGAGGGAATGGTGCACGTGACCGCGTCTGGGATTGAGCCGCCTGGCACCGCCGGCGCGTTGGAGAATGTCTGAGCGACTGGGAGAATTGTCCGCGGACATGTCCGGCGGACAATCCGGCGGACAAGCTGCGTCGGGTCACGGACGTGTCACTGTGACCTCACGGGCATTGTTCGCATTGAAGGTCCGACAAGGGACGTGTTCTTTGACGCGTTCTGGTCTTCAAGCCACATCAATAATTGTCCATTCTAGTGCGACGTATGTGTGGCTATCAACCTACGAGATGTTCAATATATATTCAGAATCAGTCGCAGTACTGTGTATCTAGGATAGTAATCAGTCTGGCAGGCGCTCGACCGACTCGGAAGGTGGCTGAAGGATCAAGAAGCGCCCCTTCAAGCCACCCGTGGTGTATCACCAAGGTAAGGAAGCCACATGAGCCACTTATCGTGTTTAAGCTCCGTGTAGCATTGTGGTCAAACGCGACAAAGAGCCACAACACCGCGGCAAGCGTTACTTGAGAGTGACGATATTGGCGCCGTGCATCGTGGGCGCCTAGGCGCGGACATGTCCCCCGGACATGTCCGCGGATAATGGACCCCGTGGATCTGACTTTCTGGCGCGTTGCGCGGCAACCCGGGCATTACGCGAATTCGCGATGAGATGTGCGCCGGTGTCCGAGTCCGAGGCTCACTTGCTTCCCACCTGTACAGTCTCTCCGCCCCGCCACCTTGTACATCCCCTCGAGCAGGCTGGTGAGTTCCCTCCTTGGTCTCTGTCCTGGTGCGTGCTGCCGGTGCTGGTCGCGGTCGCGGTGCGTGCGTCAGTAGACGTAAGATATGGTGCTAGTCTTGCGAAGGCTGCACAACGCGAGGCACGTTCGTGTCCATCGCGCACTCCGCCCGGGACCTATTGGCAGCATGGAGAGTCGCAGCGAGGCTTACCCTTTCGTCTCTCTCAGGCCTCCTTCCCTGTATAGACGCCACCTCGCCCCAAATTAAAACGCGATGTACATCCCCGATGGCCAGGGCTCGTTCTCTCTCTCCATGATCTCCCTCCCCACAGATGAGCCCCTCCGGGCGATTGCCCAGCCCATCGCTCGCCTCCTCAGTCTCCCTCATCTTGTCGACCACTTCCCCCTCCTGGTCTACGCCTTCTGCCTCTTCACCGCCGTTCATCTTGTCATATCCCCTGTCCTGAGCGCACGATTTTTCCCCGCGAGCTATGGAAAGCTTCGCTCCCGCCGCGCTATAAACCAATGGTGTGCCGCCACAACCCCAAACCTCTCTCTTTCTTGCGGCTGAGCCCTGAGCCCTCGCAGGAACATCCAGGTCGTGTCCCTCTTCCACGTGTTCATCGTGCTCCCTCTCGCGTTCGCCTGCTTTCGCTCGGACACCCTCAAGGCCGATAAGCTCTGGGGCTGGGACGATAGAGTTGGCAGGACGGTCGCAGTCGCCTGCGGGTGAGTCCCAGATGGTCATCTGCGCGCCGCTGGAGCGCCCGCTCACGAACCGCAGCTACTTCCTGTGGGACGCTCTCGACGCGATCATCAACTTCGATGATATTGGCTTCCTCGTCCATGGTAAATCTTCTCTCCAGTCTCGGCAGCTGTGACGTTCCTTCATGCCTTCCCGTGCAGGTGTATCATGTCTGACGCTGTACATGATGGCTTTCGTGAGTGCCCTCGTGCATGTGGCGCGAATATGCATAACTGACACGAGCCCCCAGCGGCCATTTTTGGGCTACTACGCCCCGCGCTTCCTCACCTGGGAACTGTGCGTTCCCTCATAACCCTCCATATTCATCCATTATTCATCCGCGCCCCCACACAGGAGCACCATTTTCCTCAACATACACCGGTGCGCCCACACTCTCCCACATCAGCGCCCGCGCGGCCCCGCAGTCTAATGCAGAGCGCGCCCGTCTCCCACAGGTTCCTCGACAAGACTGGGTACACCGGCTCGTCCGCGCAGTGGGTGAACGGCGTCGTCCTGCTCTCGACGTTCTTCTCCGTGCGCATCATCTACGGCTGGTACCTCACGCTCGACTTCATGCACTCGCTGTACGCCGCGCGCGGCCAGCTCCCCACGTTCTACCTCGTCGCGTTCGCGCTCGGCAACCTCACGCTCAACGCCCTCAACGCCACCTGGTGAGTCGCCACGCCTGTTCTCTCTCTCCCGGAGCGCACGAGTGGCCATGGGCGCTGATGCAGTTCGGGCCGCGCGCAGGTTCTACAAAATGATATTCGCGATCCGCAGGCGCTTCGACGACGAGGCGAAGCCGCTCACTGCTGCAGCGGCGAGCACCGACCCGGACACGACCGCCGCGCTCGCGGAGGGCCCCGCCGCGCACTGACAGCGACCGGCCGACGGGATGCTAGAGCCCGACGCCGACGGGCGAGGGTCGGAAATGATCTAAACGAATTATTGGTACGATAGGGCTAATGGGTGTCTTCGGCCCGAGCGGGCGTAATAGAGGACGGTTACCGGAGCGGGGCTGCTTGACTGTGGCTCGTTGGCCAACGTGCGCGGACTCCGGAGGGTGGCGCGACGCTCGTGGGTCCCGATGGCGGTCGTCCGCTGCTCTGGGAGAGCTTTACGTTTGCATGGTATGAGATACCCGATTCTTATGAGCGCCACAGACTGCATACAGAAGAGGTTAGGCGGATGATATAGGTCCAGATTGCTTCTGAGTCTTCAGCACTAGCGCTCACCTACTGTATGTAGCGCACGATCGCTCGTCGAGGACGCTCCCACAGGTATGTCCTTACATCGCAGTGAACTTCGTGCTGGCTAAGTAGACCTCCTCCATCGTATGCAGCCCGCTGTTGCGGCCTCCAGCATACACGGAAGTGCCAATGCGTAACATCTGCTTTTCCTGAGGAGCATGTACCAGACCGCTGCTTACGATGTCTTCGGCTGCGCGGTCGTGGGGACGCAGGTTCAGTCCCACTCAGTGACAAGTTGTTGCTCCATCTCCGATGAGTCGCTTCACCTGCGTGTTTTCTCGCAGTGCTTCGCTGGACGGCCGCGCGCTCCCGCGGACATGTACTTCTCACGCAGAAGCCTCGCCTTCAGGAAGTCGAGGGTGCTGCGGTAGGGACTGCCGTTCGACAGGAGCGCGGCGGCCACATGCCTGGTGCGTATAAGAGCCCTTGCGGAAGCGAGCGACGTCTCTCCTTTCCGCCTCTCTCCCCGTTCAGTGTTACCCCACCATCATGCCGGCCAGATGCTTCCAGTGCAAGACGCGTGTGGGCGGTTGGGGGACGGGCCGCCAGCACGCGCAGATCGCTGGGCACACCTGGCAGCCTGGCTACTACTGTGAATACTGCGAGGCGACGTTCTCCTCGCATGAACTGTGCAAGAGTCACAGGAAGACTTGTCCCTCCGGAGCTGCCCTCCCGCTCGTAGTCGCCGCAGACGACACGCCAGCGCCCACGGTCTCACACGAACGAAGAACGTCGATTGCCGCGATCGTATCCTGTCGAACGTGCGGTGAGCACTTCCGGTATGAGGAGAATTTGGAGAAGGTACGTCCTCATGGTTCAGATATTCGGAAGCCTTCTTACGTACTGCCGTGGTGGAGCAGCATGTCAAAGAACACGACACTGCGTCTCGTTCCGTACCGTCACAGGTTCGTACCTTCCGCAACCCGTAGAGCATGCATCTTCTCACGAGCGCGCGTCATCCACAGGATACATCCACCTTATTCCAATGCACAATCTGCAAAATCGAGTTCATGAGCGAGCTGACCCTGTCGCAGGTCAGCAGTTCCACTCTTCGAAGTTTGCCCCTCAGTTGACCGTGTCGTGTACACTGTACAGCACACAGCGTCGGTCAGCGCTTGCAGGAGATGCAACGTGTGTATACCGCATGCCACGATGAGCCTGCAAGATCACTATCGGGTGTCGACGACGCACCCAATACCGTGTCCGTGGTGCGACCTTGGTTTCGACGATTTCGACGAATTGGCCCCAGTACGTTCGACTCTCATGATGACGACACCATGATCCTGACTGTTCACGAGCATTATGCATTGTGTATGCCGGACAATGTAAAGTCCGATCTTGGTCCGGTCAGCAGTAACTTCTAAAGCTTATGAGATGCTAGCATGTGCTAATGGAACGCATCATATAGGCGGTCCGCGATGCAGAAGTCCAAGCGGCCGATGCGGAACCGTCGTCACTTTCCGACACAACCACCAGTTCTGTCGCACCAGAACGACTGGGCGTTGGACCCGAGAGTGTCGTTAAATACGTTGTCTCGACTTTGGTGTGTGCGGTAGTGAGATGCGTTCTTGATTTAGTCTGATGCAGTTGTGGACAGTGCGGGGCGTTCTCGGACGTGGGCGGCGCGCCGCTTACGACAGGACTAGGCGATCCCGCCGTTGAAGAGGAGCCCGACGCCCCCGCGCCAGCTATTGAACTCGACTATGGCGACACTACTCCGGCAGCCCCCGAGGTCCCCTCGACGATGACAGACCCGGAACCCGCGGTCATTGTCCAGGACAACATCCCAAGGTTACAACCTCCCTTGCGATCCATGCTCCCGCTTTGCTCATTCACCCGTGCTAGCAGGCCCACTGTGGCAGTCCCCAGGCTCGACGACGACGCAGTCGAATACGACGGCTTCACAGACGACGCGGACCGGTCCTCCGTGATCGCCAAAGCCGCGCTCGATCTCATCTCCCAGCGGTACGGAGGGACCGCGGCCGAGCGCGTCCTGCGCGCCATGCAGGAACTCGGCGGCGCCATCGCCGAAGAGCAAAATGCTCGCGACGAGACTGAGTCGCTGCAGCAAGCCGCAGATGTGCAGCAGGAGGTTACGACACCGGTGCGGGCTGGACCGACGGACAGCTGCGGCAGCCCCTCGAGCGCTGTGCGCCGCTTCGTGGAAACTCAAAGAGAAGCTCTAGCGGCTGAGGTGACGCGACCTGGTACTCCCATGCTACCTGCGGTAGGCTGACGGGCAATTCGCTCAGCGACCCACAAGAGCCCCTCGCCGCCACGACCTCGAACCGCGGGAAGAACGCCCACAGGCTTCCACGTCTGCTCAGGCAACGAAGCCTCCAGCACGGCAGAAACCAAACCACGGTGAGCATCTTTCAAGAATCCAATCGCGCTGTCCGGTCTCATGGTTCTTGCAGCTGCAAAGCGCCCAGCAGTAGGAACGCAGTCCTGGCACTGCCGATCCTGTGCGGGCGATCCCTGCATGCGGCCAGTCGCTACGATATGCGGACACATTTTCTGCCAAGAGTGAGTTGCACTCTTGTCAAACGCTGATACTTGTCTAAAGCAACGTCGTAGCTGCCTTATGCGCGAGCTGCGGGAGCACGGCGCGTGTCCTGTATGCCAGAAGGTCTTCCTCATAAGACTCGATGTTGCTGAGGGGTGACGTCCACAGCGGGGCGCATCATCATGAGAGCATGGACTACTAATGACGGAAACATCGTTTGCTATAATTAACTGATATTTTCTGGACGTCTCCGCTTCTTTCAGAATACATCGACTCTCGATTCCTTCACCAGCGTTGTTTCGCAATACGGCGGCGGGTGGGGCACAGCCGAAGCCCTCAACTTGAAGCTCCTGTTCATATACAGAAGGGCCACCTTAGGCGTGCAGCAACCCCACTGCGGTCATTCGGTCCGACTGAACTCGCACGTCAGGCGTGTTGTTTTTATAGCGCTAGCCCACAGACCTTCTGACATCTTGCCCGGTGTGCTGCGGTAGTTCGGCTTCAGCTTCTCGACTTAAGTGGTGTAATCTTAACCTCCTTAGTCCCACGTCCCGTTCCCCTCCCCCACTGACCCTACTCCCTCTTTGAAGATCTCGTCTGCTCGTTTAGCGGCTGTCACTCTTGGACTTACCCTGCTATCATGTCGGAGAAAAGATGCAACCAGTGTAAAGTAAAGTTCGGAGGGCGCAAGGCCGGGCGTACGCATGGCGAGGAAACTGGCCACGAGTGGCAGCCCATGGTCGCTTGTCTGGCATGTCACAGCGCATTCAAGAAACAGAAATTGTACAAGGCACATCTTCCCAGCTGCACGGCAAGGCCAATGGTCCCAAATCGCTCGCTGCCTTGCAAGACGCCGATCATCAATATTCCTCCGTCTGCCAACGTATCCGGAAACTTAGTCGATTCTGGATCTGACGCCGTGTTCCCCGCCGCCTTGGTAAATGGAAACAGCATTTCACTCACAAAGGTTTGCATCTTCTCTGTTGAAACCTGTTCCCTAGAGATACTCATTGATCCTGTCGTTTATGCTCTTCCCCGGGCGGACTCTGGTCGTGGTCCATTTCACCAAATGTTGCGGAATTTCCTCGCGAATGCTCAGCCTCCTGGGTCACCCCCGCCCGTATCTTTGCAAACAGCTGTGGCGGATAGCACCGTGCAGGAGGAAAGTCGATCGGAGCCAGTGGAAGATATCACGCGGAGGGCCATGGATATGAGGTAAGCCTTCCTGTTCCTTGGTGACATCGCGGCCGCTGTATATGCTCGTGCTCACCCGAAATTCGCGGCTCCAGTTCGCAGGCACCTCAGGCTGCGAGCGATACTGCAGCTTTGCCGCCGTCGGCACCGACCGAACGCATTTCTAGCACAAGCGAACCCTCGCAAGAACAGCAGCGCAGTGGACTTGCTGGCACCCCTCCTGTGGCTGCCGCTCTGTGTACGCTGTTTGAGAACACCGACGGAGAGACACAATTCGAAACGAGGACGACAGAGGTAGAGGCCGAATGCCCCCTTTCACAAGCCTTCGCAGGGCTGATCACTGCCAAGGGGATAACATTAGGGCACGTCAAGAGGCTGAAACCACGATGGCATTGCCGATCCTGCTTTGCGGAACCGTGTGATGAGCCAGTGGCGACGATATGCGGGCATATATTCTGTCGCAAGTGAATAGTTCTATACTGTCATATCGCACCGCGACTCACCCTCACCTCGCTCTACGTCACAGCTGCATTGTGGACGAGATCGCGACTGGTATGAGCTGTCCGGCTTGCAAGAAGGTTTTTCTTGTGAAGCTCGATGTGCAAGTATGACGACAATGCGGCATGTAGGCGAATGTTCTCTGACATTGATGCTGTCGTCTCGGCTTCGTGAACTTTCATAAATGCTATTCTTAATTGTTTCTGGGCTTTCATTCGTCTACTACGAGTACATCACAGCACATCACAACCGGACGAAAGTCGAGTCGACTTCTAGCATACCCTCAGGGACCATAACGTTGTTCCCGCTGTTTTCATCCAACTCTCGCAGCACCGCCGTTGTTTGCGCGTCCGAGTCAGTGGCAGAGCCGTTCGGGGGAGGCGGACGCAGGACCTACCACGATCGTAACACATGGCCCTGAAGAATCGCAATCCAGTGGAGGGTGCGAGAAGTCTCGACGACTGAAGCCGTCCCATACACGCTCGCGCGACGAAGCGTCGGGCAAAGGACCGAATATGGACAGCACGGTGTAGTAGATCGTCTGCGCAGTGAACTGCGTACTAGTGCGGACATGTATCGCGAGGTGCTTGAGTGCAATATTGAGGAGAACACGCGCGTTTACGGTTGCGTCCAAATGGGAATGAAGGAGTGCGTCCTTGTGCATCTGATGGGCAGCTAGATCAATGACAGCACGGTGGATACGATGTTAATCTTACCTCAGCCACACACCGGAAAAGCTTTGTCTTCAAGATTGTCCCGCGTGCTTCCACCCGTGTTAGTATCACAGGGGCTGAAGACAATTCGTCCTGATACTCACCTGTAAGGAACTCCATTCCTGGAAAGACATGCGCCGCTTCAGGAATCTTCGGCGATGAGACGCTCGCGCTCGCGCAGGTATTCCTCATTCTGTTTGATCATCCGGTTCACGGCGATCAACATGGGGACTCTATACTGACGAATGAACACTGGTTGTCCGAGTCATACTCACTGCTATCAGCTGGGCACCTCAAGTCACCTCTTCCGCGATAGCGTCAGAAGCATTTATTATTACCAATGGCCGTATGCTTACACTGCAAGCACGTCAGTACATCTATCGATAGACGTGCCATTTTTCAATCACGTACCTCATTGTGTTCCACATGAACCACTGGCGCGACGCGACAAGGGTGTGCTACCAGCTAGTGGCACAGGCTCGCTCGCAGACACTCAGCAGTTGATGGAGGAGGGAGCAGAGAGAATGCGACATTGACAAGACTGACGGCAGTGTTCATCAAGTTTACTACAGTATCAGAATGTGTGGATTGGTTGCGGGCCCATAGCTCGAGCGGATGCCCTGTGCCAGCGGTAGTGATTGTCGAAACACGTCAAGAGCAACTCCCGCAGAATCGTCCTCGACCGTCGACGGCTGAAATTCAACGGGCGCCTAATCAGCGGGCCAATCGCGAGCCCGAATGAGCACTGCCGTCGCGTCTACCAGCAGCGCGGCCTGCTGCTTTTGTCGTTTCGTCATTCACTCATGCACACTCATGTTCTCCATATGCGACCAGAGGGTTTGACTATGCTATCTCCTCGAATCTAGAATGTCTCTCGCGAGCTCGTCTGCAAAGGCCTCCGGAGTGAACTTGACAATTTATCACTTTCTCTGATCTGCGCCGGCCCATCTACTGTGCTGCTGCCGTCGTCCTCTCTGGCATCTACGAGTGCCCTATTCGCTCCCGGAGTTCCTTACGTTGCAGCAACGCGTCCAAAAATCACGCTTTGGCGATAGCGGGCAATAGTACTATGTCCCGGGATTCTTAATACTTATCTATGCGTACTTTATCTACGCGACCGGCTCGCATGCTCGTAGCCCGCTGCACCAGCGCTGCGTGCGTTCCCACCGGACCACCAACAGTACTCGAACGATCGCTCGGACTTGTTTCTGCTATCACCCCGCATGGCTCTGGCTACCACCTCTGAGGACAAGCACAGCGACTCGAGGTCGCGATCGCACACCACGGAAGGCCGCACCGCGCCTGAGGCTGTCTACGCGTTGGCAGGGGTCGCGTCCCAGGTTCCACAGGTAATGTCCGCCGACGCTCTCATCCTCTTATATACGCTAACGCCAACACATTCGCAAGCCGTCAGAGCCCGATGTCTATCCATCTTTTCACGATAGAGAGCTTCCAGAAGCTCTGCACTGGCGGGGCCTGGACTCTGCCGGTGAGGGAGGGGTTGAGCCGCCTCTCCTCCGGTACGGTGTTCTAATACCCAACTACGCCAGGTGCATGGCGAGACGGGCGTGCAAGCTTCAGATGTGCAAGTCGGAATCTTGGGACGGCCTCACAGAAGAAAAGATTGCCGAAGTTGCTGCATACTATCAGAGAGTCTGGCTTATGTTCCGCGAACAAATCAAGATCGAGCTCCCTTGGGTGATTCCTGCCACTGTCGTGCCTCTCAATGTCACTGGAACTTCCCACAAGAGCCGCGTGCTCTACTTATACACAAACGAGGAGCACAAGCGGCGCCGCCAGGACTTTACGCGCAAAAACAGGGAAGAAACTGCGGTGAATTTCCTCCGGAAACTTTTCGATTTACCGGAGAACACTGAAGCACGGTGGTATTTCGATGATCAACACGCTTTCGAGCATACGGGCACATTCAGACTAGAAGAGTGAGTTCTCGTCCGGGCTTGTATCACCACATGCATACTGAACACACTGCTAACCGTCATTTCAACGCAGCCGCTGTGTGGGGCACTGCAAAATGAAGAAGACAACATTGCATCTCATTACATGCCAGCACAGGTTCGTACGCTTCTCGTAAGGCATGCGTCTTCTCAACTTCGAATGCAGGACTCGGACGCGCAAACTAGAGTTTACGAGCTAGTTAGCTCTTTCGCAGGTCAGCGGACTCTACTTCCGGCACCTGCGCTTGAGCTGGGCGTACCGTGCACCAGCGTTGATTAGTTCGGGCCGGCTGCCTCCGAGCGCCGTTGAATCTCCCCCACGATGTCCGTGCATGTTCTTCTGACGTCGGCCCAGTGTGCTGCGGTAGCTTGCCTGCTATAAGTGCAGGCTCTCATGCCACAGTCCGGGTGTCGCAAGTCCCGAGGTTGCTCTGCACTATGTCTTCCACTGGTGGGTCGTCCGCATCCCACGCATTCTGCTAACTATACAAACCATTTATACCTAGGGGCAATGTTGAGGAGATGTAACCAATGCAAGATACGTCTGGACGGCCCCCGCAGCGCAATCCGTGCGCATCAAGAATACACGGGACATCAATGGAAGCCAGGATATGCTTGTGTAAGATGTGACCGCACGTTTGTCACCAAGAAGTTGTGCGAGGAACATATCGCCGTGTGTACGGCAACTCGGGCTTCTCAGCAGTTGACGGCCTCACTGTCGAGTGCTCTGTCGTCGAGCACGAAGTCGCCTGATTTCTATAATCCCCCCATCATTGGGCCAAATGCTCAAAATTCAACTCCATCGAGCGAGAGCTTAGATGGCCGAGTATCGTCTCCCATCCAGAACGAGGTCTGTGGCATGTGCCGTTATCACCGTTATCATATCATCACTAATGGCTTAACAGAGTACGCATTACAACGTCACGGTATCCCCCCCAATGTATGGCATCGATGGGTTTGTCCGTGAAATCATAGTCTACAACAATAAGGTCAATGTTTTAACTGCTTTGTCCCGACCCCTTACTCGCAACTACCCTGTAGCAGCGCAGACATTGATGTGTGTTCCATTATAGCTTACATTGGACGACATACCGTGTGTTCGCATCCCCAAGGAAGTGGTCAAGGAGTCAGAAGAAAATGTTCAGTCGATCCGCGATACTTTAGAAGCCCAACAGGATGCGGCGGATATTTCCCTCATGCTATTGTCGGTGCGCCTTCGGATCCCCAGCCCAATTATCCTCTCATGTCCTTGACACCTGAATCGCCTTCGTCACCCTTAGTCAGGTACCAGCATAAATAATACCTCTAGCACACGGAGAGGCGAGAGCCACACGGTGCCGGTCGTATTTGGGCAACGACAAGGACCACTGCTAGCTAAAGAGCCTCGGGGTCAGTCTCTTCAGATTCGATGCGCTAGTAGACGAGACTAAGATGCACTTTTTTGCTGTCCGACATAGTTGGAACTCCTGAGATACCGCTCGCACGATGGCACTGCAGGTCCTGCCTAGCGGATCCGTGCATAAACCCCGTTGCTACGATATGCGGGCATATCTTTTGCCACAGGTAAGCTTACGGCGCTCGATATGTTTCTGTATCTTTATAGGGCTGACATTCATATACGTAGTTGCATCATGAGAGAGATCGTGAGTGGGATGGCCTGTCCAGCGTGCCGCAAGGTCTTTCTCGTCAAACTCGATGTATAAGTTTAACCCGGTTGTCGTAATGTATGCAAGGCATATCCATCTTTCCGCAGACCAGCCAGTGACCGTGACCGCGACGGCTTCATGAACGCATGAGCACTGCCATCATGTCCAGAACGAGATTCTATGGGAATGCCACTCGTCACAACCCTTCTCTAACCACTGCCCTATGGTGAACATTTTCGCTTGACACTAGCACGGAAGCCACGCAGAAGCACTGGCATCTGTCACAGCGGGACGAAAGACAATTCTACGTCCACCATACCCTCAGTAACCAAAACCTTCTGCCCGTCGTGTTCATCCAACTCTTGTAGTACTGCCGCTGTCTTAAGCTGTGCCGCGTCACTTGCGGAACTGTTCGGGGGCATGCGTAGGACCTCCCAAGATCGCAGCGCCTGGCCGTGAGTTTGAATCCCGACCCAACGAAGGGTGCGAGAAGCCTCGACGAGTACTGAAGCCGTCTCATGCGCGCTCGCGTTGATTGCCGCCATCCGCTCTTGCTGAGCGAGCATGTCGTTTTCGCCAAGCAGAGCCCGCAATTCCGGAGGCTCGCCGCAGTGCCGGATTAGTAGATGTGTTAGCGAGAGCTGGGGTAGTTCGCGACAAAGTGCATCCTGTAGGAGCTCTAGTTAGGACACATTGGTGTAACACGATACCAGAAAAAACACACCGTCGCTGTTTCGCCCTTGGTTGCAACCACATCTCGCTCTATGGTGAGGACGAAGCGGAGAAGCGGCGATGGGTACGCGGGGGTGTGCAGGATATTGAACTCCAAGCAAGCTGTGTCGTCCTCTGATGCCATAGTCCTGAATGACTGATGGGATAGTATAGTCATCCGAAGCTCGACGCAAAACGGGCGAACGTCCGTGACGAGGACTGCAGACCGTGATGCATGGATCCGCGCGGTCTTTGTATCCCACCTATCAGCTGAACCGTCGAACCTGACAGAGAGGTAGGGGATGTGACGGGGTATAGCGAGCCCATAAAGTCCTGACTCGGACGTCTTTCGGTCGCACGAGAGCGAAGCTAAGGCCGGCCATGCATTCGGCTTGGATCGCCATTCCCGCTCGTGGTGTTCCCGTAGACTCTCGAGCTGAGCGCGCCCGGCTTCTGACGTCGAGCTATGCCACGGTGCGCTTCCAGCCATCCTCAAATGCAGAAGGTTAGGGAATGACTGCCGAAGGACATCGGGTAGGCTCTGCGGCGTCGGCCCAGGAAATCCGATCGTGAGCCGTTGTGCATACGGGAAGACTACACCCGGGGGGAAGACGCAGTCGTGAAACTTTGGGAGACACAACTCTACGAGTGATTGGCGGAGTGAGCAGAGGTGTTGTATGAGCTCAGGGGCCCCCGCATCGTAATTCATCCGGTGGTAAAACGCGAGAGTGCGCAGGTGCGGCTTGGCGAGCTTGCGAAGCATCCGGTCCGTGACATCTTGAGGCAGTTCCATACGGAGTTTCGCGAGTGCTGGCAACGTCGAAATGATCTGATACAGAACTTGGGTATCGTGTTCATTGCACAGGTCTACATTGAGGATGTGTAGACTTTCCAGGTTGCGGCATGCGCGTAAGGTGTGCAGCAGTACGTCCATCATGGACTCAGGATGATCGCAGTCATGAGACAACTTGGTGAGTTCCGTGATCTCATGGAGCGGCTCCGAAGTTAGCCATCGGAGGCGGAAGTCCAGCTTTCGGATGTATTGCCAGCGATGGGTTGAAGATCCGATACGAAGGAAGCTGCGGAACGAGAGCAGATCTTCATGTAAGCAGAAGGGAAGCCAAGCCAATCTGCAGAGTGACGGGAATGCGGCCTCTGAGAAATAGCGACAGGTCATTGCGAGGGCTGAAAGAGAGGAGCCAGGCAGAAACGACATGATGTGCTCCCGGACGTCGTAGTTGATGCGGACGAGCGACAACTTGGATATAGCTCGCAAGTCGTCAGGGTGGTCCTGAGTAGAATTGATCAATCTGTTCGCTTCTGGTCACATTGACGGTAGTTGCTCACCATACAAGTCGCAAGAAAGGTATTGCCATCACCTGCAAGCATTTCAGGTGCTTCGGCGGGTGCGGCAGGCGTGGCACGTTCTGATGAACTCTGAACCTGGAAGGCTGTAAGCCGCACAAAGAGAGGTCTTCAGTCTGTGAGAGAACGACTATGATTGCATAGTACTGTACCTGTAAGCCGCACAAAGAGAGGCTACAAGTACTAGTAAGTAAACATGTAAGGAAGCATAGGTAGTGTGGGACTTA